TATATATTAACTAGCTAACTAACTAAATTACTTTTTAAAGTAACTTAAATAGTAATAGTAAAATAATTATAATAAATAATAAGAGATTTTAAACCCTAATTAAAAGTAATAATATAGGTATATATAAAGTAAAGAATTTACTACCTTTAAAAGGAATATAATATAAGTATATAAAAGGCAAAAAGTAATAAAACTAATAAGCCTTAAGACTTATTAAATACTAACTATATAACCTAAATAAATAATTAAAATACTAAAAATAACTTAAAGAAAAGAATAATAAAATTAACTTAAAAACATTTTAAAAAAGTATTATATTTATAAAAAGCTATTTTAAAAAAAACTTAAAATAAAAGTATTATAATATAGCTATTAAAATTATAAATATAGCTTAAAATAAATAACTTACTATTTTAGAAAATTTATAATTTTAATAAAAAAAAGCTTATTATCTTAAGAAATTACTTAAATATAAAATTAATAAAAAGGAATATTAAGATATTTAACTTATTAATAGAATTCCTAGTAATATTTATCTTAAAGAAAAATAAGAAATTATAACTTATTATAAACTATAAGAGGTTAAATGCCTTTATAATTAAAAATAAGACCTTACTTTTACTTATTATAAAACTTAAAGACTACCTATAAGGTAAATAAATCTTTATTACTTTAAATCTTAAAGGAGCTTATAACCTAATTTATATTAAAAAAGAAATAAATAAAAGATAATATTTAAAACTAAATTTAGATTTTTAAATATTTAATAATACTATTTAGACTTACTAATATGCTTATAATATTTTAATAAATAATTAATAATATACTTTAATAATACTTAAATATCTTTATAATATATTACTTAAATAATATTTTAATCTTTTTAAATAATAAAGAAGAATATAAGGAATATATTTATAAGGATTTAAAAGCCTTATAAGATACTAACTTATTAGTTACATTAAAAAAGAGTTACTTTTATATAAAAGAAATAAACTTCTTAAGATATATTATTATACTTAATAAAATTAAAATAAAATAAAAGAAATCTTAATAATAGTAAATTAGCCTTATTAATAATAATTAAAGAGGTTTAAAGCTTTTTAAGATTTACTAATTATTATTAAAATTTATTAAAAACTTTAGTAAAATTATAAACCTTTTATAAAACTTATAAAGAAAGATAAAACCTTTATATAAGAATTAAAAGTATAGAAAGTATTTAAATAATTATAATAAGCTATTTTTAGTAAACTTATATTAGTTATATTTAATCTTAAAAGGAAATAAATTAAAAACTAACTTATTAGATTTACTTTAAGAAATAAATTAAATAATAAGATAAAAAGGAAGCTTTACTTAATTATATTTTATTTTATAAATTATATAAAGTAGAATTAAATTACCTTATTTATAATAAAGAACTTTTAATAATTATTAATTACTTTAAGGAGTTTAATACTACCTTATAAAAGTATATATTAAATTAAATTTATATTAACTATTAAAATATCTTATACTTTATTATAATATAAGAACTTAATTAATAATAACTATATTATATTAAATACTTATATAAATTTAATTTTATAATTATTTATTATAAAGGTTTAGATAATAAATAAGCTAATATTATTAATTAATAACTAGATTATAATATTAATATAATAAAATAAAAAATAACTCTTAAGAAAAAATAATAAAAGAAATACTAATTTACTTAATATGTAAACGCTTTAAACTTATAAGTAATAATAAACTTATAAATTAAGAAAAATAAGTAAAGAAAATTTAAAATACTATTATAAGATATAATATTTAAAATCCTATTAGAAGTAAAGCTAAAATAACTACTTATAATAGCAAATTATAAGTACTTAAATAATTTAAAGAAGAACTAATATAGGATATATATAAATATCCCTATATAGCTATTAAGGTATTATAAAAACCCTAAAATATATTTAAATATATTATAATTAAAAAGGAATTAAGAAAATAATAAAAAAGGTTATTAAATAATATAACTTATATATAAAGACTAAAAAATAATAATATAAACCTTATAGCCTATTATAATTACTAGAAGTAGTAAAAAGACTATAAAGCTTAATTATAATAAACTATATAACTAAGCTACCCTTATTAGAAAAACCCTTAACTAGAATCTTTTATAATAATATCTTAATTATAGTAAATTAACTTATTAAATTCTCTTCTTATATATCTTATAAAGAAAATATAAATATAAAATAACTATCTTATATTTTTATAATAAGATAATTAGAAAATATAAATTACTATATAAAATCCTAATAAATAGAGAAATAATATTTATAAGTAAGTTTTAGTAAGTATTAATATTATATATAAAACTAAATTACTAACTCTTAATAGTATTTAAACTATAAATAAATAAATAAATTAAGTAAATAAATTAAATATTAAAATAATACTTATAATACTATATTAATTATAAATAAAATAATTAGATAGAAAAGCTATTAAGTGCCTAACTTGCCTATAATATAATATATAATAAAAGCATGGAAATAATACTTTTAAAAGCAAACTTTAAATTTACCTTAGACTTATATTATATAGTATAAGAACTAAAAATAGTTAACCTAGCTATTATAATTAAAAGTAAAGACTTAAAAGCCCTATATAAGGAATTAAAAAAAAAACTAGAATTTATTAGAAAATAAATAAAAAAATATTATAATATAAAAAGAATTAAAAGACTAACCTTCTTAAAGGGAGATATAGTTTACTTAGCTATAAAAAACAATATAATAAAATAACTAAGTTATAAATTAGATTATAAGTATATTAAGCTATATAAGATAAAAAGAAAAATCTTAAAAAATAACTATAAACTAGACCTATTACTAAAAGTTAAGCTTTATTTAGTCTTTTATATTATATTATTAAAATCAGTAGCTAATATAATATAAGTTAAGACTAGTAATAAACTAAAAGAGATTAAAAAATTAAAAGTTTATAAAGTAAAAGTAATTAAAGATATAAGGAGAATTAATAAATAAATAAAATACCTTATTAAATAGAAACATTACTTAAAAAATAAAAATATATAGAAACTATCTAAATACCTTACTAATGCCTAATAACTCTTAAAGAAGTTTTATTAGTATTTATAGAAAAAATCTTACTTTAATTAATAATATTAATAGCCTTAGTTAATTAAGCCTTAGCTATAGTAAAGGATTTAGTATTTTTAAAAGCCTTTAGCTTATTAAGAGATTTAATATTATAATATAATATCTTAAACCCCTGCTTATTTAACTATTTCTTTTAATAATAAAGGTATATTAAATATATAAAATACTTATTTACTTATTACTATAACTATAATAATTTATTCTTAATAACCTCTTTTTTATACTTAAAATAATATTTCTTAATAGTAAAATAATTAGCTAAAAGTAACTAAGTTAATAAGGAAAAATATAAATAGAGATTATAAACTTACCTTTAAGAATTAAAATGCCTTTACTATTATACTTATAACTATAATAAGTATATTATATATAATTAAAATAACCTTCCTTTGCCTAATACTTTAAGTAATGCAGTTTATAATAGCTATATAATATAATAAGAAAACTAGTATTTTTAATTAAAATAACTTATATATAGTAATTATAAGTAGCCTTAAATTCTAGTATATTATTAATAAAATATATAAAAAAATTATAAGTTTAAGTTAATATATATTAAGATTATATAAAAGGAAAGTAAATATATAGGTCTTAAGGGTAAGATTAAAGGAAGGGAAGGAGATTATATTATAACTTAATAAGAAAAAGTACTTATATTATATATACTTCTATAAAAATTAACTAATAATATATTAACTTATATTATATTAAGAATAATTAACTATAAGCTAGCCTATAAACTTATAATAGGCTTATAATCTAGCTTATAACTTATTATAAGCCTTAATACTTAAACTATAAGCTACCTAGTATATATATATATTCTTTAAGTAGTAAATAAACCTTAGCTTACTAGCTATTAATAAGACTTCTTTATTTAAATATGCCTAACCTGCTTTATTTACTATTAAGAGATATAATACTTATAACTGCTTAGTATAACGCCCTATAACTCTGTAAATATTAAACCTAGTATGGATTAGTTTTCCTGTTTAGAACCTACCCTGTTATAAGCTAGGTTTAAGCTATAATTAAGGCAGTTAATTATAATAATTTAACTTAATAAAGCTTTATTAGGTATAAAGGTAATAAATATTTAAATTATATTAAATTTTAAAAATACTTAAATATACCTTTTAAGGCTAATTTATAAACTTAAAAAAAAATTTAATTTAAAGATTTATTTTTTATTTTTTAAATTATATATTTTAATTTATATTTTATTATATTTAAAGATTAATAATTAATTTAATTTTATAAACACTTTATTTTTATTTAAAATTACCTTTAATATTTTAAATTAATTAATATTATTAAAAATATTAGACTATAGTTTGCAAGCTTGTTTCTAACTTGACGTATACATGAAGGGCTGTTTTTACGCATCGAGTTTGCTCCTAAGCCTGCTAAATTATTTCAACTGTCATTAAAAGGCCCGTCGACGGCGATAAGAAGTAGCCAAATGGCATATACCGCTAATTCTTATAAACTCCGTCGGCGGCACATTTGCAGATCAGAGCATGGGCCACCAACCACAGGGAAAAGTAGCTCGGTGAAACTTGAGAACACATTAAGCTGCACCGTTTGAAGTACTCAAGTTTTTATTGTATCCCGGTCTATCATTATGGTCACCGGCGACTGATTACAAGCTGTACGAACTTCCATCTAAGACACAACAGTCATTGTCTGTGCGAATCATTCGCTCAGTATAGCCAACTCTAATCTTCGCCTGATAAGTAGCAATGAGAACCGGATCACTCTAGAGCTGCACTCGCACTCTTATTCGAGGCATTGTACTCATCGGCCTGATAGCCGAAAATGGGTTCCAACAGCTTCGAACTCCGAGATATACCTGAACCAGACAAAATCGATACACCATGGTCTCATGCTTTGCCGCCAGCTCCTCGCCACGCTATCACGTCGCACTTCCCAGGATGGAAGGCCTTGGTGAGGCTTGCAGAACGAGACCCTGCTCATCTATCCAAGATCGTTAGCATCTACCCACGCATTCTACCTCGTAAGGATTGCGCTCAGGTAAGCCTTGACTTTACGTCTCCAAGCAGTATTGGACTGGCGGCTAACTGTGAATCTCTCGTGTGAAGCTTGTCCAAGTGGTCACGGAACTATCAGGGCTAGATCTGACAAAGTACACATGCTTTATATTTCCAAGGCTGCAAGTCGCTCAAGCATGCGCCAACTACATCACAACCCCTGATCGCACAGATGGACTTGAAACTCTGGACTCTCAATCGGTATCAATCAGAGCCTTTGAGAGTAATTCGACAGAAGGGAGCAAGTTGTATCTCTATGCTGTGATGTTTCCGTTGGACAAGCTGTTCCACGTCATGACGTGGTGGTCAGATACCGGTGTTGCGGTCTCCAGCCGCTTTGCAGAACATGTCCCAGCCAATTTGTCTGGTCTACGAGAGGTGCCAATTGACGCTACGTCCGTTCTAAACCACGACGAAACGCCTCACAAGGTGCTCTGTGAGCGCATCACATATCTTCTTGAGCGCGCGTCTATTACTGTTAGAGAGAAAAAGGTACAGCCTTCAGATGTTTACCTCTTCCAATCGGGCATGGCGGCTATTTACAACATCCATCAATATCTTCAGCGCCTGGCCGGTAGCAGTGAGCGCAAGAGCGTTATGCTGGGTGTTTGCTTCTATGAAACCCGTCATGTTCTAAAGAAGTATGGCCCTGGCTTTCAGTTCTTCCCTATCGGTAGCAAGATGGATGAGATTGAGCAATTTATCAGGGATGAAAAGGCCAGAGGATGTCCCATTTTGTCGATTTGGACCGAGTGCCCGAGCAATCCACTTCTGTTTACATCAGACCTTCCTCGTCTTCGACAGCTAGCCGATGACCTCCACTTCGCTCTCATCGTTGACGACACCGATGGTGGATTCTGCAACGTTGATGTACTTCCCGTCGCTGACGTTGTAGTCACAAGTTTGAGCAAGCTTTTCAGCGGCCACGCAGACGTCTTGGCTGGCAGCTTTGTTCTCAACTCCTCGAGTCGAATCTACAACGACCTGAAGCACATCGTTGACCAGGACTACGTCAATGATCTTTACATTGGCGACGCAAGGACGCTGCGACACAACAGTGAGGACTACCTTCACCGAGCTACTGTTGTCAACAAGAACGTAAAGGTGCTCACGGACTGGCTCTACAAGCGCACCAAGGTCGAACAGGGCAGCGTAAAGCGCGTTTATTATCCCACCGTCCCTCATTCTCAAGCACATGGTAACTATGACGTTTTCATGCGAACGCCCACAACCGACTTTACGCCAGGATATGGTTGTCTCTTCGGTCTTGAGTTCAATTCACAAGAGAGCGCCATTAAGTTTTACGACAATCTTCACACATACTATGGGCCTCATTTTGCTGCTCATAGGACCATCGCTCTAGGATTCACGTATCTTATTTACAAGGATGATAAGGAGTTGAACATGAGTGACTTGGGACTTTCAACGGCTCAAATCAGAATCTCGGTCGGGTTAGAGGATTCGGATACTTTGCTTAATATCTTCAAGTATGCTGTTATGAAGGCAGATCAGGTTGAGGATGGTAGGTGGAGTTACAAATGTATGTTAGATGGGGCCGTAGCTTTAAGAATTCGAAGACGTATCCTTGCATTGCATTTGACACTGCATGCGTGCCGTGAACATCTACGTTGGTTCCTTGAAACGCTATAGATAATAGTTGGCTATTTACTAGGATCTGTTTTGCTTAGGATCAAACCGAGACATCAATAAAACGCCAAGCAAGAGAAGGCTGCTGCATATTATAAACCTGTTCTCGCGGCTTTCATCTCCTAGGTTTTATCGTAAGCATATCCACCTTAGACGTAAAACTAGGGAAAGGATTCGCAACATACCTTCACTGACAGTAGTTAGACACAGCACGGTGAAGACATTGAGTGGCACCCTCATCAACCCATAAACTTGACTTTGTCGCTCCTCCTCAACAAGCCGACCTTTCAAGTAGGCCATGGTCGGATAATACAGTCCGACACATGTCTCGAAGAGGCAAAACGCCCAGAAGCGACTCAACTCGTCTTGTAGTAAAATCGTCAACAGAAGACCTGAAGCTGAGATGGATAACGCAAGCTGAATTGTGCGCGATGAAACTTGTATCGAGTTTCCCTCACGCGAGGCATAGAGGAATGAAAAGGATCCCAGAGACATTGCACCCATCAAACTCGCAAATATGGTGCCGAAAGGAGGATTAGCCCATATCTTTTCTTGAGCACGAGCTGACATGATTGTCTGTGGCCAAGAATAAAGCATAACGTATACAGAGCCCTCGAAGAAGCACATGGTTAGTGTCAGAATAACCAGACTTGGGTCTTCTACTCATAGTGTCAGCTCCATTCAACGGCGATATGTCGTAATTACATACTCATGAGAGAGATGGCGCTGACCTTCCATGAGGTTTCGGTGACTGAGGATCTGATGGGTGATGTAAAGCTCTCCGCCTGATCTTGCGTTAACAATTGATACAACGTGCAATGGGCCTAAAGGCAGAGTTTACCCAGGACCGAGTGATAACCGCCAGTGCCAGGCTTAGACAGACGATACTGAGTAAGAAGGGGGCAGTATGTGAACCCAAGGCATTCACGACCACTTGAGCTACAATACCACTTGCGACAGCAACAAAGCCATTTGTCGCAGCCATCATGCTATATATGGTACTCAATGCAGTTCCACGGTCACCGAATTCTTGTCGTTGATACTCGGCTATCATCCAGTTCTCAAAGGTTGAGTAAAGTAATGTAGTGCAAAATCCGCCTATTAACCTACCCGCAAACAGTAATAGTATATTGCCGGAGAGCATGGTGAGGCAAGAAACTGAGTAAATGACACAGTAGCATTGGCACATGAACTTTTTGCCATACTGATTGGAAAGTGATCCCATGAATACAGTGCTGATTCCGGCGGAGACAAAGCCAGTAGCAAAAAGAGTTGCAATGGCAGGTTCTGAGAGTTTATGGGTATTCTTCAAACAGCTGTACAGATAGGACCCCTTACATAGAGCAGCAAAAGTCAGATATCTTTCTGCTAGGTGTCATCCTTCTCTTCCGGAAACTCACCTGGAGCCATTCTGCGGCCATGGCCAGACCGTAGACCCACAGAAACTTGTTGCGAAAATTGTAGTATCTGTCATGAGTCGACTCATGATCAACATCATGAATCTCATCGTCGATCATGTCAAGACGACTGGCCTCCTCCCCCGAGCCTCGGACCAGCTTTAATGTCACATGTCTGTGATGCGAATAGGAAGCAAAAATGAGCGGTATGATGAGGATGATAAGAGTGATGGTGTAGTGATCCATAGCTGGCTAACATGTCGGGACGCCAATTATGAAACAAGGACTTCAAAACCGAGAAGTCGTGAGAGGCTTGGGAAGAAGGCCAAGAAAATTGGACGATGCTATCGTGGGAATACGAGACGAGGGCCGTGCAGAGGCGTTGACGTTTCATGGTGTACCCCTGATGTCTTAGTTTGCCATTGATTGGTCTCTGTCGTAAAACACCGAGCGGCTCACGGGAATCCGGCAGAAGAGTCGAGACTGTGGGTCTAAAGGAATGACGGTTGACTTAGTGCTGACGTAGGAGTCTCTAATGAGCGTAAAGAAGACAGCTCGCAGGTATTTAGATATAAAGGGTGTGGCATTGTACAATAGTATGAGGAACGCTGTTCACCTGATATGCAAATCTCTCGTTGTGTTTTCTATTTTTGAAGAGTCCTTGAGGAATCGTGAAAAGAAGAAGCCTAACCTGGATCGATCTTCGGTGCCGCTTATCCCGGTTTCGGCAAATTGATCCGAGCTCAACGTGTAGGACTAGCCCTCTTAATCTGGAGTCCACGTCTGCTCATTCAAGGCACTGAGCAGATCGTGCCACTTCAGGTGAAACTCAAAACAGCAGTGAAAAAGGGGTAATTAGCTCAATTCACCGTAAACCTATGGCCGATATCAGCTGTGTTGAGTATTTTTAATGTCAGTCAATCTTTTTTATGTTTCTTTACTACCCTATATCTATTTTATGATTCATGCTGAAAATCCATTTGGCTTCCAGTGACCCACTTCACCATAGCCATGTCTCAAAAACTGGTCACAATTAGCTTCGTCTTAGCGACAATACTGCTCTGTACAGTACTATTCACAAGGACGTCCCCTCATTTCTCAACATTGTTATCGTTACAAAGTCATGCAGACGTCTTCAGCAAGGATCCTCATCTAAACTCAAGACTTGCACATGCCGAAAAGCTATGGAAACGCTCTATCAAAGCTCGTGAGGAAATGGCCCAGGTAGTCGGCTACGATGAAAAGTTTCCCGACGGATACATGAACCCCTTCAATGTTTGGGACTTTGCCCGCCCAAGTTTCTTCTGTCCCCACGATCTTGAACGAGTTGGCTCAATCAGCGATGGCGGCAAGATAATATGTGGTATGACGCGCTATGAGAAGGAGTGTCCTGGCCCATCGTCAGACTCGAATAAGGCACGGGAACTTATTGTTTACTCATTCGGCGTGAGTGATGACTCTTCCTTTGAGGCTGAGTTGTTGCAGCGCACGAATGCTCGCATATGGGGATATGATGGCACCGTTGAGAAGTGGGCGCAGCAAGTTCCCGAGTTCATATGGTCGCGTGCCAAGTTCCAGAAGGCGATGATTGGAAAGGTATCAGACAGCAAGGCTAGACCGCCTGTGTTTTCGATACAGGATCTGATGAAGGTGAATGGTCACTCATACGTTGATCTCATCAAGATGGACATCGAAGGGGCAGAGTTTGACGCTCTGACGTCCCTGATCGAGTCTGGTAAGGACCAGCGAAATAATGACAATGTGACTTTGCCTTTTGGTCAGTTGTTGGTCGAGATGCATCTCAAGAAAGCACCAGATGGCGTCACGGTTCCAAATGGCCTTAGATCCTGGTTGAAGTGGTGGTATTCTCTGGAGGCGATGGGCCTGAGGCCAGTGAGCAATGAGGACAATTGGATCGGCGATAGGGTATATGGCATGCCGAGATTCATGGAGGTGCGTCTCAAGTATTCTTTTAGCTTCGGCTTACGCGCGATCTTACTGACAACCATTTATAGTACACGTTTATCAATGCAATGGACAAAGAAAGGAATTTATTACTGTGGACATGAAGGGCAGAGCCTTGGATTTAAGCTATAGACGTGATATATATGAGACTACATGATTCAACTATTGTCTACTGATGCCCTGAGTGCAATCATGCTGATTTGGGGTCTTGAGGCCACTTGTCCAAAGTAGCCTTCTTTCCAGTCAATGTGACTTCAACCTTCGCTTGCGTAGGCTCATCCAGCAACAGGGTGTAGGTCCCTGGATAAACAACCAAATCGCCATTCTCTCCCCTTCGTGCAATATTATCCAACGTCCACTGAAGTGAGATATCCTTTGTAGCAGACGGCGCAACATCATGTAAGCGGCCATAAGCTGCAAGTGTCTTGAGCGGGTATGGCTTTGGTCCAACTTTACTCTCGATGAAGAGAAGAGATACAAAGTCAGAGGTAATACGACCAGTGTTCTTGACGCTGACTTGGATGGGGGGTAGAGCGCAGGTGTCGGAGTATTGAGCACTGCAGCCCTTGAGAAGCTTCTGGATGTCGAAGTTCAGTTTGTTAGACTTGAACTTGGCTTTGAAAGTGGTGTAGTGAAGTCCAAAGCCGTAGGGCAGAACTGGAGTGGAGTACCAGCGATAAGTCCTTCCAGGCAACGACTTGGTAGGTCTCAGGTCCATATCGGTCATGCCAATTTGCTCAGTGTAGCTGCTCGGATATTGCGTGACGGGTAGACGGCCAGCAGGACTCTTGCGTCCGGTGAGTAGGTCCATCACTGCAGTGCCGCCATCTTGACCAGGGTAGTTGACCCAAAGAATACTGTTGAACTTCTTGTTCTTTAGAAGAGCAGTGTCATCTACTTGGTCACCAAGCTGAATAACAACCAAAGGCTTACCCAGTCTGGAGAGCTTCTGGAGCAGAGTCAGCTGGCTCTCAGGCCAGTCAAGATTCTCACGGTCTCTGTCCTCGCCAGCAGCTGAAGCGTCAAGACCACCAAAGTACAGGATGTAATCAGATTTCTTTGCAGCAGCAACAGCATTGGTAGTCCAGTTATCGTGAAACGAGCTGTTCTGCAGTGTCGGGCCCCAAGCAACGTTGGTGTTAAGACCAAGCTTCTCAGCTGCGTACAGCGGGCTGTGAAGGAAGGGAGCACGCCCACTGTATCCGCCCTGGAGCTTGGATGTATCGTTGGCCCAGAATCCGATCAAAGCAATACTATCCTTCTTCTTGAGCTTGAGGGGCAGTGTACCGTCGTTTTTCAGGAGGACTGCACCCTCGACGGCGGACCTGAGTGCTAGATCCTGAGCCTCCTTGGTGTTGACATCGGCAAAACTAAGCGAGTTCCATTGTGCTTTGGCACCATCGAAGAAACCAGTATGCACAAGACCCTCGAAGAGACGATGCAGAGATCGATCCATGAGCTTCTCAGTCAAGACGCCTTGCTTGTAGGCATCGGAGACGTCGCTGGTAGTGGTATACTCGCAGCTAGAATCCATACCGTTCTCAAAAGCGACGAGAGCACCTTCAGCGTTGGTCTTGGTATAGTTGTGATGCTGCCAAATATCCTGCATAGCTCCACAGTCACTAGTGATCCAGTTATTATCGCGCGTCCAGTTCCAGTGCCCTCTGAGGATAGTCTCCTGAAGATAAGAGTTCGCGCAGGCGGGAATACCGTTGACGGCGTTGTAAGCGCACATGATGGAGCCGACCTTGGCATCACGAGTACACTCCTGGAAAGGTCTGACGTAGTACTCCGCCAAGTCTTGAGGAGTGATCTTCGCATCGAAGTCGTGACGTGTAAACCCTCCCCAGTCCTCAAAGTCATTTCCAGCGTAATGCTTGCAGGTCGCAACAATACGTCGCTGTTCTTTATCGCCTTCAAGACCTCTCACGATGTATCGAGCATAGCGACTCACGTGAAGAGCATCTTCACCGGGGGTTTCTGAGCCACGACCCCAGCGAGGATCTTTGAAGGGGTTGACGTTGGGTGTCCAGAAGTCAACTCCGCGCCAGCCGCCGTTAGTGAACGCACGCGCTTCGGTGCCGACGACATTGCCGATACTGTGGATAAGATCATCATCGAAAGCGGCTGCCATGAGAAGAGGCATGGGAAACGATGTGGCGGCGTTATATGGAGGGGTGTCGGCAAAGCGACCACCCGGAGAGCCAGCGAGTCCATGGAGGGCTTCGTTCCACCAGTTGTACCGTGGTAGTCCAATTCTAGGCGCACCAGTTGCGTTACTACTTCAAGTCAGCCCCGATATCCGAATAGTCATCGTGAGCGAGTCTCTTACCTAACCAGATTGCCAACCTTCTCTTCGGGCGTCAAAGCAGCGACCAAGGCAGCAGCTCTTTTAGCAGGGGACGCCGAGGTGTCACATATTCCGTTCTTGCTCAAAGGTTCCTTGGTACAGTCAGGAAGAGTATAAGGCGTAGCAGCTGTAGCCAGTCCATTCAGAACAGAAAGTGATAAAGCGCTGGCAGCGACCTGAAGATTGAGCAACATGGTGTTACTTGGCCTGAAAAATAACCCTTGTTTTGACAACAGAGTCGTCTGCTTTTATGCTTTACTATTCCACTCCGCCTGATCACTTAATGATCTTTCTATGCTCCGGTTATTGCGGAGTCATGCATATGCTCATTTGCGGCTCACCATAGCCGAGCAAATGAAAACCCAATGATGCAGTGTTCTCAGAACGGCATATGGGACGATCGGCAATTCTCTAACCTCAGTTGAAGCCTATCGGATATTATCAACGAGTGCGGGGAGCCGCGGGGATGCGGGGAGTAAAGCGTGCAGTTTCAGGCAGAATGCGGACTGATGTAACACTATAAATAGCCTAATAGTAATAACTTTTAATAAAAGCATAATACATTAAAGTATGAGGTCACGATCAGCAGGCGCCGAATCGGTTGGTTATGTCTATCAGGGTTAGAAAGCTTATGGATATCAACAGAAGTTAAATATTGGTGCGCTTGGACCTGGGAGATGCAAAGGCTCACGGCTAATATACCAGAAACCGCTGTGCACTCGGCCCTTTTTTGGCCTGAAGTAAGTTCAAAACCCTGATATTGGCTCCCATATTTCTTCCCATTGAGGCATATTGACCTCGATGTACCGCTCAAACGTCCCATCTGCAGCTTTGAAAACCACATGAGCTGATAAATCCCTGGGTTTAAATCCTGCACTGTCATGATGATGCTGCATGCGGGAATACACAGGATTGACACTGTTCTCCGGAAGTTGCCCAAGTCTGAACCGAATGCGTTCTCGCAATAAGTTTCTTGCAGACGCTGATCCGGGCTCCAGTCTGCAAAAGATGTTTCCCTCATATTTCCCTCCTTTCATCGTGTCTTGAAGAGGTCCGACGTAGTAGAATAATGATGCGAGGAGTCGCTTCGATACAGTTTGGACGTGTTGAAAAGCTGTTCTGTAACCTCTGTTATAGTACATGGTCTCGGTATCATAACAGAGGTATTTCTCACAATCTTCAAGAGGCATCTCCATCTTCCTTACGTCATCCATCTCGACGCGCTGTCTTAACCCGACATTAAGGCGATGGCAATTGTCTCGAAGTCGAGGTTCTGGGATAGACAATCTTTTGAACTCCCTCCACGCTTCGTGACAGCTCATGGAGCTTTGGATTATGCCTAATCCTGCTTCGATCTGCTTTCGGTAACCTCCAGGCAGAAGCTTTTTTAAACTTTCTACTTTTGAATCTCGCTTCGTTTTCATCTTTCCAGACTTTGGTTCGACGACTACCCCAGTTCCGATTGAGAGGACAATATCCGGGGGAAGGGAATCTGGCCAGATCTTTTCGACCTCGGAATAGGCTAAAGAGACAGGGTTGTTGTAGGCAAGAGCACCGTCGACGTAGGACCTCTGAGTTTTACTGTGAACGAAGGGTTGAAAGAATACTGGTGCTGCTGAGGTTGCTCTCGCCCTAGAGGAGTCAGTAATACGAATTACGCCGTGATGAGTCGACTTACGCTTCCCAAATCTTGAAGTCCCGAGATTGCTCATCTTCTCGAGATAGATAGTCTTCTGGAGTACTGGGTCAACAAGGACCTCCAAGTCAAGTGCGATCTAAAGCTTACCGTCATCCTTATCTCGGCTGGGGTTTCTGGAATAGTTGGCAATCAACGTTGGCTGCGCCCGACCTTGTAAGCATGACACAACGCCAACCTTGACCCAGTCTTTTCCACCGGTCGTCGCTCGGAAGTTGGTCTTGAGATCCATCGATGGTCCAAAGAGAAATCGCGATCTCCCGAAGGATTGCTTCAAGGCGTTTTCGATGCCGTCGCTTGTGTATCTAAACGTGTAAAAGGGCTGCACCATTGTCTTAATGAAGGAGTTACCAAGACCGAGTCGGAGAGTGAATGCTTGCTTTGCCAAGGCCTGGAATCTTGTGATAGCATCGCGCGTTGACCATCGCTCATGAAATACCCCTAACGCGACAATGCCACCTGTACTTGTACCAACGACCAGGTCGAATAGCTCGTGAATCGATATGCCGTAACCGACTTGCTGCTCGATCTGGCTCAGGACATAAAGCTCAACAATACCGCGTACACCTCCTCTGTTAATAACGGTTAGCTGTGTTACGAAATTCATATGCAGTTGAGAAGCCTACCCATCAAGTGACAATACACGAGGTCCAGCAGCTTTCGGTTTGATTCTGATACTCCACGTCCCAGTCTTGAGAGCACAGCCAAGTGGGCACTTCCCAATCACCAATATCGAGCCACCATTTGTCTGTCGAGCAAATCTCTCAAGACAAGTCTGACAGATGCCGTGTTGAAATCGTTGACATGGAAGCATGTTAGTAGGACAGTTGGAAAGGCATGTGAAACACGTCCGTTGGCTCTGTAGCTCTGTAAGTCGTATTACCCTCGCCAACGAAGTGAGCCTCTTAATAGCTTGGCCTCCCCTCTGTGATCGTGCTATCTCTTCGCGAAGACGTCGAGCAAACTTATCGGGATGCCAAGAGCATCTATCACTAGATTTGTCTCTTATGCTGTTTATTGTTCTGTTAGTAGAGTCGGATTTGAACTGATGTCCTTTCTCATGCCCATTGCAGTAATTCTGACATCGTCTTCTGCCATGTGGATCAAGCGCTTCACATCGCCAATGACGCCATCGAAATTTCTGGAGGCCGCGTTGGGCTTCGGTGATTAGTTTGTCCCTCGTGGTTCTTCTAACCTCTGTTGTTATCAGCTTTACGGTTTGTATAAGCATCATGAGTTCTGTACCGTTGTCTTCGATGCAGCTGGTCTGCGCACTGATACACGCGCCAACATATGGAGTAAAGCTATCCACAAGCTGTTGCTCTCCTCCAATTTCATCAGTATTATCGAGGCCGCGGGCTGTGCACATTTGCTGAAGGGTTGCAGCCATGTGGTCACTCAGCTCTGTAGGAATTGGCGAGTCTTCCTTGACTATGTCATGAAGATCAAGGGCAGCGCGAAGATCTTGACCTAAAACACTCAACGACCTGCTGAGGTGCGTATTAAGTGTCGCCAAGTCCGACTCGGTACCGTTGTGTATCTTCGCGTTCCGAACCTTCGCAACCGAAGTTCTGATAGTTTCATAAAGCTCTTTAATGCTTTTGCTGACTGAAATGGCTTCGGCAGGTGAACTCTTGCGGGTCAGGGCTGGAATGAGGACGACTTTGAAGTCGCTGTAGTAACACCTGAGAAGATCCGCCGTGCTTTTGATAGGGTGTTCCCGGTCCTCCCAAAGATACTGCAAGCTCTCAAATCGTTCCGTGTTTTCAAAGCTCCGAAGGAGTTGCTCGGTCGGGTCTGTCGATGAGCTTGAGTACAGGCCAGTCTCGACATCTTTGTTGATGATTATGATGAGGGAAGGCTTCATTCTCTGGTTCAGAATGCGGTCATGTGATTCTTGTGCCCAGTCAATGAGTTCACCCAGAAAGGTATTCGATGATCTTCCATTCGTTGTTACAAAGCATACGACATCTGAGAAGCCATACAGTACCCGAGGATACAAATGGCTGACAATGAGTTTTCGAGTATTATGCTGGACACGGCACAACCTTCGCCCATTCGATGTTCTCGGGACCACAGATGATCGCGGATCTGGGTAGTCCAAGCGACCCCAGTCAACGTTGATTCTGTTCTCCGCGCCATCGAGAAACTGATTCACTTTCTTCAGTAGCCGGTCTTGCTGCTCCTGATAGAATATTTGGACTCGGTGTTCAGCGGCATTTGTCCCAAACTTGCATTGAAGAAGCCATCCTGGTTCCGATAGCGCCGTGACTATTTCTTGTGAGACTGGCCGGTCAGACCCCACAAAGCCTTCAGAGTCTATTACACCTGTCAGTAGTCGGCAGAAGAGTCATATTCCTCATTGCTCACCGACATATACCATTGGGGACCTGCTGGACAGGGTGAGAGGGTCGGCGTAAGCGTGAATATCACTACTCGTCGAAACGAAACGATCTTCTGGCAGTCCAGGCACCGGCACAGATTCATCTTGGGGTGTTTCTGGTCGAGCCATTTTGATCATCGTCCGAATCAAGGTGCTTTTCCCCGAGCCTGTATCTCCGATGAAAGAGATCAAGTTGGGGTATTGTCGCTTTCGGGCTGTGCGCGACATCTGCAGTAGATCATGAAGACGACTCCAGATATGAATCTGCGGCCTATCAACGCTTTGGAACACAGGGACTCCAATCCATGAGCACGTCACATCGTTCGCGTGTAACTCTGGCCTTGAGGTTGGTGAAGGCGGGCGGAGTAGGTATCGCGTGAAGACATAGTCGATGTAATCGACCTCATCGCATTCTTCGTCACCTAGACTTGACCTGCGTCTGACACGTCTGGGGACATGTGCGCGATGCTTTGCTAGACATTTATTATGCGCTGGTCGCCATGGTGTTCCGCAGCCGCTGCAGAATATGAGCTCCTCGGGTCGTCCCGGCTGGTCGCATATACGGCATGCTGACGATATCTTGAGCTCTCTAGCTTGATTTCTGATGCTGGAATAATTTAGTAAAGGCCACGACCAGAAGCCCTCATTGATTCTTGACAAGGTCACGTACAAGCTCTGCGAGGGTCGTCGCCAAGAAATATGGGGAGCGGTTGAGGTAGATCCCTCATCGTCGGAGAAGTCAACATCTACATGTGACTGCGTAAAATCTTCGAGAGCCGCAATCTCGCTCTCGTCTTCGGGCTCTGAGTCTGTCTTGAAAGATATTACTGAATCATTATATTTCCCTGGCATAATGACGATTAGAAGGGTGAAGCTACGGATCAGTTACGAAGTAGAATGAAGGATGGGGGAAGTTCTGGAGCCAACTTCGCAGTGAGAAATGGCTGTCTAGATTAGCAACTTAGGGCCATGAGGCTGATTTTCAAGTGTCTAGGTGCCCTCCATGCTGCAGTCAGCTTCTTGCGGACGCCACCAAACGCCATGAAGTAGTGCGCAAGGCAGATTGGCAACTCCCCAGGATAAGACACTAGCTACAGAATATTCCTCAGACAGACAAGACGTCGAGGTGGATACAATTAATAAAAAGCCCGAGATCGCCTTGGATCTCATGGGACAATGGTATTTTGCGATGAACAACTGTTAACAGAGCACCCTCGGGTGGTCGCAAGTGAGAGACCTCATCATCTGAAGAAAGGAAAGCGTGCGGGGCAATGAGCAATCCATCCTGGTAAATATTGCATTTTGGTGTTGACAAGCTGAAGTCTATGCACCTCTAATTCGTTCAATGTCGAGCCCCTACGGTACCTTGGACATGTATCAAATCAGGCTGCGGCTGAGTCACGCCACTTCTCAATAGTCATGGAACAAAACTTTAGACTCATATTGCTGCACAAGATATGCAAAGAAGGATACTAAAACGGATGGTCACGGTTTAAATACAGTGTATGCGATTCCGGGGTCATTTGATAGGACTTTGCGAGCTATTGCCATATATGCCCAACTGCTATCTCTTCATCAAGGAGATGTCGTGCGATCATGAGCCAGCCAAGGCCGCAATCCTACTAATGTAATGTTGCGATATAATGCGCAGCAGAATCGCAATAGATACATTTGTAAAGAAATCACCCAAGTTGCCAACAGCAGCGGGACCGTGGAACTCAAATACTCCAAGTGCCGCGTTATCTTCGAAAGTATTCCCTCCAGACGCCTCGAAGGTAGCGACAGGCCAGCCCTGTCCTAAAACAGGGACAAGCTTCCAACTTCCGAGGTCACTTTCAGAAAATGCTTCAACAATCTGCCCAAGTGTTGATGATTCTTGTGTCTTCATTTTTCTCCACTGCCATCTTTGAGGGGTACCATTGACCTCAACATCAAAGGGCCAGGTTGCGCCTTCGTTCAACATACTCGTCTCCACGAAGTTTGCTTGAAAGCCATCAAAGGTGATGGTGCTCTTGCTACTGAAAGTGTGTCGACTCTCTATAGTGCAGATAGGCAGATTTGCCGATGCATATGGACCCTCCTTGATCTTGAGTCTGCTGCTGGAGAACATCTTTGCAGAGTAGGCAACTGGACCTTTGAGGTGAGGTCCGAGCTCGAGGCAGCTGGTGCCGCCGCTGGTCATGACATTCCAGATATGGAACTTTGCGGGTAATCTGATGAAGCCTACACGAGGGCAGTAGCTTGGTGGTCCTTGAAAGCCAGAAGGCCCGGGTGCAGTTGGATAGATAGGTTGCTGATAACTGGGAGGTGGGTTGAGAGATGCCTTATAGTATGGAGAATAACCTGCTGGGGGCTGATTCGTATTGGTAGCAGGTGGAGGGCCAGGTGGTGGATAATAGTTGGGATGGTTGGACATGCTGGTTGAGCTATTGGCACTGTAGATATTCTTGGACGGTAAGCGCCTCTATTGTTGAGAGGTTCAGAAAAAGGTGTGTATGAGGGAAGAGTAAGAGAATTTTTTTTTTTTAAATGTCCATGCTAGTTCGATAACTGAACAAAATCAACGTTGATCTGGGAAGAATATTGATATAAATAGTTTTGTTAGTTCTCTTGTTTTCACCATTGACCACAAGATCATCCTTTTCAAGGTTCAAGTGGGGTCTAATCGAAGTTGAAGCTTACCCTTTTAGGTAAAATCGTGCGCCGTGAGTCAGCTTGTGAAACGTCAAATCTTGCTGATGAATCATGGCTGAGTGCCGGTTTGATAACCGACAGTCTTGTCAACGCGAGAGAGTGCCGCTAGAAAGCACAGAATTAACGGGAAATTTGGGAATATTAGGTGGCCACTGACTTACAATATCGCACAGCTTCAATTTACAACATTCCAAGTTTGAAACGTTTGATCTGCTCCTACCTGTGCTATATCCCCTGGGAGTGGATCTTCCAAGCCTCGGAGAACTACATAAACATCAGCAGAGTTTAGCTCTTGCCTCCCATGCCGACTTCAACAGCTCTTTGACCTTGGTAAACTTATAGTCAGGCATAGTGAGTTCTATAGTTTTACTTCAGTTTATGTTATAGAGTTGCAAAGATGTTACTTTAATATTAAGTATCCTCAAGAACCAAAAACAATACGTCAACTCGAGAAGCCTGTACTACCGTCAATTAGACTAACTGAAAAGCTATTCATATTTCACAACATAGCTCCATCCATGACAATAGGTTGCTGCTGACTGTAATCCGAAAGATGGAAATCCGATATGGGAATATCAGTATAAGAATACTGAGTCTGTGGTAGCTGCGTTCCAGTGAAGCTGAACTCTGATGCTTGATAGGAAATTTCAGAAACCTCGGATGCCGTAGCTGAGAAATCGAAAGGCAAGATCGCAGTATTGTAAGATGGAACGCACCGCTGGCTGCCATCTGTTGCAAATGGATCCTCTGTCGTGAGATGAGAAATGGTATCCAACTGCACTCCGGTAGGCCCCTCGGGGCTTCGTTCAGAACCAAGGGATGCTTTCCTGGAAATTCTCTCTGAAGGCTTTTGTTCAAAGCGAGCCTCAACTTTATCAAGAAGCCCCGCAAGTAATTGGTATAGTTGATCATTGTAGCTGGGCGGCTGGTCCATTGCCTGGACGAATTCAGAAATCAGTTGTCGACCTTCATCCATCCAGATGCCGCGTAGCATCCCAGTAACCTCTTTAACGACGCCGTCCAGATGCGGCTTCGGCATAGTACGGGGTACTCCAAACAGAATTTTCCAAATTCCGTACCACTGTGCCTCTGGTGAAAGGCCCTTTCCAAAGCGAGCCTGGAGGGCTTTCTGTGAAGCCAGCGAAACACTATCCCAGTTCGCTCCAGATCCCAGGGAGCAAGTCTGTTGCAGGATATGATCCTCTTGCAGGTTCAGAGACAAGAACCCCTCAGAGCATCTCGGACAGGGGTAAGGCGCTGTATGTCTTCTCTTCAAATGCTGCTTGACGTCGGAGATGCGGACCATCTTTAGGTTTATGCATTCCAGGTGGCGCTCTGGATTCTTTCGGAAGTAAGGGCAAGCGAATTTCTTAACGTTTTCGTTGGGGTTTTGATAACCATCTTCATCAAGGTCATAGAGCTCATCGCTAAATCCAGCTGTACGTCTTTTTTTGTTAGGGGTTGTACTACGGGCTGGAAACGGCAGACTCTGCTTCTCTTCTTCTTTCGGAAACTGATTGCTAAGCATGTTGGAAGAAAATCGGTGAGCATTCAACGATGATCCACCCGGAGTCGCTGGATTTCGTATAATCGGGATAGGAGTATCTGGCCGTCGAGAGATTTTGCCTCCCTGGAGGACCATTCCGTTCAATGACACAGCCTGAGATGAGTAGGCATTTTCTTTTAAAGTCCTTGTCAGATAATCATCCACCAGGTCTTTGTTAGGTACTTGGAAAGAGATGTATATCAGCCTTGCATCATTCACGGATCTAGAGAGTTTTCATACTTGACTTTTGTGAGTAAACATCGAAGGTCCCTGATCTTGTTGGTGCTGGTGAAATAGGTCTTCCATAAGGGCATTGTGAGATTCGTTTATTGAATTGTGAGCTTGACTTTGAAGGTGTGGCTTGATTCTCGGTTGTTGTTTTTTCCCTTATGTACTCATGCATAGCCGCTTCTTGCATTAAAGACATTGTTTAGAAATGAGTTGAAAGCCTTTCTTCGGAGGGGTCCTGTGTTAAATGTTTGAGGCTACATCATCAGCCAACCTGCAAATACGGTTTGCTTACTTTACGAGCTGAAATGTGGGACGTTGGGGAAAGCGTCGGCATATATACGCGCTTGCCTGCACTGGAGGTTCGAAGTATCAGCTTCAAAGAACTGGTGAAATTACTTGAGCGCCAAGGCGTACAGAGGTTTAAGTGCTGCGCACCCAAGGCAGTCAGTCACAGGAGCTATGAGACGAGAATAACCGAGTGCTACGTGTTTTTGTAACGGGTAATGCTAGAGAATGGGTGTCACTCTTCCCAATTGGGTACACGTTGGTTTGGAGTTGGATAATCTGGTCATCCGGCTAGGATCGATTGGTTTATAATTATATGAGCACGGGGGAGTAGGTCACACAAACGCGCCCGATGTGTTGGCAATCAATAAGTAAAAAACGGATAGTAAATGCGCTAAATCAAAACAGACTAAATCCATGTGTGACACCTTTTCTTGTTTTCCCCATTCATCACCTGGGGTGAGATGACCGGCCCCATTACTCAATAATACCAACTATATCAATCACTTTGACCCTATTATCGCCATGAACTATCAGCCACAATTCGGTGGCAGGCAATAAAAAAGCAACTGCAGGGCGCGCGCAACATGTGAAATGAGATTGAAACAGGCGACCACCTAAATGTGTGCCTTGGGTGGTGGTTTCGTTGGCGCGTCTTTTGGAGGCTGAGGCTGCACGCTGAGGTGGCCACCAGCCAATAGTCTGCCCTGGATATCCAGGCCTGGGTCCAGTAACCAGTCTCGAATGCGGTCGTTGTATTCTTTGATTGCACACGGTTGGTGCGAAAGGCTGCAGGAACGGCATTGTTAGCACGCAATGCGTATAGACGATCGATGATTGAAACAAACCTTTTGGGGGTTGGGGCGGATAACGTCATGGTTCTTACTTAGCTGTTGTTCATGTCAGGTATTGCTTTTGAAAACTTGGAGATGGCATCAAATTATAGAGCATATATAATCCTGAAATCTTGCACAATTGTGTCTGCTGTCCTCACAATTGATTGCTCCATCCACGATCGTGGACTTGATGTTTAAACAATTGGGCATCTGTTGTATACTGCAAGCGATGATGAATGACATTTACCAAGCGCAGCGCAGCCTCGCTGAAACAACTTCATCATCTCCAAGGCTAGCATATCAGAATCGAGTATGTATTTCTAGGACTCCTCAACTGTGGGCGAGGCCCGACGAGAGGCCCTCGCTGGGATTGACGTGGCTCCCCTCGGTCCTCAACGCTGCGTTGGCAGCTGTAGGCATTTTCAGTGGGGCCTGTAGGGGACAACTGGCCGTCGGCAAAGCAAGACATAAGCTTAGTTTTTGGACGCTCCATCGCCAATCAATATCGTATCGGCCTCGAGTTTGATCATAAAATCTCCAACCAGAAAGAACATTCAATTGCCTGTTCACATTCGTGTTGGAAGACATGCAACTATGTGCATTCAGGGCATAGGGCATGCGGATATTGAGGAAAAGGCTTGGTACCCGAGCGTTTGATGGAATCAGTGCCCAAAGATTCAATGACAATGTTAGTTAAAGTGTGGCCTGAAGGATGCTCTCTCTGGTTGTCTTTCTTCCCGTAAACAGCCCCGACTTGCGGCTCCCGCACTTAACTGAATCCCGCCTTAAGTGCACCAGGAGCCGATCTCACCTTTCACTCACTCAATGGCTACGAAGCTTGGCCTTTACAACTCATTTTTCTCTCATTCAATTACTTCATTGGCATCCAAGCAACCCAATAGACCCGAATTCGTCATATCGGACAAGAGGAATGATCCGCCCTCAAGGCCAGATGTTCTCTCCAACAAATTGGCCAAGATGAACCTGGGGAACAGTAACAATGAGCCCCGCCAAGTCACTGGTGAATCATCTGTTCAAGAACTTCCCCCAGACCAGGCGCCTACACCTGGTCGCAGGGCTAACAAGCGTCGCCGCTACCAAGACTTGAACACCAATAGTGGCCAGAACAACGAAGAAAATGGCAGAGTAGATCAACGAGATGGCCCCAAATATCCTCATACCAAGGTGCCAATACTGTCGTTCGAATGCCCATTTTGCAAACTGGACCCGCACCGGTATGATGAGTGCAGGGGCCGCCGATTAACCCGTCTATCGGATGTCATTCAACACATCAAGCGGCAACACCTGTTAGCGGAGGTGAGGTTAGGGTTTGAAACTGTTCTACCAGAGGATGTCATTCTCTATTGCGCAAGATGTCGCTGTCTGTTTCATGGCATTGGTGCTGAGCATAGGCGCCGAGGCCACTTGACTGAGGGAATCCAATGTCAGATAGCGAATATCGAACAAACCGGTGTCTTGTTACTCCGAGAGTTCGAAGAGCTAAGAACAGAGCTTCGAGTATACCCGCGGCATAGTGAAACTTTTAGATGGTATATCATGTGGGACAGGTGTTTTCCGGGGAAACCCCGTCCACTATCGCCGTACGTCGAGATTATTCTTCCACGTCCACAGGTGCAGTTGATAATTGAAGCGGAGCTTCAATCTTTACAACGCCTATCGCCAGCAGAGATCCGATCGATTGCTAGACGATCTACGGACAGGATCTACACCACTTCATCACCCGCACCCCAACCCAGAAGACCCCCTCCGCAAGCCCCGCCGAATACTGTGCAGCGAGGACCGGAGCCAACCCACATGCCTCCTAATCGAGCATTGTCTTCTCAGCCTTTACAACCCTTCACCCAACCGCAAGGTTTAGGAGACGACTCTGGTTTATCCAATCCTGGTGCTTTTGAAACGCATCTTGGGTTGAATGCGAGTCAGGGCGACAATTCCTCGCTTTGGAATAATACGTTTAACACTAACTATGCACCAAGTCAAATTTTGGGCTTTGGGACATATACGACTTCTGAGAACAACATTGTTGACTCGGGATACCCTACTGCTCGTTTCGAACCGGCAAGTGAGTTTATTTCTCAAGACGACGATGATTTGAATCTATACGGTAGCGCCGTCAATCGCCGCGGTTCATAGTGTGGATTTTAGTATGTATACATCTATGCTCAACATGCCCTTCGATATTATACTAACCAGGGAGGTTCTAAACTCTAGAAGACTTGAAGAGACTCAAGTCAAGCTTAGAGCCGCGAGGCTCAACTGCAACTACAAAAGATGCATTCTCTATTATTCTTTTTCTTTGTTTTTGTGTCAGTGTCGGTTGCCCTTAGAGGAGCAAATTTTGTCTGCAGGCCTAGAGGGAAATATCGGTCATATTCTTATGGGTTCAGGGTCCTTATTTGGTTTTTTCTTTCTTCTTAACCTTTAGTTTAGGTGGCAGTTTGACAACCTTTTGACAAGTCTAATGTGAAAGTGTTTATATTTTTGGCGTCTTGTATCCTGTCTGCGCTACTAGACTTTGGGTGGGAACCTCAGATCTAATTGTCCTCCATTTTACAAAGGATTTTCAAGTTCGAAACAATTCTATCTTTTATCTATGCCCAAGACGTTGGTCAATCCTTTTGAAGCCATGAACCCCTCCACAATTAAGCACTCAATCCATCATTAGAAATCTAGCCGATACTCTTGATAGTCCTACTCTTGAATAACCATGTTCAACAAATCTTGTAGCCCTAGCTCATAGAGTACACCATGAGCGTTACTCTCTTGAGTTGTGGGTAGCCTCTCATGCTCGAGAATCTCCAAGATAAGTTGGACGCCGTATAGATCCCAGAAGTCCCGTGCCATCGATGTTTTGAGCCCACGGCCTCGATCCAGGTATGGAGACCGGGGCCACTCTGCAGGCGGGAAAATGATAGACCAGATACGATGCCAGCGCCTCTTTTCATCCAAGTAGTGATCGTTAGCCCTTATCAATAAGGCCTTTTGGTCTTCAATGACCCCATCCGATGGGTCCGGGTAGCGCTTCTTGCATCCACCGTTCAAAATGTGATCATCGCGATCAATCAGCGAGTTGAAGCTCCGGTAGCATCTCGAACAATACGGGGATCGGGAGTGGTGTTTCATGACATGCTCAATAACACCCTCAATTGACTTTAGGCCGTTTCTGAGGAGGCATTGCTGGTGTTTTTCTGGGTCATAGATGTAAAAGGGACAAGCAAAATGAAAAAATGCCCTGGTACGGGGTGAATAAGAAACAACAACGAGCCCGTCATCATCAATGTCTTCTTCTTCCTTCACTTGTCTCCTGCTTGAATAGCGACGAGGTGTCCTAAATCGTTCCTGGGGCTGTAACCTGTCTTCTGGTGGCGCCATGTACTCTACCCCAGGCATCCATCGCCTGAACAAATCTTTCGAGAGCTGCAGTAGCCCCAGTTTCAGGTGATGGTATGCAGGATACAGGTCGTGAGAATTGGCCTCAGTTGATGAACCTTGCCATTCGTCCGATATGAGTGTGGCACACTGGCCGACAGCTTCACTATATCGATTGGCAACAGAGTTTTGGTAATCGCTCGCCCCAGAGTTTCTAGCCCCTCGTAGGCCGAGATTGGTGTGGTCAGATTGAGGCCGTTGCCTCATTGAAAGTCTGTAAAAGGATCTGTCGTCGCACATGGTTTTATACACCTGAAATCAGAAATAAAAGCTCATATAAATGTCGCGGTTGCTGGATTCTGATGAAGCGAAATACCTCTTCCCATAAGATATATAAACCAAAGTAATTTTACAAAGCATTTTCTTTTATCGTACCCAAATGAAACCCGAACAGCACAGCTGTGTATATCACTTCTAATTGGCAGTTTGACTGTACCCGAGGGAGGTCTTATTGGCCTGGTACCCACTAGCTGGAAGGCCTCAACAAGGCCGCAGCAGGTACTGTGACAAAATAGTTATCACGCTAGCAGGCTATGAAATGTAGAGGAGTGAACATTTATTCTGTCACTCTTGTGCTGTTTATGCAAAGTGTACCTGTGGTTCTCTCACCCGTTTGGCAACAAATAAATAGATCATTTCCGGCGAGTTTGGTTGAACTGGATCCAAACCATCATCGGCAGATAACATTTCCTTTCTGTCAGTAACTTGCCGCATCCTTTTGACGCATTAATCAATACTTGCCACTTCAGCTCAGCCTCTGGAAAAGGTTAGAGTTCTTTGTTCCAGCAGTTGGCAGGTCTGGATGTACATTAAAGCAGGGGTCTATCTAGGTGTTACGTTAGGCAAGCTCAGCAGTGGCAGTACCCAATATGACGACATTAACTTATGTCATCAGCTTACTTATAATAATGTGCTCCCCTTAACACGTAAGATTTGTTCAATCCTCTTGCTCGCCCAACCCTCACTTTGCTCAAGCCCAGTCTATCAGCAACAGCCCAATCCATGCTTGGGTTGGAGGCGCCATCCAACATTCGAAACTTCGTTCTTCCATGGAATTCCATTATTCATTTCATTTCTCTTCCATTCCACTCTTCTTACACGTACTGGTGGTTGGGACACCCAAGCGTTTATCACATCAGGTCTCTGGTGTACTTCGATGAGACTCGTAGACTTTTCTATTCTTGAGCCCCATTTTTGCGTACTTGAAAATACGAGACGGCGGTGGTTTGGTTTTGTTGAGACTAAAACCTCATCAAGAATGGCTCATGATACCCAGGTAAAGGGCGTGATGCAAGCATCAGCTGTCAGGTCAACCAACTTGGCTCATGATACTACTATAAAAACCCCGTCCGCTCTCTCAGTTTGTATTTATCCTCGCATAATACTCGTTAATCAATGAACTCAAAGACCAAGTAGAAATGATTCTCATCTCTCATCTCTTCGTCAACTTCGGTGCAAGTTCTGACTGAAGACGCAAAGGTGGGGCTGGTCTCACGGAGTAAATGCTAGAGGAATATACTTCAGTTCAGTTATCAATTAGGACACGTCGTTGCATATGCCCTTCGATAGTATTAGATACCATGTGCTACGTCATCCTTTATCACGATCGAAGCGTGTGAGAAGGCTGTTGCTGATGAAGAGGAGCCACTGGCTTTTTGTTAAGAGGATCCCCGACCAACTGAACTAACACCGCGAGATGTATCGCAGCGTGCCTGTTCCATAAATTTGGCCCCATTCGATATTAAGGTTGCAGGCTTCATTTAATGCTTCAGACGGATAACATTATAGATCATATAGAGAAATGCCACTTCATGGAAAACTCGGGGCCGGAGGCTTCAGGCGGTAAATCTGTCACCCATTGTATAGCTTTCAAAGTAACTTGTAAGTCTTAAATTACAATTTTGCCCTTGGAGCTCCACGAAAATAAGAGGCCAGCAGGTCTCTATTTGTTCCACTATAGGCTTTTTCCTCTAGATATAACAACTAAACATCGCCGTTTGTAGGGTCAGTTACGAGACCGTCATCCTTGAACTTATACCTATCTTCCAGATCCCAGTACTTATTGAATCCAACGCCTTCGCAAACTTCATTATATGAGAGAATCAGAGGCGGCTTTCCCACAGTCATACTCTTCTTAAGTTCTTCCAAGGTCTCGCGAATACTCTTGAGCTTGGCAGCAACAAGCGTCCAGGGGTATGCCACAGCACAGAATCCTAGTTCGGCAAGGTCCTTTGCCGACAGATTTTCGGTCTTTCCTCCTTCAATAACTAACACAATAAGTTAGCTCGAATAAAGACGATTCAACTGGAACAAGAGCCAAGGGACGTGACTTACTGTTTGCAAATGTGGGGATGCCAATCTCCTCCACACATCGTCGCATGGACTCACGATCGGGAAGAGCTTCAACAAAAACAGCATCGACACCGATTCTCTTGAATTCCTTGGCACGGCTCAGGGCCTCTTCCCAACCGTGGATCAGAGCATCTGTTCTCGCAAGGACAAAGATATCCTTGCCTTGATCTCGAGCGTCGCAAGCCGCCTGGATGCGGGCATATGCCTCACCACGAGAGACAACAGACTTTCCCTTCGTATGACCACAACCTGAGGCGGTTAGCTCTCCATCATCCCGGTAACATGGAGGGTATATCTAAAGACTTGCGCTTCGGCCAAGTTTGATCCTCAATCATGATTCCAGCCGCGCCAGCATGGGCATAGCTCTCCACGGTTCTTTTAACGTTGAGCGGGCTACCATAGCCTGTGTCTCCATCGGCCATGACAGGAACAGAAACTTGCCGAACGGTTTCTTGGATCTTATCGCACATCTCGGCCATTGCAATATAACCAGTGTCAGGCAGACCATAGGCACTAGATACAGAATATCCAGCAAGGAATATCATCGGGAAACCGGCTTCCTCGACGAGTCGCGACGAAAGACCATCATAGCTGCAGCAGTGGGCAAGGATCTTTGTAGGGTCGTTATGAGCTTCGAGCATCATAGTGCGGAGAGCTGACACCTGGACGGATGGGATCTTGCCGCGGACATTTTTCAGAGTGCCCGTTACATGCTCGATCTCTCCAGGTTTGCCAGACTTTTCCAGCGTTGGTGCCTTGAACTGGAAGGGGTAAGGGGTGGTGTTGACGATGGCCTTGGACATTATGACTAGGAGTAATTGGCATTGATATGTGATCTTAGAATGATGAGATGACTGAGGATGAACAATTAAATCGGGGATGTTGAATGGACATGTTATATACATGAAGCCCAGAAGAGTATGTAAAAGTGCGTCGCCGGCCGAGATTCGGATGTCCACGGAAAGTGCCGGATATTCATCTGCTTGGAGCATGCGCTGCTAGGCCCCCGGGATAGTTCTCAAAGAATCCGGGGTATGCGGGGACCCCGCATCTAAGATCGGGAAGGATCTCGACCCGGGATCAGATGCCCCCCTTTTTGCGAGCTGCGAACCTTGATTTCGGAGAATGGCGGGATCTGTCGATGATAGAGTCAAAACACCTTGAAAGTGATAGTCCATCTCTCGTCTACTAAAACCCACTCATGTCCTCGAGAAATATCCATCTTGAACTACTAAATCATCAGGCTTCCTCCACATCTAAAATTCACCTTTCGGTACAGCCTCATCTTTCGTCATCATGAATCGTTCAAAATCTGAGAATAAGATGTCCCTGGACGCAGAGGAACTAGAACATGCAGCAGAGCATCAGGAACAGCAACGTGTCGAAGTTCCCAAAGAGTCCAACGAGCGTATCAAGAATGCAGTAAGCTGGTGGTCGTGCCAAATAAAATGACTCTACTAACTGTTATCTAGTTTGATCGCCGACTTCTCCCCATTGTTTGCTGCTTGTACGTCCTATCTTATCTCGATCGAGGAAATATTGGAAACGCCAAAACCGCTGGTGCCAAGGAGGACCTAGGTCTTAGCGACTCTGAATGGGCCTGGGTCCTCAATTCGTTCTACATCTGCTACGTTTGCTTCGAGTGGACCAACCTATTTTGGAAGGTCCTTCCTGCCAGCAAATACGTCGCCACGCTTTGTGTGTGGTAAGCAAGCCTATCCCATGTTTGCGGATGACCATGCCATCAGTAGGCACTAACAGTCTGTTATTTATAGTTGGGGAACTGCAGCCATGTGCTCTGGTGCCGCGAAGAACCTTGGGGGACTCATTGCCACCCGAGCTCTCCTTGGTGTATTCGAGGCTGGATTTGGTGCTGGTGCACCATATTTTCTCTCTTTGTTCTACCGTCGTAAGGAACTAGGCTTTCGGGTTTCTCTCCTCCTAGGAATGTCCCCATTAGCCAATTGCTTCGCCTCTGCGTTGGCCTACGGCATCACCCATATCAGAGGCTCGATGGAGCCTTGGAGATACCTCTTCATCATTGGTACGTGGGAAACACGCTGGCAGCCCCCAGCGCACGCGCAGTTCTCTAGCTCGCAGCTTTCTAACTGGCTTGTTACTATAGAAGGTGCCCCAACTGTGGCTTTCTCCGTCGTGGCTTGGTTTTTCTTGGCAGATTCTCCAGATAAGGCCAAATACCTGTCTGAAGAAGATGCCACCTACGCTGTTGAGCGGCTCCAGGTCCGCGATCGCACCAAGAAGACTGGTGTTCGCTGGAACCAGATATTTGCTGGCCTGACAGACTACCAGAACTATATCCATACCGTCATTCATTTTTGCTGCAACTATTCTTTCGCAGGCCTTTCGAACTTTCTCCCGACAATTGTCCGCGATATGGGCTACTCGTCCGTTACTGCACAGGGCCTCACTGCACCGCCATACTTTCTAGCCTTTATTTGCTGCGTGCTGGCAGCTTTAATAAGTGATAGGTATGGCAAGAGAGGATACATTGTGAGCGGTAGCGCTCTTATTGGCTTTATTGGCTACCTCATTCTAGTCATTGTCCAGGATGAGTCTAAGAAGGCAACTCGCTATGCCGCCATCTTTCTAGCGTCCTGTGGAGTTTTCCCTGCACTTTGCATCAATATCACCTGGCTACTGAATAATCAAGGAGGAGACTCGAAGAAGGGTGCTGGACTAGCAATTTTGGCTACCTTTGGTCAATGCTCCTCCTTTGTTAGTAGTGTTGTCTTCCCCAGTTCTGATGGGTAAGTGTCTTTTACTCCAGTAGCTTCTTTCAAAGCTCATGCTTTGGCGTTCATAAACTAACACAATGCTTACACCAGGCCTCTTTACCTTCGGGGCACCGCCATTGGCTGCGGACTGACCGGACTCATTTCTATCCTTGGGTTAGGTCTCCACTTTGCTCTAGAGCGTGAGAACAAGAGAAGAGACCGTGAATATGGCCCCGTCGATGCCGATATGGCTGTTGATGTTACGGAACTTGGCGATAAGAACAAGAATTTCCGCTACCTCACGTAAAATGATGACGTGTTTCGATTTGTTGGAATGGGTGGAAGATTCGTCCCATCAAGTTTGCTTTACTCTAGGGTGTGATCCATGACATAGTTTAGTTACCCTGCACAATAGTAAAAATATTCGATCTTTGCGACATTGCAATCTTATGCCTGTCTTTTTTAATATTGGCTACACGATTCACAGTCACTACTAAGAGAGTCAACACGCATTCGACCTCTCTATCCGTATCTCTTATTCGCAAGCCATTTCCCGAGCCAGATTTTCGAGTGACGAACCCCAGTCAATCCCCCGCACGATGCCACGCTACGCTAGCACCTGTCGTCACCTGGTAGACATCCGTCGCAGAGGTATTTATATCCGTCACCATCCGCTACTTTCCGTCTCCCTTCCGATTCACAGGATCCTCAGACAATTGACCACTGGGCGACTCCCTTGACCCAGAAAAGCACCAATGGACGCTGACGCTCAAACCCAGTCCACTTTGGCCGGTAGTAATGGACCCTCTCGCGGACGACGTGTACGGGATTTCCGCCGGGGCTACCAGGCTTGCGAGTTGTGTCGGAAGAAGAAGATTCGTTGTGTCGTTGACAAACCTGGCGTGTCTTGCTTGAGGTGTCAAAGGGAACTCAAAGAATGTGTATTCAGCGATGAACGTTCTTATCGAAAGCGGAACAAGACCGGCAGCAGAAGAGGATCGTCGAAAGAAGGTATGTATCTATCTTGAGCCTCAGATCCCATGTCCATCGATTTACACTTTGCCACCCATCTTACTAACATGGTGATGTCTCCAACAAGCTCTCGGCTCACAAGATGGTACTACCAGAGAGAGCACCTCGCCAGCTCCAGCCACTCTGAGCCAAGATGCATCTACTCAAGAGCCATCGCAGCTACTCAGCAACAGCGAGGATTTGACCTTGCCTCCACAGAATTACCCAGATCTTCCTTTATCTGTCAGCAATGCACTGGCGCACGATCTCTCTCAACCTCGGCATCAAGCTGTCATGGACGAAACTTCACCGTCTACCAGCTCTGCGGGACCTGCTGGTGACCTCACAGTAACGCTTGTTTCGAACGGGAACGACGCACTGCGGCTTTTGTTCCAGCCTGCGATCGAACACGCCAACAAGGATGGTGCTACTAATCCAGGTCCCGTTTCACGGCATACACTGCACCATACCGGAGAGATATCGAGTCCTGGGACAACTGCCTCTATCAGGACATCCTCTTTTCCTACCCCTCCCAATCCTTTGACGATATGGCGGTCATTCCGCTTTGTCAAAATGGGCTGGTTCACAGCCGAAGAGGCAGTCAACTACGTTGATTTGTAAGTGTCATCATTGAAGACGTGAAGACGGAGTGAAAGATAGAATGATTAATTGCCGCATCGCTAGGTTTCAGCAGAATCTAGCGCCACTGTCTCCGGTATCCAAAGGCTTTGACCTGAGCCATGAAAGACACTACAAGCTCATCACACAAGAGCCTCTACTCTGCTGTGTGATTTTGATGATTTCATCCCGGTACCACCTCTTGGGAGGTCACGGTGGTCTGGCTAGAAGCACCATTATCCATCATCGATTATGGGAGCATTGTCAGCATCTCGTCATGAGAATCATCTTTGGCCAAGAAAAGCGATCCAAGGCGAAAACAAGAACGAGAGGCTCTATCGAAGCTCTTCTGCTGATCATAGAGTGGCACCCACAAGCGATACACCTACCACCGGCTTCAGATGGCTGGGACTCATCTATCCTGCTCACAGAGTCGGATCCTCGGGATGATCAGTTCGGTAATCAGGCAGACGCCACTGATGACAATCAAGCCCAGTGGCTCAGAGACGTTATCCTCCCCGCCAAGACTTCTGATCGTATGTCTTGGATGCTCCTAGGCTGTGTGCAATCTTTGGCTCTTGAACTTGGGCTCTGCGATGATGGCGAAAGAGCTGATATGTCTACACAGCCACCAGGATTCAAAGCAGAGCAGACACGATTGCGCGATCTGCTCTATATCTTTCTAGAGCAGCAATCCAGTCGACTAGGATGCCCTTCTATGATGCCTACTTCTGTCTCACGCTTCATGTCAGATCCTTCCAGACGATACGTACAGGGCGATTCAGCCATAGTGACAGCATGGCTCGACTTGACCAATCTTACACGAACCGTCATTGATGTTCTGTGTCCGTCAGCCGCAGGAATTCGAGAAATCCTTAGTAGCTGCAGATACGTGAACATCATCAAACACTTTCAGAAACAGCTAGCGGGGTGGAAGACAGCCCACCTCAGTCACGAGAGTGCGCACATGCCTTCTTCTTTCCGAGACGATCCTGTACTAACCTTTTGTCGCTTCAGCTTTATCTTCTCACGCATACGAAGACTTGACTATTGAGTTTAATTATCTCCGGGCTTTCATGAATTCATTTGGCATCCAAGCCGCCGTTGATCGAGTCATTGGTAGGAGGCCGCCAAACTCGATCGATACCGACGTTCTTCAGTCGTCCATCACGGCAACAGACTATTCTTTCATCAAAGAAGTCATCGACTCATCATGCCAGGCTCTCCAGTCAGTCAATAGGCTATTCGAGGCTGGTACGCTCCGGTATTGTCCTGTTCGAGTGTTCCTTCGCATTATCATGGCTTCTATCTTCCTTCTAAAAGCTCTAAGCCTTGGAATCCGTACAACAGATCTAGAAACGTCTCTTGGAATATTGGAAAGAAGCATCCAAGCTTTGAGAAATAGTAGTCTCGACGAGATGCATTTGGCTTCGAGGTATGGAGAGTTGTTGGACATGCATCTGGAGAAGTATAGGCAAAGCATGGTCCCAACTTCGATTCCTCGAGGAATTCATCCAGTGGACCCAACCTCCCAATGGATATTCGACAACAGCGTACCGCAAGGAGACGGTGCTCTAGGAGATTTGCCGATGCCAGCTGTGGATGACTGGCTTGCCCTACCGTTTGATCCTAGTATAGCTCCGTTCGGCTTCGCCACTGATGACCCCGACATAGCCGAGCCAGAAGACAGGTCTTGGGATTTCTTGTGGAGCTTACCAAACGTGTAATTCTCTAATTCTATCACCACCATTATATAGCACAAACCGAGATACAGCTCTGGTTATAGGCTATATTATAGGGTAGAAATAGGGCTTACGTAGATACTGTAAGCTGGAGAAAAAAAGCAAAAGGAAAACTTATTACGGAAAGATCTCTTGAAGAAATACAAGTTAATCCCGGCCGAGGCACATGCTCTAAGAACCTCGCCTAGAATCAAATGGATTGTCTCGCAGATTCCTATATCGGCTGATTACCTTATTGCCAGGGTACGCAGAACCAACAGGCACAGAACCAACAGGCACACAAGTACGACGGCATGAGTCACGCTATCACTTTATCCTCGCGTCTTATTTTCTCTTCTTGCAACAAGTCAATTCCTTAAGAGATAGACGCAATGGAGATCCAACTTGCACATTCCAGCGTGACTAGGCAGATCATTATTTTCCCTATACTCATCATTGTCTTCATCGCCATAAGCCGCTCAGCGCCCAATTACAGCCCCTTTCTCATACATCTACATGATGCCCTGACCGAGTTTAGCGCTGGAGGTCAACTCACGCTGGAGCTCTTCGCTCCTTTATCCGCAACCCTGGGGCCGTCTCAACCAACAGTGGAAATTCTTACTAGCACGTGTCGGTTTCCATGGGCCTTAGTCGCCGCTGCATTCTTTCAGGTATCAAAAATGGACGACTTTTTAACAGCAGGAAGCCTCTACAAGGAATCAGTGCTATATTGTTTGTTCTTTGGTACTGTCATGTTCTGGTCTGACCTCATTGGACCTAACCATATTCTTGCACTGGTATCCAACTCCTTTCCTTTGGCGTTACATCAAAAGAGATCATCACTGATGGCCCACTAGCTCAGTAACTTGTCAGATGGGTGTTTGATCCTGGCTCTTATAGCATCAATTACCTCGCCAAATCATCCCCGATGGTTACGAACACTGTTTTTTCTCGGTCTTGGTGAAGCCTTGGTTCTCATTAGCTATGTGCTAGGTTGCAACGAGCTAGATGCGGTTATAGTCTATCTTCTATGGAGTCTCGCTCGAGTGAGAAACATGGCTGGGAAAATTGCAGACATCAGATACTCAATACTGAGCCTGGCCCATATACCTTTTCGCTGACACGACTCTTAATGTACAGTACTATTGATAGCTTAGTGGCTGATGTACTATTTTTATCAGTTATATAAAGTAATATGAGGTGACAAAAAGTTACAGTTTTGACGCAGTGACAGGTTACAGCACTACCTCCTTAGAGGTAGAGGCAAATGCATTCTCAACCCACTAGGTATTTACTAAAATCCTACTAGTGCTGACAAGCTAGTTATGTCATCCTCAAGCTCTTCCTCAGTTTGCTCATTAAAAAAAGCATAGAAGCCAAGAAATTCCTCCACATCCTCATAGACATCGCTGTACCAGTCTTCATCATGAACTCCATATCTCCATTTCCACTGCTCCTTGTCCTCATTCCGGCAGTATATCGCGTATGAGCCACCCCAACTGCGGGGACCACCACCAATCTTGAATGCTATGGCAATTTCCCATTCTTCCCAGATCCACGTGAGTTGGTTGTGTTCCCCGTATCCTGTATCATTCCGTATTGGCACACAGACAGCCTCCATCATGTCCTTCATCTTTTCGCGCTGGAGAGGGGTGATGAAGTCGAAATGAGATGCTTCTCGATGAAATGGCAATCCCGGACCTGTGATGCCACTAACGAGTGTGCAGAGGTACTCCAAGTCTGAGGGGGGGAATTCGGCAACCTCCACACCCCTCTCTGCAATGCTTGCCTTGAGGCCGGCGAAGTATTCTCATCTTAGCGAGGGGTCGACTGGATCGTCATCCACACCGTCGAGCGAGGCCGACGAGATCAATGAAGAGATAATACTCACATCAAGGACATCTCGTGGCGATGTGATAGACTCAGGAACTCCTACGAGTTCTTGGATGGCTTGCATTCGTAGTCTCTGTGCGACCGATTCTGGACAGTTCCACGGAGCAGGCTGGGCTTCCACCTTCTCTACTAGAGTACGGAGCAAGAATGAATTGTGCTGTAATACCTTTTCACGGTACTGGCGAAGAGCGACTGCGATCTGTTGGCGTCTCGCTTCATTCATGTTGAGTGCGTGTCTGACTAACTAGGAAATAAATAATATAAATAACTTATCTTTAAGTATTAATAACTTAGAAGTTAAATAACTTTATAAATAGCTTAGGAATATTATTAATAAAATAAATAAGACATATTAAAGACTAAAGGGGTTTATAATCTTATAATAATAATAAAACAAAAGTATATAAAATACTTAATAGGAAATATATAATATAGCCTTAATAATAAATACTAAGAAAGATTATAAGGAAATCCTTAATCTTAATTTACTTAAGCCTTTTAATAAAATTATTAATAACCTATTTATACTTTTAATATAAAAATAAATATTTATTATATATTACTTAAATTAATTTTATTATAACTTTATAAAAGTTATATCTGTAATAAGAAGGTTAATTAAAATTATAACTTAGTAGTTTTAATATATTATAAATAATTATATTTAAAACTTATTTTATATCTTAAAACCCTAAATTATTATAATATTTAAAAAAAAGAATTAAAAAAATCTTAAATTTAAGGAAATACTTAAAATAGCCTTTAAAATAATTAATAATAATAATTAGCTAAATAAAAAATTAAAAGTCTTAAAGTTAGATTTTTAAGAAAATTTATTATTTATTTTTATAAGCCTTTTTATTATAAAAGATTACTTTAACTTTTATATCAACTTAATCTCTTTCTTAAAATAGCCTTTAGAAATTATTAGCTTTTTATAATAATAATATGTAAATAAAAAGATCTTATAATTTAAAATAACTTATTTAATAAAAGTAATAATATTTTTTTTATTTTAAGCTTTTTTAATTTTTATTATTATATTATAAAATTTATTTTTATATTTATAATCTTTAAGAGTTATTATAAAATAAAAAATTAAGTTAGGTATTTTAATATAAAAGGCCTTATTAAATAGCTATAGGCTTTTTTAAAATATTATAATAATATAATTATAATTTTATTAATAATTATAATTAGAAGTTAGGTTAAATAACTTATTATAAAATAAATACTTAAAGTATAGTAATAGAGGTTAATAAAAGACCTTTTAGGTAGGCTATAGGAAGAAGGTTAGTATTATAATTTATGCCTGTAATAGCGCTATAAGGCTCTATAAGCAGCTAAATATATTACTACAATTACTACAATAGCAGTTATAGCCTGATCTTTTGCCCTGTGGCGTAGTGGTTAGGTGCAGCCGTTATATAAATAATATTTAAGAGCTTTAAAAATTATAAATATAGAAAAATCCGATATTATTAGGCAATAAAATGGTATCTAACTAATTAGAGTATGCACCTTATTATAATATCTATCCTAATATTAGGGTAAAGGTGCCTAGCTTTATCCGATATCTAATATATATTATATCAGATATAGCAGGATAGCATATCAGGATAGACAAGTCTGGACAACGGCTCCCAAACTTCGACTTAAACTCGGCCTGATAACTCAAGGAGGTGCCAAAATATCAAGCCTAACTCTATCCTCACTCGGAATCTCAATAGAAGAACTGTCTCTTCTCCTATCGTCTGCGCCTGTCAAACGACAACGATCCCCGCCATCTCTGTCTTCCCCGTCTTCCCCGTCTTCCCGAAACTCCACTGCGTTTCCAACAAAAGACGGAACCAACACCCTCGCCATTGTCTCAGCGGGTGGTGGCAACGGAATAATGTTCTTCCTATTAACCCAATCTGGCGTGCAGAGTATTTTCTCATCCACCATCCTATACAACTGAGTGGCCCTCAACCCTGCGCAGAGGGCAGCATACGTCACGGACGCGTGTCTTCGATTAGTGGTAGGTGCTTTTAAAACCATTTTCCTCACCAGTGGGAGCATTGCAGCAAGGAGTGTGACAGCAAGACATGTCACGGGTATAGCAATGAGGGAGGAATAAGATATCGCTGTGACATCACCCGTCAACATGACAAAGTCCGCAGACCCGGGAAAGAGGTCACCGTTCGCGGATTCGAGGATGTTGCTCATTCCTGCTTGTGGGCCCAACAGCGCAGTCTCGCGGAATACCTCACGGGAGCTAAGATAAGCTGCGAGGACCAGCCTGTCAAGGTCGTCTTTTAGCGTCGAGGACGCACAGTCCAGGAGTCCTGTCCCCCAATACCAGCGACGGATTTAAGCGCCGCAGGTCCAGCTAATAGGATTATATTGGTAAGTACGGGAATGGAGAATTTGCCCATGACAATTATGCGGAGGCCCTTGGGGAGAGGCGTTTTTTTGATGCCGTCTACGGATGTACAGGTTTTGTGTAGGCAGAGGAGGGATTCTTCCCAACAGGACATGGCTGGGCGACTGGATTTGATGCGGTACCCCAGGAACCCCACAGTTTCCGAATTGAACGGTTCGGTAAGGTACCATGGATCTGTACTGGCCGTGATACTCCCGGCGTGTGCGAGTTGGGGGATCAGGGCAAATGAGCGGTTCGTGATCGTCAGGTCCTCATCCGAGGGGTGGTATTCAATCCCCATGCTTGGCTGGGTCCACAAAGCGGTCATGTTGTCGGTTGGGTCTAACAGGATTGGCTCCACGGGGTCGAGGTCGAATGGAACGTATCCGTTAAACCGTGCTGGGTCTGCAATGTCTGGGACAGGACGGAGCCAATTATATTCGGTGCTGCAGGATCCCTGGACTTTATGCGAGAACTCCAAAGGGGCTTGCAACCCGAACTCCCTTGCGGTGATGGTGTACCGGTAATCGTACCGCTGCCGTGGGTGAGTCGCATTGCTACCCGGCAATGTCGTCTTCACTGTATCGACGTTCTTCCTCGCAGTCACGTCCTTAAACGCCTCTGTGCTCCCCAGTGCACGCAATATGGCGGGGGCGTTCAGCCGATTGATACGGATGCTTGATGACGATGCGATGTCTTCAAGCTCGGGGAGGAAGACGGATTTTGGGTGGACTGGCGCAGCAGGGCCAAGGGACATGGCGTTGGGAATGAATATCGATGCGGCAATTCCGCCAAAAGCGATGGTCGCGGAGAGGAGGAAGAGGATGATGCCGTGGAATTTTTCTGGTCGGGACACTCGCCCGTTTCCGCCGTTAATGATGGCCTGGCAGAGGAAGGCCCCCATCGTGGTTGTGGCTGTCCAGGGGTTGCTCGAGTTCCAGAAGGCGACTAAAGCGACATAGCGTGCGCGACCCGCATCAGCGCCCCGGAACGCGTGGCAGAGGAGAACGAGGTTGGCCAAGAACTGCCATAGACTCGCGAAGATGATTTGGATGAGGATGGAGTAGGTGGCGATGAGGATGGGGAAGTTGGAGGATTTTATGGAGATGGCCGGGACGCCGCCGGCTTTCGTAGGTAGAGTGAAGAGGGTGCCAAGGCTGTAGGTGTTTGAGGGGGGGTTGGTGTAGACATCCATGAGCTTTATGTTTTCTATGAACCAGATGAAGCAACGCAGGAATTTTATCGGCGAGGAAGACTATTTGGATGAGGATGGAGTAGGCGGCGATGAGGATGGGGAAGTTGAAGGATTTTATGGCGATGGCCCGGACGCCTTCGGTCTTGGTTTGGTGGGGGCGGAAGGGAGTTGGTGTGGACGCCCATGAGCTTTACGTTACCTATGAACCAGATGAAGCGACTAATCGTCAGGGAAAGACCAATCCTAGCCTTATCCCTCAGGCCCTGCCAGCCGGAGGCTATGATAGGGCAGAAACCCTTTGTTAAGGCGAGAGGGCGCCTCTTTTCATGCCGCTGGAATCAATCACCACCAGAGCGTTTGAGCAGCCCAAATCACGCCTAAGGCTTGCCGTTTTGAGCTATGCACGGTCTCTTTATCTGGTCTGCACAGGCGTTTAATCACCACGGTTAGAAGCCTCAAAAGCCCCTTCAGCCCGTCGGAAGCAACAAAATAGTGTCCGATAATGTACACTAACCACATGAGATATTCAGCCGGCCAGTTGCCCTAAGCTGGCGATGGAACTAGCCCGACCTGGCATCTGGACGGCTGCCATTTGTGGGATAGTGCATATTATAATTGTTGGGAGAAGGCTATGATGATGGGAAATATCTACTGGATTGACTATAAACTGCGTATCTAAGGAGTGACTGGTTGAAGCGCTTTGGGTGCTCTATCTACATGATAAAGAGTGGCTTTATCCCCACAGCAGTCTCAGACGACAGTATGGAGTAGGCAGCAGGGTGATAGTAATGGATTAGTGTGATATCGATGTGATAGTGGCACATCTGCCTCGACATTCATACCAAGACGCATCTGCCCGAAAACCTCTAATTTAGCTCAACGTGAATATTAAACTATTGATAAGATAATTATCCTCAAAAGGACCTTTTCAAGGTCCCTATTCTTGTACCTACTTGTCTAGCCTGGCTTTACGCAGTTAGCGAGCTGAGGTGGAGGGTAGCTTTCGGGAAGTGCCGCTTGGCTCGGACTTTGTTGTAACTCTTGTGCAAAGATTGGTCAAACACGATAGAAGGACTTAGGTAGGAAGCGTTGGCTCAAACTAGATGGACGTGCGGTCATGCTGTTCTCTATTTATATGCCTGGTATCCCGCAAGTGCCGCGTTATTAAGTGACAAATTCTTGAATAATTATAAGCTCAACCGTTGGCATAATGAATCCGACAGGGTCTATGTCGACTGCGTTGATGCTAGCACCTGTTTCCAGTGCCGCGGCAAGTGTATCCACCTCCGCAATGACGTACGAATATTAATAAGAGAACAGTGAATTGGGTGGGTATATGAGAGAGCTGGTTGAAGCACAATTAACCGAATATATCGCGCAGATGTTAGCGGATGGTGGGTGAACTTGGACATTGGCTCAAGCAGACGCAAAAACGAGGATGGATGACTGCTAATGTCATCCATGTGCGTCTGGGGGCCACATATATGGTGGGATTCCGAGAAAGCCTTGGGGTTTCCGCGCTATGACCGGGAGCTGAATATCTGTCTCAGCCACAACTGAGGATGTGCAAAAGACCGGAACATCATAGTATGAAACATAGGACTAGGCTCGGGAACATAGCCGAGCCTAGAGCCGAGCCTAGTCAGCCCTCGATAACGCCTACTACTACTACTACTACTACTACTACTACTACTACTACTACTACTACTACTACTACTACTACTACTACTACTACTACTACTACTACTACTACTACTACTATACATAGGACCATTAGAATCCCGCCGGGTTGTTGACTTTTCATCCGTGCTAACCCTACTATACTAATTACCACTGGTAATAGCACTATTTTTTCTGGCCTGTGTATTATTCTTTTAATCTTGAGTTATGGGTTTAAATACTGAAATTACTCGGCCTGTATGCCTTTACTTGCTTATATAGTATACATTAGTATATTAATTCCCTATTACTATAAATAAGTAGGAAGAAGTAGCTTAGTTAACTTAATTCTAAAATAAAAGAAAATATATTATATAATAATATTATATATAATGGAATAATTAAATTTAACTTAGCCTAGATACCTATTATTTTCCTAAAAAAGAAAAAAGCTAAAAATAGCCTTAGTTTAAATTATCTTCCTTATATTTATAATATTACTATAATGCTATTTATTTTATTTTAAAAGTATCGCTTTACTATATAACAAGTATTAGGGCTACTAAAGGGGTAAATATTAAAGTTTATTTCTTCTTTAAGTAAAAAGAAAATAGCCTAATTAATAGCTATTTTAAATTTTAATATAAATCCTATTAAACCCCTTAAAACGGCTTACTTAACTAGCTATAATTATAAAAGCCCCTTAGTATAAACTAATTATATAAGGCTTTATAGCAGAGAGTTAAATATATATTAAAAGAAGTATAAGACTATTAATTATTTACTAGTATTTATAATAGGCTAATAAGTATAAATAAGTAACTTAAAAGTAACTTAATAAGTTACTTAATAATATAAGAGGATAATTATAATATAATAATAAGGAAAATTAAATAAGTAATTATTAGCTATTATATATTTTCTTAATTATATAATAATATATTTTACTTTATAAATAATATTAATATTAAGTAATTATTTAGTAAATTAGCTAGCTTTATAAGAATAACTAAGACTTAATAAAGAAACTTATATTATATATTTATTTTTAAAAGAATACCTCTTATTATATTATAAGTATTACTTATAATAAAACTTCTTATTGTATTTTATTTTAAATATTAATAAGTTACTTTATATATAATAATAAGGAATATATAATTTTTATATCTAATATAATTAAGTTAAGGTAGCTAGTTATAAGTTTATAAGACTTATTCTTAATTATTAAATATTTAAAAAAGGCCTAAGTATTACTTTAACTAAATGCCCTTTTTCTGTCCTTATAGCCTTATAAATGTTAGTATTATAAATTACTATATAAATTATTCTTAGTAAAGCTCTAATTATAACAGATATCTGTAATTATATAGGTAAAAAGAGATAGTAGGTAGGGCGCAAGAGGCAGTATATATAGTAATTCTTTATATTAAATAAGGCTAAAATAAAGAAGTAATTAAAAAAGAAATATACCTCTTATTAACCTTCTTTATCTAAATCTAATAAGTAGTTTAATTAAATAAAAAGAAAAGTAATAAGCTAGCTATTAAATAAGTAATAAAAAAGAGCTTTAAAATTATACTTTAAACTTTATCTTTTAAAAATAAGAAATAAAGTAAGTTAAAGATTAATAATTTAAAGAGAGCCTTTATTAAATAAAGGTTTATAAAGCACCTTTAGTAATATATAAAAATATTAAAGATTTATATATTATATAAAAAGAAATATAAAGATTTAAATTTTATATTATATTAGGTATTATTTTTAGAAAATACCTTAAAGAAATACTTATTATTTTAAAATTAACTTAATTTTTAAAAATAATAATATAAAAATAAAAAAGAAGTTTAAAAAAGCTTTAAAAAGCTTTAATAAGAAATATAAAACTTAAAGAAAAAGTTAAATTAATTATTAAAGCCTTAAGTATTAATTTTAAAAATAATAACTGCCTTTTTAATATTAAATAATAATTACCTTTTATAAGATTTAATTATATTAGATTTTAAAATTATAATTTATATTCTCTAAACTCATTAATCTACAAGTATCTATTTAGACTTCCTCGACAATCATACTCTTCTTTTCATCCTGCATCATAGCCGACACTAACCCAGTGATTTCAGAGCCAAATGCTTCCGCCATCGCATGATCAAAGACCGTCTCATCATACATTACTTTCAATATGGAAGTATCACCAAAGGACTTCGATACCTCCACAACAAGCGCGTATGGCTGATACATTCGCACCTTTGACTTGGCCATGACAAGCCATCGATTGCGGGTTGTCTGGTCATCCAAGGGAACTGGGTCGAATGGCTGTGACAGGAACAAGACTTTGTTCCCATGAGCCTTGCGAGAAACACCCAGTGTCTGGTAAACATCGTCAAGTCCGACTAGACCATTCTCCGTGACGGCCCAGAAGTCCTCTTGCAACCTCACAAGAAGATCCGACACCTTCTCAGTCGAGCTAGTTCCTGTCCAGATCGGCAAAAAGTTGGCTAGTGTTCCGTTGATAGACTGAGGGTCAGGAAGTGCCACGTTTCGTCCGCTGAGGAGATAATCGTAGCGAACATTGTCACTCTTGGTCGCCCTAGCTAACCAAAGTGTGAAGGCCGCCTGGAAGATAATGCTGGGGGTGACGCCATAGTTCCTTGCCACTTGATCAATGCCACGTGTATCCATCGTCATCTTGAAGCTGGCAGTGACTCGAGGTTCAGTCACTCCACTCAGATCTCGGTCATAAAGAACCTGAGATGCTTGGCCTGCTTTGGCAAACTTGTCTTTCCAGTACCCAAGCGCCATTGGTTTGTCTTGCTCAAAGACATGTTGAGCAAAATCACGGAACTCAACGCGGGGAGGCACTGGTTTGCCTTGTAGAATGTTCTCGAAATGTTGATCAAAGACACGTAGAAGGGTTCCGTCGTATACCGCATGATCCATCTTGATGACCAGGTCCCACGAAGAGTCTGAATGAGTGATGATGGCATATTTGATGAAAGGGCGACCGAACTCAAAGCGTGCTTGCCAGAAGTCCTCGAGAAAGTTGGACATCTCCTCATCCGAGTCCAGGGCGATAGTTGTGACTTTGAGCTGCGCATCGCGAAGAACAACTCCTACCCAGTTCCCAGGAGAAGCCTCTAGCCAAGTCGTGCGTAAGATGTCGTTGGTTTCCGTCAGTTGCGTGGTGGCCTTAATCCAAGCATCAGGTTCGATAACACCAGTCATGCGTCGCACGGTCTGGAGCACCCACATCTGCGAGTCTCGACCACCTTGTTTCAAGAACTCTGCTTGGCCGGGTGGGCAAGGATATGCTGTTGAGTCACATTTCAGTCAGCCTTTTATGTTCCATACATTGAATATTCAAAGGAAGTAACTTACCATATTCAACATCATCATCCCACGTTAGCCCAGACTCTTCAGCAGCCTCCTTGACAGTTTCTGGAACTTTGAAAACCATCTTCTTGCCTCCTGCTTCTGTCTCCAATCTTCGCATCGTAGAAGCCATGTCCCTAAGTTTCGGAGATTGGAGAATATCGAGTACTGTAAGATGATAGCCCAGTTTGCGAAGATGACCAGTGAGGCTGATTGCCGAGATTGAATCGCCTCCCAAAGCCAAGAAGTTTGCCTCACGCCCAATTCTATCAGTCGGCAAACCAAAGATGTCCGACCAAACCGATTCCAAAGCAATCTCAGATAGAGTCTCTACCGGCACGATGGTATGGCCTTGGCTTGGAGACTCAAGCACGCATTGTGCTAACAAGTCCCGATCGAGGTCTTCTAGCATCTTCTTCAATGCCTTGCGGTCAACCTTTCGGGAAGATAGCTTGGGAAAGTCGGCCATGGGAATGACAAACTTGGGGATCATATAAGTTGCCAACGATCCAAGTTTCTCGTGCAGGCTCGTAAACGTGTCTCTCAGTGTGGAAGGGTCGAGGATGCCAGTGCTATCTATTTCAGCCGCAAAATCATGGTTGAAGGTACAGAATGTAACTAGGTGGACCTTATCATGAACCTTGGCAGCCACAGCAATCGAATCCTTGACAAGACCAGAGTTCCGAATGGAATTCTCAACCTCTCCAAGTTCGATACGATGACCATGAATCTTGACCTGGTTATCCTTGCGACCAAGACACTCGATCTCACCATCAGGTAGCCATCGTGCCAAATCCCCAGTTCTGTAGATTCGGACTCCAAGCTGAGCGCTATCGACGTATGCAGCGGTCGTCAGCTCAGGACGATTAATGTAACCATCTGTTACCTGAGGCCCAGCTATGCACAGCTCTCCGACGGCACCGTAAGGCTGTAGTGTCTCGCCATTTGGATCAAGGATGAAGGCCATGACGGTATCAAACGGAGCACCAATATTACCGACAACATGGCTGTCGGAAAGTGACTCGATCCCCTTGGTAGTTACCACCATGGATGTCTCTGTTGGTCCGTAGACGTTCAAGATGTTGCAGTGTGGTGCCCAAGTCTTGATGACATCTGGAGTCAGAGGTTCACCTCCAACGATCAGTGTCTCAAATCGTGGGACATCGGCTGGGTTGAGTAATTTTGCAACAGTTGGTGTGATGATAGCCTGATGGACATCCATTCGGTTGATACAGCCTGCAATGTCGGAGAGTAAGACGTCTGTAGGGGCCATGCATAGTGTGCCGCCACTGCTAAGAGTGTTGAAGAAATCTTGAACCGATGCGTCAAATACGTAGTTGGCGAACTGCAAGGTCCTCCACACGCCTTGGTGGCGACCTTCAACCTGTACCATGCTTGTAACGGCTGCAGCAGCAGTTCTGTGCGGAACCTTGACGCCCTTGGGGAGTCCTGTGCTTCCGGAAGTGTAGATGAGATATGCGAGGTTGTTTGGAGTATGATGGACAACAGGGCAAGAATCTGTATCCTCGCCTCTCGAATTGGTCGACCTCAAATCTTGGTAGCCTTTCATCACCAGTGTCTCAACCCCAAGTGATTCCTTGACATGATCACCAAACTCGACGTACCCAGGATGGACAACAATGAGTTTTGCTGCCGTATCAGACACAATATAGGAGTTTCTATCCGTGGGATTGTCGGGGCTCAAAGGAACGTACGCTGCCCCAGCAATCATTGTACCAAGAATGACGACCATCATATCAACTGATTTGTCAAGCATGATGGGCACAAGATCCCCCGGTTGTACTCCAGCGTCGATGAGGGTATGAGCAAACCGATTTGCGAGTTTGTCTAGGGCTCCGTATGAGATGGTTGTCGTGTTGTCAAAGTCAATGGCGATAGCATCTGGAGTCTCTTGTGCAATTCTCTTGAATGCGCTGTAAAGATACTCTGGTTCTGGAACGCGGAGTCTCATACGGTTGGAAAGTTGGTTGAAGACCAGATCATATTCGGCAGCACCCATGATGTTGGTAGACGAAAGGATGGAATCGGGCTTTTCGCAGAAAAGGTCCAAAACCTCGATAAAAGAATCTTTGATAAATCCCAAGCGTCGAGGGTCCATGTTGCTTGAAAGTCGAAGCATGGTAGAACTATTCTGGCCTTGTGGCTCTTGAACCTCCAGAACAGTCATGCCGTGTCCAGACTCCCACTGAGGCCTCGGGCCACGCATCTTGAAGACCTCATGGGACTTTCTTGGTCTCTCGGTATTGTTCGCGTCAATCAAGATGTTGACGAGAGTGTCGATCTCTTGTGCACCAATGTCACCCGCTTTAAGCGCTGCGGCGATACCGACTTGGGAATGCTTGAGTAGTTGAGAAAACGCAGCGACTGTCTTCTTAGCCACGTCCCTAAGGGAAGATTCGGTATCGAGTTTGATCCTTTGTGGTACAGTGCTCATAACAGGTCCATCAAGATCATGAATACCAACGACAGGGGCTTCTCTTCCTGAAACAGTGGTTGCGAATGTGATGTCATTGGTTCCCATCTGTCGAGAGAGAACGATGGCCCAAGCGCTGTAAACTACTGCTCCGAGAGTCAACCCAACACTCCTAGAGCGTGTGGTGAGACTGTAGCCAAGATCGAACTCGAGTTTGCTAGTGTTGTACAGCTGGTTGCTGTTCAGCTTGAGTACTTCAGCTCCTTCGAGATACCCGGACCAAAATGATGTGCTGGCTGAAGACGACTCTTGTTGCAAATGTCGAATAAACCGGCTTAGGCTTGGGCGTTGAGGAATATCACTGCCCGTGTAGACTGCTGCTACATCATCATACAGGAAACCGTGAGACCAAAAGTCGAACAGTGAGTGGTGCATTGTCACGACCAGAGCTTGGTCTGATGTGAGAGTTGCTTTCCAAAGAGGCTTTTCAATGTCCCATTGATGAGCACTACCCCTTTCCTGGAAGGATTCTAGTGTCTGTCGACTCTCAAACCATGGGAGCTCCAGGTTGGTCCTTATTGTCTGCACAAAGGACTGTTTGTATGGAACAAACACGGTTCGCAAGATCTCGCGAGACCTGAACACCTCTTCAAAGCTGCTTCTGAGTCGGACAAGATCAAGTTGACTAACATCCCAAGTTCGAGAGTAAGTGTATGGATCCGAAGGTGAGTTGACTGACACCAACATAGATTCTTGGAATGGCGTAACAGGATAAGCGTCGCTGATACCATCGCTCTCCTTCAACTCTGAAAGCAGCTTCTCGTCCTGGAGGAGTGAGAAAGGCTCCGGGTCTTGCTTATCATCCGCACCAAGAGTCTGAGATCGAGTAGCAACGTCTTCCAGAGAGACGTAACCAAGTAGGTCACCGAGTTTGGTAGCTAGACCGTGTTCACGTAGCTCTGACACAACGCGTATGGCCTCAATGGAAGTTCCTCCAAGGTCAGTAAAGGAATGGGATCGGCGAACGACAGAAATGTCAATCTTTAGAGAGTTCGCCCACACAGATGCAATCTTTTCTTCAACATCGGTCAGCATATCGTCCGCATTTTCCGTATTGCCCAACTCCATGAGCTTGGCAAAGCCGGCGAACCCGAGCTCTTTAGCTTGACTGCGCAGCAAGTGATAGTTGAGCTTGCCATTTCCATTCCTGGGTACCGACTCAAGAGGAATCCAAAGAGTAGGCGTCATGAAGACTGGCAGGTTGGCACGGAGATGGTTCCTCGCTGCATTGACTGCATCTCTGAAATAAGCAGCATCGTCGACCACAACACCGGTAGCCAAAACTTGACGGTCTTCAATCTTAACCGAAAAGGTCACAGCTCCCTTAATAGCGTCGATTGACACTAAAAGACGGTCGACTTCCGCAGGTTCGACCTTTTGCCCATTGATCTTGACCTGCATATCGACGCGTCCTTCAATCTCGATTTGTCCATTTGGAAGCCATCTAGCCTTATCACCAGTCCGGTAAAGCTTTCCAGGACCGAATGTGTTGGCGATGAATGCTTTCTCGGTCAATCCTGGCTCGTTTATGTAGCCTTTCGCAAGCTGCGGACCGGCGAGACAGAGCTCACCGAACACAAGTAGTGGTGAGAGCTCAAGGCTACCATGACGAAGGATGAAGACGCTGGTTGTGTCAACTGGCGGGTCCAGTATGCGAGGGTTCGGAACGCGCCCATCAACTGTAGCGAGTTGTCTTCCAAAGTTGAGCTGCGTACATTCACTCAACCCATAGGTATTCCTCAGTGTAAGGCCCTTGACAGAAGACCAAGTGTTCACAAGCTCTTGAGGAGTTTGCTCACCCACGAGCGTGATGCTTTTGAGATTGGGGACATCCTTGGGCGACAGAAGGGACAGGGCAGAAGGAGTGATTCCGAGGGCATCTACCGAAAGCCCGTTAATGACTCCTGCGAGATCCCGAGTGAGGGCCTCTTTGGGTGCCAACACTAGGGTTCCGCCGTTGACAAGAGTGCTCAAGATGGTGCGTTGAGCAGCGCTGAAACTTGGGTTGTAGAAGAGAAGCCACCGGTTCAGCTTGTTCAGAGAGTGATGCTGCATACCACTCGTGGCAGCTTCGTGGGTGAGTACTGCGCCCTTGGGCTTCCCTGTGCTGCCAGATGTGTAGATGATGTAACAACGGTCTTGAGGCGTGATATGTACGTCGATGTTGCCAACGTTATCCGGTAGGCTTCCGGCCTCCGGGCTTAGGCGAGTGTAATCCTGTCCAATATCGACAGTGTTGGGGAGCATGTTCATGTATCTGCGAGTAGAGAGAACTGCTGCTGCATTGCAGTCGTTGACGACTTGCTCGAGGCGACTGACCGACGATTCTGGGTCAAGGACAGTGTAGGCTGCCCCAGCCTTAAGCACCGCCAGGATAGTCACGACCAGATCCAGGGACCTGTCAGCCAAGATAGGATAAACAACACCTTTTTGTAGCCTCAACTTCCTTGAGAGTTGATTGGAAAGGCTGTTGAGCTGGGAGAATGTGAGGGTGGCATCGCCCTGAAAATCAACTGCGACTCTTTGAGGGTATCGAGCTGCAGTCTTCTCAAACATAGCAGGGATAGTCGTAGGCTGTACCTTGCGGGTGCTGACTGATCGGGATAGCATGAGACGCTTTTCAGACTCCGAAGCAAGTTCTACGTCTGATAGAGGGAACTTGTCCGTGGAGCTCAAGCCTTGCGCCGCACTGAAAATTGCCGAGACAAAATGTTTAAACACCAATTCGACCTTTTCGGGTGGGATCTTGGTTGTGCATTTGATGGCGAGTTGTAATGCGCTGGCGTCGTTGATGCACAACACGACGGGGAACCTCCTCAAGCTGGGGGCAATACAAGGAGTGTTGGTTGTCTGACTGTAACTGACGGCTGTTTCGATGAGCATGCCATTAGGGGTCTGCTCTTCGATTCCAGTGTAGCCGATGAATGCGTGACGACCGGCTTCCGTATGGTAAGCATCCAGGGAGCCAGAAAGGTCAGAGAAGGTCGCGCTTTCGCCAGTAGGAACTCGCAGCCTGACGGGATAAGTTTGATCAAGGCATCCGACGCATGTATCTGAGCCCACAAAGTTGGCGTCTCGACGGACAGTTCCGAAAAGAACCTCTTCCGAGTCGGAGTGAGCGCTTAAGACATGAGCCCAGATTGCTTCGAGGAACGTCTGACGCCATGACTTTGATTCTCCATGAGATTTCTCAAGACTGTTCAGCTTCGCTAGCTCTGAGCCCTGGATGACGGCACTGACGCCATGTCTATCTTGGTTATGACCATCCAGAGCATCAGGTTCGAGACCAAAGATAGACTGAGGAGCAATGTCTGACAGAGCTTTGGACCAGAACTTTTTGGATGAGTCGATTTCCTTGCGTTGCTGTACAAGATATCGTGTATAGGCAGTAAAGCCAGTGCTTTCGATACCTGGGATGCCATGAATTTGAAGGAGGCAGTCGAGTCTGAGTGTGTGCAGGGAAGTTGTATCAATCAGGGCGCGGTGGAAGTGAAGTACGAGATTGATCTCGTCAGAACGATTGTTGGCTTCAACCGTCAGGAATGCTGAGCCTCGGTGACGCTTTTCAAACCCTTTTTCAGGTCGGCGCCACTGAACAGGCTCAATGCATCGCTGGACGATAACCTTTGGCGATGGCTCGTCAGTGATGTAAGATCGAAGGCATATGTCTAATTGAGTTTGTTAGCAACCATTTCTATATCGATGTTGATCACACGGTGAAATACTTACGATGATACGCCAAAGATCTCCATGTATCAAAGACTTTCTCAGAGCTCAAAGCAGATGGCTTTCCAGAGAAGAGCACTGCCTCAGCCCATTGCAGATCCTCTTTGAGAATATCCTTCTGCACTTCAGTCGCAGGTAGAACAGTCTCAACGTCTGAGATACCCAAGTCCTTCTCGTGCTTCACAAGAGCTTCGACAGGCTTGAGGCTGAGACCATCTTGGTAGGGGAGGAAGAAATCCTCATGCTTCTCAACGTGATGATAGAGCTTCATGATGAAGAAGAGACGATTAGTGTATCAGGGGTTAAAACAAAGGGGCTGGGAATATTAGTCTAAGTGTTTTTGATCTAAGAGGAAGATTCGCTTGTGATTCTGAATGATAGAGATAGTTGTTCTTCAAGAGTTGTTCAGTTATTTATATTAATTATCTTTCAATTCCCTCTGCTTTAACTCTTTCGTTCGTGTCTTTGAAAATTTCTTTCTTACATCCCGGTGTGGTGACACAAGCACTCGGGCTCAATTGCCTCCTCTGCTGCACTCATTCTGCAAGTACCTGGAACGGCATAAGCCTGCCCTACGCGGCCATGCCGACCTTTGTCCCGAAGGATCGGATTCCCTGCCCTACAGGGAGTAGAACACATCTCGTCATACGTTTCTTAGTATACGATGCTCAAAGCCTTTGGGAATAACCTCACAAAACTTGTGTAAGAGGCGCACTATGCCTGTTTTGGAAGTGGCGATGATGCATTCTGGATGTCGTGAACGTGTACTACTCGGGATAAGCAGGGCTTCGCTTACGGCCCCCACGATCCACGCAGTCTCATTGACGCCACGTGGGTTGCATCGAAAGCCATATATGGCAGTGATTGATTCAGGGCTGCATATCAAATCTTTTCAATTACTCGTGTCCTGATTTCGTGATTGCCGCTCTGTAGGATGTGTTTCACAAGTGGCGATATGATACTCTGCAGCTGAACGATTGTAGAAAACATCAGTGGGTCTCTCTCGTGCAGAAGTTAAGGATCTGAATCCTTTGTACATCTTCCAAGAAGCAATTCGAACCCTGCAGCTCGAAAAATGTTTCCTAATAACGTGTATGCCGAAGGATGTTACACTTTAGCGACATGCAGCTAAAGAATGTGCTAGAAGCGGCCCGCTTCCGAAGTGACGCTAACGTTAGTGAATCTGACACGGTGTTTGTCACACTGTGTATGAAATGTTCCGCGGAGCTGAACCAGGGGTTGTCGTATGCAGTCCAGGCCAAGCCAAGAGTATTGATACTCAGAAAGCTTGAATTATGGCGACATGTTGATCTCGCTATGACTACCGTTCTGGTAGGCGAATGAAACGTTACATCATGTCTCACATAGTAGTTCTCTATATATATATAGATTTTCGCATACGCATCTAGGGCAATACAGACAGATTCAACTCACCAGAAACTATTTACAGCTTCGTTGCATCCATCATTACATCTCCTTCATTCAATAATCAAACATGGCTTCTTGGGACAACCGCGTCGTCACCAACGAGCACTTGCTCCCTTACGTCGACTCCAACACGGCCTCGCCAGACATCAAGGCTGCTCTGCAGACTCTGCCGTTTGAGAGAAACATCTTCAAGGCAAGCCAACCATCTTCTTCACATAGCTTTATTTACAGGCCAGCTAACTCTTAAAAGCTTCTCGCCAATAGCAATGTATTCTTCAAACCATTCATGACTCTTCTTTCCTCCAGCTGGAGTGAAAATCGAAAGATTCTACCATCTGAATGGCAAGTCACCGTTCTACGTACGGCTGCCACTCTGGATGCCCCTTACGAGTGGGATGTTAACGAGCCTGTCGCTCGTGTCCTTGGTCTCACTGAGGAACAATTTACGGCTCTACGCAATCCCAAAGAACCGTTGCCTGAGAGTCTTTTTACCCCTCGCCAGCGATTGATTGCTCGGATTGTTGAAGAGCTTAGTCGCCAACCCAAGGTCAGCAAAGAGATTATGACCGAGGCTTTGGAAGCTTTCAGTCATGAAGAGATCACTGAGATTTTCTTTCTTAATGGGATTTACGGCTTTTTGGCCCGGTTCATGAATAGTGCTAGGATTGATTTTGATGAGCCTATTCCTGGCTTGTTGGACATTCTGCGCAAGTACAATGCGTCAGCCATTGAACGGGAGAAGCAGGCAAAGAAGTAGACTGAAGTAGCTAGTAGTCTTAGATTCATAGAAAAAAAAAACTCGTCACTTCATACATCTTTCCTAATTTGAATTATTTCATGTGACTTGTGTTTTATTGTTATGCCCAATAGTAGACTGCTTAGGCCAACATTGACTGATAGTTAAAGCTTACGATATCTCAACGAGGCTCAGGCCAAGATGTGGCCGTTTTTAATGCATTGTCTTGATCTCTCTTGCTTAGATATTAATCAGGTTTACACAACATTAATTAACATGGCATACTGTATAGTAAATAAATTAATAAGTAGTTACGGTGCTAAAGTGAGAATACTAGCAAGGAGGCGCTATATGGTGAGAACTGCATATTTCCTATCTAACGTCTAAGAAGATTGGATTTATTAGCCTAAAGTATCTCGTTTTTGTTACAATCTTTAACCATTAATTATATAATAAAAAGACTGCCTTCACTTAACATCTTATCTTATTAATTATACTTAAGTTCCTATAGGAATAAAATTTAGAATGGTTATTCAGCGCTTTAGAAATAACAAGCATAGCAATGAACTCTAACTTGAGACTTAACTAAACTAATTGAACAAAAGCGGCAAAACACAAGGCATCAATGTCATGTATCACAACCCTTCTTAATTCCTATGACACATTCGTTTTACTTACATGCTATACGAAAACTAGCCTAGGAATTAGGTGTCAGCAAGCCTGGCTACCTCTTTCGGTATTAGACAATATGTATACTGCATGACGCAGTTTCACTTCATGTGACAATTCGTAAGGGTTTTTCATGCATGAAAGGGTTACATTACTGCCTAATCTTAATTTCCACTACTTGTGTTGATCCTCACAATACGCATATGCAGCTAGATCCTACCAAACTGCAAAACCTGCTTCACCCTTCCCACCTTGTCAGCAGGACCTGCATTGACTACCTCCCTCACACGCCGCTCAAATTCATCCCTGCCGTCAACATCCCGAGGAACCTGAATGGTCTCCACAGGTGGCGTACGCAGAAGTCCGCGAGCAAGCAAGTCTTGGAACCACAACAACAGAGATTCCTGCTCCGCCGCAGTCCGAGCCTTCAACTGTTCAGAGAGACGGAAGTTCCGAAAGGTAACCTCTGACCAGAACAACAGCCGCTGAGATAGGCCAAGGATTCCGCTTGCTCCGCCGAGAGACCCATAGTTGACATATGTTCCGCCATGGGAAAGCGCATTTGCAAGTCTCTCGCCGGATTCGCCAAAGACAGCGTCGATGGCGAGCACGACACGACCCCTAGAAGCTGCATCCGCGAGTTCTGCCGAAGCCTGCGTACCATGTTTAGCGAGGTCGTCTTCGGTAATTACGATCTCTACGCCCTGGCTATGCAGATCGGTCTTGAGGGCATCGAAAGTGCTACCCTCCCGATCACGCACGACACTGCAGGTACGAACACCCTTGAGGCGAGCAAACTGCGCGACAAGTCTCGCGATGGTTCCAGAACCTGCATTCTGGATGATCCAATCGCCAGGCTTCAAGTCACGCATATCCTCAACAAGGAGGTAAGCCGGCAGAAAGGCCATACGCAAAAGAGATGCGCCAAACAAATCATTAGTAGGCGACAGGGGAATGACATCCGTCACGCTAAGAATGGCTTGGCTTCTCCAGGTTCCCAATCCATGTCGACGCGGAACAATCAAGTCTCCGGGCCGAATGTGGGTCGTCTCCGGGGAAGAGAGAGGACCCACTGCTTCGACGCAAGCCACGCCGTCATAACCCAGGACAGGCTCGTTGTCCAGGGTATGCAGCGGCTTGACTGGGTAGCGACCTGCAAGTACAAGAAGGTCTTGGGGGTTGATTGGGGAGAAGAGAAAAGATACTAGAATCTGATCGGTACCGATAGAATCTGGTGGAATTTGTTCCTTTTGGGGGTAATGAAATCCCACAGAGGCTGGTTTGCCGTCAGAGGGTTGAATTTGGGTGATTGCAGCCATTTTGAGTAAAGATGCAGGCAAAAGTTGAGACAGAACTAGATTCAAGTGATTGGATTGATACCTGATTGCATTTGCTAGTTTCTTGGTCGACGGCCCCAAATTTATATCCCTGACGTGCATCACTTCTAGTCCACAACCCTCTGGAGCACATCCTTACGATGAAAGGAATACCGACAGATCTCAAGATGCAATTGCGGCAACTAGTGTTAGCTCACAATCACGCCAGCGCCCTATGCTCCATCGTCACCTCGCGTATGCACCGATCAACCCTGGTCACGGAGAAAAATTCCATTTTTAGGCTAAACTCCTTGCCAATACCACACAGTGTGCTGTAACGTTACGGTACGGGCCGGATTCCGTCATTTCTTGCCGAGCCTCGTTCCTGTTTTCTTTTCCCTATAGGGCCAGATTGTCAGGGTTCTGAATCCCTTCATTTTGCTTATTTTTCTATCATTTTCTATCAGATTTCTAAGCATCGTTTCATTCCCCCTGAAACCTGTTGTTAGTTGCCAAAATTACGAATACAGATATGAAAAATTTTACGCTTCTCCACAGCATCAGAAATACATAACCATGGAGGTCGCGGCCTAGCGTTGAAATTTAATCTCGTTTTCTAACTGTGTCTTTTTAGCGTTAAAACCTTAAAACCTTAATTTTAATTCTTTACGAATATTAACTCTTCATCATGTCCGCTTCCCAAGAGAGACAGTCCGGTCACAGCTCGGACGAAAGTCGCTTGTCACCATCTCTGGGCCCTGACCTTTCAGGCAACGAAGCCCTCAAGCAACCCCAAGTCGAAAAACCAGCACCAGACCCCTCTCCTCGAAACATTCATGGTGTCAAGGTTAGTACAGATCATTGCCATACTGCGGACCCCCGCAAGTTTGCTAACTCTTGACTATAGTGGTTCCTCGTTGTCTGCGCCCTTCTCTCCGCCCTGTTCCTCTACGCTCTAGACAACACTGTAGTCGCCAATGTTCAAGCCAAAGTCGTAGAAACCTACCAACGCGTTGATCTCGTCCCCTGGCTTGGTGTCTCTTTCGCCCTCGCCTCAGCCGCAACAACACTTCCCTGGTCCAAAGCCTATGGCACGTTTTCAGCTAAAAAGCTATTCATCGGCTCAACTACTGTCTTCATGGGTGCTTCTGCGCTCTGTGGTGGCGCACCCGATATCAACTCCTTCATCGTCGGTCGTGCCATTGCTGGAGCGGGAGGCTGTGGCATGTACATGGGCCTTTTGACACTGATGTCAGTCACCACTACGAATGCCGAGAGACCAAAGTATCTTAGCCTTACGGGTTTTATCTGGGGTATCGGCACTGTTCTTGGCCCTGTAGTTGGAGGCTCGCTTGGCGATAGTAGTGCGACTTGGCGATGGGCCTTCTACCTGAACTTACTGGTCGGGGCTGTTATTGGACCCATCTACTTTCTTCTCCTCCCCGACTTTAAGCCTCAGGCTGGTGTCCCCTTGGTCAGTCGTCTAGCTCAGATCGACTATCTCGGCACGGTCCTGTCCATTGGCTCCGTCCTTTGTCTCATCATGGCGATGAACTTTGGAGGAGTCCTTTGGAGTTGGGATGCAGGCAGGAGCATTGGTTTGTTTGTCACAGCTGGTGTCTTGCTCATCCTGTTTGTCCTCCAGCAGGTCTTCCAGATCGGCACTACGTTTGAGAACCGGCTGTTTCCCATGCACTTCTGGAAGAGCCGTACTATGATTTGTCTCTTCTTCACAATGAGTAAGTCATGGACTATTGCATGCCCTCGAATTCATTCAAGCTAACGGTGCTTGTCTAGTGCTGGCAACATTCGGCAGCTTTATTGGCATTTTCTACCTGCCACTCTACTACCAATTCACTCACGGAATCACGGCTGTAGAGACATCAGTACACCTGTTGCCCTTCATCCTGTTTCTCGTCGCCTTCAACCTGTTGAATGGTCAGTTCATGGGCCGAACAGGCTACTACTATCCCTGGTACATTGTAGGCTCTCTGATGGAGTTAATCGGCGGAGTTCTAATGTGTAAGTGACGCCTGTTCTCTTCCAATCCCTGAACTACACGTACTAACCGTGCACTAGATACCGTGGATGAGCATACATCGAACGCCAAGATCTACGGCTATACTATTATCCTCGGCACTGGCGTTGGCTGTTTCTGTCAAGCCGGTTTCGCAGTCGCCCAGATGAAAGTACAGCCCAACGAGATCCCTTATAGTGTTGGCTTCATGACAGTTGGGCAGATGCTGGGTATCGTATTTGGTACTGGTATGTCTGGCGCTCTGTTCGTCAACTATGGCCAGCAAGCTCTCCAGCGCGTCTTCCCCAACGTCTCTCAGAACGAGATAGCCGACGCTCTCGCTGGTGTTGGTAGCGGACTCATCGATTCTGCAAAGCCTGAAGTCAAGGCAGAGGCTATTCACGGAATCACGAGAGCGATCCAACTCGCATACGTACCTATCATTGCGGCCGGGTCCATTTGTCTACTTTGCAGTCTCGCGATGAGGAGGGAGAAGGTATTCCACTAAGAGGGGGTTGGGGACTGACAGATTATCAGGACTGCTCTTGATTCAGTGGCGCCATCCTGGTAATCTCTGCCTCCAGGCTTGACAGACAACTTTCCAAGATCTGGGGATAGCAAGAAGAGGGCAGTATTTTGCTAAGGAGATAGAACGATCCTCTTTAACCCGTCTACAGGGTATGTTGGTAATAGTAGACTAGTCTCGGGGGATAATTACTGCGCATGGAACAACATTCAAGCCAAGCGGATTCACAACTCAAATTACAGTAGCTTTATATCTATTCAAAAATAATAACAAATTTAACATAAAAAGTTGAAAATCTGTACATAGTGGGATAGATAGTGACCTACAGTAAAGTTTCACCGTCCATAGTTCTCCCTGACCTCTTGTCATCGCTCAAGAACCACTGAAAGATACCACCAACCGGGTTTATAAAAGGCAGCCCTATTACTTGTCACCTTGAATGGGGCACCGTTACAATGTAGATACACGGATAATGTGTGATCCACCATATTATATACCGGATAAGAAACTATAGTTAGTCAATCTAAACATAAATCACGAAACTGTAGCTGCTCAATCAATATTGTTGCATTCCTCCATCCTGTTTCATCATGGCCAAAGACAAGACCAGCGCTACGACACAACGAGAAAAGTTCACCCTCTGTGTCTTTTGTGGTAAGTTTGTTGCATACAAGCCAACCTCGGACTAACGGGATACAACAGGCGCCAGTCAGGGTGCATCGCCCAAGTATGCAGAGGGTGCCACGGCACTTGCAGAGACTATGAGCGCCCAGTCCTGGTCCCTTGTTTACGGAGGCGGTACCCTCGGACTAATGGGAAACCTCGCCAAGAACCTGGTTCGCCTTTCTGGGCCAGATGCCGTGCATGGCGTGATCCCGGAGGCCCTGATCAGAACAGAGAGGGGCGTGATCAAACCCAATGTCACCAAGTATGGAAACACTACCGTGGTGCATAGCATGCATGAGAGAAAGGCTACCATGGCAGCTGAGGCAGAGGCTTTTGTTGCTTTGCCCGGAGGCTATGGTACTTTGGAAGAATTGTTTGAAGTAGCTACGTGGAACCAGCTCGGCATTCATGACCGTCCTGTTGTTCTGTTCAACATTGGTGGGTTTTTCGATCATCTTATCGCATGGTTGGAGAATTCCGTCAGTGAGGGGTTTATTTCGAAGGGTACAGCCAATATCATCAGTGTTGCAAACACGTCCGATGAAGTTGTTGAGAAAATCCAGCAGTATGAGCTGGTGGCAGGAAGACATCTCCTGGACTGGAAGTCAAAGGAGACAACCAAAGTATCGGCCATCTGAAGCCAGGATGGTGTAGCGTAGCTGGACAATACATGCCGTTGAAATTACAATTCTCCTTTACTCCACTACTCATAACTGTTACTGTTCCACTTTCCCAACCTGCGGCGTGGTCCCTACTACTTAGGCCAAATGGAGTTGTTCTTTGAGGCAGAATACAATACTCCGTGTCAAGTATCATCCCCAAGATGGATCGGGTGAATCTCATGGGGCAGCAGCATAACTCTCCCCCGCGCTGGCCTGTCTCGATCTCCGGGGGACTTTTGGTAGATTTTGTGGAGGCTTCCCCTTGACTCATAAGGATAAAGACCTGACTTTTATCTTAGTCGAAAGCTTTTCTACAAGCTTCATCACTTCCAACATCTGTCCAATCAACTTACAGTCTTGTTTCTCAACACCTTGACTTCACAATGGCTCCTATCATTCCCATCATTGCCATCATCGGGCCAACTGGCATCGGCAAGACACGTCTCAGTGTCGAGGTCGCATCTGCCGTCAATGGAGAGATCATCTCAGTCGATAGTATCCAGGTCTACCGCGACTGTCCCATCATGGCCGCGCAAGTCACCAAAGCGGAAATGAAAGACGTTCCTCACCATCTGGTAGATTATCTACAGGCGAGTGAAGAGCCTGTAGATTTTGTCGCCCAGGCTGTACAAGCCGTCAAGTCTATCCACAGCCGAGGCCGCATCCCCGTCATCTGCGGCGGGTCAACATTGCTCATGGAGCCACTGCTGTTTCACCCCTTCATTCAGGAGCAGAACTTTCTCGCCATTGCCTTCAACTCCGATCTATCAACCATAAAAGGCCTCTGTGATGGCCGAATTACAAGCATGCTTGAAGATGGGCTCTTGGATGAGGTCAAGAAGCTCAGTGAGCTGGAGAAAAAGCATGGCCTATATGAGAGCCCTTCTCGTACTGGGGCATGGAAGTCGATCGGCTATCCGGAGCTCCGTGCCTGGCGTGATGCTACGACTCCCGAAGATGCTGAGAAGGGACTGAGAGATGGGTTGGAACTAATGAAGCAGAACACTCTCCAATATGCCAGCATGCAGCTGGAACTCATGTGACTCGCCTCATCCCAGCCATGTCGAGAATGCAGAAGGGTTGCATTGTTCTCAACGTTGTCTCACGCCAGGCTTTCTCTCGGGATGTGGAGATGCCGGCTCTGCGGGTGTGCAAGAAGTGGTTGATGGAGCTGGAGCGGGAGAATGCTCTGGATGCATCACGGGACAATTATGGGCATGGATGTATTGCCGTCCAGCCTATGGAGACTATCACGGTCCGAGCCACTGCAGATGGTATCGCACCATAGCTGCGCTGTATTTCGAAACCTTTCAATTAGCATTGTTTCTGTTCCGTCTCACCAAATTGACATTATGACGGCGTTCTTCTCCTGAATTGCACCTCTATAATGTGATCGTTCTGTTGATTTTATATATATATATATATATTTAATTTTTTTTTATTAATTTAGAGTAAGTTCTCTCACTAATACGGACGACTTAGTAGGTGATTCCTCGGGTTGTGGAACCCCCCAATCGCGATGTAGTAATGATTGATTAAACAAAATGAGGAAACTGCAAAAAAGACATAAGACATTGCGCTTGCCCCGTACTGGAATCGAACCAGTGATCTTATCATTACTAGTGATACGCTTTACCACTGAGCCAACGGGGCTTGTCTAGCGACTTGACCAATCTTAGAGAGTTGCTCCACTATTGTCTTCTAAGATCTCTGTCTCCTCGATCTGGCTGTTCATATGTGCATGATCATAATAACAGTCTTGATAAGCAGACTAGCTAGCTACCTCTAGCCCAGGTTAGTTCAGGCTGCGAAAACTTGCTTGCTCTCCTTGCTCTTATGCCTGTTAACTAAAACATCATCCTTCTCATCAACAGCAAATGCCATGGTCTTCTTGATCTCCCACTACCCAGCCGTCAAGTCAGCAGCATCACCATCATCCCCTTCTCCAATAAGTCTTCTCATGCTGGCATTCTTCTCAGGCCTCATGAAATACGCCATGCTATATCGATCCACAAAACGCTGTTCTCCAGACGAGTATGTCACACGATGCGTGTTACTCCTGAGCAATCCACCAGTCCACTGCACCATAGCATCTCCAAGGTTGATGATCAACTTGCGGGGCTGCGGGCGAACCCAATGCCAGGCACCGGGATCAGTCGTAGCCTTGCCGGGCTCCAAGACCTGAAGTCCACCAAGGACATTGGCAAGAACAGTGATTACACCGATATCGGTGTGGTAACGGAGAGCGGTACGGAGATACTTGACGGCGGCTACGGACTCGATACTCTTCCACTCGTGGAAAGTAGCCGAGTATGGGTTACTGGCATAACCATAAGCTCCTATCTCGGACCAGAACAGATACCCATCCGGCTTGAGCAGTGTCTTTAAGTTCTTGACGGCCTGAAGCCACTCATCCTTCTTCAAAGCAGCATAGAGCAGCTTCGCATGCACAAGGTCATATGTACCCAGATACTCCTTGGGAAAGGGCTCTAGGACATTACCGTACTGCAACTTGACATTGCCGGCAAAGAAGCGGGGCCGTAGAATTTCCTTGTGTCAATGTCGAAGCCATCCAGCTGTGCCTCCTTGGCAAGCTTGGGCGCGAGCTCTTTGAGGAAGATTCCGGTGCCAGTGTCTGCGTCTGCGACTTTAGGGGCTGGGAGGGACTTTAGGTGTTGCCAGATGACGGGAGGGAGATCATCGCGCATGATAGCTTTGAAGACACCATGTTGGAAGTCAAGACGATGCCGTTCTTTCTCGGCATCGCCATGGTTTAGGGTATAGACCGAGGGCATTTTGCACAGCTTGAATGAGGATGCTAGTAGGAGCAATGTGTGGTGAATGGTCCAACAAGAGTCAACGATTCATGGGAGAGTTATAGATGATTGGCGTCGTATGCTCATATGAGGGGGTAGTAACACAAGATTGCGCAGTGTATCGATCATGACAAACGCCAATTATTGTCCGTATCACCAACCGCCGGCGGCGCCTTGGACAAGGTCCCTACACCATGGTCTTCACTCGTCGGAGCGCGGCTCGGATATCAACGAGTAACTCATAGTCAGTTTAAACAAAGCCTTAATCTTTTCCAAAACATCTCTTACGTTCAATAGTTTCTTACCACCATAGCATGGCGTTGCGAGAAGCTGTCGTAGGGGATACAATGCATCCTGTCTCCGATTGGTAGGAGATACTTGTGCCCGGGAGGAGACATGGCTTGAAAGGCCGGACCAACCAACTGTATCGCCGAGACTGGATACCACGGTTGCATCGGCATGATGTGATTTAGCAGGCTGGGCTTTTGGCTGATAAGGCGGGGATCCCTGTCATTACTTCCCCCCTCTTCGTGAAGTACTCGGCACATTGTTTGTTTGTTTGTTTATCAGTCTCTTCATACTTGTGGTACGATTGCCTGCGAAGAGCTGAATCTTGGCTCCCCCAGTACACCAACCATGGCTACGTCTTCATTCCCGTTACCCGACGGTTTCGCATCAGTCGACGACTACTTCAAAGCCCGGCATTCGTTGATCAGCGCTGAGCGATCGCTGGGATACGAGCGCAAAGCGAAAAAGTCGGATCTCGAAATACAAGCCCAGGAGATCGTAGAGAAGCTGAAGAAATGGGAAGAATGCAACCACCATGGCGTATTTGCAGATGGTTCAGGGTGCGAAGCCGGCCATCGCTTCCTGCACGGACAAAATGCAATTGAGTGCAGCAAGCTCTTCCAGATTGCACTGAAGACACCCAAGGGAAATCTCCTCCATTGCCATTTCGATTGCATTCTTCCGCCGCAGGGAATGTTGCAAGATGCGAGGAAGCAGAATAATCTACACATCAGCTGTGATTGCCCGTTAACGTCAAAGGGATTCTTTGCTTGCGGGTTACCTCAGTTCTGCGTGCTTCCCCACGACAAGCATGTGGCTCTGAGCGAGACGACCAACTTATTCAGCAAGACCTATATCGCTGGGTCTTGGATGAAGTATTCCGATTTCTTGCGCTTGTTCCCTGGTGGTTCGAAGAGGGCGGAGGCGTGGCTTGCTAAGCAGATGGTGATTGAGTCAAAGGATGCTTATCATCCAGAACAGACAGTCAATGGGTAAGTTACGTGCAACAACCCTCATCTACAAGTCCCACGGCTGATGTTTACTCGCTAGTATCTGGAAGGAGTTCATGCGGAGTGTTCTTGTCATGCGCTCCATGCTTTGCTACGAGACTGCATACAAAGAGCACTTTCGACGAATCCTTTGGAGGTTTGCTGAGGATGGCATCTCTTATGCTGAAATCCGCCTTGCCATGAATTATGGATTCACTATCAAAAGTGACGATGGAAATAATGAATACGACCACGCCGGCATGGTACAATTGCTCGCTGATGTTCTCAGTGATGAACTTCCCAAGATCCAAGCGACGGGTTTGACATTCTACGGTGTCAAGTTCATTTATGCTTGCCTGCGCTCAATCCCCAAAGAACCTATGAAGTGGTGCATGGATACTTGTATAGAGCTAAAGCAGCAATTTCCAGATCTCATTTGCGGTATGTTTTAGCTCCCTATTCTACTTGCAGAATCCTGACATAGTTCGCCATAGCTTTCGACTTGCACGGTCAAGAAGATGCCGGCCAACCTCTATCGTATTGGATCCCCGAACTGCTTGAGATGAGGGCCAAGATTAATGAATTGGGACTTGATCTTCCATTTATCTTTCACGCTGGTGAGACACAAGACCATGGAGGCGACACTGACACAAACCTATTTGACGCTATCTTGCTTGGAACGAAGCGCATTGGACATGGCTTCAGCATTGTCAAGCATCCGCTGTTGATGCAGCTTTGCAAAGAGAAGAATATTGCCATTGAGACGTGTCCAATCTCAAATGAGGTCCTTGGACTTTGTCCAACGACCAAGACGCATCATCTTCCTATCTTGCTATCCAACTGCGTACCATGTACTATCAACAGTGATGATCCGGGCTCTTGGGGGTATGTTTTCTTTCTTGCCCTTTCTTTTCTGCCCGACTGACAACAGTTGCAGAGCAAGTGTCCTCTCTCACGACTTTTACCAAGCGCTGATGGGAACCAATAACTTGTCGGTACCAGGTTTGAGGGTCATTGCTGAATGGAGTATTGAGCATAGTTGTATGAGCTCTGATATGCAAGAGAAGGTTTTGAAGGACTTTGACGAGAACTGGATTAGATTCTGTCAGTGGATCATTGATACGTATGGACAGCAGTGATCAATAGAGTCTCAATAATATGTAGATATCAAGCTTGTTGCAGACATCCATAGCCACGAGCTGACTAAGGCATTCTTAGTTACCCTCAGCAGCCTGGTAGAAATTGAATGATTGAAACATAACAGCCGCGTTCTTAATTTCAGACTATATAACACTGTTCACTGGCTTGCCTGCTACAAACGCCTCAACGTTCTCTTGTAGTATCCGCTGGTAGTTCTCGTTTGTCTCCTCCGCCATCCAAGCTGTATGTGGCGTGGTGATGAGATTTAGGTCCTTGACTCGGGCACCCAGTAACGGACTACATGCCTCACGGGCCGGCAATTACTCCGTCTTCCAAGGCCTTGACCAACGCCTCTTCATCGACAATACCGCCACGAGATACATTGATCAAGAGGGCGTGAGGCTGCATAGCTTGAAACTCTGGAGTGGGGATGTAGCTAATTGTGTCTTGGGTTCTTGGGAGACAGATGGTCATTACTGTGGCAGTACGGGTGACTTCATCGAACGGGGTTCTGTCTGTTTGTTGCCAAGAACCCTTTCTTCCAGATAGAAGGGCCTTCAGTCCTAATGCTTTTGCCATTGCAGCAACCTTTTGACCTATGTGCACGAGGCAAATGTCAGCATAAACGACCTAAACAGGAATGAATGTGAACTCACCAATACCTCCGTATCCCAGTATCCCAACAATCTCGTCTCGGCATGTCTTGGGCGCTTTGGCATCTGGCCCACAGAGTACACGCGCCAACATTCTGCTTCTTGCCCATTCACCATCCTGTGTCAGCCTGTGGCTCTGCACAAAGCTTCTCCGAAGAGCAAAGTACATTCCGATTGCATGCTCAGCGACTGCAGAGGTGTTGCAGTGCGGAGTATTAGCCACTACTATGCCCCGAGCTCGACACGCGTCAAGATCTACCGTGTCGGTGCCGGAACCAACGACAGCGATGATCTTGAGTGAAGATGCTGCCGGATCATTTAGTAGCGCAGTAGTGATTGGTACAATTGTTCTGATGATGATGTCTGCGCCCTGGATTCGATCAGCGAGCCCATTCGGATGAGTGCGGTCATACTGGCGGAGTTCGTAAGTATGCGGCGCTGGTAGGTTGAACACTGGCATTGAGGGCAACAGTTTCTCTAATAAGACTATCACATGGTGGTGACTCTCTTTGTTAGTGTTGCTGGGAAGAGTCATGGTGATTTCGAGAATCAGACACTCGTCGATGAGGGTAAGGTTAACAACCGTTTGACTTTATTATCGAAATGATCTCTGTTATTAGTGTACTTAACAGTCGCATTACTAGCTATTCATGAATCATGCATTAGGTTGGGGCAAAGTTGTTGGCGGAAGAGTAATACCCGCTTTTAGTTGTTCAGCTTGAGGCGGCGGATTATAAAGCCGTTGGCAAGGTCTCTACAAAGGCCTCGATTATCCTTTTTGAACAACCGATATCCACATAAATAACCTGAAATACTAGGACATGCCAAGCTCGCCAACATCATCGACCTATCCACTGACCATGCCGCCTAAACATCGCAGTGGAGATCAAGATCTAGCTTTCCAGCCAGATGATCAGATTCACCCTCCTAGGTTTGACGACAGGCACGAGGAGAGAGCCTACTTGAAGCATCGATTGACATTGACATTTCGGATCTTCGCCAACCATGGGTTTTCTGAAGGCCTCACTGGCCACATTACCGTTCGAGATCCAGTAGAGCCAGAGACGTTCTGGGTCAATCCGAGGGTTGAACTTTACTCTTATCAGAGATGAGGACTAGATCCGGGTGGACCATGACGGCAAGGTTGTAGATGGTGGTAGGAACCGAAAGTTGAATCAAGGTACGCTTGCAATTCCTCCTAATGCTTAATACACCAAGTTGATACGGGCTGTTCTAACATTCTAACTCACAGCTGCATTTGCAATTCACTCCGAGATTCACAAAGCACGACCGGACGTCATTTGTGCTGCTCATTCTCACAGCACGTATGGTCGTGCTTTTTGCGCAACAGGTAAGTAGAAATGGGATGGTATTCAAGTTTCAGGCTAACAGTACAAAAGGTCGCACACTAGATATGTTATCGCAAGACTTCTGCACCTTCTACCAAGACCATGTACTATACACGTGAGTTCCAAACACCAGCCAATCTTGCCAAGGTCTACTCTCATTATTCTTCACAGTAACTTCGGCGGTCTCGTCTTGTCCACCGACGAAGGCAAAGCCATCGCGAAGGCCCTGGGCGACAAAAAAGCAGCTCTGTTAGGCAACAATGGGTTACTCACTGCTGGCCCTTCTATTGAAGCGGCTGTTGCCTGGTTTGTGCTGTTGGATAAGCTATGTGAGATACAGCTTGTTGCTGATGCGAGCGCCGCGGGAACTGGTAAGCCTCTTGTCCATATTGGACATGAAGAAGCTGCGTCTTCACACTACACTATTGGAAGGCCTGAGGGAGGTTATTGTAAGTATCTCAGTCTTGCAGAAAGAGTGGTGATGGAACTGACTGTTGCCATTTTATTCACAGGATTGACCTTGTTTCAAGTCGTTGAAAGGGAATTTGGTGAATCTACATTTCTAGGTCGTGGTGTAGAGCCTTTGTGATGGTCGAGAAACTGGTGCTCATAGGATCTCTGGAGATACTGCTCAGAACTCTGATTCCTATGACTATCCAACTGCAGGCGTTGTGTGATCGGATGTTTTTATGGTATTCATTGTATGTCTATATCGTGAATCTCTACATGTTGTGCGTTTCTCTTTCCAATATATCAAGACACTTGATCCATAATCCATCATCGCTTGAGAAAATGCCTCATATCTTCTCCTTCAACTTCGCCTGCATAGCAGCTCTCATGGCCTCAACCGGAGCCTCTCTTCCAGTCCACAACTCAAACTGGGCATATGCCTGCTCTTCCAACACATCAACCCCCCTGTACACTTTCCAACCAGGATATTCCTCAGCAACTGTCATCATCCCCGTCACCTGAGGCCTATATGCCATCTCTACCAGTACCCCATCACTAGTTCCTGAGAACAAGCCACTAGGGATCTTCTCAGCTCCCAGATCGTCAGCTGGCACGCAGGCAACTATCAGTCTGATCTGAGCTTCCTTCGCAATAGCTGCCTCCTCCAATGTTGAGAGTGCGCGGGTCTTTAGGTCAGGGAATCGTGATGCGAGATCCTCGGCTTTGCTCACGGTCCTGTTGACGATTATGAGCTCCCCAAAGCCCAGTGTCTGTACAGCGTAGCATGCCGCTCTAGCAGCACCTCCAGCACCTAGCACCAGAGCTGACGATGATGCAAACTCTCGAGTTCCTGACTTCTCAACACATCTCTTGATGCCGATCCAATCTGTGTTGTCTCCATGAAGCACTCTTGACCCATTGAACTCGAGAACAACGACGGTATTGATAGCTCCAATGTTCTCTCCTCTTGGAGAGACTGAGTCTAGGAATTTGCCGATCTGTAGCTTATGCGGAAACGTGACAGATGCACCACCAAAGTCTGGCCGGCGAACTATGCGCTCGACTGACTCATCAACATTTTCGCTTTCGTGAATTTGGTAGTGATGCGATAGGCTGACGGCTTTGAAGCCGGCGTTGTGAAGTGTTGGAGATAGAGAGTGCGAGATGTTATGACCAAAGATATAGAATTGCTTCTGACCATCTCCTTGGGCACCTTGCGGCACATCATCAGACGTATGACTCATTGCGTCTATTGTAGAGCTGTCGTGGTCACTGAGACGTTGATGTGATGGAGTAACGTCATCTGCAACCATATCGAACGGATGAAAGAAACGTAAAGGGATGGTTAATGATGTCGAGTGCAAGCCTGAACTCTCCGATGTCAGATTATTAAATCGTCCGTTTTCTTGAACTGATAAGAAGTGGAGCACCCATTGTTGTGATGGACTGGTCACCAAGGGAGTGGGAAAGAACTTTACCGGCTAGGGGCAACATCCGCTGTTCGGAACTTTTAGTGCAATCTGCCTGCTTCAATCGTCTAACGGTTCATTTAGAGGCACAGCGAGCCTGAAAGGCCAATTTCTAGCCACCGTCTCAAGGTGATGATATGTGTAGTATATAGCCGTGGCGGATGATGTGTACAAGTTCTCGCGGGCATGGCTGGCGAAGAAGTCAATTGCCAGGATGTTAAACAAGCAATCATCCGCGCTCCTTCTAACTCAGAATCCCATGTCAAAGATGTGTTCAAGATTATTAGGCGCATCTTCAAGCATTCCAAGATGCTGCATGAATTCTGGTGGGTTCGCCAGCCTATCTGCTTGTTAGTCGCGAAAACAACACATAGACTTTGCGAACTTACCAATCCGTTGAGTCCAACGTAGCGAGGCTGTCAAAAAGACCGTCATCTTCAATATTGGCGGTCAATGATGGATCAAGTGGGAAAGATAATCCGCCTGGTGTTTGTACGGTGACATTACTTGATGATGGGTTTTGTGACACTGAGGGATCAATTCTGTTTGACAGAAATGTTGAGGGTGTTCGGGGAAGCTCATAATTCGATGTTGCGCCGTTTTTGCCAAGTGCCGGCTGTATTGTCAATAGAGCATGTTCTGAAACGTTCGTGGATATTAGTTGCGAGTCATCCCCCATGCCAAGTTGGGGCTCTCCTCGCAACGGATCTTGCAAAGCTGCCAAAGCATTCGTTATAGCTTGTCTTGCAAGGCTTGGATCGCCTGCTACGCCATTGCCAACATATTGTAGCTGCCTGCGATCAAAAGACTGCTGCAATAGTCCCATACAAGCCTCTATGACCGGGGAAATACAGCAACGCCCTATTGATTGAACTCTCTTCTCGATCAGCCTGGCTACCCTTGCAATGTTCTCCCAATAGCCGTCTGGACGTTGCAAGCCGATATTAGGGAAATTCAAGACAGCAGCAGCTGCAATCTCAAATACAGTAGTCGAGGTGATCCACAGGCTAATTGCCTGGGGGGTCAAGTCGACAGCAGTTTTGAGACCACCCAGGATATTAAGGTTCTCTCTGCATGAATGAAGGAGTTCTTGGAGGCTTCTCTCAGTACCAGGGCTCTTGGGTTGGCAAGCCAGCTCGTTGAGTAGAGCCATAGTTCGTAATAGTTGATTAAAAGTGCTTATGACATGTCCAGGCACATGGGCGTTTGAACTTTGTTGATCTCGCTCATCGCCTGCCTCAGCGAGAATCTTGACCTGCCATGGCTCCCATTCTTCATTTCCGTCCGTGAATAGGCCGCCTTGGTGGAGTATATCTGATGCGGCAAGATACGGTGCCGTATTTAAACGTGCTGCAATGATAGTTTCGAGTGTTGCACATCCCAGGATTGTCCGCTTGGTTCCATCCGGTGCTTGTGAATTTGTGGCTGATGAACTTCGAGGTAGTATTCCAATGGAGACTGATGTATACACAGCGCGTCCTATGCTTTTCCAGGCCGCGGTCCAGTGCTTTTGATTCATCTCAAAGAGACACATGATGAGAAGGGCTCGAACATGTCCGATATCGTAATTGGCTGGGTTCGCGAATAGAAAGGTTTGTGTCAGATCTCTCGGTGACTTGACTTCAGATGCGTCTATCAACTTTTCTCTAGGGGCATCTGATAGAGTACCCGATTGATGTGCTGCGTATGCTAGAACTGCATGAAGAAATGCCAATTCACCTGAAGTATGTGAATCAACAGTAGCCGGTGATGGACTACTGGATAATGTGTAGGCGCAACGCAAGAGCTCGTGTTTCTGTGAGATGGGAAACCAGCAATGCGTAGTCTCAAAGTAGAGGTCTAGGAGATATGACCAGTTCTTCGGAAGGTCAGGGACAGCAGATGGCATGGACTTCAGGGGTTGTGATGCGGGTTCTGGTTGGCGGCTGATGGTGGTATCAAGTTTTAGCCCCCCACTGGGTTGAAGCGGCGAAGATGCTGGAATAGCTAAAGGAGAATGGTCGAAGGGTGGAAGGTCTGGTTGTGTTTCATTGGTGTCCATTGGTGTCATCAGAGCCCCTGTCCCATCCTTTCTCGACACCAAGAGCGTAAGACCCTCAACCACTTTTGTATCGAAATACTGACTCGAGTCGGTGCCATCTTCATCAAACTCACCCTCTGTAGCGAGAAGACTTCCCATCTTCCTAGCTACAGAAGACTTGTGCCATGTTTCGAGTAAAAGATCAACAGAGATATTGGCGGCTTGGGGACCAGACGCAGGACAAAAAGACATTTGATGAATATTGCCCTCAAGAAGCCCATATATCCACTCTTCACTTCCTTGAATAGACTTGAAAATTAATCCCAGCAATGTTTCGATGCCTCTCACGTAACCTGGTCGTAGTCCTCGCTTCTTTGAGGGTCCATAGCTGCATGTCCGGTTATTCTCGATGCATGACTTGCAGGAAGGTCGTTGACCGCCGCATCGGTCTTTGCGTCTTCGGCATTCGTTGCACGCTCGTGTAATTCGATGCCGATTTCTGCCATTGAGCCCCTTCTCTGAAGTCTCTGTATCGGTCCTTGCTCGTTTTGAAGCTCGCGGACTAGCTTCTGGATGACCTCTGCTTTTCGTCTCAGGGGAAGTCGTCGACATTGTGGAGCCTCAGAACTGTACGTCTTTATTCTCTGGACATTCTGTGGTAACTCGTAGTTGCCGAGTGGTTGACGCCGGCCAGATTTCATCAACCCTCGAATTCATCACACTCACTCATCACAATGCTCTTGTTTGATCTTTACCCGATTCAGTAAGCGTTGTGCGGGGTGACTGGGGCCCCGTGCCGGCGAATCTGGCTGAAGCGGCAGAGACTTTTACCGCCTCGTTTTAATTCGTTGGGATTGGGGCGCAGCGACTTGACTACCCTGGGAGAGTATCAATGGTCGGCAGTATCATTATACACACAGAAGGAAAAGGTAGGGCGGGCCGCTCAGAGAACATCAATGGCCTCTATGTACACACGACTCTAGTGAGGCCAGGTTACACGTTCACATGTTCCACGTCAGCTCACGCCATCAGATCTTAGCGATCCAGCTACTTTTCGCACAACTTCGTCAGTCTAAACACGTCACAACCAGAAACCATGGCAGCTTCAGCTGCAACAACTCCCTTGGGTCCCTCGAGGATACCAACTCCCGAAACACCATTTACAAGGACATGCGGCCCAGTTGTTTCTCAAAGTTCACACAGTTATGCACCAAACGCTTCTATCGCCCTCATTGGCATGCGAGGAAGTGGCTTGTCAACCCTGGCGGTCATGGCCTCGAGCGCCTTGGGGTTTCGAATTCTTGATGCAGATCAATACTTTTACAAAGCCACCGGTCTTTCTCGAGCAGTTTACAAGTCCGCCAATGGCATCTCTCAATACCGCCAAGAAGAGTTAAGACTGATGAGATCTATGCTATTCGACAATCCGACCGGTGCGGTTATTGTATGTGGCCCCGGTGCTATCGAAGGTACGGGAAGAGAGTGGCTCGCGGAGTATGCCAAGGATCATCTCATAATCTATATCTTGAGGGATGCTGAAGAAATCCAACGACATCTGCGTATATTCGACATGGAGACTATTCGGGATCTCACACGTCGCGCGGCGCCAGCGTACAGGAAACTATCAAATTTCGAGTTCTACAACATCTCTGATATGTCTCTACATAAGCCGGATACAGCATCACCGCGAGCATTGGCACTCAAAAATGTGGAGGAAGACTATCTCCAGTTAATATACAGCATCACTCGACGAGATGATTGTAACAGCAAGTACAAAGCAAAGCACAGTCTTTCTTCCATACCACTGGAAACTAGAAGGTTTACATATGCTCTATTCCTACCACTATCGACACTCAGCACTCTTATCTCCGAGTTTCGGGGACTAGACACTGAAGCAGACGCGCTTGAACTCACAATACCAGCCTCGAGTCTTGGCAATGAGGTTGGAATTGATGACACGGCCGCAGACAGGATAAGCAGGCAGTACTTCGTCGTTAGGAGGAATGTCCGGCTTCCAATATTATACCATATCGAAATCGACGGGAACGAAGGGAGAATCTCCGAGGATGAGTATTTCGAGCTCCTCCATCATGGGCTGCGCCTTGCTCCAGAGTATCTTTGTGTGGATCTCAAATGCGACACCACCAAGATCCAGAATCTTATTGCATCAAAGAGAAAAACAAAGATCATTGCACACTACCTCGTTTCTGATCCAGCAGATGATGGTTGGAACTTGCCAAAACAATGGGCCATGATCGAAAGAGCTCAAAGTCTCGGATGCGATATCATCCGCATCTGTCAAGAAGCAACATCTCTGGAGGACAACTTCGCGGCCCAGCACTTTATCCATCGAGTCAAATCGTCACCAAACCATACCATCCCTTTGATAGCTTACAATACTGGTCGTCTTGGACGCATTTCATGCTATCTCAACCCCATTCTCAGCCCAGTTACACATCCACTTATCCGAAGGCTGGTACCCAATTGCCCATCGAATGCTCTCCTTACAGTCCAAGAAGCACAGAAGGCAGTTTTCTCATCCTTCTTACTCGACGGTCAGTATTTCGGCATCTACGGAAATTGCACATCGCAGAGTCTGTCACCAGCCATGCACAATGCTGCCTTCAAGCTCCTAGGCATGCCACATCGATATAGCATCTTTCTTCATGAGTCAATGGATCAGCTTTTCGAGCTCATTAAAGACAACACTTTCGGCGGCGCTAGTATAACTGCACCTTTCAAGACTGCTATAATACCGAAGTTGGACTTTTTAAGTGAAGAGGCAAAGGCAATTGGAGCTGTCAATACTTTGCTATGTCTTAAGGCGCCTACGATGGACTCTTTACTGCAAAGAAATATAGCAGGGCCGACAGTGGCTCTTTTTGGTGAAAACACAGATTGGATCGGTATCCATACTTGCGTTCAGCGGAATCTTTCTCCTATAAATGCCGTCAGAAGAAGAACTACTGGGCTCATCATTGGTGCGGGAGGTATGGCTCGCGCTGCTGCCTACGCTCTTATTCGGCTAGGTGTCAAGACTATTCTCATTTATAACCGAACTCGGTCAAGAGCAGAAGAACTCATCAGCCAGTTCTATAGTCAGCACAAACCCACAAGGAGCGACACTGCGATGAGTAGCATCGAGATAGAGAGCGGAAGCCATGATCGTCCTTCGTTTAGAATCATCGGTTCAAAACAGGACGCATGGCCAGAAGACCTAAGCCTTCCAACAATTGTCGTCTCATGCGTGGCAACTCGAGAAGTCGATGGCCAATGCTCTGCGGACACGAGTCTTCCAGACCATTGGCTCTCAAGTCCAACAGGCGGCGTCGCAATTGAGGTAAGCACTGACATCAGAATCTACAGCGGTAGTAAGCTCACTATTATTCACAGCTTTCATATACACCCCTCGAGACTCCGCTGCTCAAGCAGATAAAGTCATTGGCAGAGAAGGGATGGATACCTGTTGATGGCCTGCAGGTCCTACCAGAACAGGGAATGATGCAGTTTGAACTGTTCACTACGAGACGGGCACCGGCGAATCTCATGAGAGAAGAGGTGTTTAGAGCATACAAGGGGCGTTTGGAAGAGGGAGCGAGTACATGGGCATTTACGCAAAAGCAGTAATATTTGTAAAGGTTACATAGTAAATACCTTACGTCAACCAGCATGACGAAGAAATATATTACTATCGCAGATCATGGCGGACAGTGAAAATGACTAAACATGCAGTGCTTCGTCGAAGAGTCTGCTAGGCATTTGTAGCAGGCTGCATAATTTTATGCTGCCAATAGAGGCATATATAGGAGAATTAGTATTTATACCAACCGAGAGTAGTGATCACTTCTGTCATAAGACACTGCAAGCCACCGCATGTAGAATCTTGGATAATGGCTTAACCATCAAACCTCGGGTATCGCTTCTTAGTCCCAATTTTACCGGAATAGGATTTTGCCGCCTCGACTTCGTCATTCTGGTCTTGAGCAGCATCATCCAACCCAATGAATACATGACATCTAGCATCACCAGAAGTCCAAGACATTTGTTTGCTATAGTCAATCTATTTAATATTCTTCACCGAGATGAGTTCATTCCAACCCGCCATCCTATCTGCCTCGCTCGGCCGAGCATGGCTCCACGACTTCGCCAACAAGGCTAAACAAGCCTCAGACCATGGCTTTCAAGGCATTGAAGTCTTCTATGAGGATCTTGAATATGAGGCAAAAAGGCTGCACAGTGTCGAAACTCCTAGCAACGACCAGATCCTTGCTGCCGCGTCGCATATTCGAGAGTTGCTAGATGGCGTGAAGCTCACAGTCATTGGTCTGCAGCCATTCCTATTCTACGAGGGTCTGAAGGATCGTGAGCAACACGCTCGACTTATCGAAAAGATCAAGTTGTGGTTCAAGATCGCCAAGATACTCGGGACCAACACGATTCAGATTCCTGCCAACTTCCTCCCGGCTGATCAGTTAACCGGGGATATGGATGTTATAGTGGGAGATCTAGTCGAACTAGCTGATCTGGGAATCAAAGAAGATCCACCAATTCGCTTTGCTTATGAGGCTTTGTGTTGGAGTACCCATGTCGACACGTGGGAGAAGTCATGGGAGGTAGCCAAGAAAGTTGACAGACCCAACTTTGGCCTCTGCCTGGATACATTCAACATCGCCGGACGTGTCTGGGGAGACCCAGCTTCTCCGACTGGCAAGACACCCAACGCTGATCAAGATCTCAAAGAATCTTTAGGGAGACTTGTCAAAGAGGTAACTCTGGATAAGGTGTTCTACATCCAGGTCGTTGATGCTGAGAGGATGGAAACTCCCTTGGTCAAAGGACATCCATTCCATGTTGATGGAAATCCCGCTAGGATGAACTGGTCACGAAATGCCAGAACTTACATGTATGAGACAGACCGAGGCGCTTATCTTCCGGTTGAGGATATTGCAAAGGTGTTAATTCATGATATGGGTTACAAAGGATATGTCTCGATGGAGTTATTTTCGCGAACTATGGCTGAGGAGGGAGAGGATGTGCCGAAACAACATGCAGAGAGGGGTATCGCAGCTTGGAAGAAGTTTGTTGAGAGATTGAGGTTGAACGAGATCTAGATAAAGTAGGAGTAGGAACCAACAATGAACAGCGATGCATACGTAGCAGAAAACTTCTCTTTAATTCGTGACGAAGTCTTGCAGTATAAATCGAAGTCTGCCCGTGAACTCTTGTCAGTTAAGCCTCTCAGTGCCCAGAATAATTTCCATCAATTTCTATATAAGATCTAGAAGTTAATGCCTGGACTTTTCTCAGCCGAGTCCATAAGAACCTTCCAAGATCCCTCCCTATCAAGCCTTTTCACCCTCTCTTCACCAGCCCAAAGCCTCCACTGCTCCTCAATCTGATATCCAATAACATGCGTTCCCTCCACCGTAGGCCATCCCTTCTGCTCCGCCAGCTTAATCATTCTCGTTCTTCTAGGTTTAAAGCACATGTCAAGTAAAACTCCCTTCTCGGGGCGAGACAGAAACTCTTCCAGGTTGGCTCGAACAGCAAGCTCGTCGGGCGTTTGAGGTTCAAAATCGGGCACCGTACCGACGACGTAGTATGGTGTCTCGAGACTCTTGGCTTCTCCCTCTTTGACGTGGATGATGGTCGGAACAGGAGAGATCTTTTGTGAGTCGCGCATGAGATCTTTGACTTCTTGCTCATCGCGATTCAACACGTAGATAATTGAAGATTTGAAGTATAAGCTGAGTGCATAGACAGCAGCTCGACTAGCTCCTCCAGCACCAACGATCAAAGCTGGTTTGTTCAGAACCGGCACGCCAGCCTGGTCTCCCTTCTCGAGCAGACAGCCCTTGATGCCGCGCCAATCAGTATTGGTTCCGCGTAACTTCTTGGGATCTTCCCAATCTCGGTAGACGTTATTGCAGGCACCGATAGTCGCAGCAAGGTCATCCAACGCATCGAGACGAGGAATGATGGCGTTCTTGTAAGGCATTGTCACGACTAGACCGGCTGTGGTGTCTTTTCGCGCAAGGTCCATTAGATCGTCGATGGTGACACGTTCTGTAGCGTAAAATGTCCATGGGAGCCCGAGGGATTGAGCAATGTGGTTGTGCATCGGCGGAGCAATTGAGTGACCGACGCCAATGCCAACAAGGTGTAAGGTACGTTGTTCTTGATCTTCAGAAGCCATTTTGATAATAATTGTTTTGTTCAATTGAGTGTAAGTGTTTCTCCTAGTCTGAAGTTTAGTTTATCTGTCATTTGCTTGCCCAGATTTTGGACGCGGAGTATTCTTCTGCCGCTTTGGGGAACACCACCTCCGTTGAACTAGCCCCTCACGAGTCCACTACGGCTTTGACACCGGAGTCCGACTGTGCATGTTTGCGTCACGAATTCTAAACGGGTAAGCTCACCTGAAGACCTCCTGAGAAAATGTTGCTCTCCGTTCAAATCGGCGCATCAGAAACAAGAGGCAAAGCATGAGGCCAGAGAAATGAGGTCAGGTGCGCGATGAGCCTCAGACTTCCCTCGAAGCAATGAGCATGGTCTAGAATTACAGTATGGAAGGATTTTTTGCCTCGTATTAAGTTTCAGCAGAGTATATTCATGATGTCCACAGAACTTCAATCCTTCTATGGAAATTCTATTTAAAATAGTACATCTCATCCAAAAAAAAAAAAAAAAAAAAAAAAACGCTCTCAACTATATTATAGTAAAAGTTCTGCTACCCCATTTCTTGACCACGGGCAACTGACAGTGTATGTGATACTTATCCCCTGGAAGTTCCGCATCGAAGTAACCCAATCTTGAGTGCTCAGTATCATTCGTCTTTCTCAAGACTATTCCTGTCGTGGAGTCATCAACCTTGACAGCAAGTAATGTTACTGTGGTCCAGCATGTATCAGGTTCTTCTGCGTCGGGAAGGAACTTGATATGAGCGTGAAGATACTTACCATCAGGAGTCAAGTACCTCAAGTGATGCCCTCCGGTATTCTGCCAACTGGATGTACTTCTAGTGCATTTCCACTCCATGTCCAATGCAGGTCCTGTGACACGAAGTGCGCCGCGTTTGACAGAGCCGAAGGGAGCTGATTGTTGATCAAGCTCACAGTCAATAGATTCCACTGATGCTACAGTTTTTCCATGACCGGCGCCCCATGTAATGATACTGTTGATGGCGGTCCACGACCATGATGGTCCTTGATCGCTTGGCCTGGGATGCAAAAGTCCAGAACGATTTTCCCAAAGAAGTGTAAAGGGAAGGTCTTTTACCCACAAACCAGCTGAATATTCCCCTCCACGCATGGGACTGAAGATCTAAGCTAGTCCTGATATCGCGAGGATCCTATCAGTTTGTCTGGTGAGATGTCGTTGGGTGTACCGCTGGACGATCCAGTTCCATTCCCGCAAGATGAGATGGTCGTCGGGTCTTTGGTGGTTTGAATCGGGGTGAGTGCCAAAGAAGGCAATGGCATCGAGTCTATGCGTGCCTTTGAACACTGAATCGTCGCTAGAAGTCCAAGATCCATTGTACTTGAACGGGTCGCCTTTTTCTCTATCCAGGCTTCATCCGTCACAGTTTCCAACGCGTTCTTTGCGGCAAGACCATGCTGTTGTCCAAGATCCAATTATCAGCAACCGGCGAGACATTAGATATTCTTGCAATGTCCAACCTCGCGTGTCCAAGACATTTTCATCTTCCTCCTGAGCCGCTGATTCAAATGTCAGTGTGCATTGTCTTGTTTTACCATCTTCACCCCGGAAATCCACAATGCTTGTTCCAGAGGGAAGTGTCCTCTCGTAGAGAAAGCCAGTATGGACGTCTGGTGCTCTTCTAGCCGCAATAGTAAATGCCGCATGGGTGTAGACTTGGGTCATCTGGCCAATTTCGATTTTCTTATCATTCGCACTGCTGTCTTGAATGATGCAGAGTGAATCTACCCAGATAAAGCCAATTTCAAGCTTGTGTGATGTCAAAATAGCGTCTTGGATCGTCTTGGGAATGTCGTTCCAGGGGATTTCGGTCCTGTACAAGTCTTTGTTGCTTTCTCTTAAAGCGGTCTTCAAGTCGCCTCCCCAGCAGTAGCTCAGAGCTGTGTACTCAGTGTCTCCATTCAGCGACTTTCCGTCAACAAGCCTCACATGATGGTTCTGATTCTTGGTATCCATCTCGACAGTCTCGATGAGTCGAGTAGGGAAGAACCTTGGACTTGGTCGTGAGCAGATTGTATGGGCCTGAGATTGGTTGATGTCGCATTGGACCTTCCAGTCCCGAATAGTGGCCGCCGTGATATCAGATAGTGGGTCAGCAACTATCGGCTTTCGAGTCAAAAGGTTCTGTCCTCTTCTCCATTCAACCTCTATTACTCGTTAGTGAAAGAATATTACGCTTTGGTAGAAAGACTCACCTTCATCTGTCGTAAGCCTGTAAGACAAGAACTCTGAAGGCGTCTTTCCTTCATGTGCCGGAGCATGAACATATTGGTCCTTTGTTGAAAATTCAAGCTTTTGTTCACTAGACGGAGCCTTTTTAAGAGGTATGAAACCGTGGAAGCGCCAGCCATCGGTGTAAAGTTTCAGATCATGTGAGCTCAGCCTTTCAGGGTATCCTTCGCGAAGCTGTGAAGCGAGATACTTCCCAAGGCTGCAACTATTCCTGGAACCCTCTTCCAGATCATCAAGATGTACACCAGTAAATGCCGTGCGATAAGTAGAGTGTCTGGGATACTTTGAATCCAACTCTTTATGTATGAAGATTTCTTCTGGTGCGCCACAGAGGTTGAGCTTCCGGCAGTGCAAGCAGCTATGGCCTCTGAGAAGTAAATCATTCATTTTGGAAATCGGAAGTTAAATGGACGATTGTACTGATATATAACTGATCGACGAACTATTAATCTGTTGAATTGGCGCTGAGTTACTGGAACTCAGAACTCATATGCCAAGAATATGTGTAGAGGGCGAGTTAACGTGGGAGATAACAAGTTTTCGAGTGCAGATTATCTGCTAACCAGCCTGTAACTTTTACTCTCGCTCTTTGAATGAAATCATGTGACTATGAGCCAGTAGAATTTGATCGTCAATAATTGAGGCCCATCACGGCGGCTAGTTTGCTCACTGAACAAGGGTGTATATGCCTCTAGCATATTAACTAGTCAAAATTGACACTCGGCGATGCCGAAGTGGATATCATCAGGCTATGGTATAGACGGTACTTATCCGATCTGCCGGTCTACCCGGTTGACGAGTACCATATCTGCAACTGGTATCTTGTTAGCAATGGGGTTAAACTATACTACAGATATTGGCGCAATATTCCGTCATCGATAACAATAAAGCCTCATATTGATAGCTTAGCATTAAACTTTGTATAACACTCTTCTAAAAGGTATAGGCAGTATCCCAATCAGCTCTTTTCTTGCCAGCCGTGTCTCAACCGATATCTACCCTTCGCTTCATTTCGTTTCAGTCTTGATGGGTTAACTGGTGTTTCTCTGGTTCAAGCAAGTTCATCCTCACGCGCTGCCAAGTCCAGGGTGCCGTTTGGGCAGTCTTTGTCTTGTATGCCAGGTCGATGAAGTTGATCGCTTAGTTCTTGCCCTCCCATGCCGATTTCAACAGCTCCTCAACCTTCGTAAACTTATAGTCAGGGAATGTCTGATTCCATTCATCTGAGACAGTCCAAGCTCCACGATGAAAAGCCGTCAGTGTTCCGATAACCACCATCTTTGAGAAAGCTTCCACCTGGTCCTGAGGGACAGATGGCAGTGGAAGTCGGGGGTAATTATCCGTCTTGAGTTCTCCAGCTGCGAGGTCCTCCATCTTGAGCCACTCAGTAGCAAAAGGTTCTCCTTTGTGAAGTCAGTAATTTCCTATGCTCTTCTTTTTTCGTTTTGCTTACCTCGAAGTTCTTCTCCAATTTTCAGAAGCTGGCGAATGGTACTTCGATCACCGCTGATACCTCCGATCACTGGCCATTCGCTTTTAAGGTCAATAGCCCGGGTGACGATGTTGGCAATGTCTGAGACCCTTGTGTACGTTATCTCATCGTCAAGGGTACCTTCCACAACTATCGCATGTTTCTTGACGAAATCGATGTTGACGGTGGTGGTGGTGATGTACTTTGCAGTCTTGTATGGGTGACAAAGGTAATCCATGAAGCCGCCGGGTTGAAAGAGTGTATACTCGAGGACCTATCATTGGCTTTTAGTTCCTGTTTTTAAGAGCACATAGGGGATACGCTACCTTTTTCTCAGAGTTCAGGCTCTTTAGATAGTCTCTGATATCGATCTTGCCACTATACCAGGACATGACGTCGAGTGAATCTGCGAGTTTGGCTCCTCTAAACATCGTCAGTCAATATCATACACGCCAAGCAACCATTGCTTGCTGGAAAACTCACGTTGCCCACTCAGACGGGGCGAATCGTTTAACGCCAGCTTCAACAGCTGCGTCAATAATCCGCTTCTGGGTCACATTACCCGGGTCCAAGTGGACGGCAATGAACGAGAGAACGGTTTCAACGCCGCGAAACAACTCAACAAGTTCTGACTTGTCTTTGTAATCAGTCTGAACCCAGGTGACGCCTGGGAGCTCGGGAAAGGCAGATGGTTCCTAGGTCTGTCAGTCGCCACTTCGAAAGGTTTCTGGCTGAGGATGATTCAGATATACCTTGCGGACAAGTGCAATAATATAGTGCTTCCCAGTAGCAACAAGTCTGTCGAGGATTTCTCTAGCGAGCTCTGAAGAAGGTCAATAATTAGAGGAGTGAAATAGCAGAACCAAACATACCGCTCGAGGCTCCTGCAATAGCGATTTTGACCATATTGATTGACTTCTACGTATGATTGAATTTTATTTGGGAACAGTATGATGCTGATGTGTTTCTTTGAAGCGGAAGGGATAGCATCTTTATAGACATTCTTTCGCATAGACCCCAGATGCCTTTCATTAGTCAATCTCGAGTCCCGGTGACACTTTTCATCCCGAACACGTAACTTCAATCCTCCCAACTTTTGGTGATGCTGAGTCGGGTTGACTAGTCACCGGCGGTTACGTGATCGGGGTAATCAACGCCAAACCCCAGCCAATCACGTCAAGGTATCCAAGCTTACTTCTTTGCTTCAATCTGACAAATCCAAAGTTTGGACTGTAAACTTTGACAAAATATCATTTCCTTGGACCAATAGAAGACTACAATGTCACTCATAGGCGACAGTATGGGTACCATAGAGCCCCAAGATGAACTAACAGTGAGTTTCCTTCGCGCGACTCCGTCCAGGCGCTAACATGGGCTTTCAGCGTCGTCGTGAGCGAGGCCGACGCTCACAGGCAGCTTTCCGCAGGCGACAAGCCCAGTCCAGTCAAGCGCTAGCAGCTCAAAATGCGCGTCTAAAGCAAGGCATCCAGAGACTACTTGATGCAGCTCAGGGCGACGAGCGACCCGAGATGCTTGCAATCTTTCGTGACCTTGCAGCAGCTGTTGATATTGAAGCTCCAGCGAGCGTCTCAAAGATAGGGACAGCGCGTTCGAACACTGAGGCTTCGGATAGCGACGCAAATGATGTCCAGAGTTTGTTCAGTGGCATTCCTCTGCCGGTGAACCCCTCGCAAACGACCCATTATCGCCTAGATTGCAGCATGTGGTTAGACCCGTTACATTACATACGCGTCTCGATGCCTCCCCAAGACATTCTACCATACCTCGGGCCGGGTGCAGAGACCTTTGCTGGCCTTCTCTTCTGGTCCGTTATGGAACATTACCAGACGGTATGCACGCGACACAACGCACAGGCTGTAATTCAACAGGGCCTAAAGCATTCGAAAGCAACAAAAGATATCAATCCCTCTTTCATCGAAACCATGGCAAAGGCAAGGGTCGAGTATAAACAAACGGGCTCCATCAGCCAAGCACATGCTGTCGCCGCTGAGAGGGATCTGGGACTTGTACTGTGCAATCTCATCGAGACTGAGTATAGATCTAATGGAGAAGACCCAAATCAATGGTTGTCGTGTATTGGGATTGAGAAACGACTCAGAGATGAAGTGGATGATGATACATTGGAGAGTTTGAGAAGAGCTGCACTTGGAGAAGGGAATGCAGTCTTGCAGTATCTACTGGAAGGTGTCAAGTGTAGGCTGTACGACAGCTGTGTCTGTTTTGGGGATGGACCTCGATGGAACGTCGATATTATTGATCAGCTTTTTGATCCTTTAGTTAGACGTGGAATACAAGGGCAAATGGTAATATAAGACAAAGCACTTTGTCGCAGTCATCCTTGAGCGCAACAACTCATCATCGCTCTTGAGTAAGGCCAGTATTTCTAAGCGGCAAAGTATTAAATGTTCAATTAAAGTTATATATAGAAGTGAAAACACCCTACAACCTCTTACAGCATAAGCCCATTACCCATGCACTCATTTCCAACCATCAGAGACTAATATCTCAAAGGACTTTTCACTGCTAGGTGCCTAGTAGAGGCCGCACATAGCCAAGGCGACGACAACCATAGCAGTGGAGAAACCAACTTGCTTGGCAGCACCGTTGACGATAACAGTTGATGGGGCGGGAGTTGAGGTAGCCTAAAGATATCGTTAGCGACTAGTGCACTCATTCAGGATGGGCGGTCTCTTACAGTAACACCAACAGTTCCAATCTCATCAACAGAAGTGTGGCCAGCCTCAGAGTGAGTCTTGGTAGGATTGGCGGCATGAGTTGTCTCAGCAGCGTGAGTAGAGAGAGTAGTATGCTCATGGGACTCAGAGTGCTCAGCCTCAGTAGAAGTGTGAGCATGCTCAGTCTCCTCATGCTCAGAGGTGGTCTCCTCCTGAGCAGCTTCAGTAGAAGTAGCCTGCTCCTCAGCCTTAGTAGTCTCAGCCTCCTCAACCTCAGTCGTGGCAGGCTTCTCTGCAGCAGTAGAGGAGGGCTTAGCCTCAGCAGCAGTGGAAGAAGGCTTCTCCTCAGCGGTAGTAGAGGCAGCACCGGAGGAGCCAGAGGGGCTGGGCTTGGGAGTAAGACCGCACTGCTGAGCGACTCTGCCTACGCCGCTGCCGTAGTACTTCCAGATATCGTAAGTGTTGGCGCACGACATGCAGCGTCCGTAACGCTCGTTCCACTCATCACTATCGCAGAAGTCCTTGTCATCACGAGCGAGAGTGATTAAGAGACCTAAACTCTGTCAGAAGGAAAGTCGTGGTGATGGTTGAGATGGTTACTTACCGCAGTCTTCGTGGCAGGCGTATTGAGGGGTACCAGGCTGCTGACGCTTGACGAGAGGGACAGTCTCAGGGTACTCAAAGCGGGGATCAATGGCGACAGCAAGAGTGGCAGAAGCCAAAAGAGTGTATGCAGCGAGAGAATGCATCTTGAACGAGTGAAGTCTAACGATTGAATGACTTGGAGGGTTGGGGCTGATGTCTGGTAGGCTGATGAGAAGAGATGGATGGAAGGAGGACCAACTATATATCTGCACAATCCTCATAGCACAATCCAGTTTTCTCAGTCAGGTTAGATCATAAGACTGTGCATGTCCAGCGCAAACAGGAAATTGCATTCCGGTCAATTATCCGTCCTATCCCGAGAATACCGAGGACATGGCTACACCCTCATCTTCACTGATTGGCAGAACTACAATTCCATGACCTGATGCCAAGCTAAAGTGCATACTCTAGACCACCTCTAACCTGTATATCCGATATCGCACCAACCTTAATCCTAGCCCTTGAACCAAAAAGAACCTAGTTCCGGCCCTCGGTTAGGATTTAGTGTGGGTGCTTCACCAATGAGAACGTCGGGATGCATCAAAATCTTATCTGATCATCTGATAAGCAGGGGGATCAAGAGGTTCACCGGATTTAGGTGGCACACGAGCTGCATGAATTGCCGGACAGGTCAATCAGATGCCAACGGCCAAGTCGTAGTGCATTTCTCTTGCCTCAAAGGGATCAGTGTGTTACTTGGCGGTTCAAAAGTCCCGCAGTGTCACATGTACCAGCTCATGATGGTGTTGCCGTGAAACGTTGTATATCTCGAGCATGATTTCCCCTCATTGTTGGTAGAGAGCAGCAGTTACAGTCCTCTGCAAGCCTTGTCTCGTCTTGTTTTGCCAACGTGCCCCCATTCATCATGTTGAAGAATCTGCTTGTTCTGACTCTGGCGTCTTTTGCCTTTGGGCAAGATGACATTCCTACGGATGCCAGTGTCAAGGATGAGGACATGGGACCTGCCGCTTTCATGTGGCCCCCGGACCGTGTTTGGTCTGGGGATATGGACAACAAGGCTCCTTGCGGTTCACGAGCATCTGCTGGTAACAGGACCAACTTTCCAATGAGTAAGTCAGCTCCTGACATTCATTTCTCCTTGACACCCGTTTGCATGAGATTTCGCTAACTCTGTTGTTTAGCTGGCGGCGCTGTCTCTCTGGTTGGTCAAGATGATTATTACAACACCAAGATCAGCATCTCGTACTCGGAAGGTAAGCAGCCTAGTCATTCAGCCGCTTTAAACATGCTTATTGACCTGACCATTTTTGTAGATCCTACGTCCAATGATGACTTTGAAACCCTGATCCAGGAAAAGAGCATCACAGATCTCAACCCAGGCCATACCTGCGTTCAAGTCCCCGATGCCCCATCCAAGGTCTCAGCCGGCGACAACGCAACTCTCCAGATCATCTACCGCGCCGACTGGGACGCACCACACAACCAAACCTTCTACGCTTGCGCCGACATCACCTTCGTCAAAAAGTCCGAGTTCAAGTTTGAGATCCCCTGCTTCAACGCTACTGAGCCCGGTGATGATGACAAAGCAGCTGGTGCAACTGTTGGACCTAGCCCAACTGCGACTCATCCCGCGACGTCATCTGAAAGCTCTGATGCTTCTGAAGCTGAGAGCAAGTCTGGCAAGTCTAACAAGTTGAGTGGTGGAGCTATTGCTGGTATTGTTATTGGTTCTATCGCTGGTGTTGTCTTGATTGCCGGAGCTATTCTGTTCTTCTTGCGTCGCAGACAGCAGGAAAAGAGGAACTCGCGAATTGCTCGTATGGAGGATAACGCGCGCAAGCATCAGTTAGCTACCGATGGCGCTTCGGGCACCAGTATCTAAGGGGACTGTTCTCAGCAATGTTTCCCGCTGCAGAATATCTCATGGCACACGCGATATTGGCAATGATTGGAGGATATGATAATGTAATTAGTGATCAATTTATGTAGTGATGAACTTAATGCTATCCACTTACTGTTGATGGCACCTCCTCTCGGTATCGATAACATGGCGTGATATGTTCTTTGCTCTGTATGTACTGCACCTAAAACCAGCCAACAGTTGTGGCTGCCCAAGCGTACTCAAGACAACAAACAGAGGCGGTGCATTCCGCAGGTCACGCTATCACCATAGTTGTATCTCCGCGCGTTGAGACAACAATTTGGCGTTTTGCCAAGACAACGGAAAGTTCGCCTAAATGTCTGTGCGGCGGGGACACAATATGCATCATTGGATATGACAGGCCCCATCTAAATAGCGCGAAAATGTTAGCGCTGGGTCAAAGTTGTCGCTATTGCTTGTGACAGTCAACGGCGCGCGCCACTAGAGACTTGTCAAGCTGAGTTGGCTTGGCAGAATCAGGCAAATTCCAAGAGTCGATAATCGATAGTGCTGTTGTAGACACTTGGCGAGACTCAGTACTTATGAGACTGAGGCGCGACGTGCTGCTGAAGCTTATCTGATAACGTCCAGGGCCCCAAAGAAGCCGAGGCAATGTAACTGACACGTGAGGAGATTTCGTATTGAACCTATTTTTAGATCGGATGGTTCACGATCCGTTCTCATGCTGCACGACGTGATGTGAGAAAAGTGTTATTGAAGATGTTCTTCAAGTTGACTCAGAAACCACAGAGAAAAACCACAAATCTGACTATTGATTTGCAAAAAGCCGCTAAATCAAGCTTAATAAGTATCCATTCTATTGAACTCTGACCATGAGAGGAGGTTACTTAATGCAAGCCACGGCTAATTCATTTCCAGTGACCAATTTACCCTATACTTTATGAACTTCATCTCAAATTCCATATATTCGCCCGCAGCCCATGTTTTAAAGTATTATTCGCTCTCATAATCCGACGAGATCTAAGATGAAGCAACCAATTTAAATATCCAAGCATCACCGGGATTGTCTTCCAGCTAAGCTGACCAGACATTTAGCAACAAATAAAGAATCATGGCGATTTTCGCTTCTTGTCGAGGTCTCTGATCTAATGACCGGAGCTTTGAAACAGGTCTGGTCTGAGCATCGACTAAGCAAGGATTCCACTTGGCAGGATGGCGTTGGTTCGATAAGCTTCAGATAAGCAGTGGCCTATGAACAGCTCCCTATTAAATCTGAGTCAGCAAGCTTGGACCTTGAGGCTATCGTGAGATGATCCTGCTTGTCTGTCAGGGCTTCTGATATCTGGCCCGAGAAGACTATTGCAACAAGGCCAGTCAACATAAATGTCAGAATTGAGAGCAGCATCATCAAACACGACCGAACATTCTTCTTGATCTCACTTAAGATCAATATAAAGGATGGCGAAAACCGTCAATCAAGAGGTACACGTCAGATACGAGGCCAACTCAATGATTGGTCGCCTTACGGACCTACGGATTACCCTCCAAATATCCAACGTCAGCACTAATATCTTGCTCTACCTCTTGAATCTGACATATAAGTAATACGCTGCCCTTTTTCAAGAAACCATGGCTCATTCTTGCATCCTGTCTGAAGTGGCATATTAAGATGGAAGTGCCTAATAAGTCATGGGTTGACGGCCCCTTTGAGCTCATCAGCGCGTCAAAAGCAGGTGATTCGGTATGAACCGTGGATACAGACGCTAAAACTGTAATGGCGCAGTTACTAATGATCGGACTCACACGTAGCTTAACAAACGAGCTGAAGGTGCTCGGAAATGCGCTGCAGGCATGGCTGTCGTCCATAACCTATTCCTGCGAGGCGTCAACGCCATCTATCTCCAGGCAATCAATGTCGCCGAGAAAGGAACACAAAAAGACAAGGTGGACTTTGCAAGCTTTGCATGGGCATGGAGCCAAGAAATCCAGGAACATCATGACATTGAGGAGGAAAAGATCTTTCCAGAAATCAACAGAATCACCGGCGTACCAGGGTTGATGGACGCCAACATCGACGAGCATCGATTATTCCACGAAGGACTGGATCGCTTTACAACCTACATCGAAAAAGTCCGCAAAGAAGAGGAGAAGCTCGACGGCGAAAAGCTCAGAGAAATCATCGACTCATTCATGCCCGCACTCAGAACACATCTGGACAACGAAATCGATACCCTTGTCGGACTCGAAAAGTACGCCGACAAATGCGACTGGGGAGCGTGGTTCGAGAAAACAGGGGCCGAGATAGGATCTAACGCCATGAAGAAAGCGTCTCATCGTAACGAGATTTTGCCGCTGGCTCTGATTCTTCACGATAAGGATTTCGAAGGTGGTATCTGGGCGGATTTTCCTCCTCTTCCCTGGATTGCACTGGTTGCTATTCGATGGTTGTTTGTTCGTACGCATCAAGACTGGTGGCGGTTCGCGGGGTGTAATTCCTCGTCTAATCGACAGGATTTGCCATTTGCTTAATGCTGTTGGTTCGAGGGTTGTTGGTTCTGGGATATATAGTGGATATGTTAGAATGAGATGTTACCCTGATACATAACAGAGTTGCATAGAGAACAGTTGTCTCTCACTCGTAGAACTGCGGTGTGAAAAGACTATACGCCATATTCACGTGAGAGCCATACAATATCTCCTCGGTATAATAACCCCCCACTCGTGTTTCAAGTGTTATTATTTACGACGCCGCAGTTCACAGAACCCTAGAGGCTTAGCTTACCGGTACCGTGATATTGGGAAGAGGGCTTGCCTTGTCACGGGGAGAGCGGCACAGTCATGCGCGTGTTTTTTTGTACTGGAATCTTCTAGGGGCGGGTGTTACCTAGCCTGCTTCCCCTTAACTGGTGCGCGGGATGAGGTGACAGGGGCCGCACTGTACTGTAACCGTATGCGGAGAGGGTTTGCGGATCCGAACGGTTATAAGGCTATTGCTCGGGTAGGGTCGATACGAATTGGATGTTGATACTGCGTGGAACGGATATATGTCAGCCCTATGTTTACCGAAATCTTGGGTATTTGTTATTCTGTGTTATTTCCATGGCATTGAGGACATAGAGTTGTGGTGGTTGGGCTTACTGGGTTATGTACATTATTGCGAGCTGTCATCTCGCATACCCTTCTGTACGAAAATGCACCTCAACGGATGCAATTTTCCCGAGCGAAACGCACAAGGAATACGTCGACGATCATTTTGTCTTGTGGATCTCTCATACTACATTCATCCGCTGATGTGATCTATAATATGTTGTTCTCTCGGAGAAGGGGGAAAGGCTGTGCAGTACAACCCAGGGTCTGTAGGGTATCATTGACTGGCAAGTGTTGGTTCGTCAATGAGGCGATTCAGTATCTCGACTCCTCGAGGCTGCTCGGATCGCAGTGCTTTGACATCAGCTGATTCATGCGACCAATAAGCTCTGTATCTATCGACTCAAAGTGAGACACGGCGCCTATCAGACCGTCGTGATCGACGCCTCAGTATCCAAACTGAATGTCCACGGAGCAATGGCGAACGGCACTGTATTCCGGTCTTCGTTTAAGCAGTTTGCAGTAAAGATATGCGCCATCCGACGCCATACAACCAACAGCTGCAACGCTGTCCACCAGAAATACCTGGGAACAAACCTTGTCTGCCAAACTCGCCAGTTGCCTCCAGTGCGTGTCAGGGGCCCGAGTGCTACGCTAGCGTTGTTTTCTCGCCTTGCATGCAGACGCCCCAAACCCAAACAAACCGTAGTCTCGGCAGTCTTTCTCTCTCTTCAGTTTCAGGAGGTAACTCTCGTTCTGGCATGTCTCACTGTGCAAAAAACGACAATCAATTACCGCAAATTCTAGTGGAGTCATGTTGTATTTTCTTATTTGCGAGAGCAATCCACTTGGGGGAGGACCCTAGCTACAGGAACATGTTTGCTTAACCGACGCGCAATCCCTGCATGTGAAATCCAATCCCTGGTGCCTTTGATCCCAACGGCTTTTTCGCGTTCCTTGGGCCTCCCAGAAAGCGAGAACAACTCACCGCTCATTTCTGCCGTGTTACCATGTAACGTCGCTAACCAAATCTACATCATACGAGACAATCCTTTAAGAACAGGCCTCGGCACTTATTTATTCCTCCTGCTAGACCAGTTTTTGTACCCCAATTTCCAGATTTCATCCAAATACCCGTTCACGTCCACTACTACTAGTGTCTACAATTTTTGATAACAGCTTCATTATGGAAACGATGGCACCTCTTCATCATGCCCTCCCCCCTCTTGAGGTCTTTGTAAATGCTGAGGATTTTCAGAACCTTGGTGTGACGCCATGGTTCAGTTACTCAGTCACACTGCCGGAGCGACCCATTCCCAGCGCTTCGGATCGGCCCCCACTGGAGACCGAGCGTCTTGTTATTCGACCTCTCACAATGAAAGACCTGGATGCTTTCCATGAGCTTCGCAAACGTACTGAGATCCAGAACCATTCAACAGCTCGCGGCCGAGCAACTAAAGACAAAGACGAGACAGAAAGACAACTCCATTCTCTGGTCCAAGACGACCAAAGCCACTGGTGGTTTGGCGCCTTTCTTAAATCGACCAATGAGCTCATAGGCGAGGGTGGCCTGCCAGATGTCCTAACCATGTCCTCTTCCATCTCTGGTTGGCCAGAAGCCGAGTTCCTCATCAAACCAGAATTCTGCCGCCAAGGATACGGAACAGAACTCTGGAAGGCAGTCATGGACTCATGGTGGGATCTGCCCCGTGAGAGAAGACGACACCAACTGGTTCCCATCGTTGCACCTGGAAAAGAACCCGGCGACAAGATGGACGAGTGTGTTGTTTTCCAGTGGGAAGCAGGCAACGAAGCAGCCAAGAACTTCTTCGCAAAGGTTCTATCACAAGCACCTGTTGCTGCACAGGGCGGCTGCGAGAGCATCGATACGCGAGATGGAAAGGAGGGAAATATTATCACGTGGGCTGGCACAATCATTTGCAATCCTAGGCCGATGCCTGAGGAGGAGGATTCTGATTAGATGAAGCGGAACAATTTTTTTAAAAAATGGTCAAAAAACGGTTTCGGGGTAAATTTAAACGGGCCAATCTCGACAGGACATACTTGGTTTAGGGCGCGAACAGCAAGCGATAACTCGTTGATTGATAGCATCTTTGCATATTAGACGGCATTTGATAGCAACTAGGTAATCTGACAATTTCAAGCTGTACATTTAATAACAAGACTTGTTTTACTGTCTCATGACTCTGGCGCCGCCCATTGCGAAAATGTTTCTTCGAGATTTTCGAGGAGTACAATGTTAACAGCTGGACGTAGACTGAGTTTACTTGTCTTTCTGATGTTATTCCCATTGCAGATCCTTGTTTCGGCTATAGTAAAAGGCAAGCATGTGCAACCTATGTACATGCACTGACGCAAAACTCGAAACGCGCGTTGGCCTCGGGAATCATGATCTGAGTTTGCAAAGCTTGACTTTTCTCCACGAACCAAGATGTTTTACCTCGTTCAGGCCTGCCGAACCCCACTGTTCTTGTGGACAGTATAGGAATAGCAGGCTTAAAGCTCCGAGTTCCATTTCATTGCCTCATCTTCTAAGCTTGTTCTAGAAGGTCCTCCCAAAGCCGAAACTAGCTGCCGTCAGTAAAACCATAATAGGATCTCAGTCCGAGCTCGTTGAGATATCAGATGGGGCTTTGTCGATCATTGGCTCATAACGTTCCGAGCGAGCTAGCTAGCCTTAACATCAGTTTAGAGAAAACCCAAAACATCTCCAGTTTGACTATTGCTAATCATTCAAACTACCGGTTCTTTAGTACCATTTGAGTTGTTGGATGATTTACGAATCGTACAAATAAACTTTAGCCAGCTGTTAGACGGAATATGTTTTCTTCCAAACTGCCGTGGACACTGTTCCCTTGGGCAGCTGCCTAAAGTTTATTCTTACGGCTTGCAACTCCTCCTATAACCACTCCTAAATTGTTTGTAGACAGAGCTGATCTTCAAACCTTAGTGATATGGGCATCTACAGGGGCTACGGGTAACCTCGGCATGTAAGACGGCTTTTCAGCAGTTTCCAGCATCATAAAGTCAAAATTGAGTTTATTCCCGCGGACTTTCCGGTCTCCATGACCTCGGAACCTAAGCCTTTCAGAATTCTTTACTGTTATATGGGGTAGCGGCGGTACAATGATTTGATTAGGGTTTAGACAGGCAGATTCACACAAGCCTTCGTGGCCCACAAGCCTCTTCGATAATGCGGTATCTGGAGCTTGTAAAGACAGTAGGTCATAGGTACGAAATGTTATAACTCTGATAAGCATTCATAGAGGTCTCATTTCCTTGCTTTAGTCCAATGATTGCGGAGACCTATATTGCATAGATATGGAAAGTTCAGAGGCCGTTTCCTCCAGTTAATGAGGCAGTTCGAACTAGTCTTGTACTTTACCCAATATGCCTACAGAAATACATAGAAGATATGCCAATGTGATGGCTTGATACACTCCTCTGTATTATAAGCTTGAACTTCCAATTATTCAAAATCTAAAGGCATAATATCTCTGGGCTGGGCAGTACTGTAATTCCTATATCAGTTTATGTTACTTGTGATGACTTAGGCTTTATAGTCTCTTAATCTTTCTCGATGAATGCTATATAACTCAATCCAGCTGTACCAAGTCAGATCAAGACTTTATACTACGTTATCCGGATCGGCAACAGAACTGGAGCCGTTAGTCCTTGTGGCTAAAAATAGACAAAGAGGAGATAAGATAAGATAAGATGCGACTGTTGACGTCAAGCTTGAATGACGCAACGAGCCGCGATAAGTTTCTGCTCACTTCTCTATAGAAGACACATTAAAGATTACAGCTGGAATACCAGAGAAGGACACCCTTGAAGCTCATTAAATTTGCTTCGCTAGGGCTGTTAAGCTCATTCCAACGGCCCTTGTGGACCTGTGGCCATAGAAACTCAAAGTCACCGTTGGCGGCCCGCCCCGACGGACGCGCCCGCATTCCGATCACCTTCATTGTGAGTGACTCTAGTCTGCTGAGCAATGGCGTGTATTAGAAGGAAGGGAGGCAGTTTCACTCATTCAGGTCAAAACATGCCCAGAAAACCAAATCTCAAACTAACTCAGTATGGTCGTTTCTATCGGGACTTCCCCAAGACCAGCTGGGAAATTCCTGTCCAGGGTTCTTTGGGCCCGAACGAGAAGGCTCATAGGTATAATGCCACAACATCGCTTGGTCGAGTATTCTGTGGGGCAGTCCATATTGATGCTCGCCGAAGCTGTTCAGAACTCCAAGGAATGGATTTACTTTATCCGAAACAAATGTCAATAGCTTGTTGAGTGTTCGTTGACTTGGTCCGAGTATTGCTCGTCTTCAGGAACAAGAGAAGCAGATATGTAACCAAGCTTCATGGATGCGAATTCTCTGAATCCCTCGGGCACAAGCTTCTCGGAGCCACGGCTATACATGTACACCATATCTTCTCGAAAGATCAATAGATTCTCTGAGAGAAGTCCCTCATGATACGTCCATCCACGGGTCTTCCACGTTGAAGCTGTTGAAGCTTCGTGTAACGTGGGTATCAAGATCTTATCGCCAACCGAGATATGAATTGGTGGTGTTCCGGCTGTGAAACACCAGGGAGACCTTGATTTATATAGTGTGGCTCGGACGATACAATAGTGAAGCTTGCTTTGGAATAAATCCGTCCCATAGCTTCAAGCTGAGCTGATTTTCTCTTCTGGTCGTCCTGAATAACACAAATTCTGTCGATCCAGAAGTGATCTATGCCAAGCTGGGAGCAGACCTTGAAAGCATCTCGGAAAAGAAGCGGCACGCCTTTTTGGTGAAAGCGTCCTGGGAGCTTGAGACTCCCAAAGTTCTCTGTTGTTGTTGTGATCTCCTCGCTTGATTTGCCCCAAACATAACTCAAACCCGCGTAGTTCGGAACTTGGACACCGTCGGTTTCGACTAGGCAAGCCCCAGGTACATTGATCAGACAGAAACCCATGGGCAATACTTCATTGATGGGGTTGCGTTTGCCTGCCGTAGATGGTGGTCCGGTATACCATTGTCGACGACGTTTCCAATTGACCTCGGGCTTTGCAAAATCGGGCTTGATAGCATTCTTGTCAAAGACCGCCAACTCGGGACATTTTATGTTCTCAATATGTGTATGATGCTGGAACTCCTCCGTATTCTTGTATAAGATGGCACCAGCAGCTCGGTACTCGCAGTTTCTCATGTGAAAAGTTCTACCCAGCTCAAGGGCGACGTTTCGAGTATCATCTACCTCAAAGGATGATTGCGATATGGACTGGCACAAGAAACGGCAAACATGACATTCCGATCGAGCCTCAATTTCAGTGAAGGTACCCAAGGATATTCTTGCTATGGGGTCTGCTGGTCCCCATTCTTTGGTAAAGAGTCAATTGACCCAGTGATCGCAAAGGTTGCAGACGGAAGTAGCTTCACCTATATTTCGAGATGGTTCACCATAGAAAAAATTCACAGCATCTTTGTAAGAAACTGTCGGGTGCCTCTCACGTTCAAGTTCAAATGGCTTGGAGTAAGAGGCAAGTTCAGACTCAGTGGCAGGACCGGCATCGCTGGTAGATGGCTCATTAAATTTCTTCGGGATAGCTTTCTGAGATGTATCACGAATTCTGATGAGCAAACATGTCGTGCATTGCGAGACTTGAGGAATTGACTCAGCATTGCTGCCCATTGTGTATTGATTGGCTCTGGAGTCTGTACTCTGTAGTAGGGAAGCAAATGAAGAGGGGAGCGCGATGAGAGCTTTTCGTAGCGCGTAGATATACGCGTATATCTTACTGCTAGCCGAGCCTAAAGCCTACACGGGAGAGTGAAAGGCAAGGAAGTCCTTCCTGACACGTAAAGGCACAGATTTTGCCCATAGCACGCGTGCTTTTGCCAGCTCAACAATTGGCACTGATAGTCACTGGGAGTTGTCGATCATTCTGACAACGAGCCTCGAGCCGAGAGGGGTAGTCAAAGCTTCTTTTACGCTATGACCTCGAAGAGAGAGACTTCCAATTGGTGGCGGTACGAGCGGCGTATCAGGAGTTATCGACACAATAATTGTTAAGGTGAAAAGCAATGAGCCTTGCGTGTGACCTTCTGTGACCCGACACGCAGAGACTCTGCTGGTTCAAACAAGCGAGATAATTGGAGTGACTTTCGGATAGTAGAAGAGAAGGCAAAGAAATGGGCTATAAGCAAAAGCTAGTAGAGAAAGTAAATAAAGGAGAGTATGCAGAATTGGTAGAAGCTGACTGAATAATTTCGATATCAACAGGTTGCTAGTGTTGGACAGAGGTCACATTTGTCACCCCTGGACGAGGTTGTATTTATTGTAAGGAAGATCTATATGCAGTATCACTATAGCTGATCTGTCGTGTAAAATAAATTTCATGTCAAGTTATGTATTTATCTTGTAATAATTTTACGCTTTTAAATAGATACAATAGACTTTGAAACATTGTTTCGATGAATTTTACAATTTCCTCGTTATGTCCAGGGTAGTCCAGCTGATGGTGCGACGTGGCGTCGACGGTTCATCCGTAAAAAACAGCCCCAAACCCCACGAACCGCGCGCTAACAAACGGGTTTGATAAGCGCCAACCCTACGCCATTTGTTTCAGGTCCAGATTTGCTTTGAGGATCAATGACGATCATGACTTGAAATTACTTTCCAAGCGCTTCAACCTATATCATTTCTCTTTTTTCAGATTTTTTTGTCTCATTCTTCCCCCGCTGGAAAAACGATGCCGAACACGAGAATTTTAGGACAGTTGAACAGGGCATATATCTAAGAAAAGATCATGTCCCGCTTCTGCAAGAAAAAAACTCAGAATATTCTATTCTCAGTTCCATCTCGTAAACTAATGCATAGAATCGTCAATTGACGTGGTGAATTTCCCTGGTGCAAATCTAATCTAGACCTTCTTGGCTTGCTCGAGAGCCCCACGACGCAACACCACTGGATGATTCGATCAGGGCTTGCAGGGATCATGGGCCAACCAACCTGCAGGACCTCATTCTGTTTATAGCCGCTGAGTGGCCAGAGTATCCAATTATAGCACACAATCACAGCACCTCGAGCGGAGTCGTGCGTCCAAACACGAGGCCTTGTGCATGTTTCGTGTGCGTGAACCTTGGTCTCTCTCAAGACATTTTTGTTTATTGTTAGAATCGTTTCTGCAGGCTAAAACAATATGCTCCATTATTCAGCGGCCTATCCAAGGTCACTTCAACCCCATGCCCACCTGAACTGACTCCGTTTTTTACGCCGCAAGGACAGGCCACATCATGAATGATCGGCACAGCGTACTGTATTTTTGGAAGCGAGCCGCCTGGATATCTCGGATGTTTACGACCATGTCTCTGATCCACTATCCACTATCAGATGCAGGCGCTTTCTGCCCAAAAGACTCCGTCTCATCCAACCACCCATCGACTGACCGCCCTGTCAGTCCCGTTTAGGTAGATCCGGAATGACCTCACCCTGCTATGTTTTGTATGCAAGCGCCCGTATTCCAGATGGAGACGAGACGCTGCCAAGTTTGGATCATCGAAAGATGATTGATTTGCGCGTACCACTTACGTGGAGACCATCTCAGCTGAAATTCTACCTGACAAGCGATCTTAAGATTTGTATAAAGATTGAGGCTACACCAGCTCGTTACACATTCTTTTTGTTCCTCAGCAACAATTCACTTTCGTTTCATACAAACAACAACCTTTTTCATTCGCTTTACAACATTCGTTGAAACACGGAAAGATGAGAAGCTTCTTTCTACTCAGCGCCGCTGCTATTGGCGCGGCCAACGCTGGTGTTTTAGACTTTCGTCGTCAGCCAAGGGGAGACTACAATCTACCTCAGGGCTACACAACTTCGACCGTCTATGAAACCCAGGTCATCACAGTCACTGATTGTCCTCCCGATATTCCAGACTGCCCTAATGCACCTCATGTAACGACCAAGACTGTTGCTGTTTCAACTACCATCTGCCCCATCTCCGAGGTTCAACCTACCCAGCCTACTGATCTCTATCCTCCTCCTGCTCAGTCTGCCAACACTGAGCCTGCTCAACAAGAGACTACTCCATATGCTCCCCCCCGGCTGCTACTACAGATGTGACTCCTCCTGAGCAGACAACCTCAGAGGATACCGGCAAGGACACTACCCAGTATGCTCCTCCTCCCGTTCCCACTGTCGCTACTTCCGAGCACCAAGATACCACCGACTATGCACCTCCCGAGTCCGCGGCCACCGAGACTGTCAGCAAGCCTGTTGAAGACACTTCTGATGTCGAGACTCCTACCAACGCTTATCCCCCTCCCGGTAACACTCAGCCTTCAAAGGATACCACTGATGTCTCAACCCCAACTGGAGCCTATCCCCCTCCAGAGAACACTCACAAGACAAAGACCGAGCAAGAGTCTACTGCAGTCGTCACAACTGAGGAGTCCACCCCAACCGGTGTTTACCCTCCTCCCGAGAACACTCCATCTGAGTCTGAGCACGAGTCTACTGCTGTCGAGACTACTGCTGAGGGTAAAACCTCAACTGACTTGTACCCTCCTCCTGCCAACACAGAGACCACCAAGCCCGGTAAAGACTCCACTGAGGCTCTTACACCCACTTCCGAGTACACTCCTCCCGAGAGTACCGATGTGACCCAACAGGGATCTACCGATGTTGGCAGCTCCACTGACGCGTATCCCCCACCTGAGGGTACCCCAACTACCCAGCCTCTTAGCGAGGGTACCACGGCTGTTTCCGAGACCACCAAGCCTGCCCAGTCTGAGACCGAGACTGGCAGTGCCTCTACTACACAGTGGACCACCTCAACTGTCTACACTACCAACGTGTACACCATCACTTCTTGCCCTCCTGAGGTTCCCAACTGCCCTGGTGGCCAGCATGTCACTACAAAGACCATCGCTGTGTCTACTACTGTCTGCCCTGTCACTGAGACCAAGCCTGTGACTGAGCATGGCGAGACTCATACTCCCAACTATCCTATCCCCGGCTCTACCGAGACTGAGCACCAAGGTACCGAGACTGCCACTGTCTCCAAGCCTGGTGAGACCGAGACCAAGACTGAGTCTGTTCCTGAGGAGACTGAGACTTCTCCTTCTACTGGTGCTTACCCGCCTCCCAAGGCCACCACTGGCACTACCGAGGGAGTTGAGACCGAGACTACTCCTGCTGAGACCAATACCGTTCCTGCTGAGACGGAGACTACCAAGCCTGCGGTCGGTACCTCTACTGGTGCTTACCCTCCTCCCAAGGCTACCACTGAGACTACTGAGACCGGTGTTGAGACCGAGACCGAGTCCCTCCCTGCTGAGTCTACCAAGCCTGCTGTTGGAACTTCTACCGGTGCCTATCCTCCTCCTAAGGTTACTACCGGAACCCAGACTGCTAAGACCGAGACTGGTTCCGAGCATCCCACTGAGACTCAGCCCAACACTGAGCAGACCAGCCAGTGGACTACCTCAACTGTCTACACGACTAACATCCGCACCATCACGTCTTGCCCTCCTGAGATCCCCAACTGCCCTGGTGGTAAGCACGTCACAACTGAAACCATTGCTATCTCTACTACTGTCTGCCCTGTGACCGAAAAGGGATCTACCAAGCCTGCTACTGTCACCAAAGAACAGCCTACTTACCCCGTCCCTACCCAGGCTACTGAGACCGAGGGCCAGTCTACTGCACCTACTACTGAGACTGAGGAGCAGCCAACTAAGCCCGTGACTCACCATGAGGGATCTACCAAGCCTGCTACCGAGACTGAGACCAAGCCTGCTACTACCGGTGGCGAGGAGCACCCTACCGAGACCAAGCCAGCAACCGAGACTAAGCCTGCTACTGAGACTAAGCCCACTTACCCAGTTCCCACTGAGACCAAGCCTGCTAGCACCACTGACTGGACCACCTCGACTGTCTACACCACCAACATCCGAACAGTGACTTCTTGTGCTCCTGATGTGCCCGACTGCCCCAATACTCCTCACGTCACAACCGAGACTGTTGCCATCTCCACCACCGTCTGCCCCGTCACCGAAGCGCACCCCACCGAGACCAAGCCAGCTCCTACCAAGCCTGCGACCGTCACTGAGGAACAGCCCACCAAGCCTGCCACCGAGACGAAGCCTGCTACTGGGGGACACTCTACTAAGCCCGCTACTCAAGAGCATCCTACCAAGCCTGTGACTGGTGGTCAGTCTGAAGCTGGATCTACCCAGCCTGCTTCCACTACTGAGTGGACTACCTCAACTGTTTACACGACTAACGTCCGCACTGTTACATCTTGTGCTCCTGAGGTCACTGACTGCCCGCTTACTCCTCATGTCACTACTGAGACTGTTGCTATCTCTACTACTGTTTGCCCTGTTACCGAGCAGCATCAGACTGAGCCCAAGCCCACTGAGCCCAAGCCCACTGAGCCTAAGCCAACCCAGCCCAAGCCCACCGAGCCCAAGCCAACTGAGCCAGTCAAGACTACCGGATGGTCAACCTCCACCATCTACACCACTAGTGTTCGCACCGTCACTGCTTGTGGCCCTGAGTTCCCCAACTGCGAGACACCCACTCCTCACGTCACTACTGAGACTATCGCTGTTTCCACTACCATCTGCCCCGTCACTGAGCAGCACCAGACCGAGCCCAAGCCTACTCAGCCTAAGCCAACCGAGCCTAAGCCTACCCAGCCCAAGCCCACTGAGCCAGCCAAGACTACCGCTTGGTCTACCTCTACTGTCTACACCACCAGTGTTCGAACTGTGACTACCTGCGGTCCTGAGCACCCTAACTGCGAGCAGCCTACTCCTCATGTCACCACCGAGACCATCGCCATCTCTACCACCGTCTGCCCAGTTACCGAGGAACAGTCTTCTCCTACCAAGCCCAGCACTCCTGGCCAGCCTTCTCAGCCTTCTCAGCCAGAGCAACCCTCTCAACCCGTGCAGCCTTCCAACCCTGAGCAACCCACCAAGCCTGCCGGTGGCAACCACCAGACCTACCCCGTCGGACCCGTCCCAACTCAGCACATCGTCACAACTGGCTGGTCTACCTTTACTGTCTACACCACCAACATCCGAACTGTTACTGCCTGCGCTCCCCACGTTGCTAACTGCCCTGGTACTCCCCACGTCACCACCGAGACCATCGCTCTCTCAACCACTCTTTGCCCCGTCACCAAGACTCAAGTCATTCCCGGCCCTGGTGCTACATACTACCCCCCTGGACCTCACCGACCTGGCAACACGACATCCACTCTTTACACCACCAAGTACTTCACCGTCACTGCTTGCCCTCCCAAGGTCACCGACTGCCCCATCGGCGCTGTCACTTCCACCGTCTACGCCACAGCCACCACCCAGATCCAGCAGTGGAACCCCTCCAACTCTCACGTCTACCAACCTCCCTCTCCCACCAAGGGTTATCCTCCCACCATCCCTACCAACCTGACTCCTGGCAACCAGACAGTCACCACCTTCATCCGATCTACCACCAAGCTCTACGAGACTCCTGTCACGACCCCCAAGGCGGTTGAGACCACTACTTCCAAGGCTGGTTATGAGAAGCCTCCTTATCCTGTTTACTTTTAAGATTTCTGTACCTACATGCATCTCAAAGTGTCTGGAACCATGAGAGCAACGACTGCATACTTTACTTAGAATGAGTAACTTACGACCTACATGACCCGTTTTTGTATTTAGATATTATCATATTATGCACACGAAAAGAACATAGCTTAGAAGCAATACTGTCAATACAATAGTACATCTTTCCTTGTTTATTACATACTGGCTGTTGTATATGTATCAAGTGATTTCGCCTTAGTGACTCTAACGAACCTCACTCAGACATCTACTACTATCTACTCGTCAAAGATGATCACAGCTTCGACTTGAATTCAGTTTGAATCTTTGACAAAACAGGCTCTGCAGCACGAACGGCATCTAAAGCCATCCCATAACCAGCCTGGAACCCAGTGCCACCAGCACCATAGTTGTGAACGACAGTACGCTTCTGTCCCGCGACAGTCAAGTCTTCCCTCTCTACTCGAGCACCTCCTTCGCGCGACGGACGAAGGCCGGAGAAAGCTGCGAGAACATCTAGACTTCCATTCCTGACTTCATCACTGAGCGCCTTGGTGCGTTCCAGGATAGACTCTGTTTCGTACGAGTAGGTAGCACCGTCACTGGCAAGACCGGTTAGCTCGCGATACACAACACGGACAGAGATTAATCACTTACCCGTTGCCCTTTTGCATATACCCTCCGAGAATAACATGTCCTTTGGAAAATGGCCGAGGGATCACGTATGTCTCGTAATCTTTACCATGCCTCATAATGTTCGTGTGAACCTCGGGCGCGTGAGTTAACAGCACTTGTCCTCTGGTCGGGTAGCATTTAGAATCCTCGACTCCCGGCAAGATTCGCGCAGCATTGCCAGTACAGTTGAACACGATCTGGGTAGATTGGCTGAAAAATGCGGTCTGAAGATCTGGAAGCTTTTGTCGAACAAAGCGAACACCGTAGTCACTCTTCAGTCGCTCATAGAGGTAGAGCAGATGCTTCGGCGCATTTACAGTGAGAGTAGTAAATGATACAGCAAACTTGACGCCCTCAGGCAGTTCAGAGACTGGAAGTTCTTGGAACTGGAATATGTCAGCTGGAATCTTATCATCCTGTGCATGAACTTACGTCTTCAAGGTACTCAGACATTGCCTGAATCTTATCACGAGGAACAATGTCGTCCCATAACTCAGTGGAAGGCGTTCGCTTAACGTAAGATTGCTCTGGCCTCTCAGAAGCAAGCTTGCTGAGATGGAAATATCCGGCCTTGTCCCATTTCAGGGCGTTGGCATCTGTGCCAGAGATAGCTGAGAAGTTACAGCCAGCCCTGTAAAGAGATGAGCATAAGCAAGTCCGGCGCTAACAAGCGGCATAACTGACCATGGAGAAGTATAAGTCAGAGCTGTGTCTCCAGGAAGATGCTCAGCAATGACTGTAATGGACTTGCCGTAGCCTCTCTCTGCGAGGACAAGAGCTACATCAAGGCCAATAATGCCAGCTCTTTTATGAGGGTCAGTACAGAATTGCAAACGGGTTCATCGGTATCCAGGCCAGCCACTCACCCCAAGATTACGATACTATCGTGCGCACTCATGTTGATCTTTGTAAATTAGATGATATAATAGATTCCAGGCAGATTGATGAGTTCACAAGATGTCACATATCTACTACGGAGGGACTGGTGCTTCATTTGAAGCTATACAACGCAGTCTTGCGATACTAGAGCAGAATCCAGAAAGCGTATGCCGCTTGCAAAGCCGAGACTCTTCTAGAGGTTATTTCCTAAACCGGAAATACGACACCCAAGTGGGCAGTAAGCCACGTCGCCCCATCACTACCACCAAGAGTAGTCGAGTCAAGAGCTAACACCAAACTAGGACTTCGCCTATTTGAGCCTCAGACATTCTGGCAAACTGTAGCTAGGCCGGTAACCTTGTCGGCTGAGATCTCTGAGCTCTTAGGTGCTACTTTTGGTAGGGGTTGAGTATGGGTAAACTACGGATACTGCCCGGCAATATTGAGAAAGCATAGCGGTGGTACATCTGAGATCCAAAGACAAGACGATGTTCCTACTGAAGCAAGGTTGCTTTGCTTGGTGCCTTCTAAACTTATCTGAGGTTGGCTTATATCAAGGGTCGAGTACTAAATGTCTCCAAGTCCATTAAAAGTGATCTACAGGATTCTGATGAAGAGAGTCTTTTGCCTTTATGAACAGAACTTTTATAAGAATATGAGGCTTCTCCGGTATTAAGTCCCTTGCGATTTCAGTGATGTCCATCAATTGAATGCGACTGAAAAGGGCTTGGATGTAGAGTAAAATGCGTTTTATTTAATGCCAGTATTTACAAGTATCTCAACCATCGCCCTTAATAGTCAATCTTGAAGCTAAACTCATCCTCCCAGTGCATAGCCCAGTAACGATCCCAGATAGCCTTCGTAATAGGTCCAACCTTTCCATCATTCACAGGCTTATCATCCAGGGTAGTGATAGGCATAATACCACCAGCAGTTGTGCACATCAAAATCTCATCAGCCTGATAAGCCGCCTCAATCGGAACATGCTCAACACGAATCTCATATCCACAAGATCGCGCAGCGTCGATGACACTCTTCCTTGTAATTCCCTGCAAGACTCCACGATCAGGTGTATAGAGCACGCCATCCTTGATGATGACGACGTTGAAGCCTGATCCCTCGGTGAGGTTGGCATCACCGTCAGTGAGGAAGGGATAAGTGGCGCCACGGTCGTTGGCCTCGAATAAGCCGCGGACAAGATCACCCCACTGAAGATTCTTAATGGTGGGATCGATAGAACCAGGTGGAACGCGTCGTACGGTTCGTGCAACAATCGCACGACCACCATGATACTGATCCTCAGGATCCATAACCCAAACATATGGCTGAACAAACATGTAAAGGTTGTTATTAAGAAGCTCCTCCGGCTTCGCTCCCCTCACACCCTTAAGACCACGAGTAACGATCAATTCAACAAACGCATCCTTGATCTCACTCTTGGCCACCATCTCAATCAAGATCTTCTTGATCTCCTCACGAGGAATAGGGAAGCGAAGTCTCATCTTCTTGCAGCTGGCCTCAAGACGATCAAGATGGTCGTCGAGACGGAAGAAGCGGCCGTCCCAGACGGAGGGCACATCGTAGGTCAGGTCGCTGTGCATGAAACCCTGGTCGAGGAGGGGGATACGAGCTGATTGCAGGGGAACGAGCTCGCCTTCGACCCAGGCGATGCCTTGGGAGAGGATGTTGTTGCTGGCTTCAAGGGTGGCTTGTCGCTTGGCGTAGCCGGCGAATACCTTGTCCATGGTCGCCATTTTGCTGTGTTGTCTTTGGTGTGATGTGTTGGTGGTGTTTGTTTTGGTGACTGATGAGATTGATGGATTGAGATGATGTGTTTGGTTGGTGAGATCAATTAATCTGATACGATTCAACCTTTGCTTTTGTAGACGTTTGCAAATTATCTTGAATAACTCCAAGACATGTAGAACGAGATACCCCGAGTCTCTATGGAGAATGATACACGCCAAGTCTCGACACAGTAGTTACTCAATGGCGTAATTCCTCTTTGGGTAATACTGCATCCCCGCAACCAACCGGATTGCCACCAGACCAACGGCTCACCCTGTCAAGCAACCCCCCAAAACGGTTGAGCTGTACTGAGTAATTACTTTATCGCTGCGGAATGCGCTGAGGGGAATTACCACTGGTTGTTGATACAGTCTTGTGGCACTGAGATAAACTTGGCTGGAAAGAAACGCAAAGACTGCTGATTCGGGATTCAACCGTCAAGAGAAGCAAGTGCACCTATTCGGAATATGATTACCAGATAACAAGTCTCGTTAATTATGATTACGAACGAGATTGGCTGGATTAACCGAGAGTCCTTGCACGATCTCTTGCCTCTACTCATCGGACTGAGAAACACAAAAGTCCAGCTGGACGATGATCTAGATTTCGCCATCGGAGTGACAGGATGACAACTACCGTCATGTCAATTCTTCACATTGTAATTGTTATTAGACTTGTAAGGCCCGGCTGTGTTTCCTTCAAGTAAGAGTTGGGCTTGTAACCAGACAGCCTCTGGGCACTCTGGCCCAATCATCCCAGCAGATATGACTCCATTCGGAAGATAGAAAATGCCATTTATAGTAAAAAATGCGAGTAGTATATATACATCATGGATCCCTCCCATGTTTCAAACTCGTGAATGTTTGTTTGCCCAATCTGACATTCAAGTATTGACACGGCTGGTTCTCTTGTCCCAAACCTGGAAAGGAAGCTCACTAACGCTACCAAAGCAGAGACTGCAAACCCGAAGTACGCATTAAAAATTCTCATCCGAATAAATACTGCCTCCCCTCCCCAGAATTAACATTCGACCGACTCTTCTGATCAATAACAGACCCCCACCATGAATCCGCCGCCTCATCAGCCCAAACCTCCTCAAGCAGAGTATTCGCCGTCAAAAACATATCATATCTCGTCCTCTCATTCCACCAGCTACAATACGTCCTCGCAGCTTGTCGCAAGTGCTCATCCGACGTCTCGCACCCAGCAAGAAATACCGGAAGAAGGAGTTGCTTTTGCAGCATTGAACTATATCTACAGGACGTGACGTGGTTGAGAGTCTTGCGAGCGAGGAAGCCTAGTATAGATGGAGCGGGTTGATCACGCTGCCATTTGAAGACGCGACCGATGTAGATTAACAGTCCGTATCTCCAAGCTTCGGCGCAGTGATGTAGATCCTCTTTGTAATGCGCCACGTCGCCTATATCACAGCCTGTAGTATCTGAGACGAGTTGATCTGGAAGATCACCGTATTCAGGATCTGTCCACTCTCGTATCTCTTTCTCTACACCTAGAACAGGTTCCATGTCGAACTTTGCGCAGGTCATGTTGCTTATAAGCTCGAATTCTCGTGCATAGGATCCAAGACGAATCATGTGTCGGAATAAGGCTTCTGGGCAGCCTGATACACTGTAGAATGTTTCGTTGCTTGTTTTGTCGTGGTTGAAGAGACTGATTATCGTTGATTCGGAGAGCACGCATCCTTGGCGGCTTGTGAGGGCCAGAGTAACATCCCACCTGTTTCAGTCAGCACTCGGTGTATGTAATTGGCGTTAGGTGGTGCTTACCAGACCAACATCTCTATCCGTGCTTGCATCCGTGGTGTCTTCTTCATGTTGCAGAACTCGGCAGCCTGTATCATTTTATGCGCCCGCTTGAGATACCACGTCCAAGGTCCATGGGCAGATGTTGCACACTGAAGATATTAGCACCCAGTGAAGATGTCTCGTAAGGTGACTCACATCGAGGGTCATGAGAATAAGCACCGCGTCCAAGAATGTCGCTTCAATCGGTGACGCCTGTGACACGCCTTCCATGTCTTTGAGCATCTGAAGAGCTTTCTTCTTGTGCATCTTGGCCTCACCGGCGCAAGAGCCCGTATCGCGATTGATGTGCTTGTAGGAAAGAGCGAGGATGCAATGGAGGAGAAGTTGTGAGCCACGGCCAGTTTCGGCATCGAACCGGAACGGGTTGGCGGCAAAGTCGTGAGTTAGTGGCATGACGCAGAACTCTTGGTCATCTAATTATCGTTAGGTTGAGCTTTGATAGAGATTCCAATCACCTGTACGTACATCGAGTCAGTAACTGCGCAATGGTGTCGCTGATGTTGCTCGGCGCTGCGTGAGAGTTGAGCAATGGCAAGACGGGCTCTTCAATTGCTTGTGATTGCGCATTTGCACCAAATTCGCCTGTCGTACCACCGTTTTCATTTGGCAACTGTGGTCCTATGAAGTGATTCTCGGGTGAGTTGTCGGTTGATGATGAGTCGCCCAACTGAATGAGAGAAATGTCGGGGCCAAAATAAATCGGTAGTTGGCCATTGACCTGGTCAAAAGGTGCCATGAACGAGGGCCCTGTATCGATAAAGGGGTTCATAAGACTCGAGTAACTCCAGTCTATATCACTTCCGCTGTTCATACCCTCTCCCATCATCATGTCGTGATCAAAAGGATTGGCATTTTCGTGAGGAATCACTGGAGTCGCAGCCAGAGGAGCTTGCTCTGGAGCCTCTGTCGCTTCTACTGCTGGGGGCGTTGTGTTCTCTGCATTCTTATCTTGACTTTCGCTATTACCATCCGCTGACTTTGAGCTCGATGGCGGCGTCGCAGGCTCAGCAGGAGCAGCTTCATTTTGCGGCTTTGGTGTTGACGTCGACGCTTGCTTTGATCGTGTTGTCGGTCCGATGAAGTCGATTGAACCTGGTGCTGTTCCGTCGCGACGTCTTCTCTTGCGACTGAACGCGCCAACGAACTTGAACTCTCGGGGTGGTTTGACAGCCGACATCACGTTGATTGCTGGATATAGATATGTTTCAAGGGTAATACAGGAAAGTGAGGGTTTCTTTGGAGAATGAATGAATGAGGGGAAGGGTTCAGAAAGCTTCCCAAGCTTGAGAAGAACCTGGACCCATCCCCCATCATGACACTAAAAACGCCCCCGCCCGCCAGGTTTTTAGTGCAATCGACTACGGGGAATCAAACCGTTACAGTGCGTATCTTTAGTGGCGAATATCCACCGGTTGTTGAAAGATAACTTGATGAGCAGGGGATAAAGACTGACGATTCTGCGTGTCGCCAAGTATCTGTCCATGCCGCAAAGAGGGCCTCATTGGTCATGAAGCGAGTCATTGATCTTGAAACGTCATAACTTGACGATGTCAGTTTGGAGTTTACATGCAGTCACTATATGTTATCTTATCACATGCTTGATTCAGCATGACATTTCTTCAATCTCAGCTCATTCATTTAACAAGTTATTCGTTCATTTATCTCATGATTCAAACTATAGACTGCTAAATCTAATTGTACAGACCACCATTGGCAGAGAGCACAGAGCCCGTAGTCCACTTCGCATCATCTGTGCAGAGGAAAGCAACCAGAGGCGCAATATCACTGACCTCACCAACACGCGCCGCAGCAGGTGTAGAGTCAATGAGAGGCTGCATGTCCTTGAGGAACTGCTCGTCACTCTGGAACCATTGGTCTGTAGCGATTGGGCCAGGATTCACGCAGTTCACAGTGATACCGTGAGATTGACCAAGCTCCTTGGCCCAGACGCGAACGAGAGCCTCATCAGCTGCCTTGGTAGCGGCATAAACTGTCTGTCCAGCGACACCGAGACGAGCTCCTGCTGAAGAGATGAAGACAATTCGACCTCCCTTGGGGAGATGGGGCTCTGCAGCCTTTGTAAGGAAGATAGGTCCCTTGACATTGGCATCAAAGTGACGAGTGTAGAACTCCTCGGTTGTGTCTACCAGATTGGCCTCGTTTCCTTGAGCAGCGCTGCAAATCATGTGTTAGTAATCACTGCTTCAGTATTCATTGAAATACGCTTACTTGTGAATAAGAATCTCAATCTTGCCAGTTGAGCTGATCTTGAGAGCAGCATCAATCAACTTGGGGATCTCTGCAGTCTTGCTGACATCGGCTTGGACAACAATAGCCTTGGTGCCATTGGCCTCAATCTCCTTAGCGACCTTCTCAGCTCGCTCTCGGCTACCGTCTGATACGTAGTTGACCACCACGTTGGCACCTCGCTTGCCAAGGAGGATAGCAATGCCGGCACCAAGTCCGCTGAAACGTATTAGTCAAGATTGTACTCGCCTGAGGCTGTAGTGTTGCCCAGGGTAGCTTACCGAGACGCGCCAGTGACAATGGCAGTCTTGCCAGTCAGTTCGAGACCAGTAAAGTCAGGCATGTTGTCAAGTTGATGATGAAGTACACTAAAGTTATGCTATAATGCTGAGTGGTGTGTTGCGGTGTGATATGATACGGTAAGACTCGGGTATGGTCTGACTCTTTCAATGAGCTGTGGTTCGAGATTTTATGAACAAAAGCTGAAGAGCATTTAGTGTCAACGCCATAATTATCCAATTGATCATGACCATGGTTATGGAAGTTTGCAGTAATTACCCAATGCGGTATTAAGACGACGAAGACTCCGCTGAAGCCACTTGCGTGCGGAGCTCTCGTTACTACCTAAATAGGAACTAAAGAGAGCTCCAACCCCGCAGAGTCCACGATAGGAAATAGTACCAACTTTATGATGGAGCCCGTGGTGGAATTTGCCGGGTTGAAGATGGCTTGAGAATCCACTAATGATTGGAGTAGGTCTGACAGTGCAAATACAAGCCCGCTGTAACTAGATAAAGCTAACTCGAGTTTATCGCCATCGAAGCTAGACTCCAGCTACCTCCAAGCTTTCGACTTCGAATCCTGCAACTCCAAGTGTTTCTCCATTCTTTGCCAATTAGTCGCATTGCCACTTGTCCAGTATGACACCCAAGACAAAAGACGGCCATATTTGGGAGCCTCACACAGGCTTTCAGAGGGGACTTGAGAGCGATGCTGTTATCTCGCCTCAACGGTCAATCTCTCCAGCCAATAAGGTTTACGATGTTATCGTCATTGGAGCTGGATATGCTGGCCTGGCAGCAGCTCGCGACCTCAGCCAATTGAGTAAGTGGGATTGTCAGACTGACTACTGATCATAATCTGACTTTTTGTAGATCACTCTGTCCTATTGCTTGAAGCACGAGATCGAATTGGTGGCAGGACATATACTGCCAAGAAGGATGGTAGAAAGAACCTGTCTTTATCTCAAGGCTTTACTGACAATTTGAAGGGTTTCTCTACGAAATGGGAGGAACTTGGGTTACTCATCATATGGGTTATCTGTTCAGAGAAATGACGCGATACAATATGGACCGCGATCTCATAACCACGGGAAGTCCGGATATGCATAAAGGGTACTACACCATTGATGTACCAGGTATGAGCACAATCAACTTCACTTCTACTTCATGTTGCTGACGAGAGATAATCGCAGGTGCTACACCGCGCAAGCTCAGCCATGAAGAAGCTGGCGCAATGCAAGCCAAAGCCTGGGACATGTTCGTCAACGTCGACGGCCAATTCGGGCGAACCATCTGCCCTCTACCCCACGCCCAACTAAAGAATCCCATTGTTGATCGCTCAACCGTTGAGAAGTGGGATCAAGTTTCCTGCCACGACCGTTTCGAAGAGATCAAGCATAAACTTACGACCGAGGAACAAGGTCTCTTGGTATCTCTACTACTTCATATCTCAGGCGGAAGAATGAAAGAGTCAAGTCTTTGGGATATGATCCGTTCACATGCTTTGCTTATGCACAGTTCTGATAACTTTGCTGATGTTTGGTTGAGATATAAGCTCCGAGATGGCCAGACTGCACTTGCAAAGCGTATGTTTGAAGAGGCAACAGGAGATGGGCTGGAATATGCCTTCTCAACGCAAGTCAAGTCTATTGCTCAGGACTCATCTGGTGAAAGTCCGGTGACTGTGACCAGCAGCAGCGGCAATGTCTTCCGAGCGAAGAAGATCATTACTACCATCCCTCTGAACGTCTTGAAGGATATCGAGTTCTCTCCTCCACTCACACAGCGTCGACATGAAGCAATCAACATCGGTCATGTCAACCAGATGACCAAGGTTCATGCTGATGTTAGCAACAAGGAACTCGAGAGATGGAATGGCATGAAGTTTCCTGGTCTTCTAATGTACGGCTATGGAGACGGCGTGCTACCGAACGGTGATGTTCATGTCGTTGCTTTCGGTGCAGATGAACGGGAAACATTTGTTCCAGAGAATAATGCGGCACAGACTATTGAAGCCCTCAACAAGATCCATCCCATGGATGTCAAGAGACTGGTAAGCACTCCATTCACATTACACAGAGAAGTATCTAACAGTACCTAGATGATACACAACTGGAGCACTGATCCCTTCTCCAAAGGAGGTCCTGCCTGGTGGCAACCTGGCTACATGTCCAAGTACCAAGACGAGCTTCAGAGTCGACACGGCAATGTCCTTTTTGCTTCGGCTGACTGGGCGCATGGCTGGAGAGCTGCTATTGATGGTGCTTTGGAGCAGGGTTGTCTTAATGCTCAGGTCGCTCATCGTGAGGTCAGTGCTGCTAAGAAGAAGGCTGTTGGTAGTAAGCTTTGAGGGGGGGAAGTCGGGCAATTGGTGTCGGGGTATGGGGAGGGTATATGTGGCCTAATGATAGGAGACGTCTTCAATTTCCTTTATTAGAAGCTTCGTCACATTTCTGGAGTGATTCGAGGTCCGTCAAGCGGGCAAGGAGAGAGACCAAGGCTTAGGTAATTGATAACACAGCCACAGAGGATTATAGGGACCCATGCTGACGTGGTCTACTTCTATGCCTTCTACGAGCCATTTTAGAGTTTCCGAATGACCCTTTCAATACGAGATGTTGTAATTTGCTGGTGCTTCTAGCCATGAAAAGGTTTTCGGTTAAAACGGCTTAATTAAACTTTAAAAACATTAACTCTGAGAAACGTGCCTTGCAAGGCATTATCTATATGGAAACATAAATCTTACTTGATGAGCATATGAGAAAAGTTTATTATATCAGGCTTCTATTTGAAAGAGATATCGTTATAATAGGTTTCGAAGATGTCTTTAACCAGTGGCATACAAACTCGGGATGCTATTCATTGGGCCCCAGTCTTAAAACCACAAGCCCACTTTAGTTATCCACTTCATCTTCCACTTTAATGAGACGAAGATATAGCCTGTAACTTGAAATGTCGGTATCCAGTGTTTGTATCTGTCCGAGACTTGACAGGCCTTGGCGTGGGTAGCAAAGTCGTCTCTTGAGAGCTATATTAAGAAAGCATCCCCCTTTTAAGGCCTTGAGCAACAACACAATTAGGTCAATGTCATCAAATCATCTATTTTCCCGCTATTCATATAAAGACAATGAAGTTCCAAGCTATTCTGGCCCTACTCGCTGTTACCGGCGCTGTTGCCTCCCCAGTCAGCGACAGTAAGTTAACCAAAGGCACCGCCAGTTAAGAGAGCATTCACTAAAACAACATCCTAGAAGATCTCCAGCTTGAAAAGAGAGCATCCTGTAACGTCTGTGTGTAAGTGGTCACTGGAGATTTGGAATTCCCCTTCCCTAACGAGATAACAGTACTACCGTTAAGGGGAATAGTGAGACAATTTGGGGCAGAGGAATTCCATATGAGCAAGGTGGCTTGACCACGCGGAATGTATACATTGGATGTGATGCTTTGATCGATCGCAAGCGATCTACTCGATGTTCCGACTGGAGTGTCTGGACGCGAGGTGACTGTGGAAGAGTTACCAAGCAGCAGCCTTGTTGAATGACATCGCAGACCGGCAAATTCCATGCGTACCATTGCTCACTGGTGTTTAAACTACAAAATGGCTATTTTCTATCTGGTATATCGCTTAGATTGCAAACGCCTTTAGTTTATCTTGCTTAGAGGATAGCCTTATTGAGGTAGTTGCTTTAGTGAAGATAGTGAAGAGGATGATAGTATACATCTTAATAAGTGGATGTTATGTTCCTAATTACCTAGTAGTATTAAGAAGACTACAAGGTCAAATACTCTTAGGAGTCGCCTAAGGGCTAACTCTCCATCGTGATCAAGTTTTTGTAATTGCTACACTTCCTTCTCACTCTGGCCTTATACCCAACATCTCGTAGTCGATGGCGGGACCATCGAAATAACGACGAACAGTGAACCAGAGACAACCCATGATAAGACCCATGCATCCGAGTACAACACACACGCTAAGTCAGTCGTTAGTAAAACTGGGACAGATACAAAGAGCAGTTCGACTTACTAATTCATTGATCCAGCAGTCACAGGAAGGGCATTCGGGAAGCAAATGAAGATGCCAATCGTAGTAACCCAGAGAGGAGTCCACGCATTGCAAAGATAACCTCCAACTTTTCCAAGCTTGAAAGGTCGTGGTGGCAACCTGTTCTCTCGTCCATGGATCAGGGTGATAGCTTGAGGGACAGCGTATGAGATGTTGACACCAAGAACTGCGGTTATGATGATCGAGTTGAAGGCTTGAGTACTGGCCATATACAATAATCCGTAGATGATGCAGAAAGCAACTGAGAGAAGAGTTGTACGGACAGGGAAGCCGAGGGAGGGCGAGATGTGATTCCAGTAGTTGGAATAAGGCAAGCCACGCTGAAGAATTTGTTAGCTCTGGCCAAGACGGCGGTATGAGAGAAATCGAGGACTCACGTCTCGGGAGAAGGCCCAAGTCAATCGGCCGCATGTGATCCACTGACTTGGCATGCATGCTTGTCACTGTTAGCTAAAGCTTCTTAGACTAGTTGAAACATCTATACTTACTGTAGAAGATGACAACAAGAAGAGACTGCAATCCAAGTGCCGCCGATTTACTTCCTGTAGCTTGGTGGAACACTTCAAGACTGGGTAGATGAGCTGCCCTGACAGCATCGAGATCCTTGATGACAAACATCATGGCCAAGATAAACGGCACAGAGGTGAGGAGACCAATAATCATGGTAAGGTTCCTGAAATGTTCAGTCAGAGTTCAGCCTGCATACACTCAAGGATTATAGACTCACATTGCTCGAGGGATGGCCTTGCCAGGGTGGTGCATTTCTTCAGCAACATGAATCACAGCATCCATGCTAGCAAACGCATACATCGCATTGCCAACGCTCATGACCCAGGCAACTCCATCTGGCCAACCGCTTGTACCATCGAAGGTCGTGATGAAGCTCGGGTGGTTATAGCCATCGCTCATGGCGAGGATCGTAATAGTGACGACGACGAAGCCGAGAACGGATATCGCGAGACAGGCTTGTGTCCACTTTCCGAGGTGCTTTTGCGGGATCGTGAAGATGGGGATGACTACGAAATGTTAATACGGCAGTTAGAGTGTCAGAAAAGATACCCACGTGTGATCAAGATGAGCCCAACGTAAAGCAGATATGAATGCCAGTTCTGAGGGTGGTAATCAGGATTGACAAAGAGAATCATGCCAATGATGCACTGCACATTATTCGAGATGCCAGAGCAGGTAATCACCCACCATCCGAGAACACTGATAGTGCCCACGGCAAAGGCAGCGAAGCGTCGATATTTCTTCGGGGCGAGGATGTACGTGAAGTGATATTGGCCTGTCATTGAATCAACTCGTCAGTCAGTGGTTTCCAACAGACATATATGAACTGACCTCCTGAAGATGGAAATGCCGATGCTTGCTCCGCCAGTCCGAGAATGATAAGCCACTGTACAGCGCAGGCGACTATCAACCCAAACACAGTCGCTTGGGCTCCTCCGTAAAGAAGACTCTGTCCAAAACAACTGGCGTACGAAACCCAAGAGTTGGTGATGCTAAAGCCAAGTCCAAGAGTACCCAACAGATCAAACGATCGTCTCATCACAGGGGCATGGCCCTGAGCGAGAAGAATGTTGTCGTCGACTGCATCTGGACTCTTGGTGAAACTTCCGACATTTTCAACTCTGCCGACAGCAACATCATAGTTGTTCGTGACATTGATGTCGGACTTGTTGTCAGGATTGTTCGGGACTTCTGTGCTGTGAGCCATCTTGAACAGAGAAAAGATGATGGTGATGAGTGATGAGTGTCAGATTGAGTCAGGAGAGTGAAGGTAATATACTTTTCGCTGCAGACTATTCCCAACGGCCAGGCCGGCTAGTCGGAATCACTACAGCCAAGCAAGACAGCAACCAATAGAGGATCAGATACGTATCAAAGTGACCAGTATCTCCCCCGCAATCTATCTCCCCGTTAATCAAGATTAGACCCCCAGAACGCGGGGGAAAACATGAATCGTTAGTTGGGTTATCTCGGCATTGCAGTGCATCACCCAAGACTGGGCCTTTGCCGATAAGCTTTACTCTCGTGAAGAGTTAGCACTGTGTGGGGTAGACTTGTTTTTTTCGTGGGTCACGTCTTAATTCCGTTTCTAGTAATAAGCCCTCGGTCTCCTCAACTTCCCCACGCTTAAAAGATCAGTCGTGTTTCTCCAACTTGGACAGCTTTTACAGGTACCAGCTCCGTATCTACATCGATATCAGACAGTATAACTCTTGTTTAAAGAAGTCGTATATTTACTGCTCGCTATCTATTGGCCTCATCTGAAAATTTGCCCGAACGCCACGCACTACTTCAATCATGGCCAAACAACAGAAAGATAATGAGATCATCGAGTTCGCCAAGGGCCTCAAGGGTACCCCTTGGTGCGAAGAGTATGAGAAGATGATCTCTGGTATGCTGTAAGTACACCTTACACCTTTGATACTACGCCAGTGCATGATTCTAACCGCGGGGTCAATCTCTTAGCTACAACCCCCTGCATCCAAAGCTGTTGGAGGGCCGCCACAGAGCTCGCGGTCTGTCGTACAAGTACAACAACCTTGACCCCAACACTGGCAATCATGAAGAGATCGGGGACAAGCGGGCTGAGATGCTTTCGGAGATGCTCGGAAAGGTCGGCAAAGGGACATTCATTGAGACACCCTTCATGCCTGACTACGGAAGCAATGTCTCCATCGGCGAGAACTGCTTTATGAACTTTGGGTAAGTCGAGAACTCCGAGGTACTTAATTAATGAGCGGAACAATGACTAACATTCTTTCCTCAGCTTGACCATTCTAGATACCAGCCTTGTCATCATCGGCGACCGCGTGCAGATGGGTCCCAACGTGCACATCTACACCGCAGGCCATGAGACAAGCGTGCTATCCAGGATCAAGTTCGTTGAGTTCGGTCATCCCATCCGCATTGAGGATGATTGCTGGATCGGTGGCAACGTTGTTATCCTCCCTGGTGTTACCATTGGACGAGGCTGCACTGTTGGTGCTGGTGCGGTGGTTACTAAGAGTCTGCCCCCTTACTCGATCGCCCTGGGTGCCCCTGCAAAGGTAGTCAAGACGATACAGAGCGTGGAGGAGGAGATGGCGGATCCTAACAATCCTTACCGAAACATGCCTGATCGAGAATAGATAGTATGCTTTGGCATTTCCTGTTTAGGTCAGAAAAATAAAATTGGTCATTGTGTATTGCGTATCAGTTGTTGTTATTGAACTCTCCATTCTCAGACATTACTGTGTACTCATTGTAGCTAGTCCGCCAGTTCCTTTCCCTTCCTTCTATCCGTTGATCCACAAGCATCATCTCTTTCACGCATCTCTAGATAGCGATCGCCTCCGCTTGGACCTCAACATGCATCCCGGGATTAACAAGACCAGCCACAACAACCGAGGTCAAAGTCGGAGTATGCCCCGGATACCGTTCGCGAAAGATGCTAAGCAGAGTTGCCTCATCCTCAGCTCGGGTAAAGTAAGCAACGAGCTTATGAGCTGAACCAAGACCCTTGGTAACGCCCGCATTCTTCAGCGCTGCGTCAAGACAGTCAAACACTGCGTTGAACTCCGCTTCTGTAGAGCTGGTGACGAGTTGACCTGTTTTGATGTCTACCCCGACATGGCCTGTAGTTATGACCAGAGAGCCTGATAGCGGAACTGTGGCGGCTGTTGCGAGTGACGAGGAGCGGAGCATTTCTCCCACCGGCCCAGGGAGGAACTGATAACGAACTGGCGAAGACATGTTGATAAGGTAGTTATGGCACTGAGTTCTGTTGCTGTTGTAGCTTGTGAGGCTTGTTCTTGTGCCTTGACTTGATGATTGCTAGATCACTGGAGATAAAAGCCAACTGCTATCAAGAGCTAGTCAAGTCTCCGTTTTATCTCCAGGTAAACTTACACGGTCTGTTGACTTGTATGTAAATGGCATTTGGTCATCGTGGCTTATCGCGTATCCAGTTCAAATCTATGCCTAATTGGGTAATAACTTCAACTCCATTCTTGGTGTTTGATCCCCGCACCTGTCCCCAGCTCCATTCAGTGCATTCGCCCTCCGTTACGTCCTATCTACGAAACTGGTAAAGGCGCAGTGCTTCTACTTCGGGGTTTTCATCCATCACTGCGAAAGAGCGAGTTTGGGCTAGATCGGCGAAGCTGTTCTTATACTCTGTAGAGAGTTGAGTGCTTCCGGCCAAATGACAGCGAATCTAACCATCCCAGGCCCGATACCCTCCGATCTAGACTGTTCCAGATTCATTCAGCCGCAATCATGCCGTCTGTGATATCACAGGATGTTCAATCCAAGCTTCGTGGTATTATCGACGAGTACACAATTGGGGGCTCTGAGAGCAAGATCCCAGGTCTCGTCTACTCCGCGTTCAGAAATGATGGCGAGCCGATCTTTCAGCATTACTCTGGCTTGAGAGGAGTCACCTCAGAAAATCCCATGTCAGAAGATATTATCTTTTTTATGGCATCTTTCACAAAGTTGGCAACATCTGTGGCATGCATGCAACTTGTTGAGCAGGGGAAATTGCGCTTGGACGACGCCGATCAAGTTGAAGCCATCTGCCCTGAGTTGCGGGATGTGAAGGTGTTGAGTCGAAATGAGGACGGAAAACTTGAGCTTGTTGAGAAAACTAGGAGAATTACTCTTCGAATGCTTCTCACTCACACAGGTACGAATTGAAGCTCTACCTGGAGGAATGTGCGCACTGACGAATGACCAGCCGGTTTTGGATATGCTTTTGAAGATGAGAAACTGGCCGAGTTCAGTCGCCCTATTGGCTTTGATGACTTCTCCGGGGAAGCAATCGATACAGCAAATCGACCTTTGGTGAACCAGCCTGGCGAGACGTTTCAATACGGTGTCTCAATGGACTGGGTTGGTGCTATAATTGAACGTACGTACAAAAAGTCTTTGGAGAAAGTCTTCAAAGAGCGGATTTTCCAGCCCCTTGGGATGAACCACGTCACTTTCCATCCTTCAAAGGAAGACAAGTTGAATTTGGCGTATATGCATCGCAGAAGCCCCGATGGCAAGCTGAGTACTGCGGACCACTTTTATCGACGTCCACTTCTTGCTCAGGATGGCGAGAAGGTTCCATGTGCTGGAGGTCATGGATGCTTTGGAAGACCAGCAGAATTTGGAAGTAAGTTCAGGCGCCATTCATTCTACTTTTTGTCTTGCTCATTGCAAAACAGGAATCATTTCACTACTGTTGAATGATGGGCTCGATGCAAAATCAGGAGTTCGGCTTCTCGAGGCTGAGACAGTGAATGGTAAGTTTAACTCTTTCTGCTGCATATTCTGCCCGATGTGCACTATTCACACTGACAACTTTGACTAGACATGTTCACTGATCAAATCCCCGACAAACCACGATTCAGCAACATCAGTGTCCCTGTGGCCAAACCAGAACTAGCAAACCCAACTCCTTTGGCTCCGATGCCAGATGATTACACCGAGGGATGGGGTTTATCATTTTCTATCAACCACTTCCCAGAGTCAACCGGTCGTGCAGCTGGATCAGCGTCTTGGGAAGGCTTGGCCAATCTTTTCTGGTTCGCTGATCGCAAGAACAATATCGGCGGTATTATTGCTAGTCAGATTCTTCCATATGGTGGTAAGTCAAATCCGTGGATGGAGAGATAATTCTTTGCTAACTTGACGGCCCAAGATGCATTGGTACTAGAGTGCTCGGAACGGGTAGAGACTGAGATATACAAGACGTTGCAAGTCTAGAGACGCTCGACGTCTGGTTGCCAAGATCCTTTACTTTACTTTTAGAGCTCTGTTTCCCAAAAAGCTCATCATGAATACATCCTCTTCGATTGACCTATCTGCGTTTCCTTGGCCTTATGAACTACATGACTTGAGCTTCGACCCGTTACGTTTGTTGCCGATTCAAAACTGTTTATCATTGTGAAGCCTTCATATATCGTTCAATAGGCCTGTATAGTGCCATGTGCTCATTGTGTGGTTATTCCCTTTACAGCAACCTCTTGTTAGACACCAGATCAGGTAATAAGTCATGAAGCGGGGTTTCGGTAAGTGCCGCCATCTTCTCGAACTAGCCTCAGTGGGTACTTGGCTGTTACCTCAAAGAGCACTTGGAGAATGAGACAAGCGTCTTTTGCCGCTTTCACTCTCTGCTCATACTACATAGCCAAGGCGGATGAGCTGCCCGTGAACAGAAGGCTGTCTCGTAGCCTGGCACAAGTGACAACCATGGCTTCTCAGTCTGCAGAGCGTGACGCTCAGTTCAACACCCTTGTCGATGTTTTGCACAGTGTCAAAAGCGACATATTCGATCCTTTCACCATCAGCCGGACATACTACGAGTCTGCAGGAGTTCATATCGGCGTTGATATTTTAATTCCTCGTCAACTCAAAAGCCGGAACCCACCAGTCGTCGTCAGAATCCACGGCGGTTTTCTAGTATGCGAACCTCAATATTACACTAACCTTTGAGCTGACTCATGTTGCAGATCACCGGTTCAAGTTTGTTTCCTGCTTGGTTCTCCAAATGGGTTCTTGACTTTGCTGAGGAGCAAGATGCTGTTATTATCAGTCCCAATTATAGGCTTCTTCCGGAGGTGAAGGGACGAGATATCATTGAGGATATGGCAAACTTCTGGAGTTGGGTGCACTCTGGAGGACCTTCCCGTCATCTCGCAGCAATTGGGGAACATAAGCTTCGATTGAACCTTATAAGGACCCTTCTCGTGGGTGAAAGTGCTGGTAAGCTCAGTTTGTCGAACCCCATCATTACCATTCGCTGACCTTCTGATCTTATTGAAGGTGGCTACCTGGCTCTACAGTCTGTTCTGTCGGGCTTTGTGAGACCCAGGGCGATTATTGCCCTTTACCCAATGGTCGATATGAAAGCGGCTCACTTCACCAAGTCCTATGCAAAGTCAATCGTCGGTGTAACGAACTACCCCAGCGAGGATGTCGAAAAGTTCGTTTACTCTACTTCTGGACGGCCTGCAATCACTGAGGCAGATCCTCCTGTGAGACTTGACTCAGCTATGGCAGTTGTGCATAACGGGCGCTATCTGGAGCTTTTGGGCCAGGACCCTGAGTTATTTATCCTTGATCGCATTGAGAAAATGGGATCAACTTTAAACCCTGGGGGGTCTTTGTTGCCGCCCTTGTTCCTGCTTCATGGTGAGGAGGACAGCGCAGTACCTATTGATGGTACACGAAAGCTAGTGGATTCCCTGCAACGGTTTGACCCAGGTACTAATATTCATCTGGCTATCAGGCCGGGGGACCATGGATTCGACTTTACGGCTACCATTGATGAGCCTTGGTTGAGAGAAGGTTTGGATTTTGTCGTTAGTCCATGGTTAGATAGTAAGAGTCTTATATAGACTAACCCAAATGGTTCCTCTCCATCTTTGACAGACCTGACACAAGCACACTGTAGACGCAACTTTGAGATTGAACTTTTGAATGTTATAAACATGCCCAATATTTATGGCATCATCTTCTACTGGATTATTACAAGTTATAAAGACAGTGGGTTGACAACAATACTCTAATCATGACCCATCAAAAAACAGTTTTAACTGACTTTCTTTCCATAATTTTATCTCAAGCCCATTAACCACTCTTGTGCACAACACCAATGATCTTCTCAACAACAGAAGGATCAGAAAGAGTAGTAATATCCCCAAGCTGATCCTGTTCACCCATAACCACCTTTCGCAAAACACGACGCATGATCTTTCCAGACCGAGTCTTGGGCAGATCAACCACCATAAAGATCTTCTTAGGAGCGGCAAAGGGACCAATGTTGTTGCGGACCTGCAATCTGAGCTCAGCGTGAACTTCTTCCTCAGATGTTCTGAATGCTTCCTTGAGACAGACAAAGGCGATGACGGATTGGCCTGTTACTTCGTCGGAGACACCTACGACGGCGGATTCAGCGACGGCGGCGTGCTCGACCATTGCAGCTTCGATTTCGGCGGTTGAGAGTCGGTGGCCGCTGACGTTGATGACATCGTCGACACGGCCGCGGATCCAGTAGAATCCGTCTTGGTCACGAGCAGCTCCATCACCGGTGAACTACATAATCATTAGTGACTGTTGCTTCAAGCTAGCTTCGGGGAAACTTACGTAGTATCCGGGATAGACCTTGAGGTATGTTTCCTCGAATCTCTGGTGGTCACCGTAGACAGTTCGGGCCATGCTAGGCCATGAGGTCTTGAAAGCAAGAACGCCCTCAACACCGTTACCGTGGATCTCAGCACCAGACACAGGATCGATCAAGACGGTGTCGATACCGAAGAATGGTAGACAGGCGGATCCAGGCTTGGTGGGCGTGACACCGGCGAGAGGCGTGACGGCGTGAGAGCCAGTCTCAGTTTGCCAGTATGTCTATTCCAGTCAGTTACGTTCGTGGATGTCCATCCACGTATGTAGTGCGTCAACTTACATCGACGACATGGCATTCACCCTTTCCAATGACATCGTAATACCACTTCCAAATCTCAGGAGCGATAGGCTCACCAACTGAACCGAGAACTCGCAGGCTACTGGTGTCGTGGTCCACAGGGTCAGATCCAGCTCTCTTCAACAAGCGAAGAGCAGTAGGAGCGACATAGAAGTGCGTGATCTGATGGTTTGCAATGATATCCCAGAAACGAGAGGCAGTGGGGAATGTCGGTGTGCCCTCAAAGACAACTGTCGAGACTCCCAAGAGGAGCGGAGCGTAGACCACGTAGGTATGGCCGGTGATCCAACCAACATCGCCAGCGCAGAAGTATCGATCGTTTTCATGAATGTCAAATACATACTTGCCCGTTGCAGCTGCCCCAACCAAGAAACCACCAGTGGTATGCAAAATTCCCTTTGGTTTGCCTGTTGATCCAGAAGTATACAGTAAAAACAGAGGGTCCTCGGCGTCCATGGCCTCGGGAGGGATGTAGCTTGGCCACTTGGCAGTCTGTTCGTGCCACCAGTGATCTCGTCCTTCAATCCACGCGACCTTGGCGCCAGTTCTCTTGAAAACAAGAGTCTGAACACCCTCGAGTGGGCTCAATGCTTCATCAACAATCTTCTTGATACCGATTGTTCGACCGCCTCGCTGACTCTCATCCGCAGTGATGACGACCTTGCTCTTGGCATTGACGACGCGGTCTCGCAGCGAACCAGCTGAGAAACCAGCGAAAACAACAGAGTGAACAGCGCCGATACGGGTGCAAGCAAGGATGGCGACGAGAGCTTCGGGAATCATGGGCATGTAGATGGCGACTGTATCGCCCTTTCGAACGCCAAGGTCCTTGAGAGCCCAGGAGACCTTGCTGACTTGCTTGAGCAGCTCGCCATATGTGATGGAGCGTCCGCCGTTGCCATCGTCAGTTTCGTGGATAATGGCAACCTTGTTGGGGTCCTTGAGCGCATGGCGATCCACGCAGTTGAACGAAGCATTGAGCTTTCCGCCAAGGAACCAAGAAGGGTTGCCCTCGACCAGAGAGCCACTCTTAACAGTGTGAAAGTCATGCTCCCATGTAAGGAGCTCACGAGCTAGGTTACCCCAGAAAGCTTCGGGCTCCCTGATGGAGAGCTGATGCATATGCTGGTACTCCTCCAAGCCTGAAGTTCGTTGTAAGTACGGTAAATATTTCCGGATTGGGATTTAACTTACTGCCTATGTGAGGCTTGCTGGGGTGTCCTGAAGATTTGCTGTTAGTATGCAGCTATTTTACAGCATGGGTTCACGCACGTGCGAGCATCTTGTCGGGAAGATCTAACTCAATCTTAGTACATCTCAATACCAGCAGAGTTTTGTATATACGTACACCATTCCTCTCCGTCACCACCACCATTGGTAATCGGTTGTGTCGATATGGGTTGACGCATGATGTAATCGTATGATGTATTTTTATGCAATGAAGTGAAAGTAGCTTTTTCGCGTGGCAGCGTAGTGCGAAGCTTGGAATTTTATCGATATCGTGAAAAAGTCGAGGTGACTGGAAGGGGAAAAGGGGTGAGCAGAGATATTAGGTCAGCAGGATCCACGCTTAACCCCCTTGTCACTGTTATGGTGATATGACGCAGTGGGCGGTAGTGGGAAATCCTTGTCGCTTGTGATTCAGTGAGCTTTTGGTGGGAAAGTGGCTTCACTTCCAATCAGAGGTCAATTTCGCCGATCACAAGCCGCGGTTCATGTAGTGAAATTAAACTGACTCAGCCTGTTTTCTAAGGTCTTAATGACTCGGCCAACAATGGAATCTCCCGATTACTATATCTGATGATAAACTTAAGCTTAAGTCCTCTCCATCACCTGCTCGTGAATCACTTGATGCCCCCGTTCTTCGGCACTCAACACCGAATAAGGGAATAAAATTAGACCAATTCTGCCGTAAGATTCTGCCACCGCCTTCTAAAATAAGTGTCAGTGCACAAGGGAGACCGCGGTATCGGGCCTGTACCTGCGGCGTAATCTTGGCGATCATTCCACTTATTACCGCAAGCGGAAATAGTGGTCTTTTTTGCCGTCGTAATCCCCAAGACAAGTGATTCCCTGTCCTGCACCGCCAGTCTGGTCTGGCAGTTTTCGCCTTACTACCTTACGAGGCAACATCACCACGTGGATCGAGTGAGAAGCACGCATTTGGACACTGCCAAGACGATGCTAAGCTTGTGATGGCTGTGTATCATATTGAGCCTGAATAGCTCATGTGACAGCCGAGTCTAGGGTATCTCATTTCTCTCATGATTCAGAGGCTCGTGCTTTTTTGTTTTGTTGAGGGACTCCCCAACACGACAAAAAAATGCCAGGTCCACTGTAAAAAAAACAAGCACTAACTATAGGGTTGGCCGAAGCAGTTGACAACGCCACGACTCAATCTGGCCACGAATGTCGGTTGCTTCGTTTATAAGAACACGCAAGCCAAGACTTGTCACAGATCCCGAGGTTTATCGATTTTTCAAAGCTTGTGAGTTGCATTGAAGCTTACGCATGTGAATTTCGTCGCTACAGCATGACGTGATTTGATGCCGCGACGCTTCTACGTACACGTAGAATGTTTGAGCAAGGGAGGAATTAATGCAACCTATGGCAACAACAATCAAATTCTCAGGATAGGCCTGAATATCTGCCGGACACTATTCACAATGCAGCTGTGAAGTTCCATGATAATTCAATACGTCCTCCTGGAGTTAGAAAACCTGCCAAACTGTAACGCGATATCTATTCAGGCTTCCTTGCATAAACAACGCGCTGTCGATAGAAAGGATGAAACTTTCCAGATCGAATCTCTCGTCGCAATTGAGCGCAGTATACAGAGACCTCTTCCTTAGTCCAACCAAGAACGATATTAGCCATATAGAGGACATAACCCTCATAGTCTTGTTCAAGCGCAGCCTGAGCAAACTGGCCAATTTGTTTAAGTCGAGGGTCCTGAGGCCAGCCCCCAATAGGTGCCTGAATTGATCTAAATCAGTCATGAACACAGAGAAAAGGGTGATACCAGCGTACTTTGAAATCCCAAACTTTGACGTCGACAAAGCCTGCTTCCTCCATTCCTTTCTGCTGGAGGTCTTTATCGATGATCTCAAAAGTGCGGTTGAGCTTTTTCCCGCCTTCGATGAAGAACTTGCCCCATTCGTTGATAGCACAGGTTTCAGTTACAGTGCCATCGTCGCTTTCCATTCGAGGGGAGGCTTCGTAGCTCTCAACCCAACCGCCGGGCTTGCAAACGCGAAATGCCTCCTTGAACAGGGCAGACCAGTCGCTGATACTTCCATACAGATACCGCATGTGCACGTAATCGAACGAGTTGGGGTCGAAAGTCCACTCTTGGGTACAGTCTTCGATTTCACTACTTGTGTCAGCCTCTGCTTGCATAGTCAGCTCTCATGGGTTTCTTACAACTTCAGATTGGGCGGAACCCAGTCAGGTTGGATGGGGGAGATATCCGTCCCGACTACTTCGGCATTGGGATACTCATCGGCAAAATCGCTATTACAACGTCAGTGAAAAAAAAAAAAAAAAGATCTTCCTGATGTCAAGAAGTCCTCACATGGCCCAGATACCTGTTGACTCAGTTAGCTTATGTACTCGGAAAAGGGGTTTCATGACATACCAGTTCCCGTTCCAACATCCAAAGCTTTCTAGATCTCCTGTAAGACATTTGTTGTACATATCAAAGGGTAGTGCACGAACCTGAATGTCATCCTTCAGAGGAGCTAGATGAAGCTTCCCCTCCAGCGAGAGCGACAGGAGGTGATGGCTATGCCTGGTCAGCTTATAAATTACCACTGACTATATTAGACTCACTTGATATCCATAGACTCGTTATGGTGCTCATCGTTTGGCGTCCTGGTCCACGTCAGCTCCGGAGCTCACCTTTAAGAGAGCTTCCATACCAGTACTCGGCATTTCCCCGCTCAGAGTGATACGTCCTCCCATGAATTGTGCGGTAGTGAAGGATGCTCGAAGAAATCGACTCGGTTGAGCTGGCAGCATCATCTCCAACTGCTGAATCAGCATCGCCATCTCCTGGTGCATCCTACGAATTGTCAATAGACGTGCCCAAGAAAACTCGATTCTACATACACCCTCATTCAAGATGGCCCAATGATCAGGGTTATGGAAGTCCTCAGCAGGTTCGGCGGGGTTCTCTGTAGTAACTTGTTCAGGAGAGGTTTGCTCCGCAGGTGCAGGGGTTCCTTCGGCTGGTGGTGACGAAGCAACGGGTGCCTTAGGAGAGGCCGCTTCCTTCGACGTCTCTGCCATTCTGCCTTATATGCTCAGATTATTCTGATTCCTGAAGCGATTCAGAAGTTTGAATGCGAATGAAAAGACGACTAAAGTGGCAGAATTGACAACTCAGCAAGGTTACAACGTGCTGCTAGGTCTGACGATAAGAACCCTGCCTTCTCCACCCCGCCATGAGACAAATTCCGCCAATTTGCGATATGACATGTCTTTATACCGGATTATCATTTTGTTATACTGGATAAAAAGAGATTTCTGAGTTGAAGTGCTTATCAAATCATTGCCATGCGGCGTCTTTATTGGATGCCACGTCACTCCACTGGTTCATGCCAATGCATGCGCGCAGAAAGTCGACAACGACATGCACATAAGCAGATAAATATCACGACTAACAACACGACAACTGTAATTAATTTATCGTCTCCCAAGTACCCTCGCCCACGGTATACTCCAGATCCTCGATAGGAAACAGGCCCCTATATCAGAACCATGATTGGCTGGATAAACCTACAGACAAGAACGAGAGTTCTTACGAGACATTTCAATACTTCGACTGACAGGGTCAAGATTATCAGCCGTGAAGCTCTGTTGATGTGGTAGGAAGAGTGATAATTCGACAAAAAGTACTACTCACTGGAAATAAGGACATGGAGGGTGAGATAACTGTCTTGCAAATCCTTGGACTAATTGAAGCCAGATCAGGAGCGCCACATATATATTAACCAGGCGTTGGACATCCATAGTAGCTTGTTATGTAATGACTTGGCTAGCTTGAACTCAGGGGGTCTGATAGGCCCTACTCCCTCCAATATCTAGTACTGCAAACTGCAAACTGCAGATCTTCAGCTTCTGCCTTGTTCAGCGAGCTGAAACTCTGAGAGCTGCATGTCGGAGCTATGGATGAGTTAAGTTCAAGTCAGGAGTCCCTATAGCAAACTTAAGAATCATAGAATGGGTATAGATCTGTTCAGAGGGTGCTTATAAGAAGAAAGGAAAATAGGCGACTAGATGGAATGTAAACTGATAGATTCAGAAGTAAGGTGAAAAGCGATTCGATGGTGCAACAGTCAGACAAACAGGACGTAGCGGAATCGTATCCTACTCGAGTATTAAGAAGACCGCAAGACAAATTGAAGGTGTCCTTAAGACTAGAGAGACGTCTACTAAACCAGTATAAAATTGTTGAGTCCTGCCAGACTACTGAGAAGTGCTCTCAGTTTGACGAACGTTAGGCAGTGGCTGACCTTCACCACATATCATGTGGTTATGTCTGGGACAAGTTGCAGGATGAGACAATCTCTGAGTAATGATGAGAAGGCAATCTCGGCCTCAACACTATACTGAAAGTATTAGGATAACTACAGAAGCCTACATGGCATCTGCATTTATTGGTGCTCGTAAGAAAATGTTAGTCCTACCGTAATGGCCCCAGTAGGTGAATGGCAACGCCAACATTATCCTCAGTATCGCTTTGATACGATTTTCACATGAGCCTCACAAACTTCGGAACTGGCCGATAATAGCATTGAGCGTTATGAAATATGGTCTGAGTACTAAACCTTACATTCTTGCCGTATTTCTGAACGTGAGAAATTAGGATGGAAGAGGAGCATGGAAGGGCCGGAACCTCTTTAGCGAGTGTATACTGATCAACCGTCTGATCCAATAATGCCTTGTTTATGAGTAGTATCTTTGAAACGGATATGTTTAGGTTTCCATCCGTACATCCGATGAATCTTCTCTCCAAGAGGTCTGGATAGATACCGGTTGGTTCGAGCGCAGGAGTAGGGTTGAATACTGCGAGGATTCCCGACTGCAATTGAAGACTATGGCATAATGGCTGGGGCCGGATGATATGATCTGATGAGAAAAGAGAGGATAAGAAGGACAAAGTAAGTTCTGGTGACAGATAATGGCATCCAACTGATAAATATGCAATGCATCCAACCAAGGAGCTTTAGGCACAGCGCATAAAAAGTCTTTATCTGACACGAGCCTCAATACGACACAACAAAACTTTTTGTAATCCCAGCTTCGGCAGATTCTGTGACACGGCAGTTGTGAGATACGTGATTCAACAGTGGTGATGACGACGTTTACACTCTGTAATTTTACCTTCCTCCGCGAACTCCGAATGCCGTATTTCCATTGTGCGAATGACAAGTCGCTATCGTCAACGTCCGCTTACTTTATCTGCCTTATCATTGCTCTCCCGTTCACATTTGCCGACGAGATTTGTTAGCTCCAACGCAGGCATGTCGCAGGGAAAAACTCTCCTCGCCTCGATTATCCAATAATGAGCGATAGCTTAATAACTATGATGACATTTATTTACCAAAACGTGATTTTGAGCTCGGATACTTGCATCAGCTTTACTTGCCGTGTTTACTTGCCGAGCTGGTGGATCATTTTGTCCCCAAATACCCCAGGTTGGCTTGTGGGGGGCAAACCTGGAGTACCCGAAGACCGAGACTCTGATCAAGATCTGGTCTAAGTGGAAGTGATATAAGAAGAGAGTATGGTAGATAGAAAAAACGGGAAATAAACCACTTTAGTATCTCTTCAACAATTCTTTTTAATTTAACTCGCCCTTTTTGTGCCTTCAACATGCACAGTGGCTTGGTTGAAACTCTTCTCAGTGCTCTCGCCCAGCATTGGGTGTTGGTACTTACATCACTAACAGTCGCGTGGCTGGTGAAGAACAGATATCACCATGGTCTAAATAAATACCCCGGCCCTTTCCTGGCTTCTTTGACAGATTGGTGGCGCTTCTGGGATGTTTATGGACAGCGACCTGAGGTGACACTGCAGAAACTTCATGCCAAACATGGTGATATTGTCAGACTGGGACCAAACACCCTATCATTTGCCGACCCTGCTGTTCTCAAGTCTATCTATGGACTTAGCAAGGGTTATGTCAAGGTGTGTTCTTATGTCCAAGCCTGAAACCTTGATATTGACTATCTTAGTCCGACTTTTACATTGTACAACAGTCCGTGGTCAAGGGCCACCGTCTCGCATCTCTCTTCAGCACCACGGATAATGACTTCCACTCCCAATTCCGCAGATGTGTCAACTCTGCCTTCTCTATGAGTGCACTGGTTCAATACGAACCCTTTGTTGATAACACCACTAAGCTGTTCTTGGAACAAACCGAGAACCTCTTTGCTAAGAAGGCTGATGTCTGTGACTTTACACAATGGCTCCAGTTCTACGCCTTTGATGTCATTGGCGAGATCACTTACAGCAAGAGACATGGATTCATTGAGAAGAACGAAGACGTTGAGGGTATTGTTGCGTATCTGAGCAAGCTGTTCCTCTATGTTGCACCTGTAAGTCATACATTCACTTAGCCATGCTCTTGACTAACAGATCTAAGGTTGGACAAATTCCTTTCCTTGACCTGATCTTCCAGAAGAACCCCATCTACCTCAAGCTCTCCCAATGGGGTCTCTTTGACTCAACTATCGCCGTTGCACGCTTTGCCCGTGCCCGAATGGCCGAACGTCTCATTCCTGAACTCAAGTCGGTCGATAGCCTTCCCACCAGCAACCTCAAGAAGCAGCCCCTGGGTCAAGACTTGCTTTCCAAGTTCATCGCTGCTCGTGAAGCCCGCCCTGAGTTCATGACAGACACTTTGGTCCAGACCATGGCTGTTTCTATGGCCTTTGCAGGTTCGGAAACCACAGCCATCACTCTCTCCGCCGTCTTCTACTACCTCCTTCGAAACCCCGAATGCTACCAGAAGCTCAAGAAGGAGCTCGACGAGGCTGCCAAGTCTGGTGTCTTTTCTGACTACGAAACGGGTCTGGTCACATTCGCCGAAGCCCAGAAGTTCCCTTATCTTCACGCTTGCGTCCAAGAAGCTTTCCGCATGCACCCCGCCCCAGGTCTTCCCCTTGAGAGAATCGTTCCTCCCCAGGGAGCAGAGATTGGAGGCGAGTTCGTCAAGGGCGGCACAATAGTCGGTGTCTCAGCCTGGATCATCCATAACCGTCCAGAGATCTTCGGAACCGATACTGATAAGTACCGACCTGAGCGCTGGTTGCCCGACCCCAGGCTTGATGCTGAGGAAGAAGATAAGCGAATCAAGAAGATGACCGGCATGATGTTCCAGTTTGGCATGGGTAGCCGGACATGCATTGGCAAGAACATCAGTCTATTGGAGATCTACAAGGTTGTGCCAAGTCTGCTAAGAAGATTCGAGGCAAGTTATTCCCAGTACGAGTATATGTGAAGCCAAGACTAACAAGAAGCAGATTAACTTTGACGACCCAAGCAAGGAATGGAGGATCATCAACGCCTGGTTTGTGAAGCAGACAGACTTCAATGTCAGGTTTACACGGAGGGAGCTTGTACAGCCGGAATTCTCAGAGAAGCAGGAATGAATGTGTAATGAAGTGTAATGAATAGATTGTAAAAGTTTATATCACATCTGCATATAGATAAATCTAAGCAATGCTGCTGCTCTTGATGATGGTTCCGAAAGCATCACCAATCTCGCTCAGTGCAACCTTGACCAACTGTGAGGCGTCGACACCGGGGATATCTCGGTCACCTACAGCATCTTCAGGGATGATGACATCAAAGCCAAGCTCATCAGCCTGTCGTGCAGTAGTCGAGACGCATACATGGGCCTTCACGTGATTAGTCTCATTTTCCTGCTATGTATCACTCAATGACTCACCATGTAGCCTGTGAGAACAACCTTCTTCTTTCCAGTCTTATCCAGAACACTCTGCAGATCTGTCTTGGTGAAAGAACCAGGGAAGTTCTTGTGGATAACAGCCTCGCCATCCTTGGGCTTCAGCTCATCAAACTCCTCGGCGAGCTTGGTACCGGGGGTAAAGACGGGAGCGCCTTCTGGTGTATCATGGACGACATGCACAATGCTTCCGTTTGCGGCTCTGTATTTCTCCAGGAGTCCAGCGATGACTTTGCGCGACTCAGCAGCGTTGGTGACTTTGAGCTGTCCCTCAGCGTACTCATTCTGCGCGTCAATGATGATGAGAACGCTATCAGAGGGGCTAGCCGTGGAGGCCGGGATACCAACGAGGTCGCGGAAGGATGTTGCTGAAGTCATTTTGTTTTCTTGATTGTGTCGTGGGTAATGAATATTGTTTCAAAGAGCACGTATGTAGTTTATATAATGGTTAGGTTATTGACCCCTCACCTAAGTAATGGTCCAACTTGATGATATTCCCATTACTCAGCAGCCAAGGTCGAATTAAGGTAAAAAAGCACGTAATTGGAAGGAAAGCCGACAAGCAATTAATCCAGGTACAGCGCAAAATCACCAATTACGCCTGGACTAGGCTGGATGTTGACTCTTGTGTCCATTGGTCCGAAGAGCGATCTCACAAATCATTGGATAAGATCATTGGCTTTATACCGAATTTGTATATTATAGCCGATAATATGGGTCCTCAATTCCATCCCACTGGTCCCTTAACGTTATTGTCTCGATCGCCACAGGGGATATGACCAATGATGATTTCTAGACCTGACTATATTTTTTACTTGACGCTATTTCAGACATCTGAACCTTTCCAAGTACCTTGGAATGGAAAGATAAGGGCTTTGCTAAGCTGATCTCGCCTGCTTCTCCGAGTAGTCAATTCTTGTCAATTATGAGGGTATTATTAGGGAATACTATAGTCATAGGATGTCCAGCAATTTAACCGTATATCATCCTCCCATTCATTAAATCGTTTTCAATAGTCTATGGCGACAAGGTATACCCATTTGTCCCATATCCATACGCACATACATTTCGTGCTTCCCACTTTAAAAAGTCGTCCAAGTCATGATCCAGATTACATCCCATGGGGGGTATTTCAGACTTATCCAAGTCCTTCCCATCTAATGAGATTTGAATTGGCATCATTGGACTCATCGGACTTGATAAAGAGCTCACTGTAGAGCTATCAAGGTCCTCCTGGGTCTCTGCCCATTGCTGGGTCTTCTGGCGTATCATCCTTGGTCGAATCGGTTTTGGTGTTTTGAGCGAAGGCATGCGGCAGTCTATGCTCGGTCGAATAATTGTTAGATGTTTGGTTTCGTCTCGGCGCTTGTCGTCGAGTGCGTTGGTGAGAGCTTCGAATGCTTTGTCTGTTTGGCGGGTGATGCACTCGTTGCAATCTGCAGAGGCACTCAATGTGTGTCTGTGGTCCAGCGGTGTAGTGTTGTTACTTGAAGCCGGAAGATTTGGCATCATTGAGTGCCTTTGTTGGCGGTGTGCCATTCCGGACAGGTTGTTTGTTTGGAGGCGCAGTGGTGATCTTCGTCTGAGTTGTGTGATATTTGAGCCACCTGATTGTGACCGTCTATCATCCAAACCCCGTTCTCGTTCTATATCAGAGCCATCTCTGCTAATAACTGTGAGGAATTCCTCTTTTCCTTCGAAGCTAGTTGGGCGTAAAACGCATGCAGATTGGCTATGTTGGTCCAATGAGGGCGAAAAAGACATGGAATTGCGGACGTCATGAACTGCAGATACAGTTTGAATGAATATGGGTTCGGATTCGGTGACGCTTCCCAGCGGTTTTGCAGTCGTCGGCCATTTTATTCGTGATAGAGGTGGTGATGCTGGCTCGGCGCTGGGTATTTCTGGGCTTTCGAACGACAGGGATGGCTCGCTCTCGGTAGGGGATTTGGTATCGGGCGTTTGCGATAGCTGGAGAGCCTTGCATCGTTGCTCCCAAAAGTCAAGGCCATCAAACCTCTTCACCATTGTGTATTGGGTTGAGGCTAGCACGACAGTAAATCCATAGAGTAAACAATGTCTAGCGAAGAGAAAAAGTAAACATGAAGAAAAAGAATGGGTCGTTTAGTTGAAATTATACTGAGACAATAACATGCTCAAGGGAGCATCCCTAGAAAGAACGAGGGCAAGGTTACTGTAATTAGACACAAGCCCCATTTACATTCCGGTTCTATTACGCTGTGACTTCCTCGTATCAAGCAGGGCCTAACACGGTTGATTCGGCGACTCCTACGAGCTACATGGGTTTAGTGATGGCATCGTGACATTTTTGTTTTGTGGCTTGTGCCGCTTACGTCTGGAACCAGCCGTCAACTCAGGCACAGCCACGCTCCACTAACACGAGATAAAAATAGCACCAATAAACGTGGTCTGTTTCTGCAAGCTTGGACGTGATGAACTCCATTGAGTTAGTCACGGAAACTGTTCACAGTTGAAATCTACTGAGGAGTAAAGTATTTAAGCTTCTGGTGTTTGAAGACAACGTTACGCGACCATATCACCCTGGCTTAGGTAAATGACGTAATGCGCCCTGCGTCTACCCTACATGCAATAAGTAACAGGATAAAACTACTAGTCAAGGGATAAACCCCCTTCCAAATGGCTATAAAATTAATTCAAGGGAAGGGATACATATATATTAATCCATAAATATGTGTTGAAAGCAACGTCTATTACACCACAGTAATAAACTTATAGATAAGGTTACAAAAGAATGTACAACTCTTCACAAACAACGTTAGTCCAGGGCTGAGTCATGGATTAGCATGCAATGAGTAAACACAACAGTATGCGAGATAAGCGAGCCGTTAACTCTTGCAGAGTCTTCCGCAGGTCGCTAGCCTTGCTCTTGGATGATGTTGAGTTGTAAAAACAGTTCATTTAGCCGGAATATGCCACTCGCCACTTTGACCAATGTAAGAGTTGCTGCCAGGGTAATCTAGAATACCTACAACACTGAGTATGTCTCACTTTAAAACCAGCTCAAACCAGTCATATCACAAGCTGAAAAGAGCCAGAACATTAGTACTTCTTATCTTGTTCCTTATCTTCATCGTGCTGAGAGAAAAAAGCAGAGCTTCCCCGTGGGGCATAACCCCTCAAGCCGAGATTTCCGAGGTTCACTACCGTCCCACATGGGTCCAGCCCCTTAGCCCCTAGCAGGGGGAACCACCATCAATGAACAAGACAGTGAAGTTTGGGGTAAATCTGGGGTCATTCTCGTTCCTGTTCCTCTTCAACCTCGGGTACAACGTCTCCGCCTTTTGTCAACCAGGATGAACAACACTCAGCAACCGATTCGCTTTGCCAAGAAGCCTGTCTCGAGGAAGCGGGCGACAAAGGCATGTCTTAAATGTCGCAAGCGAAAGGTTCGGTGTGATGTCACTCGCACTTCTACGCCTTGTACCAACTGTCGACTCGACGGCTGCGAATGTGTCGTCGCTCGTCGCGCTGATGCCTTGTACGTTGTCGATATTATCATCACTTCTACTCTACTGACATGTTATAGTCCTATCCCTCATCGAGGCGCCTCCGTCATCTCCGACAATGCCGACCTCATTCGTGACTGTGAAGCCGTCACAGCAGCTGCATCCACGACGTCGCCCTCTTCCAACCACGACAACCCTACGAGTCCCATCGACGATGCATCTGCCGTATTACACACACTAGAAGAAAGCGAATACAAGACATCTATCGAGCATCACGAGCGGGTAGACCTCGAGTCGCCCACGACAAATACCACTGAAGATGTCGTCGAAGAGATTAGAGAAATCCCACCATATACACCCTCATTAATCGAAGAGCCCAGCGAACCCGTGCGATCCGAACTCAAAGCTCTATACTCCTCAATGCCCTTCTTGAGGACCCTCAACATGCGCGACTGCGATTTCCATCATCTAAATGCTCAAGGCTGTCTACGCGTCCCTTCCAAGCCAATCCTCGACGAATTTATCCGACATTATTTCCTCTACATCCATCCATTACTACCTCTTCTCAACGAAGCCGATTTTTGGAATGCTTACGATCCTACACCCAATTCTGCGACGTCTGGGACGCCTGTTTCGATGCTTTTGTTGCAATCTATGATGTTTGCTTCGTGCACTGTACGTTGACATCACCACTTTCGTGTGCTGGTTGATCTAACAAATAAAGTTTGTCTCAAAGGAGAGTCTCCGGACGCTGGGATTCGCCACCATTCTTGAAGCTAAGGAGGCTTTCTACACCAAGGCCAAGGTAAAGAACGTGTAGTATTGTTAGTGGTGCACTTTCTGACATTGATCTAGCTTCTATACGACTTCTCGACCGACCCCGATCCAATCTCTATTGCACAATCTGCTCTCCTCCTGACCTACTGGTGTCCTACGTTCCGTTCCGGACCTGGCAAAGCGAACAGTAGATGGCTCCGAATCGCAATCCAACACGCCAAGTCATGCGACGCCGATAGTTACGACTCCCCCTCATACGGATTACACATATCACAACAAGATGTCAAGAGACGGAACATATTGAAACGTATCTGGTGGTGCTGCATTATCCGCGATCGAATCATGCCCCTCTGCGTTCGCAGGAACATTCAGATCACAAGTGCCCATTTCGACTTTGCGAACTGCTCCCCATTGTGTTACGACGATCTTGTTGATGAACTCGAGTCGTCGCGAGTGTACAACATCGCCACAAAGCACAAGCTCATCCTCACATTAGAACGCCTTACAGAACTTTGTGTTACTCTTACAGACGTCCTGGGTCTAGTATATCCTACCGAGACATTGCCGATTTTAGATGCGGAAGCACATTCGACAGCATATGCGCAAGTGCAGGAGCACAAGAGATCACTGAAGAACTGGGCAGTGGCTACAAGACCGCCGCTTGCCATTCAAGATTTGACATTGAGCTCAGGAGGATACGAGGACTCTGCTGTATTGTTCACTAATCTGGTCTGGATCTATTTCCAGTAAGTTTATATGTTACTGTTTGAGTCTCAGTTACTGACAATCTCTTCAGCGCCAGTCAAGTCGCCCTCTGCAACTACGAACTTCACCTCGGTCTCGTATTAGGTCTTGTCAACCAAAATCCCACTGCATCACATGAGACACAGTTTCTCAAAAACAACCGAAGGGACCTCCGAAACGCCACCAAAAGCATAGCAGAATGCTTTGCTCGACTACACCCACATCGACTCACCCGTTGGTTACCCAGCAGTGCTGTAGCATGCACAGCTCTCCCGCTCGCGATGCACATGGTCGATATGAAAATGTCCACCGCCTCTTCTGCAACTGGGATTTGGGCCCGTCCAGAAGTCGCTTCCAAGCAATCGCGACTCAACGTCCTCATACAAGTATTCAGGGAGCTTCACCCAAAGTACGACGGCGTTCACTCCATCTCCAAGACGATTCGATACTTTATGGAGTGCAGTGACCGTGAGGAGCCTTCACAAATGATGCTAACCAACGATCACGCCGATGTCCTGGCCCGAAGTCCAACACAATATCTTAGACTGGCTTTGACCATCGACGTGTGTCTTAGTCAAGATCGACTGGCTCAAGACAGTGACTTTCCAGCTGCTTTGAGGCGTTTCTTCAATAGGAACAGGTCCTTGATGCCTATGCTACTAGGACAACCACAATTTGCGCCAATGCCCATGACACAACAGATATCCCTCCCACGACCACTCTCACCAGCGACATATGCGAAAAGCTTTTCGAGATGGATGGAGGATGATCCATCAGTGGGTTTTGCTATGCAGATGGGCATAGACATAGGACCCCGATCGCCAATAGTCTATGAGGTTGCGGAACGAGCACAGGCGACACATTCGGAGAGTACGGAAGAGCCGTCTCCTGTGTCCGAGCAGTCACAATTCAGTGAATCAGTAATGGGTATGGAGACAACGGAGGATCTATTACAGCGTCTTCAAGGGGCAGTGAGTTGGGCCCAGAATGACCAAGCCTTGTATTTTGCGTCAGAGATGGGTTTGCTCTCGAATGGTATTGGGTTTAATCAGGGTTATTTGTAAAACAGCTTGCAAGCGTTGAGATTTAATGACATGACATGAATACCTACAGAATTAACATTGCTCTACCAATTCCTGATACTTCCTGCTTCGTCCAAAACCTTGACGTTGTGACACAGTCTACTTATTCCTGTTACTCAAGTACCACGAGGGAGGATCCTGCTATTTCCATTCCCATTGCTTACTTTAACAGTTGAGTGTTCATCATCACTTAAAAGCTCAATACTTGCATCTGAAGATTGATGCTCTCTATCCCCTTGGCGAGACGAATCATATGGAGATTCTCTCTGTGTCCCTTTCTTATCCGGCATATAGTCCACAGCAAATAGAGTCACCATATCTTCATCCATTCCTTCTAGTCTGCGTCTCTGGCGTCGCAATACTAGGCGCATGTCGCCAACATGCCTCGACAAAGGCTCTGCTCCCGTTGTTTTCGCTGTGGGGATCATAGTGTCAAGATCAGGGTTCCTTGTAGTCCGTAGAATAGTTGAGAAAGAAGTTGCATAGGATGCCGATGCAGACTTAATGCACAGAAGCCCTATGATGATAACAATCGCAGAAGCCAGTATGCCTAGTCCATACGCGATGAAGAGGTTGCGAGACTCAGAAGAGAAGGCGATTTGCGTGGAGAGATATGTAATGGGACCACGAGATGCGACGGTATCGTTTTGCCTGTGAGGAATGTTAACTGGCGTCCAATTGCAAGAGTTATATCATTACACTGACAGTAATTTTGAGTTACTAAACAGACTTATCGTGGAATTTGTAAATAGCTGTTCCAATGTATCAGACATGGAGATATTCCCAATCACAGACTCCGGTGTTTCTGAACGGTCCGTCTCTGTATTCACGTCTCCAAGGACCTGCATCTCTTTGGCATCCATAAGAACAGAGCTCATGATCTGCGTCTGAGTTGGACACATAACACCATAGTGCGATATTCCCAAACTCCCAAGCAGCAGCTTGCCCAGGGAACCCATGAGCGAGATATAAGCAACGGTGGCATTGAACTGACTGGAGCCTGTGTTCGCCTTGGTGAGAGCGGCGTCAATGGACGTCACTCCGTTCAATCTTTTAGACTTGTAGGTAATATTCTGTTGACAGTTGTCGAATGTCAAGTTGACGGCATAGGAAGAATTGTAGATCTGGCACTTGATCGACTTGTTTGCCATTATGTAACTGCTCGACATGGGCTTACCCGGCACGGCAACGTAGAGCTTAGCTGCGCTTGTAGCGTTGGCCGTCCGATCAATAGACGGCACCGTCGAAATCAGAGAATAGTTCATTGCGCCCGCATACCGGCCAAGGCATAGCCCTCATCAGTGTTATTCATAGTTTGACCGCTTGGAACAAACCCAACGTATCCGGCAAAGTCTCCACAGCAGGTCTCGTTATTGACGGCTTCAGCTAGAGGTTTTGCGAAGGACGCGTTGCTAGGTGTATTGCATGAAATTGAAGGGCCATAACAGTCAACGGAATATGAGGATTTGGGAAAGGGTGCTGGTACAGTGGGGATAGAGTCATTTACTCAAAGGGGGCTTCCCCTGACTGCAGTTATCACCCCAGCTACGCTGACGGTTCAGGTATCTGAACATCCAAGTGTCACGATTGTCGACACTCCCATTCCACTGCTCGATTACGACAACATGCTCAACTTTGCTCAATTTACAGGAGTAGGGGGGAGTGGGATATTATGCTCCCTCGAGCTATGTCTCGAGGGTGCTCTTATCAGTGGCATCTCTACATGAGATTTAAAATAAAAACCTACCAAGCTATTATAGTGACTGTAGCAGGTGCTGGCGCAGCTGTTCAGAGTTCCCAAGTAGTAAAGTCCAAGGCATTATGCAAGACACCAAAAAGCGAGTTGACTCCCTCGATAGTGACAGATTTTGATCTTAGGATTCGCCACAGTATTTGCGTATATGCGAATCCGACAGCTCCTGATAACAGGGCTCTTGCAAGGAACGCTATACCGGTGCCGACACGGAGAAACCACTCCTGCTGGCTCTGGGTCTTGGCGACTCTACCGTCTTGATAGTGGTAGTAAAGATGATGACGATGGCGAGGAGTAGTCCCAAGAATAGACTACCTGTCACGAGGATGGGGGTTACCTTGTGAATCGCCATGTTGTGCTTTTGTGGGGTGCCGCAGCGCAAGGTCCTTAATCGTAGTCATAAAGGGCCGACCTTCTCGATTACTGGTCGGCCCCGAGAACAAAACGATAATTAGTTTCGTCTGAAGAGACTCCCCAGGCGTATTTAGTGTCGTAATCGTCGCTACGTTAAATTGAATGCTGAAATTAAACTATTAAAAAGAGAGCCATGTCAGGCGGAATCTCTCAAGGTCATCCTGTTTTCTGCCTTGGGGGCCAAATTGATAAAGACGCCAGATGAAGAGCATCTAAATCCTTTACTAGTTATGTGAAGGGCAATACATAGAATTAAATAAAAAAGAATTTAACTATAAAAAAGTAATTAAAGATAATATAATATTAATAAATATAGATTTATATAATATAAAGCTTATTATCTTTATTATAAATTAAAACCTTAATTTATACTACCTTTGTATTTATGTTATTATCCTTCTTGCATTTCTACTAGACACTGGTAATTCGTCATTGTTCCGCCCATTAACGACTCCAGCAACAAGGTTATTATTAATCAGATTTACTTTATATATATGCGGCTTTGAGTTGTGCCGGCGCCAGAGCTCAGAAGTGGGTTCGGTGCAATGTCGTGCCGCCTGTAATTACATGACTCGAGTCGCACGACAAAGAAAATAATTTACTACTTGTCATCCATGTAAACTCTAGAACTGGGATCCCTATCTTCATGTTAAAAAGGATGTTGTATTCCCAACCTCTGTAGCACGTTAACTTCCGATACATCACAGTCCCGAAGAGTGCATATCCTGCCAGTTGTCCATTTCCCTTCTACAATGTCTTCTCCAATAGCCCAACCAATTACGTTCGGGAATGGCCTGACGCTGCCAAATCGATTAGCAAAGTCTGCCATGGCCGAGAATCTAGCAGATAAAGACCTTCTACCCACAAATGACGTTTACTCTGCCTACAAGGCTTGGGCGGAGGGTGGTTGGGGGCTGATCATCACAGGTAGTTTTGCCGTTCCGCAAACGGGACATAGCCCCTTTTGTTGACTCAGTATTAGGAAACGTGCAGGTTGATCCTCGTTATCTAGGACAACCTGGAGATATAGCCTATAATAACTTGATAAGCAGGACTCGTCTGCTTGACAGCTGGAAGAAGTGGGCATCAACATGTAGAGTTGCTGGGACACCAACTGTGATGCAGATAAGCCATCCAGGCAGGCAGTCCCCGGCCGGAGCAGGCAAAAGGGGTCTCTTTGAGAAGGCTTTAGCACCCAGCGCAATACCATTGCGTCTCGGCAAGGGTCTATTCGCTGCTGTGATTTCCAAGCTACTTTTCGGCACGCCAAAGGCCATGACAGTCGAGGAGATTCTTCATGTGCGAGATTGCTTCGTCGAAACAGCAGTGCTTGCATCCGAGGCTGGGTTCGATGGAATCGAGCTTCACGGAGCTCACGGTTATCTTCTTTCCCAGTTCCTGACTGCCAAGACTAACCAGCGAGTCGATGAATATGGAGGAACGCCCAAGGCTCGGGCTAAGATTGTCGTTGATATCATCAAGGCTATCCGAGACGCTGTACCGAAAAGCTTCACAGTTGGTATCAAGTTTAACTCTGTCGATCATCAGTCGTCCATTGCCTTGGAAGAGTGTCTTGAACAGCTCCGACTGATCACCGATGCTGGAATCGATTTCCTGGAAATCAGTGGCGGTAGTTATGAAGAGCCAATTGTAGGTCTATCCATTGTGCCACCGGGCTTACCAGCATTGTCTAATAAGCCATTCAGGGAATTTTAGACCCTGACCAAATCACGCGGGTGAAAAAAGAAAGTACAGCGGCCAGAGAAGCATTTTTTCTCGACTTTGCGAAAGCGATCCGAAACGAGTTCCCAGATCTACCGCTGCTCGTCACGGGTGGATTCCGAAGTCGAAAGGTAATCGAAGACGCTCTGCTAAGCAACGCCCTGGATATTGTCGGACTGGCCCGACCAGCAGTGTTGAATGCTTCTGCGCCCTCGAGCACGCTACTAGATATGAGCAAAGGGGATGATGAGGCACGAGCCATTGCTGTTTCTGTTCCGACACCTTGGTTGTTGAAGAAGATTGGCAACTATATCATTGGAGCTGGCTACGAAACGGTTTGCTGCCTAGTCCCCTAAGTAGACAAGCAACTGACCACAAGTTTTAGGCATGGTATGGGAAGAAGATCAAGACGTTGGGGAGAGTGAGAAGACAAGGATACACATCCAATGTTTGAGAAGGGTTTGGGTTACGAGAGAAGCTGACTTTCTTCAGAAACGGGATCAGTTAGGCTCAGTCCAGAAGCCCCACGACTTGATGGGATAGATCAGACATGCTCCTAACTGCCAATAAGTCAAATTCTAGGCTCAGAATCTATGATATCTCATTACAGGGTGAAGCTTTGTTACTAAAAGAGTCTAATTTAATAATTGCCTAAGTGAGCACACACGAGCTACACTGCGTTACAAACTCATAGCTTTTGAATCCAATGGTGTAATGGATTGTCTAGACTATCCATCACCATCTTATTCTTTCAGAGCTTCTAGCGGCGAGGCAAGGGAAAAGTATAACGACTTAATCAGTAACACAGTTAGCATCCGATGTGCACAGCTCAGGTGCATCTTACTAATCTAATATGGGGCAAGCGGTGGCCAGCTCATCCAAGCCCCCAGGACCGATCTTGCTAGGGACTTTTGTGAGCCCTCAGTGAGCGGTTGACTTCTTGTCTTTTCAAGTAACAGCTCCTTATCGGTTGCTGTATTTGTTTTAGGATACATTGCCGGTACGGTTGGCTTCGCTGTCCTGCCGCTTTGGTTGTACATTGCTTTGTGATAATACCAGAATACTCAATATATGTAGAACATAAGAACAATGGCTTTTAGAAGTCGGATGCCGAGGTAATGCTGGCTGTGGGGAAGGCTGAAATAAATACCACAAGAGTCTGCCCCTCGCTGTTCGATCACTAATCACGAGAGCGAAAGGCACCCGGCAGCCCTTGACTAGTGCAATCACTACATAATCGGATGGATCAGTCTTGCCGTGACCGAGCTAATCCACCCTAAACAGCACCATGTGATGTGGCTTGCAGCATGCATATCTGCCTGCTGTGGCTCAAAACAGAAGAGGGCAACCAGCTTTCGGTCTAGAGAACCAAGAAGTCGATGATTAATTGGTTTTTACAAAGGTTTCCATATTGCTGATCCAAATCATTTAAAGAATGAAAAATGATGTCTCAGGCTTCGTCTTGCGCAGCTTCCAGGTGCAACGTCAAAATTCGACGGCCGTTCACCACCCTTTCACAAAATCTCACATCTGTAATAAGGGGATCTTGAGCCCGACCGTCGTGATGTTTACATTGAGCATTGTAAGCATTAATATTGCAAGGGTTACACATAGTGCCAGCACAGCTTGACGGATCCTTGCAGAATAACAACTCTTTTACAGCAAAACTAAAACTCAATCCAGCGAATAGACCAACTTCTCACCGCTCACGGTGCCATTCCGAACTTCATCGAGACCCTTAAGCACTGCAGCCAATCCAGACCCATCAGTGTTGACCTTGGGCTTGTGCACCCGAATCTTGCCCTCGGCGAGCAGTCCTTCAGCAAGAATCCAGAAGTCACGAGCAAAAGCAGCATCTTCCGGCTTTGCAGGGAACGTATGAGGCCCGAACTGAAAGGCTTCACCAATAGCGGTATAAGCCAGCGTCATATTGTAACTGGCTCGTTCGCCAATCCAAGCAACTACATTCTCGGGGAGAATTCGGAGCGCTGAATAGCTTCCACCAGCTCCCAAGACGGACACCGCTTTGCGAGCAGTATCCTCAGTCGAGATACAATCGAAAACATATTTAAGATGCCCACCCGTGTATTTGCGTAGTTCCTCAACCAGAGTCTCTGACTTGTAGTCGAAAACAGCGTCGGCTCCCAAGTCCCTCACGTAGTCGAAATGCTTGGGGGATGCGGTCACCAGCACCCTGAGGCCAGACAGCTTGGCAAACTGGATGGCTAGCGCGCCAGTGGCAGTGCTACCACCATAGATCAGGAGATACTCGCGGTTCGGGGAAGGCTTGTCAGGGAGTGGCAGCTTTAGGCTTTGGTACAAGCCCTGCCCAACGGTGGTGATGCCAACGCCGAGGGTCGCTGCCTCTTCAAAGGTCAGCGAGTCAGGAATTCGAAGGGCGACATCAGCCTTGGCGACGATGTGTTGGGCAAAGGCTCCGTCTTCTTCATTGACTGCGTTGCCCCCGTGGACTACACCCGCAATACGATCTCCCTCCTTGAACGATTTAGTCACGTTTGGACCGACCTCCTCGATTACGCCGGCAAAGTCGCATCCAGACCGGGTGCCGGGTGTCGGGATAAGGTCGATGTGAAGAACATCTGTAGGATTCAAGGCGACTGCTTTGACTTTGACGAGAACATATCCGTCTCGAAGCGAGGGGATGGATACAGGGGAAAGTTCTGCAACCCCTTGGGACTTGATCACGATGGCGGTGTTGGTAGACATGGTAGGTGGGAGCCCGAGAGTTTGACCTTGATGAACTTATTGGTATAGAAACGCGGACTTGGATTGGAAATAGGAATGCAGCTTTAAAAGGACATAACCTCTCTCTGAATATATATAGCCATCTGTCAATTGCTACGGCCAGCTTCATACACCGCGGTGTATCACGAACCGACCACTGTCCTACTACTCAGAGAATTGTCGGATTCCAGGGGCAATCCTCTCAGACAAATCACGCATTTTCCTGACAAACGGTGGTGTTATGTAATGGCGATCTTGGGTGGTGCGAGCTAGGCGCTACCGATTACTAAACATGAGAAGAAACAGCGTTAATAGGAAAGAAAGCTATGGCCAATCATGAACAGCTTTGACTGATTCGGGGGTTCAGTTTGCCCGGTACAGAGGTACCCAGCGACCCACTAGCTGCCGGGCCGTTTAATAACACCGACCTGCTGATGAATCAGTGGTTTCAGTCTATACACGTATAGACTCTAGACATGCTAGTCTACTTAGGAACTCCAGAACAGCATTGGAACCACACGGTACTGCCTACCACACAGAACGAAGCGGCATCACGCCCAGCTCGCTGTGCACGGTTACAAAGAAGGTATCGAGTATGGGGCTAGTCTCAGCTACAGTCGTTTCGCTTCGTCACAGGCTCACTGTTTCTTATTCATGCCAGATTGAGCATTTCTAGAAAGGTTCCCCGGCCATACACATATGGCGAGATAATAGCTCAATCCTTATCGTTACTATGCAATGCTGTTTGCTCGATTGAGCCTGAGAAAACTGCACCTTTCTGAGCACAACTCACGGGAAACTGATGCACTGGGGACGGACCAATCTTTGCCTCCTTCTACTTCTGTGACTGGCCGAGATGGAAATGAGGTTATGACGACAGGTATAGGATAAAGCAGCCCTTCCCTGAACAAGCAAGCATAGCCGAGTGATGCACAAGGCGCCACGAATTTCACGAGTTCATATGATAGATCAGTAACTCTCGCGATAGATATCACCGACGGCTTACCAAGCGTCGCAATGCTTAATTTTCGGAGATGTACAGGCTAACGTAGCTAGCTCTAACAGCTAAATAATATCATAGCCGTAATCCAGGCCTACTTTCATCGAACGATAGTACCTATACTCACCTCTCGATCCGTAGACCATCTCGAATTTAGCTATTTAGAGAACTTCACTGCTTTGGTTACCTAGCTATCTCTACCGTAAGTCTTATTAAAGTCTTCCAAGTTCCCTACACCACATATGATATATCACATGGCCCATGCCTAAAGTGCTTTATATGCCTTTTTGTATGCTAAGTAGTTGGGTTAGGTTATCTCAACGAAAGAGAAGCAGGCCCTTATTTATATAGCACTAAGGATAGTTATTAGAATAATTAACTTTTTAGCTAAAATTTATATCTTACGTATTAATAAGGGTAAAGAGTACATTACCTATATATTTTAATTTATATTCTCTACCTTTATATTAAGGCTAAAGCTTCTTTAACCCCTTAACTTTATCACCTTCTAATAGCCTGAAGTGCTACCCTCTTTACCCCTTAGAAGTTCGGCTAATAGATTCTGCATCCGGCACCAAGTGGAGTCTTGCATTGCACAGGACATGGTGACGCCATGGCTGGGTGTCTTATGAGGAGATGAACTTACCCACTGTGGAAACATTAGCAACCGCACGGCAACCTCTCATGGTGGGTTCAACTTGGACTTATCTGACATGACTCCAGCTATGGTCTTGCACCAATATAATTATATACAAAGCAACGCCTCGACAACATACAGTTGAATATGGAGACCAACGGCACTACTCTTGTGAATTGTGATTTGCAACTTTCGCCAGCGAATTCCAACCACGATCTGATGACCCTTCTAGGGTAGCTTAGTCATGAGCGTGAGGAGTGGGCCCGTTGAAGAAAACTTTCTGCCTCCGCCGTTAATAATGTCCGCCTGGAGCGAGAAAAGAGATTGGCAGAGAGTTGAGGCAGCTGCTGCATACTACAATCTCTAATGGTATTTATGAACTTGGAAATATTTAAGACAAGTCTATTTATGAAAGGTACTATACTAGGATGCGCCATGTGACAGGAGGCTAACTACAGACCACCGACTTCTCGTTGCATTTAGAGCACAAGGACATTACTTCGGCATCAGCCCAAGAGTACAGGCTCAAGGCACTGATCTACCAGGCGATTGTAGTACCGTCGTAATTTTGAAAGGTTCCACCAAGCTCTTTACCGGCCTTATCAATAACATTGACCATTGACGTAACACTGGTCTCGACAGTGATGGCTCCAAAAGCGGAGAGCTGTTCCTTGGAACCACTGCCAACAGCAGCAAGAGCAAGATCGGTCTCTACCAGGCCAGGGTGGAAGACGAAGCTAGTGAGCCAAGGCTCTTCGAAGTGAAGGCGCCGAATGAACCAGTTCAGAGCTGCCTTACTGCCACCATAAGGGCTGCTGGTAGGGGGCAGTCCCGCCAAGAGTTCCATAGAGCCGATGGAGCCGATGATGGTTGAAATTGCAACGAAAATGGGCTTCTCGGTCTTGCTGGCCTGCAGGAGGTCTGCTACGGCTTGAAACAGCACGACAGGGCCGATTGTGTTTACCTGAAAGTGCTTGTTGATGTTGTCCACGGCTGTGTCACGAACTCGTCCGCCATCGTTTCCGATTCCGGCATTGGCGATGACAATATCAAGAGCGCGAATGCCGTGCTCCCCCTTCAGCGCAGCAACGGCCTCGGCAGCGTCAGAGGGGACGCTGGAGTCAAGCTTGACGGTGATCAACTTGGAACCCTTGCCCACTGGCAGATCCTGGAGGGCCTTAGAGGTCGGGTGGGAGGGATCGCGAACGCCAACGATGACAGTGAGCGAAGGCCGAGCAAGAAAAGTCTTGACGAAGCCTTGGCCGATTCCACGGTTTCCACCAGTGATGAGGACTGTAGACGGAGCAGACATTGCAACGATGCTGGGATGGGCGATATATTTTGTGTTGATCGTTTAGGTTATGGTTATGAGAATAAGAACTGTAACGATGAATGGGCTGCTTCTGCTATTTTTATGTCCTTGTAGAGTGCGAACAGTTGTTATATATGATTAATCCAGTTGTAGCTTGAGACCAGCATGTTGACTCCAGGGGGTACTAATGCGGCTGCCTCCAGACTGTTGGGACTCATCATACCATCGAAAACACGCATGGGTTTGTCATCGCGATGGATTATGTTCGAATCTTCCAAGTTCCACAACATTTGGATTCCCTACTAGGCAGAGCTTGAGTTTCAATGCCATAGAATCCAACAGCCCACTAACACTGAGGCAAGCTAACAATCAGTGAATAGTAATCGCTCGGAAGTTTTAGTCAGTGGGTAAAATTTCCCTTACCGGATGAATTTTCTGTTCGGATAGACTAATTACCCCGAGCCGTGGAAGCGTCAATACACTTCTCTAGAGCCAGATTGGTAGTTAAGACAGATTAAGTTAATTCATATCAAGGCTGAAGTCTTTATGCCTAGCTATAAAGTTAAAAAGTAGTAAAAGAAATTTATAAATAATTAATAGGCTTATATAGTATTAATACTATAATTAACTTCTTAATTAATAGGGTAATAGACATACTGTGGCAAAAAACCCTTTTTCTTCGAGCCAGACAGACAGACCTTGCGGTTACTCCATACCTCCCAACATACCCTCTGTGACAAACCTGTCCTCATCCCAACCAACCATCGGAACGGCTTCAGCCCGCTTGAGGAACTTCTCCTCGTCCGGAACAACAATCCGATTATACTCTGGATCAGTAAAAACCTTTGCATCGATATATCAGTACTGCTAAACACATGCATGCATTGGACATAAAACTTACAGCATGAAGGTCTTCAAGGCTCTTGGCCCACATCGTAGCAGCACCATCGAAAGGCGCCACGGGCGGTAGCCCTGTCGCTGATAGGTCGACCTTCTCATCGACGTGGAACTGCGAGTACTTTACGAGCTTCTCCTTGACAATAGGGACAGATAGCCATATCTTTGGGTGCTCTTCCGACCAACTGATTTCAGAGCGAGTTAGTGGGTTACTAAGATGATAATGAGAAGTATGTTGTCTTCGGGTGACTCAACTACTTATGGAACTGTTCATGCGTAATGTCGTCGCGCTTTCGCAACAGGAATGTGATGCGGACGATCTTGGCCATCGTACTAGAATTATTTAAAACAATGGGGAAGATGCTTCAGAGTACAGGTTGTAAGACTTTAGTCCGGCTTTGATTTAAGTATGAATAGCTAAACATCAGTGTTATCGGCGTATCCCTAGGATATATATACATGGTACAGAGTTGATGACGCGTCTTGATGCTTCTTAGACGAGCTACCAAGGATAACGACTGACTGACTTCTTTCTCTCGAGCATCCATGGCTCCGAGGTGACACGGAAGTAAACTGATAAGCTGATGTAAATGCAGGACTGAAATGGAATAAACATCGAGCTAGCCAATGGGAGATATCTGGTGGGACATGGATCATTCCGTAAAAAGCCGCTTCTGCATCGCCAAACTTACAATGTTATCAAGCTCACAGCTTTTGTTTCGGCCAAACTTGGTAGATCACACAGAGGCGTCGGAATAGCTGATTTAATCGCATGTTTTGTCGTACCTTTTATCTAAAATGGGCTAGTCACAATAGTTGCTTCATCCTTTCAGATGGACTAGACATGGTACTATGATCTTTGCACTTAATGAGCCAACACTAAGTCCTACCTGGGAAGAACACCGAGTTAGCCAATTATGTGTCTAGAAATGAATCCCGCCGAGGATATATTAGTTTCAGCCCCAATGCAACCTTGACAGCATCCCTGCCACCTGTCAGCCGAGTGCGAAGGCGTTTGCCTCTGTTATCCGAGTGCGAGAGCGTATCAAGTCGGATGCGTCAAGAGACAATGCAGTAAACATTACCTTGTTCTCGGAAAGAGCAAAAAGCGTCAATTGCCATGCCTGCTAATGAATATCACGTTATACTTGTTTTTAGCACTTGCGAGTGTTATACGTGGACAAACATTGATCCGACATCGTGGTACGTTATCCCCTCATCACACATCAATCAACTCATTCTTACTGCCCACCGTATCAATAATATCCGCCTCAATACCCCCAAGGAGAAGAATTGGAAAGCCTTTGTATAGAATTAACGATGGACGTACCCAAGGTACTGATCATGATGAGCGACGCGGGCCACGATCCCACTGGTACGCTGATCAACAAGTCGCCCTGGCATCACGCAAAGTTGACAAGATTCGCAGAGACGGCCGTCCCCTATGCTGCTTTTAAAGAAGCAGGCTTTGCAGTCCAATTCGCTACGGAAAGTGGAAAGACCCCAGAGTGTGATAAGAGGATGATGGAAGGCGTTACAGGGAAACTTCTGGTGTGTTTGGCCATTTCTAAAGAATTTGTCCCAATTCTTAACATCAACGCTACTAGGGAGCAAAACATGCCGTGGTGAAGCAATACAAGGCCATGCTCGAGTCAGACGAGGCTCGATATCCGTTGTCATGGACTGCACCGGGTTTCTCGCTCGACGATTATAACCTCGTACTCTTACCTGGCGGACATGACAAGGCTGTGCGACAAATCATCGACTCCAAGGAGGTGCATAGGCTCATGCTCGACTACTTCCCCCGTACGAAGAAGCCGAGCAACAAGGCCGTAGGTGCCATCTGCCATGGCGTCATGGTGCTGTCGTCTGCCAAAGGCAATGATGGGCAGAGCGTGATCCACGAGTGCACCACGACCACTCTACCGGGCTTGTTCGAGAGCTCCGTATACTGGGCTACCAGGGCGTTTCTTGGTGATTACTACAAAACATATGGCGCTGGCAGCGAGAACACGGAAGATTCTGTAAGCCCTGGCAATAGATTGCTCATGTTGGATGAACACACTGACTCTTCTAGGTCCGTAATAGCCTCGCTGATGACAATCAACAGTTCAAGGGAAGCACCAGTCTTAATCCGTACGTTGATTCCATGGCAGCCTATTATGAATGCGCTCTTCTAATAAGTCAAAATGCAGCTTTGTTGTCAGTGATGACGAGTATAACTATGTCACCGCAAGATGGCCCGGCGATGCGGACCTATTTGCTAAAACCTTAGTAGATCTTGTGCAGGAGTCTCAATAGTGATGTTATGGCATTGGGGAATCATATCGCAAGTGTGTTTGGTGAGAGCCAAAGACATTGGGGGCGAGGAAACCAGAGTACCTAGGCCATTAATGTGGCGGCTAAAGCTATCGCTTTCGCTTGGGTCCGGCCTTAAAGCTTGTTTTGTTCGGCGGTAGTGCTGGTGCGACCGTAGATGGGGTGAAAGTCAGCAGCACAGTCATCAACAGAAGATCACATAGAGGACCCCCCGGAGCGTTCTTGAGGCAGCCGCGGGGATTCTCGTAATAGGTCAAAGCTTTCGGTAGGCTAGTGGCATACAAGTAGCGAGTCAACTCTATCCGTCTCTCGACGCAGAGACCTTTAAACTATTTATCTTTAGCACCTCAACTCAGAATCAGAAGTCTTACTCTCGAAGGGGTGCCCTAATTCGAGTCAACTGGCCTCTTAAACCTCAGATTCAAGTTATTGTTAATTAACTATTATTTTAATCTCATGCTTCCAAAAGATCCAACATATCTAACCCACAAGGCTGTCCGATGTATGTCTCCCACAGCTCATCAAACGAGAAAGGCGTATCAAGACTATCGACCCTTGGGCCCTCATGTCCCGACAAGCTGAAATCTAATGGCGTTGTATCTTCTGTATATGTAGAGATAGTTGTAGAGGGTGACCAAACACCATATGCGACTAGCAACTGCGTCAAAACATCTAGTAACTTTGCAGCCATTTGAGAGTGATCCTTGACGTCGTCCAGCTTCTTCAGAACACCTATCAGCTCTGAAGACTGCGTCTCATCATCCTGGTTGCAGCAGATATCTGTAGTGAGAACAAGAGCCCCTATGAACATGTGAAATATCGTGCCCTGGATCTTCATGAAATCGGCAGAGTGCGACATGTGTGTCATAGTCATGCCTCGATGGGAAGAAAGGACAGCTCGAGCAGCTTTCAGGCTGGCCTGACGTGAAAACGCGTGCAGAGCCTTGTTGGCACGCCCAGGACGGTAGGGGAAATGTAGTCCGCATCGGAAAATGTTGATCAGTAGGTTGATCAAGAGTCGCTGCATTGGGATATGGGGATAGTTTTGGTCAATCTGTTTGGTCCCTTCAGACTCTGACAATTCAATTTTGAAGAAATCCGGGAGATCGCATAGCAAAGACTCCAGCTTTGCATCGAGTGAAAGTATTAACTCGCATGAAGCTTCGCTTGGATCATGCGGCATTAGATCAGAAATGCAGCGAACTACCTCGGCGACCTTGATGCGCTGGAGGTTGTAGGACATAGTGGTTGGTTCCGAAAGGGGCCGCTCCTTATACTCGGGGTTACTGATATCACTGTCATTGATATGTTTTGGAAGGTTGGTATTGATGAGATTCGGTTGGATGAGGTAAGTAGCTCCAGACGTTCCTGGGTCAAGTCAGCGACTCATCTGTTATCTTGAATCCCAAGTATTCACCTTCTGCCTTTGACGATGCCCAATCTGTTGCAGTGAGATACCACCAGACTCTTCTCTTTATCTCCTGTGTCATTGGATCCGCCTCAACCTTTGGATGGCCCCGTTTAGCAGATGCCCGGTCAACAACATGAAGTCCGAGGCTATGGGAAACAGCAATAGCTTCAGCAAGTAAGACACGGTATCTTGGAGAAAAGGTCTCGGTGTGATGGATGCCAAAACTGAGGAGGATCAATGCCTGTACGTTTTCGAGAGTATGATCTGCTCTTCGACGATGTTGCTCCAGGGAGTCCATCGCCATCCGGATGTAGGTGGCAAATAACCCTAGCCTTTCCTTTAGTATTGGAATTGCTGTAGTCAAGTTTCCATCTACGGGCTCAAGGATCGTCGCCAACGCTATGATGGATAATATCAAGGAGAGACCTCGAGGAGCAGTCGTTGCAGAAACATTGACTATCTGGTCATATGCATCGTTTACAATAATGCTTGCATGAGGTTCGTAGATGATGTTTTGGACGTGGCCCAAGTATTGGAAGTATAATTGAAACAGGCGCATTGTCTCCCACTTGGGAGGGAGTTGTATGTGGCGAGGTTCGATTGTTTTCTGCGATTTGTATTCTGCTGAGATCGATATACTAAGATCGTGCATGAGCGCGCGACGCTGACCGCTGTGAGTAAATAGAGAGCTAGACAACAAGCAGCGGTTTAAAACGTACCAAGAAACTATCGTTGACTGAGTATTTGGTCGCTTGCATCTGGTCTTCAGGAGGCATGAACTCAGCAACGTTATTGAAAGCAGGTTCTTGGGTTTGCGAGACGACGCTGGGCAAGTTGAATCGAATGGCGTTCAGCTGGTTGCCAATTGGGGTTGATATAGAGACATGCTTGCTCCTTTTTGTTGGGCTCAGATAAGTTTCAATTTGATCTAGTCTCGAGAGTATGTTCGACAGTGCTGAAGAGTCTGGCTCTGGAGGTAATGGTCTCTTGACTGCTCGGTTAGGAGGCAAGTCTTGCTCTGTGCACTCGACCGACCGAGCAACACAGTTTGCACATGGTTGTTGTCGATCACATTTGAGCTTTCTCTGGCGACATGAGAGACATGCGTTTCTCTGCGAACCTGGTGCCATTGTGATTGTACCAACAATCAGCTGCTCGGATCCGCGGATCCGCGAACATCCGGAGTCTCGTCTCAAATCGGTCAGTGAACGGTTAATCATCGGCTCAAAGGTCAAACGAATCATGACCATGGAATTCTGGACAGGTCCGGTCCGGTCCGGTCCATGGAGACCGGACATCTCGGATCCGCCTTAAAGATTGTATTATTAGATTTAGTATTTATATAGCACTTATGGTTGCAATGAGTTGGACATGCCAGAAATTACATTAAGCTTCTCATATCTTATCTGGAAGATAAAGACATTTTGTAACCAAGTCTTATCATAGCAACCACGATGCCGGATATTGACTTCAGTGCTCTGGCGGCTGCTGCCGATTTCGACAACTTCCGCCAGGCGCCGACTCTGGATACTCTCGCCAACAATGCTCTCCTCTCTCCCAACACCAAATTAGAGCAAGCCCTCGCCAACTCAGCAGCCAAGGGCCTCCCGCCCATCAGCGTCACCCCAATGTCTGGGCAGCATCTATCAGTCCTCACTCAACTCATGGGCGCCAAGTCAGTGCTAGAAATTGGCACACTTGGCGGCTACTCAGCTATCTGTTTTGCCCAAGGAGGTGCCAAAGTAACGAGCATTGAGATCGATCCGAAGCATCGCGACGTCGCACTTGAGAATGTTGAAGGTCTTGACGTGGAGGTTTTACTTGGAGCTGCACTTGATGTACTACCCAAGCTGGCCGAGGAAAAACGACAGTTCGATATGGTCTTTATCGATGCTGAATTTGAGGATCATATTGAGCACTTCGACTGGGCTGTCAAACTGACCCGGCCTGGTGGATGTGTTTTCTTTGACGACGTGGTGCCGGCCATGTTCAAGAATGGCGAAGTAAAACCAGGAGCGGATTCTATCTTGACGCATATTGGAAAGGACCACAGAGTCAAGGCGGCCCTGATGCCCAATGTGGCTTGTCACCCTATGTTGCCTACACCTATCTTTAATGGCTTTGTATTGGCTCTAGTCAAGGAGCATTCATGAAGGTGACAACCGAACTCGCTGTGATAAACAGGGCACTGTACTACAGTTGGCACTAGAAATAAACATCCTTCTCGCTTTTCTACATTTTGGTCTTCTATGTAATAACACTTCAAGCCTAGCCTGACAAGCGTTAACTACCTATCCACCACGTTAATAAAACTATTCTAGCCCTAAAGAGCCTTTAGTAATCAGCTCTGCTATGTGAGCTTATTGTAGCGAGAGCTTTGACTTTGAGCCAGGCCGAGACTGTGCTTAGACACTTTTGGCCTTTCCTTTTCCAGCTTTGTCAGTCATCAGCGATTGAAGCCACATTCCATCGGTAGGTATTTTACAAGACAATGTTGATTTTGACAGTCCTAAACCGGAAGTTTTAGGCCTTCATGTAATACGCAAACACTCCAGCAAAATGGAAATCAATTAGCTGACCTCTAATTCTCCATTTCGTAATCACCTCACCCTGCGGGCTTGAATAGTGGCCTTGTCTTCGAGCTGGGTCATGCGACTTTTGTAACAAGTGTGACCTCAGCTGACTGCATCGGAAAAGCTTTTCTCCAGCCGCCCGAGCCCGCCTTGCCGGACCGACCCGAACTTCACCTTTTCAGCTCCTCAGCTGAGGCCTCTTCTCCTCTTCTCTCCCATCTCAAGTCCGCAGAAGATGGCTTCCAATCTCTATCCCCACAGAGGCTTCATGCTGGATACAGGCCGCAAGTTCTTCCCAGTCAAAGCCATTCTCCATCTGTTAACTTTACTTCACCAATACAACTTCAATGTCTTTCATTGGCATATATACGACGCAGAAAGCTTCCCTCTGCTTTGGCCAGCAGATGGGGGCTTAACGAATGCAAGTATCAAGTACAGTCAAACTCACACATACTATACACCCAGCGATATTCAGCACGTGGTATCTTATGCCGAGAACCTGGGTATTCTTGTGTATCCCGAGACAGACATGCCGGGCCATAGTGATATCTGGTATGTCATACAATAACTCTCACTATTCTCCATTATGATTTCTAATAGCACTTTACTAGGGGAATTTGGAAAAAGGATTTAGTAGTAGGTAAGCCAAGCTTGAAACAGCCCGACGCCCAACTCGATATCAGACAGAATCGGCAGCAAGTATATGATTATATACGCAGCTTGGTATCCACAGTCGATGGGTATTTTGGATCATCTTACCATCACTTTGGTGGCGATGAAGTAGCATACATCTGGAAGACCAAGGATGACAACAAACTATTCCAGACGTTCCTCAACTGGCTCAAGACTCTCAGCCCAAACAAATCGGTCATCTTGTGGGATGATCCTCTCACCGACACGGAAAAGAGTATCACCTTATCAAAGGACTGGATCATACAAACCTGGCACAAGGGCGCCACCCAAAAGATACTCAAAAAAGGTCACCGGGTTATTGTTTCCGAGGCCGACACGTTCTACCTCGGAAACGCAGACTCCGATAAGATATCTTCATTTGTATTCCCAAAGAGTTCCAAGGTCCTGGGGTTCGAAGTTGTATGGTTTACTTCGGCGGGGGATGATCCGAATGATTTGGATCAAAGTTGGATTATAGAGCCTTTGAAAGCTGCATCTCGGATTCGGAGAAAGTAAGCGAGGAAACGTCGCATCCTAGCTTGAAAGAGAGAAACTACACAGGCCGGATAAGCGGCACTTGATCTTAAATAACTCAATGTTCAACTATGATGATGAGAATCTCCAGACTCTCAAATTACGGCAGCACAGTTCCATTCTTTATCTTCAGCTCCACAACATCCTCGCACCTTAATATGTCTGGAGGGATCAGAGTCGAAAAGACATGGTGAGGCACACGATCCTCAGGCTCAATCCCAAAATCCCCATAGCCACCAGTGCACCACCACATACCCCTAGGTTCCATCCGAAGACCATACTTCCCATCCGGGAGCTTAGATATCAAGCTGCTAACGTCTACATATCTGACAAGTGGTTCGTCAGGCTCCAGGGTTGTAAGAAACTCTAGCGTCGGGCGTGGATCTTCCTCCTGATGTAGACCACAAGGACCGGGTTTGGCTGCTTCGAGGACGATTTCCCCTGTGGAAATGTCAAGGACTTGGATTGATGCACGAGGTGTTGGTGATTCTGGGTCGATAATGCGAGGACGGGAATCTTCAGGGGGGAACTCTGCATCTGGTAGGTATGGGACGTTGGGAGTGAGGAAACGTTGGCGGCCGCGGGTCTGTACAGTAATAGGCTCATTGCCTTTGCTGCAGACCGAGACCTTGATCCGCGCTGCGTCGTTGTTGCTAGTCTTGCCGCCTTCACCTTTATACCTTTGCATCCTGGTTTGTATTTCTGGGGGCCAGGTCAGAGACTGTTCCACCTAGAACAATGCCCGCCCGTGTGCCCTGCTGGTGACTATTTTATTCTTTACACTCGGAGATGACGGCTTTCCATGTTCATCAATAAAATCGTATGCGTCCGAGCCATCACCATCAGAAACACCAAATCGCTCGGCGGAACCTTTTTTTACAATCACAATATGAGTTTATGTTCTCTGGTTGTACTCGAACGGGGTCATGTGATGGCATAATGATTGTACAGCTTTTTAGGGGGAGCATCGACTTTCATATGAGTGGCCAGTGATCACACCGTTATGCTCAGAGACCTAAACTGATAGGATGAATGAGGAAGACCCTTTCAATTTGGCATGGCTCTAAGGTAAGGCAGACATATGAAGACGCACGTACATGAGATTGAAGCAGATGAGAGTGTTCTTACTTGCGACTAATTCAGTTTCCTGCAGTCAAAAGCACCGTTATTTCAAAAACCTTGACCAACACTAAGACATATCTGGATGTTGGCCATTCCGGCATTGCCATACTTCTAGATAATTTCTCGGGATACCCGTGGGAAACAGAAGGCGTGGGCGCCTGGCAGAAAGGAAGCAACTTACGTGGCTATGAGTTTCAAGGTTTTCATACCATTATCAATAAAAGTTGCACCAAAGTTCTACACTATCACACGTGTAGAGCATCCAGACCCCGAGCTATCTCATGTGTTTATTGTCCGTAATAGCATGGCGCTCGTTCGAGACGGTCGGAGGCTGATATAGGGTCTCAACCTCCACTTGATATCAAACACACGAAAGAGAACCGACAGACCACTAGCTTTTAAGTATCTTGAAAGCGTTGGACAAATCTTCGATCTTTTTTACAAGCTTTGAGCGACGCTTCTTTGCAGCTTTGGTCTCGCCAACAATACGCTCGAGTTGCTCGGGCTCGAGGTTGATTACCCACTCCTCAGCGAAAACCTTTAGAGGGCTGCAAGGGCCATGCAACAGGCAGTAATCAACAGCGAGTTGAAAGATATTGTCGATGAACCGATCAAGCGCTAGCCTGTAATAGGCGCAAAGAATGTCATGAATCTCTTCCTGCAATTGTTCCATGTTGCTCTTGCCTTCGGCGGCTTTCGCAATGTCGTCCAGATGAACCATATACTGGACTTCCCCGAACCCCTTGGTGTCTTTTCTAGCCTTTGGACGCAGCAGCTCAGTGATTCGTTGACCCCGAGATTTCGTCAGCGCCTGAGTAAATTGGCGATTGAGGGTGTAAGGCTGTTTACGCTGTTCAACTTCGACCAACAGCTCCGCTTGGACCATTGCAACCCTGTAGCATTCGACTAGGCTATCAAGGATTGCGGACCACAGCTGGGAGCGGGCTTGCTCTTCTTGACAAACGGAACGAAGTGCAGCGGCGATGAAGCGATGAACGGTGAGGATGACTCTGCTCATATAGACCTTGGTCATTTTGGCCCATTTGCACGACTGCTCTGCAAAAGCTGTAGCAACTAAGTTTGCATTGAAGGTGCCAAGGTCAAGGCCCCTGGACTGCAGATAGATACTATTGATCCACGACGTTACATCATCATGTGGCATTGGTGTTTCATCCAGAGGTTCAATGATGTCGCCGAGCTCGGTGAGCTCTCCTGGCGCAACATCGTCCAATTTTGCGTGACGGAGTAACTCTCGTAAGTTAGCTACCATCGATTCAACTGGAGTTTCATCGCAGTCCTCATCGTCCAAGATTCTATCCTCGCCAAAGGGTTCAAACAGATTAAGATTCTTGAAGTGCCGTGAATGGGCACTCCGCTGAAAATCGGCGCTGAAAACATCCGTGATGTTCACAACTTGTGTGATGAGACGGAGAGCGCCTTGATTGAAAACTGGATGGGCGTTGTAATCGGCCGCCAAAGCTGCCCTGACATGGCTTTGAAAAGTTCCGGCAATACTGCAGAGGTAACTACGTTGCTCGCGCTCGTCCTGGCGGGGCGGCCCGAGGCTGTTCAGTTCCCTCTTGCATTCTTTAATCTGGTTACCGACATCTTGGAGAAGCTTAGGATATTCTCGTCGTGTGATGTCGATCAAGTGCAAAGCAAGCTGCTCTTTGAGGGATGGAATGCCCACTCGATCTTGCGGGAGATCAACCCACGGGTGATTCCTGAAAATCTGATCAAGCTCTGACTGCTCCGTTGAGGCACTATCCGCCCCACGGTTCCGGACAAGGAAGTAGCCAAGAGTGAGCGGCCGTTTCTGGCCGTTAATAAGGTCGCAGACAGCAGCCTGTGCACTTGACTCGAGTACCAGGTCGGGCTTAGTGAGGACTCCGAGAGTACGCTCGCCATTCTTGTCGTAATCCTCGGCAATCTCCAGGATTTCTTGCGTGGCAATGTCGACATTACTCGGCAGCACTGCTAGGATGATGGTACGTTCATCTTTGATGTACTTCGTCACGAGGTTCTTCACCATGGCCATGTCGTCTCTAGTGGTTCCTTGAGTGGTGGTCCGGAAGATTCCTGGGACATCAATGATGGTGAGATAGTCCTCGAGAGGCCCATGCACCTCGATCTTGAGGACATCTTCGCTGAACACAGACCCATCCTCGACTGAGATATCGGCCCGAAGGCCCATTCTTTCATTAGCCTAGGTTTTAATTAGCTATTGGAATCGATCTAAAAGAAAAAGAAAAAGAAATTCAATGCTTACTGACCTTGCGCAGAATTTCAACAAACTGCTCCCGGAATTCCGAACCTGAGCGCATCGACGTACGGAATCCCTCAACATGCTTTTTATGCTCGTCTGATGCGTTCGGTCCAGCAATGATACGTATGTCGACCCGATCTTCCTTATCCCGTCGAGATGTAATTTGTGTTGCGTGGCGAGTGCAAAGGGTTTGGTCTTTTGGAAATGGAAATCCGGTCAGGCTTTCCAACAAAGAGGACTTGCCAGAGCTTTGATCTCCGACTACAACAAGCTATGCCATTTGTGAGCTCATGCGACAACATACAAGGTATCGGCCTCCTGATTTTACCTGAGGCAGAGGCACATGTTGACCAATATTCAAGTCGCGGAGCCTATCGACCCTTTCGAGCAAGTTGGGGTCTGACAAGGTGCTGATATCCCGGCTGACGTTCATGTTTGGAAGATATTGGCAGAGTGATACGAACTTATTCGAGTAATCAGTGAGTAAATAGAAGGAGATTTCAGGATGCCCTGAGTCCAAAATCTTGAACGTATGAGTGCTTTTTATAAGCGAAGAAGTTGACCACAGTGCTATATGTTCCTCAGGAATTAAAAGAACAAGGGTATGCTGTTCGGTGGTGATATCTCGACATCGATACGTGGCTCGGCTTGCAATTGGCTGTTTTTGAGGCCCCCAACATCCAGAAGAGCAATGCCAGCCTGTCGCATGCATGATTATCCAACAGTATTATCCATGAGTAAAATGGCCAATGCGAATCGGTTGTATTGAAAGTAAGCGAGCGCATTTGCGATCTGTGATACTATCTGTGATTGATCCATCGTGAGGCTCGCATGTGTAAGTTATCCTCAATTGGCCGGTTTTGAGGCTGTGTGTGTGTATAAATCTCCACTCGAGACGTTCCATGAGTTGGGAGGGAGACGCGCTTGTTCTGCAATCGGCCTGATTAGATTTGCATCATGCACCTCACCTTCTCTCATTGGCCGTTTTTGAGGATGTTTTGGCTGCGTATCTCCACAGCTCGGCAGATTGTCATAGCCATTGGACAGACGTTGGGCACAACCTGATCATACGTGCGGAAAGCAGGCAATCGGTCAGCAGACAAACTTGCGTTAAGTCAACGGGACGAGGGAGCTGTAAAGTCAAAGGTGGGTTTAAAGCTGAGGGGTATCTAACTGAGACGAAGATTCTCATGCTCCTTAGCGACCCTGTCTTCTTCCCTTCAACCTCATACACTTTATTCCCCATAAACAGTCCTGGGCAAAGCTTCCTTTGAAGTGGCCCAGGACTGGACTGTTTCCCACTTTTTTCCATTTCCCAAACAAAAGAAGCCGGGTCTCCCGCGCGCTAAGCAGGAGGCCTGCACCGCCTGACCCTTGCCAGGCAGCGAGTCGTGTAGAGCGTCCAGTCAACATGCCTCCTTTTACCATTCGGACGACTACGGTCTTTCAGCACCCTCATCAGAGAATCCCGAGTATTCTCATTTCAGTGGATGTGTGGAAGGCGAAGCATGCAAGACTTGTAGTGCATATGAAAGCGTCCCACCTCCCACTAGTTCCTCGGTTTTTTCGGAAAATGAGAGTGCCGACGTCGCCCATTCAGGATTAGGAGTACCGTTCCGTGCTCAACAAGAAGAACACTCAGGCTACGGCCGCTTTGATACCAATAACCTTCCTCACTCTCCAATACCGGATTCTGCTCACCCTTGGGATGAGGTTCAGCAGCAGTCCTTCGGCCCAACCTCCGCCGAAACGATACCGAAATCTCACCAGAGCAGCACTTCTCGCCACCGCTGTGATATTTGCAAGAATAGCTTCGCTAGCAACACTGGCCTAAAGCGTCATGTTGAGACCACGCATGAGTATGGTCGGACCTATTGGGTTTGTACTGTGAAAAGTTGTGGGAAATATGATAGACCAGTCTTTCGGAGGGACAACTTTAGGCGGCATTGCAAGACGAAGCATCCAACGGTGGATCTGGAACAATTTGGTCTCTGAATATGGCCACATTTGCTTTTCTTTTAGCCAGGGACGTTATCGTGTAGGATTGTTTAGGATCGAAGGTCTTCACGATGTCTTGTCCCTACGTTAGAGGAGGTGGATCGCCACTGCGGATCATTGCGTGCAGTATCTCCGAATCATCTAGCCTAAGACCGATGATCGTCGGGTTCACGAAACGCAGCGACCGCAGGGTTCTCTTAGACCAATGACAAGATATGATTACGTGTCCTAACATGTCGATTGCCCCTTTGATATGGCCATCTTAACGAGACAGACAACGTACCGGACACCAGCCAACTTCGATGTGTAATCGTCACTCTTGCAACTTATCTCAACCTCTTGTCCCCTACGGAGATCTAGAAAGGTGACACGTCCGCCGTAACCTTGTCGCATTCGCAACATCTCAGTTCTCCCCTCAACCATATTCCGTTAGGGCATTACTGTACTGGCGGTGCATTTGGTTTAATTGACGCACACTGAGAGTAACTGGGCTACAGACTTATTGAACATTTGGCAATCAATTAATGAAATGTCTATCTAACACGATGTCAATAGGGAGTCCATTCCAAAGGCTAGGCGACCCAGAGACAAGCGCTCATTTGTAGTTCCCTCATTAGGAGCCTCTGCTCTTGCTTCACGCCATAACTGCGTTTTCGATCCCTTTTAGACACTTCAATGAAATAAAAGTAGAGATACGAGTAGCTGAACAAGAGATTGAATAACATTGAAACATAGAGTGACAGAAACAGTCGCATTTTGTAGATCACTGGGGTAATCTACAAGCCACTGAGGGATGAACCAACAGGTGGCGGCAAGAGTGGCCAAAGTCAAAACAATGGTCGGAATTAAGATAATCAAAACGGAGTACCGCTGCTGGATATGAATTCCCAGGCGGTGATGCGAGAGTCGTTAGTGCCATTCAGTCTCACGGGCAGTGCCCAATTCAACTGTCTAGAGTTGCAACACTCGTTGGGACTTTCAAAGAAAACCCAAGCCCCACCACTCAAACACGGACATGGTTTGCCATCCTCCCACGGCCATGGATTGTAATTATAACTTAGATGTTCAGGGGACGCCTCCTCTGTGTATCGCTCCTTATCTTTGTATATGACCACGTAACCACGTCTGAGGGATTGTTTGAAGTGAAAGCTCCGGAACTCCGCAGGGTTAGCAAGCGATGTCAAAAGGAAATGTGTGAGAACTGGTACCCTATAGAACCTGATTCCAGTAGCCCGTTTTCATCCCCTAGATGGGAGGGCGTGAAAAGCCATACGTAGGTTCCGGAATGTTACCTCGCCAGTCTCGCCGAGAGTAACTGTACTAGCCACGGACTCGTTTGGTGTAACATCTGCACTGACGAAAAGAACCGGTTGACTCTTTGAAGGATGCTGACTGTCACCTCTTAGCTCACTCAGATCACCTGAGTCTTTGCTGCCCTTATCACCGCTCTCAGTGCCTCTGGCCTCCCCGGGCCGCCGCCTCTCTGGTTGGTGACGCTGCTGTTGCACTATCTTGTCCGCTTCCCACAGATGCAGCAGGCGCATCGGAGTTAGGTCTCGAAGGAGAACAGCCTCGCCACTTGAGCCCGTCCAGCGTGATCCCAGTACAGAATAGGGGGACTTTATGATTCTTGGAAACACTGACTCTGCTAACGGTGTCGGTATGTCATCGTAGAGGCGTTGGTCTCTCTGAGATGGTTGGGTAGAAGACATGAAGTGGATCCTGGTGTAACCAAGCTTCACAGGTTCCTCTGGCTCAGATAGAGGCCACCACGAAAACTGACAGCCTGCAATCCATTCAATAGCTCTTTTAAAGAAAGCCTGGGTAGCTTTTGACAATCCACGAGTAAGGGTTATATCGTACTGAAGGCCCGTGGCCTCATTTCCCACTTTCGGCGAAGCAAGTTCATCCAATAGAAGAGGCTGGCTAGGGATGCCCTCAGAAACTCCAAGGGTGAATTTGAATAGACCGCCAGGTTTCTTAGCAGAGATTACAGACCGTAAAAGTCCGGAGCAAATGGAGCTCTCCGTGCTGTAAGTAGCTCCTCAGTCTCCGTTTGGTGATTAAAGGCAGCTAATTGCGAGGCTCACGACCCGCGTGCTGAAGACGTGATATACGACTAAGACCTTTGGCAGATGCAAAGGCATTTCTCTGTCAATGGTCTCTCGTCGCTAACATTAACACTTACCTCTACAGCACCGGTGCCCTCTCTTTCCGGAATAAGAAGTTCTAGTTTCTTATCAGGGCACTATAGACAGATTTCAAGATTATAGATCATATTATTGATTATCTTATTATAATCCTTAAGGGCTTTTTAGGAAAACTTAAATACTTGCATACAGTAGTAATAAGACTGCAGTTAATAGTTATAGTCTTAAGTTATTAAGACTTAAGTTAATGAATTTCTTTTATAGTTATTGAAATTATTCCTTTATAATTTACTAACTTAATTAGAAACTTAGTAATATTACTTACTATAAATTCTATTTTAATTTAAATATCTTAGACTTTTTATTAAATACTTATAGAGAGGACTTAAATTTGCGGTATATAATATTATATTAGCTAATAGGAACTCTTAGGAGATCCAGCGCTGAGTCTTCTAAGTAGTAGTCTCTTTTCATGCTTCTAGGGTGGTGCCCAGATCCTTAATCATACAGGATAGTGCATCGAAGGTCTTATCGTGGCCTCTGTACCGTTTAACAGTGTTTTTGAATGACTTTACTTAACTGTATCGCAGTTGTGACTGTGGAAATGGAGGCGGCGATGCCCGAAGAATCCATTGTAGAATTTGCAACAAGTCACGTCTAGATCAGATCAACGATTGGGTAGCAGGTAAGCCTTACGGGCTTTGGGTGCTTCCGCTGATTGCCAGGGAGTATACGAGTGAAATACCTCATCTCTATCGTCTTTGAAGATGCCGATTTGGTCGGGGTGCCTCACGTAACATCTCTCACCAAGCCACGCGCGGCTTTCTGTTAGGCATAAAAAGTCTGGTGGTGTGACCATGTGCAGCGGTCAGACGTGAGCGAAGGCAATGATGCAGCCACTATCACTTTCAAGCACTGCATATCCAACAATGATTGGGATGTGCTGAAAAACACTTCAGTATCTCTCCACTCCTTTTGTCCTCTGACTCGCTTTCCCTCTCATCGCCCGGGCGAGTTTGCCACATTTCCTACGCGCCCGCACAGATGGCCAACATTGCTGTGGATGTCGGTCTTTCGCCTGGCTGGATAGAGCGACGACTCCGTGTTCACGTATCTGTGGGAACCAATGGGAAACCAACCGCACAGAAAATGTCGGTTCCGGCAACAGCTGATTTGGCCAGCTGATGCTGACCCTTGTAATAGGACGGAGCTTGAGACTTTCCGAAGCCTGGGCGTCAGCCACCAAGTTAGGCAGCAACCAAGGCAGACATGGGAATTGGCACATGATATAACGCCATTACAATCGATTACAATCAGCAGCCTACTGCGACCGTGGTCAAAACCTGAGTGCCGAAAAGAGGTCAAGCTTGTTAGCAAAGAAGCCGCCTGCGTGTGTATTCATGCGCCTCCTACAACGCAATTGTGAGGGTGATATCCACCTGACAAAGGAATATCTTAGCGACGATGTTCCACCATATGCGATCCTTTCGCATACCTGGGCTACTGAGGAAGTCACTTTCAAAGATCTCATGGATGATAGGGGCGAGGATAAACTAGGATACGACAAGATCCGGTTTTGCGCAAAGCAAGCCTTCCAGGATGGGTTACAATACTTCTGGGTCGACACATGTTGCATCGACAAGTCAAGCAGCGCGGAATTACAAGAGGCTATTAACTCCATGTATCGTTGGTACAGGAATGCAGCCAAGTGCTACGTCTATCTTACCGATGTCTCGAGATCCACAGCTGGTGCTAACGGCACATTCAGTCAACGGCAGTGGATGCCAGCTTTCCGGAACAGCCGGTGGTTCACCCGTGGCTGGACTCTCCAAGAGCTTATTGCTCCTGCGTCAGTTGAATTCTTTTCACAGGAGGGTATCAAGTTAGGGACCAAAAAGTCTCTAGAAGAAACCATCTGTGAAACAACAGGAATTCCTTCCGAAGCCCTTCGCGGCTGCCCTTTGCCTGATTTTAGCGTTTCCCTACGATTTTCTTGGATACAGAGGCGCAATACTACGCGCGCCGAGGATAAGGCGTACTCACTATTTGGCATCTTCGATGTCCAATTACCTTTACTTTATGGGGAGGGGAGAGAAAAAGCATTCAAACGACTTCAAGAAGAAATTGGCAAAGTGTCAAGGAATGAGCCCTCAGTGCCTGACAATTACCAGCCCCAGTGTTTCAAATGTTCGTACCTTTACATGTCTGGAAGGAATAATTGCATCAACTGAATACACACTATCAGGTCAGGAGTTTGGACATTATGCCAATGACACTCATTGTTTCAAGTGTAAGTTCCTATGCCCTTATTTCTTCGTAAGTCCTAATCTGAGATTGTATAGGCGGCGATTATGGACACTACGCCAATGATCCTCATTGCTTCAAATGCGAGTTCCCTATACCCTTGCTTCCTCGTAGATACTAATCCAAGATGATATAGGCGGCGATTATGGACACTACGCCAATGATCCTCATTGCTTCAAGTGCAAGTTCCCAGTCGTCCCATCATTTCATAAGTATTGACATCACATGATCCAGGTGGTGACTATGGCCATTATGCCAAACATTGTCCACCGCGATAACCGTCGGTCTTCTTTTCGAATTCAACAACCACCTTACCGGATCGTCTTATAGTCTCAAAAAGAAAGCGGATTGGCAACAGGAGCGATGTTTGACGGGTAGTTCGGCGATAACGTTGTTCCTGGAATGAAGCGCTCGTGGGCCGCAAACAACGACAAGGTTATTCTTGAGTGGATGAAGTTATGTAGCATATAATTTAATGATGACCATGCTGAGAAACGCTCTTTCCAATGCCACTTTCTCCACTAACTCGGACAGGATCAAGATCGCTTCGCTCGAGTCCACGGTTGCACAGAACACACTGGATCGGTCCAAACATTGGCGCCTGCATCTACACCACGGGGCTATCATGAGATATCAGTGTATACAAGGATACTTGGTTGATTCGTATGCGCAATATGCCGCTTCGGCGGTGGCGGCTGCGACGGTTACAAGAAGTGTGGCTGGTTTTGGGTTTGCGTTGTTTGTGGGAGATATGTAATAGTTTGGGGCATGGATGGGGAGGGACGTTGCTTGCTGGAGTGACGATTGTGTTGGGATGGCCGGCGCCTGTGGTATTGTGGTTATGTGGGGGCAAAGATGAGGGCGAAGAGTAAGTTTGCGAGGTGATCAATTATATAAAACCTGTGTAAGCCTGATCAATATCTAAGCAAGATAGATCAAGGCAATTCATCAAAAATAACACCTTTTTATATACACTCTCAGACAGCATGAACGCTTGCCTTTTTTCATTAAATACAGGTAGTCTCAATAGCCGCTTGCGACCTGGCAACTTTGTTTCAGTATTAGACCTCGATTTAGAAACAGACACTCATTACTGACGATCTACTACGGGATCTTTTCAGCCGCCTCTTAGCATCCGTATCCTGATCCGTCGGAATACCTGTCAGATGATGTAAAGCAACAGATAAGACCAGGTTTCAGCTATCTACCACTGCCTATTCATTTAGGAATGTGGAAGCTAGACGAGCATGCTCCAGTACGGCGCGAAAACAATGCATGAGTACGATAAATCCTTCAAGCAGTGGGGAAACCTTGCACGCCACAGTGTCCATACTGGTTACATTTTGTGGAGTTTTCGGCCGCTTATACGCGTCACATGTGGAGATGTTACAAGGGTACCTGTATTGTTGATTCGTACGGCGTCGTTACCCTTGTATATTCTCGGGCTGTCGGTTAACGTTATGGTACAGAGTGGCATGGTTGCAGCACTGCATAAGGTTCCATTGAAAAAGAGTAGAATTCTCACATTGGCCTCGGCTCATACAGTGGCCAATCTGCCACTAAGGAACTTTTGGGCGAGGCACGGCCCGTGCATTAGTGTTGGCTAGTCAGTTAGTTGGTCATGCAGATACACTTTGCGTGAGGCAATCATAAGTAGATACCTAATCTTGTGTCTGGCCTGGAACCCTCAAGTAGTTCAGCTGAGTTACCAATTGCCAAAACAGTCGCTGGGCAAGTCACTTGAGGCTCACAACTTAAACTCGGTCTCCTGTTTCTACAGACTGATATCTCACATAGTTGACATCAACATGTCCATTCTTGGATCACAATCAGGTCTCTTCGAACAAGCGTTGTCATCCGATGCAGATGAAAACAATGTCCCAATGCAGCTTCTGGCAGAGACCGTAGACAGACGAAAGGCACAAAACCGCATCGCCCAGAGAAAGCACAGTTAGTCCTCTCCAGTCGTTCCCAGTCAAACCCACTGCTAGACTCTCATTCATGCGTCTTCTTATCATATTAGTATATGAACAAAATAATTGAATCATCATCAATAGGACAGAAGCTCAAAAAACGCATAGAGGAACTGGAGTTGCAACTGGAGTACGCGAACTTCAACTCCCGACCTATCGTTCAAAAAATGTCACTTCACCCTATACCTATGACTGCAGTGTCGTATTCAAATCCAACGGAGGACAATATATTACCCCATATTGGCCACATCGAAGACATCTTTACAAAACCCAGCGGCCAATTGGAAAGCCTTTGGAACCCCCAAGAACACAACTTGTTGTTTGGCGTATCGCCCCCGTTTGGTCACATCAGAATGCCTTTGTCGGGCACAGAGCTGTCACCATTACCGATGCGGAACCTGACAGATGAGAGTTAGTCCACTTAATTCCCTCTACAAATTTGTTTTTTAGGACTAGCCCACTGCTGACGATCATTGTTTCTATTTCAAGCCTCGACCCAGGACAACTCCGTTACCAGGGGTTCCTCCTACGCTTTAGCCCCTCATGCTATAGAGCCACCGACATCTTGTCTCTTAATGACGTCGACAACCGGAGTAAATGGAGATGAAGAGATTCACTCGGTCCCTGCTATGAACCGGAGGCCTTCCTTGCATCCGAATAGTGACCTCCAAGATCTTGAAGACTCAGCTGATCCTCCTTGCTCATGGAACATGGAGCGCAAAGTTGCTTACATTGTTGATTGCGCCAAGGCGGTCGGGTTCCGCGACTTCGACTCAGCGGTTATGACCTATTACACGAACGCCTTTGATATTATGTCCAGAGCCCATGATATACAAAGAGTCAGTCGGATCCGCGGGCTCGGTTCTGTCCTGCGTGCTATTGATACCAGTGCTGAGGCTTGGCCCGAGCACGAAAGCCACGGCTATCGAGCCGAGATCTTTAAAGCTGCCGAGCATCTTTACAGGGCTGAGCTTCAGAGAGCCATTGACGGCGGTGCGCTGATGGTGCTAGAAGAACGAGTCAAGGAAGATGAAATGAATCGGGCGTCGGCGGTTAGGCTTACGTCTCACAAGAGCGAACTTCTATCACAGGTGTGTGCATGCATGTATTCCTTTTCAATTCATAATCCGAAAAAACATAACAGCTGAGCGAAATTGTTTTCCGGAATTTAGCTACCAAACCTTTGGACGTTTCTACTGGAGCTCTCGGAATGCAACCCTCCAACATCCTTCAAGGCACTCCTGCATCACTATTTATCCTATCAGAAAGGCATAGCTACCAACCAAAGAATATAATGGGACTGGCCTCTGTAGTAAAAGCGGCTGAGTGGATGGATATAATTATTTTTTATACATGTCCACAGATCCTGTATTTAAGAGACGATTGTTGCTAGCGCCCGGATCTATAAGCACAGAAATTACAAAAACACAAATGTAAAATAGAACTTGTTGATATTTCTATACGAGGCGTAAATGAAAGTTCTGCAAAAGACTATCCGCTAATGCGTGCCTCTAAAGCTGGCAGGGTTCATATATGCTCGGCTGCCTCGTCTTGGTCATACAATGTGAGAACAGAACAAGACAGTGAAGCTACAGTCTTAGGCCTTCATTACATTCCCATCAGCAAGACGTGCAGCGCAAATACCGTGGCGAGCAGTTATATCGTCATCAGCAGCCTTCACAGCGCAAATTCCATGCTGGGCCTTGATGCCATCTTGAGTAGTACGGGCAGCACAAATGCCGTGATGCGCCCTGACACCGTCTTCCGCAGCTCTGACCGCACAGATACCGTGACGGGCCTTGATGCCTTCCGTTGCCTTCACAGCGCAGATACCATGGCGAGCAGTTATTCCTTCATCAGTGGCCTTGACGGCGCAAATGCCGTGACGAGCCTTCAAGCCATCCTCAGAAGCTCTGACAGCACAGATGCCGTGGTGGGCCTTGAAACCATCGTCGGCTTTTACTGCGCAGATGCCGTGACGAGCTGTCATGCCGTCATCAGCAGCTTTAACAGCACAGATGCCGTGACGAGCGGTTACTCCGTCAACACTGGCCTTTGCGGCGCAGATACCATGATGGGCCTTGAGGCCGTCGTCAGTAGCCTTTACGGCGCAAATGCCATGCTGAGCCTTCAAGCCATCCTCAGCGGATCTGACAGCACAGATACCATGATGAGCGTTGACACCTTCACTGGCCTTTACTGCGCAAATACCGTGACGGGCCTCGACGCCGTTTTCAGCTTTAGCTGCACATATACCATGGTGAGCCTTGAAGCCGTCATTCGCTTTGGCTGCGCAGATACCATGGCGAGCGGTAAACCCGTCATCGGCGGCCTGCACGGCACAGATACCATGTCTAGCTTCGACTCCGTTCTCAGCTTTAGCTGCACAGATTCCATGGCGAGCCGTGACACCATCATCAACACCTTTCGCAGCGCAGATGCCATGGTGGGCAGCCACTTCCTCACCCTCCCTCTTACTAAAGGTCCAGGCGGCTTGGAATGCGTCAAAACCTTGTGGACCAATGACCTTGGAACCGATAAGACCCGTGGATGGGATGACGATGCTGCTGCGGCCGTAGGTCACCTCCATGGTCTCGTTATCCGGGTCACCGGCTTCATACAGACTCACGCCGAGAACCTCGTCAAGGCCTGTTTCTTGCAGCACGCCAATGAGCTCTTTGACAAAAGCGGCTGGGAAGACAGGCCGGTCGACGTTGGGAACATCACGCTGTGGCACGAACTTGAACTCTGTGGGCTTTAGCTCGCCGTCGAAGACGCGCCAGGTATGAGGCAGCACTGAGCCGCCAGTGACGACCTCGTCATCGCCTACAACCCAGGGAGATGAGACTGGGCCAAGCTCGATGATCTTCTCGTTGGGGGCAACGTCGTAGTGTCGGTGGAGGAGACCAACGCCAAACACCTTGTCGACGCCGTGCTTCATGAAGACATCCCTGATGCAGGACTTCATGTGATCCAAGCCATTGAGTTCCTGGAGTCGCTGGGCTGCCACATCGACATCAGTCATGGCATCCACGGCGCGGTGGTCGTATGAAGCGGGAGTGTAAGTCTGGACGGCTGCGGCTGCCATGTTGTAAATGAGAATTGAGAAAATTCTAGTGTGTATTGTTAAAGATGAGAGAAAGGCTTGAGAGATTGAATGTGGTTGAGTTGCTAAGACCTTTGTTCCCTTCTATCGTCTTTATAGGGTTCAACTATCCAAGTGCCTTCTTGTTGGGCAGTGCAGTAGAGGAAGATCACTTCTGGACATGGCGATACAAGCTGGATGCTGCACAGTCATCTTACTCACTCGCTGCATCTACTTTACTCAGGGCTTATGTTTTGGTCCGACGGGATAGCATTTGAAACAAGCATGCATAGTTCGGTCATTGAGACAGGTCGTGACTAAGATGACTATGGCGCTGGGATGGCAAGGAAATCATTGCTGGATCTGGGGCTAATCATTTCCAGATTGGGGCAGGTTATCTTTGCGGGAGTACGGGTTGCCACAACGATCTGTGTGATACGTAACCGAGGTTGCATTCTGCGTCAAGGTGTATGTTTACCCCGTATTCGAGAACGGCGGGTCTGTTTCCTCCTAACAGCCCTGACAACCAAGATTCTGAGGCGATGATACTGGACTGTCCAAGTGTACAAGGGCACTCACTCGATGATCCACGTTATCGCGCAAAGCACAACAATCCCAACAAGCCCCGTTGGCTCAGTGGTAAAGCGTATCACTAGTAAATAGACACGACATGATAAGATCACTGGTTCGATTCCAGTACGGGGCAAAGGATATTTGTTTTTTTTTTAGGACAACTAGAGTAAGTTGCCTAATTTTCTTTTTTACATGTTGGTTTGACATATCCTCTATGGATATCTATCTATTATAGCTTTAAATATCCATCAATTAATCAATTGTGTAGACCACAGGCTTAGTAGCCTTGCAAAAGATAGAGTCCAAGTTAGACGCTAAGCACCAGGGGGGCAAGATTCTGTAGACATGCCGCTAATAAGTAGCACCGCAGCAAGGGCATACAGAACTGAAGCAACAAAGAAGGGCAGGCTCACAGCCATGCCCCCAATGTCCAAGCCTACTGAGAACGACAGTCCTAGGAGTGGCGAGGCACCAATGGTTGATATACCCTCGAACACGGCGATTGCAGTAAACAAAAGTGACAGATGATCTGGATGTACCATGGTCGTGAGGAGAGATCGCAAGGCAGATGAAAAGCCATTGCCAAGCGTGTATCCAAAGAATGCTATTGATTAGTTAGTTGGTATGTCAATACGTAGCTGATCTCGCTGAGACTCCTTTCTTGTACATACCAATTATAAATGCCGGAACAGCAGTCGCGAGGCCCATGCAGAGTGATCCAGCGACGAGGAAGAGAATTGACACTCGAGTCAGCGCCAGATTCGCAGCAGAAGATGTCTTCATTCTGTTAATGAGCCATATATTGACTCGCGGTAGAACCACAGCAAAGAGCAGAATCTGGCCTGCGGCTTGAATCGAGAGCAAGAACGCCGTCTACATAACGAGCATTAGTCAAGCGCAGGAGAGACAAGGGGAGACATTTACCAGCTTCCTGGTCTTGGGGAGCACGTACCTTGGCCAGCGGCCATCCAAATCTCACAGACATGTATTGCAAGATCAATTCCAGCATGGGACGAGCCATCTTTGCTACGACCAATGCAAGGAGGCCGATCAGGAGACTTTTATGGCTGCCTAAAGTACGAACACCGTGTTGGATATTTTGCAAAAGGTGCGATGAAGCTCGCAGAGCCTTGTTCTTTGACGAACTTTGGTCATTTGCTGTTTCCTCGCATTGGCCATTGTCTGATTGGCTTTCTTCTCCCCCTGTCCCCTCTACATGATCATCTGGGGTGTTATGGGGTGATCTTGTGTTGGGGATAAAGCCAAGTACTACGAAGGCAAGAGCCTCAAGTGGGACAGCTGTGAGGAAAGCAAAATGCGGGCCTAATGCCTTCATGAGAACTGCACCGAGCGGTGGCGCAATAAGCTCGGTTATGAGAAGGACGACTTGAACCCAGAAGAAAGCTCGTGTTCTATGAGATGGAGATCAGTGTCCAGCTCAAAGGTACCAAAGAATGTTGTTCCTTGAGCATAAAGAAGCGATGTGAACATACCGTGATGCTTCCGGGATCGCAGCAGCAATGATGGCCATGATCATGGGACTGATGACAGTAGAACCGCCCCCCAGCACCAAGAAGGCCGGTGCTGCATAGACAGCACGGACAGGAAATATCTGGTGAAAGTAAAGCACTGTAAAAGCCCAAATATCTCGGAGGACGAAGCCCAGTAGACTCAGGCCTGTGACCAACCGGCGGCCCTTACTATCGGCCAGGACGCCATATGGAATAGCAAGGATAAGACCTGGGATACCCTCGATCATGCCGAGAATGCCTCTCATCTTGGCAAGAGCACTCTGAATCTCATGGACCTTGCAGAGATGCTCGGGTACGGAGCCATCGCGGCCGATGACGCTTGGGTCAGTGGCGGCGTAGTAGTCGCGGCAGAGACCAAGCTCGAGCATACGCAGCTTTGGGACTTCGCTTAGGAAGTTGGGGACATCCACGAGCAGGATAAAAAGGCTGCAGACATACAGGGCGGACCACTGGGCAAAGTGTCTCTGCCATGCCGTCTGCCACTCATTACCTCTGGTCTTGCTTTGGCTGGAAGGACTTCCGTTGGGAGCATCGCCGTTGAGGTCGGATTGCAAAAGCGGTGTCGACTCGGTGACACCGTGTTGAACGTTTTCCATGGCGTAGACCAGCTACAGAAATGTTGTACAGAACAGAAGGTCAGCAGGGATTGGGGCACGATAGATGCTGGCTCTGCGGAGAGAATCTCTGCTGGTTGTCGGTAGGCAAAGAACAGCTGAGCGTGTTTCGCAAAGATGGGATCAACATTAGGCGAGGTGGTGAAGCCGCGTTGGGAACAGAATAACGAAGCTTTTCATGTGACGTAATATTCTCGTATTCAGCTGCAATGCAATGCAAAGCACAGTAATATGAGTCAAAGCAAAGCAAAGCAAAGCAAAGCAAAGCAAAGCGCAGTTCCTTGTACTTTTACGGCGGGAAGGGAGAAGAGGTTGGCGATCCCTACTACTACAGGGGGGGAGTTAGGGACTTTTGGCAGGATTAGGTGGCGTGTTTGTGCTGTCTTATCTCTCGGAGCAGGGAAGTGCGGTACAGTATAACACAGTGTAGTGTTGGGGCGAGCGGGGGAAAAAGGGCACAGTAGACAAGCATTCAACCAACGTGCAGATGCCCATCAGCTGTGCCGCACAATGCATGCAGTGTCAGTAGATAAAGAATGCACCCGTGATAAACCCCAATTTCCAGGCTGCCAGGGCAAAAATCCTTTTTCTATTTCCCCGCAGACTTGGAATAGCAGCATCAGTCACCAATAACACGAATGGACCATGTCGTCTGTTGGCCCTTGTCTCAATGATGACTCGCTGGGTCCTGCTGTGCGTGGTTGCAGAGGCAACTTTGACTTCACTGTCGCATTTGAGGATGTCGTCTTTGTCATTGTCCCGGCTATTGCTTTCCTTTGCCTTGGACTTTCCCGCATTCTAGGACTTTGTCGTTGCCGTCGCCCAATAGTCGGTGCCTCCGCAATTCAGTGGACCAAGCTGGTATGTATCTTGATCCTCTTCTCTCCGGTCAATGTACCATCACGTCTTGAATATATGTCACTAACAAAGGTTTTCTTTATCATGGTTTAGGTTCTCGCAACAGGTTTGGCTGTATTGCAGCTCTTACTTCTCATCCTGGGACGGAACTTCCCCCAGTTCCTTTCAGGTCCTTTTTTGGCTGCTGCCTCCCTCGCCTTCATCGCAGCTCTGCTTTTCATTCCACTGTCATGGGTTGAGCATTCGCGAGCACCGCGACCATCCACAACTATCATCGCTTACCTGTCCATCACGTTATTGTTTGATGTTGCTCGGACACGGACAGCATGGCTTCTAACTCCATCGGGGCTGGACCCTAACTATGCATCTGTATTGACAGCAGCCACTGTCCTCAAGGCTGCCATGATTTACTTAGAGTCGCAACAGAAAGAGAAATGGCTGGGCTGGGATATGAAGGAGCATAGTCCCGAGGAGACCAGTGGCATTTACAATCTTGGCGTCTTCTTCTGGTTGAACACGTTGTTCATGAAAGGCTATCGTGTCATCCTGACAATGGAGAGTCTGTATCCCCTCGACAAAGCTTTGACGGCTGAGAATCACGACCATCTTGTTGAGAGAGTTCGCAACAATCCCTATAAGGGTCAGAAATACGGTCTGGCACGCCTGTTGCTGCGGATCCTAGCTCTCCAGCTATTGCCACCGATTATTCCTCGTGCAGCACTCCTCGCTGCCAGCATATGTCAACCATTTCTCATCCATGCCCTGTTGCACTACCTACAGAGCGATGACCAAGACCAGAGTCATGGATATGGACTCATTGGCGCGACAGCTCTGACGTACGGCGCCATTGCATTCTCAACCGCATTATACTGGTACTTCCAAGAGCGTTTTGTCATTATGGTACGTGGCATCCTAGTGCTCGCCGTGTACGAGAAGACTACAGAGCTTAGAATGCCCGCGGATGGGGATTTGGGAGCCCTCACATTGATGAGCACCGACGTGGAGCGCATCACGAGAGGCATTCTCGACCTCCATGAATACTGGGCCAACACGATCCAGATCGCTCTGTCTTGCTGGCTACTTCAACGAGAGCTTGGTCCTGCATTTGCTGCTTCCCTTGGTGTGGTAGCCCTCTCAACTCTCACTGCCTTTGGGATAGGCAAACTCCTTGGACCACGTCAAAAAGCATGGATGGAAGCAATCGAAACGAGAGTTGGGGTCACTGCGGCTGCTATTTCGCAGATGAAGCTGGTTAAAATGTCTGGCATGACAAAGCCAATCCAATCTTACGTGCAGAGACTGCGGGTGAGAGAGATTGAAATCGGCGGGCATTGGCGTATGCTCCTCGCTGCAGCAGCCACTGTCTCTCAAGTTCCCATGACTATATCTCCTGTTATTACATTTGCGGTGGCAACCAAGACGCTCAACACTACCTCGATATTTGTTTCTATATCCTACCTTACGCTTCTCGCATCGCCTTTGATGATTCTCTTTCAGAAGATCCCTCAATTCCTCGGGGCCTTGACCTGCCTTGAACGGATCCAGACCTATCTAGAACGCGACTCGAGGTTTGAGTATCGCCGCCTTGATAATGTAATGAGCTCAACCATATCTACGACTTCTTCTTCTCCTTCCGCTAATGACACCAGCGGTATGGACATTGAAATGAAGACTTTAGAGGAGAAAGACACGCCTCACGTCGTAATTAAGGACGGCACCTTTGGGTGGCATGAGAACGTCCCTGTTCTCAAGCATGTTAACGTAACTATTCCAACATCACGCCTCACTGCAGTTGTTGGCCCTGTTGCCAGCGGGAAATCCACATTATGCAAAGCCATTCTCGGCGAGGTCCCCTGTGCGACTGGCTCCACAGTTCTCCTTCGATCTAGAGTCATTGGCTACTGTGATCAACAGCCGTTCTTAACGAATACTACCATCCGAAACAACATCATTGGCAACAATTACTTCGAACATAAGCGATACCAGTCCGTGATAAATGCTACTATGCTCGACCGGGACCTCACGAACCTCCCACAAGGCGATAGTACGGTGATCGGAAGTAGTGGCATTGCCTTGAGCGGTGGACAACGGCAACGAGTGGCAATTGCAAGGGCATTATACCTTGCAGATGCCGACCTGCTGATCTTTGATGACGTCCTCAGCGGCTTAGATGCCAGAACAACGGATCATGTTTTCCAACACGTCTTTGGACGAGATGGCATGCTTCGTCGTCGTGGCGCCACTGTTGTTCTGTGTACACATAACCTTCGACACTTCCAAGCCGCGGACTATACCATCAGGATCGGGAGTAACGGAGACGTATTTGAAGAAGAGCCCTCGGTTCCTGAAAATGTCCTTGTAAATTCTGATCTAGGCTCAGATTTAGAGCCAGCCACGGCCGAAGCACTCGGAAGCACAGAAGAGATGGCACTCACCTGTTCATCACCAACAGTAGCCATGACTGCAGATGAAGCAGAGGCGCGAAAATTGGGTGACGCGAGCGTCTTTGGCTATTACATACGCACAATTGGCTTAATTCCCATTGTCGCCTTCGTTTTCGCTTGTGTATGCAACGGTTTCCTCAACAACTTTCCTCGCATATGGCTCACATTCTGGGCTGACGATGCTGCCCGGCCACAAAGAGGCTTGGTGCAAAAGCACTCACAGACATATTATGTCGGCATTTACGGAATGCTCCAAGTACTTGCTCTGATATCCTTCATGGCTGCTGTCGTGCTTGTTCTAGGCCCTTTCATTCGTCTTAGTGGCTCGGCACTGCACCAGAGGGCGTTGGAGACCGTCATCAACGCACCGTTGCAACTCTTGACAACGTCAGACACCGGCACGATCACCAACTACTTCTCCCAAGATATCACTATCATCGATAATGAGCTCCCTATGGCTGTGGCTAACGTGGTGCTGGACATATTTGGTGTTATCGGAATGGCGGTCCTTATCGCGTCCTCTTCTCCATGGTTGGGACTTACTTATCCGGCTATGATACTCATCTTATGGTTGATACAACGATTTTACCTCCGAACGTCTCGGCAGCTACGACTCTTAGACCTCGAAGCGAAAAGCCCCTTGTATACTCATTTTCTAGATACTTCGAGAGGCATTGCCACCATTCGAGCTCTGGGATGGACTGGAGAGAACATCAAACACAATCACCGACTGCTGAATCAGTCCCAAAGGCCAATGTATCTGCTCTCAATGGTACAGCGCTGGTTGTACCTCACTCTAAACATGGTCGTTGCTGTTACGGCAACGGCTCTCGTGGGCTTGATAACTCAGCTTAGGTCTAGTTCAAGTCTTTCTGGTGCGTCGCTTGTCACGTTGATGACGTTGAGTCAGTCGTTGAGTGACATTGTGCGGTTCTATGCTGCGTTGGAGACTTCTATTGGAGCTGTAGCTCGACTCCGGAACTTTGCTACCAAGACTGGGACAGAACGCATTTCACATGATGATGTACGACCTGATGAACAGTGGCCATTGAAAGGACGCATTGAGGTTCGGGGAGTTTGGGCGACGTATGAGTAAGTTTCCCGCCCGTGCATTCTTAATAAAGTCGGGTTCTCTAATAGGCAATTGTATTATAGTGAAACTTCTCAGGAATACGCGCTGCAGGGAATTGATGTCTCAATTCAAGCAGGCGAGAGAATAGCCTTGTGCGGCCGTACGGGAAGGTTTGTCTCTCAACATTAGACACACTTTCGAAGGACCCTTTGGCTAACTGAAGCGACATGGCAGCGGAAAATCTTCTTTTATTCTTCTTCTCCTCGCCCTTCTGGAGCCTGTGCAAAAAGATGGTGTTGAGTACACATTGTCCATTGACGATGTCCCTCTCTCATCCATAAGTCCACAGTTGCTCCGGGAAAGACTGATAACAGTACCCCAGGATCCAGTATTCTTGCCCACAGGCAGCACATTTATGGAGAATCTAGATCCACTCGGTCTAGCCACGACAGAGCAGTGTCGCCAAGTGTTGCAAGCAATGGACCTCTGGAACATGGTGGAGTCTCAGGGTGGGCTGCGCGGTGTTCTATCAGAATCTTCGCTTAGTCAAGGCCAGAGGCAAGTTTTCAACCTTGCACGAGCAGTGCTTAAGCGGAAAACGACGGGTAGTTCTGTACTCCTCCTAGATGAGTTCACGAGCTCGGTTGATGCTGACACAGAGCGGGACATGCTTTCTATAATCGATAGGGAGTTCGTGGGCTGTACCATCGTTATGGTCGCCCATCGACTGCATATCGTGTCTGACTTTTGCGACAGGGTGCTTGTTCTGGATGGTGGAAGGATTGTTGAGGCTGGTAACCCTCGGACACTGGCTAGAGTTGATGAAACGTGGTTTGCGAGTTTGTTATTAGCTGTAGGATAAAAGGAAAGTTTATACTATAAAGATATTTTAATAGTAACTTAGATAATATTATATAAGTATAAAAAATGGGTTTACAGGAAATAATAAATAATGAAAAAGATATAATACAAAAGGATATACTTGAAATCTCATTAAGTCTTTTTAAGACATTTACTATAAGACAACCTAATAATGTAGGTATATCTAGAACTGCACTCTGACCAACTGTGCTCTGAAGCATGATCAACACGAACGGATATCTCGTGATCTTCGATGGAAAGGCTTTTGCACATTGAGCTCTGACTTAGTTGGCCCGTGCTATCCAAATAGTTCTCAAAGATATAGTCTCGGAAAATACCTGTCCTTTCCTCAAAAGTCATCCCGTTATCCTCGTTTGTGGCCTGTTTGAAGGCACCCAGTTTGCAAATTGGATGATTTGGCAAATGTGAGAACTCCGCCTCGGCACATAAATGAACCCACGGGCTCTGTTCAATACGCTCAAACTTCGTTCGGCCTTGAAGACCGCATACAAGAGCAAAACGATACTCTTGCAGCGGCTTCCCAACTTTAATCATGAATAGATGCAAAAACATGCAGCTACGCAAGCCGCGAGATGCAAAGCTGTCTATGTAATACATAGAACCATATGAAATGCGGCTACCAGATAGGTTTGCCCGAAAATCGTACGGGATGACAGCATGAAGAGTACTGTGGTAGAAAATACTCACAGTTCGATTCTCATGTATAACTTCCATGTCCAAGTCGGACAAAGAGGTTGCGGTGTAAGCGACTTGTTTCATCGCTAGATTGAGGCGCGAAACTCTTGATGTTGAGTAATGGAGGTTGTCAGGCATGACCCGGACATATGTGGATCCAATTTTGCGTAGATAAATTCCAACCCATCTAGGGACATTTTCTGTGCGTTCGCTCCGTTCCAAGCAATCTAATCCCAGGACTAGGTCATTATCTGACAATAAGTCGCTTGGTTTCGTATTAGCCACGCCAAGATGCCTGTCGAACCGGAGTCCTCTATTAGTCAAGGTAAACTCTGTCTCAACGTCTAACTTCTCTTCGAGGGTTAGTAATTTGCCGCAATATCGGAATTCGCTTGGGGAATGAGCCAAGATAGCACGAAGCTGTCCATTCTGTCCCGAAGAAGAGGTATCTTGCTGCCAAGCAAACAAAGTGAGGTCGTTCGTTGAGCGGATAATCTCCTCTTGTAACCGAATGAAGGCCTTAGGCCCTTCCCCATACAGCAGAGGCATATTGACATCAAAGATTCCAAGGAGACAGTAGGCAAGATCCTCAACCCTCTTCGTGCTGCGATGCGCAGCCCACGAGAATTTCCTTCCAACATGGATGGTTGACAGCGCCTCCACACTTCTCAAAACCACAGAGTCAATACCCGTAACCTCTGCTAGAGTGTCACATAAAGTCTTTTTCGTTCCTATTGGCTCCCAGCTTCGGTCTAAGAAAGTAACCTTTGATGGTGCTATCAGCTCTTGGAGCGTCCAGCCTCTCTGAAACCACTTATATCTAGCCAGTTCCTGGGCCATGGAGGCATTGCGGATAGGGGGGGCCGTCGGCGATTCATCCACGTATGTGGATAGATAGACAAAGCAGATCCATGAATCTCGATACCAAGAGAACATGGAATTTATTGCCTCGCTTAATTCCGCGCTGCTCGTCTTGTCGATGCAGCACGTGTCTATCCAGGCGTACTGCAACTGCATCCTTCTTGCAAGCTCGCATGTTTTCTCAATTTTCTGCCAACCAGGTTTTTCTTGGTAGCACGGAAGGTGTGCCATGTCATAGAAAGTGACCTCGTCATCGTCGCCTCCCCACGTGTGTGAGAGGATCGCATATTTGACGCCAGCTGAGCTGTGAAACGCTTTGAGCTCAAAAGTAGCAGTATCAAGAAGCCACATGGTTGCATAGTGTGGAGATAAAGTCAACTCAGCTTGATGATGGTATTGTTAAGGAACTCTTCCTCTGAGAAGCCTCGGCACTTGAGCACTAAGCGCTGTGACTATTGGGCCTCCATATAACGCGTCGAAGTGATATGCGTGTGTGCCCGAGTCCAACCACCCATTAATTGGTTTGGGCTTTGATTGGACATTGTTTGGGCAGCTAAAGGCTGAATCTTGGCCACTTGGGCTTTCTAGACCACTGGCTGCCCGTACTCGCGATTTACAGGTAATAGAGCCAATGAAATGCTACACTTGCTGCAGACGCCACAATGCACTGCCCGGATAAACAATCACAGGAAGTTGACAGTCAGGCAGACACCTGCAGCGTAATGCGGGGTTTTGTATTTTCGTTCCTTACTCAACAGTTATCTGACAATGATCTTGGCCTCAAGAATGTAAATGGTGTCGTCTCTCTACTCTGTTTTAGTTGAATCCCTATCAGCGTAGCCTTAAACAATCAAAACTCGTGGATTTATTTTTGCCGTCATTGCATAACGCTATTTAACAATATTTCACAAATGGGCTGTACATTGTCTTTGGTCTCCTCCAGGAAGGTTGGGGAAAAGCCTTCGGTCAACCATGGGCCTATGACCCATTCACAACATGACGTATTCAGGGATACCAACAACGGCATCGACAGCAATGGTGATGCCAATGTTAATTTCATTGCCACTTCGGGTATGTCCAGCAAATACCAAGACCTCTCAAACACGACACGGCACGACAGTAACAATTCAAGAACACGGTAATAACGCAGGCGCCAAGTCTGAGTTGACCACAGGCCTCGGCGAGAGACTTCTTCAAGTCATGATAAATTTTGGTGTGAATCATGGGCGTTATGTACCATGTAATAAGTTTGATCTTTTGATCACTGAGGGCACGGTTAAATCAGAATTAATCCGAGCAGGCATGCAAAGCGAGATCACGACACACCTTATACGATATATCTTGGACCATGCGAAAAAGATATTTGCTGTGTTGGTGATGATTGATGAACCTCAGTGGATTAAAGAACTTGTTATTGAAGGAATGCAAGATACGGACCTTCCTATCGGTACTGAAGCTATTATCAGAGATGAACAGGTACATCACATTGTGTGTTCATTTTACCCTGACTCCGAAACCCTGGATAAGCGTCACAGCTGGGCAACTTTACAGGGCAAGAGGCTCCTTGCAGTTGATAGGTTTTGCTCTTATCAGTGGCGCTTCCTAGCACCGGTGTTCACTAGTGGCAGTTACAAGTACTTCCTGCATCCAGATTGCCCTTTGCCCTTCATCCACCTAGAGCCAAAGGCGGGTGTGACCAAGTTCAGCCATCACAGCAAAGTATTCAAAGTCTATATCCACAAGGCACATGTGCAGTGGGTAAGTCAAGAGATATTCTGCAATTTCCCTGATGAGAACAGCTAAAATAAATATGATAAGGGCAACCACGACGGAGGATATTTCGCCGTAAAAGAATTGCATTTGGACGATTCGAACGACTATAGTGCTGAGGCTAGCACTCTAGAAAAGCTTAGCAGACTTGAACATCAGCACTTGATCAGGTGCCTTGCGACATATCAACAAGGTGGAAAGTATTGCTTTCTTTTCGAATGGGCTGAAGGGGGAAACCTTCGCCAATTCTGGGCGAATCGAGATGGTCTAACGCGAAATATCGACCTCGTTGGATGGGCATTTTTACAGATGAAAGGTCTAGTCGATGGTCTAAATTTCCTTCACAACTTCAGTAGCCGAGAGAACTGTCGGCATGGAGATCTCAAGCCTGAGAACATTCTCCGGTTTCTGGATGCAGATGCCTCTGGGCTTGGCCGGCTGGTCATGTCTGATCTCGGGTCTGCTACCTTCCACGCTGAAGCAACCCGGTCTAGAGGGCGTGGTACTGGTGCAGGATACGGCACTATCAGGTATGAGCCTCCAGAGGCACGGACTGAGAAGATGAAGCCGAGATCACGTCGATACGATGTGTGGTCCATGGGCTGCATCTTCTTAGAGTTTTTGATTTGGTTGATGTACAGCTGGGACGATCTTGACTGGTTCAATCAGGAAGTGGACCGATATTGGCTAGACGATGGCTCCGGCGCTCGTGTGCATCCTGGCGTTACGAAATGCATCGAGCAAATGCAGAGCGACCCCCGGTGCCAGGGAGATACTGCTCTTGCTGATCTCTTAGAGGCAATCAAGCGTCGACTTCTGGTACCAGAGCATGGTAAGGCGGAGAGTGAGTTCGCAAACGAAGAAACAGCAACCTTGAGGTCCCTATCGATCCACAGCCAGGCGGACGGCAAACTGGAGCTTGTCGGAGATCAGGTTCGAGCGAATGCAAAAGAGCTAAACGAAATCATGGGTCAGATAATTAGAAAGATGCAGCGGTTACCCTCCTACACTTTTGAGGGGCTCAACTGGGAAACCGCTCGATGGACATTTCCGTTAAGGCGGGAAGGACAAGGTTGGCGGTACCAAGACACCGCATCGTTTGGATTCTTGGATACGGTAGTGGTGAGGGAACCGCATCGACGCATATATATACCTTCCAATGAAGAGGAAGAATCTAGCAGATGTGAAGATTAGGGTCTTTTAAATCTGTAGAGTGGGAAGACATCAGCACTGGTATGGAGACTTACCTAATCAGATGAGAAATAAGTCAAGTAATTACGGCACATAAGGCATTTTAAAATTGTTAAATATATAATCTAAATATTACTTCGTCGCTCAAAACGAGATAGACAAGTAATATACACTGCATAAATCCCGGTCAGCCTTCCTAAATACAATAGTCTACTCAGTCATACGAAAAAAAAGGGCAGTCAAGGATTTATCATCAGTCATGATGTCTCCTCGTTTTTCGGGGTGAGGCTCGGTGATTTGGTAGTTGGAACCCTGCTACAACAAACCCAACTGTCAATGATTGACTGCAAGCCACCTACGTCTTTCTCATTTATCAGTTAACTTCCTTTCTAACACATCTGCCGAACAATTGTTTGGTGCATCTATCATAAACAGAAACGTGCTGAAGCCGACAGCGCGAATCAAGGACAAGTCCACAGCAACGTGTTCGGTACACAACAGTGATCATGCAACTGTGTTTGCTTTCTGAGTTATTCGGCAACTCATTGCTTATCCTCTGGTTCTTTTTTCTCTGGTTCCTTTTTCTCTGGTTCCTTTTCCTCTTGTTTCTTTTCCTCTGCCTGAAATGCCTTTATAGCAGCAATTGCAGCTACAGATGTCATGCTGTTGCTCAGTGTCTGGTACTGAAGATTATCAGATGAATCCATCCATTCCAGGTACCAAGCGACAGCGAAATCCTGTCCTCCTGTGGTATCACCAAGTGCACTGCCTTTAATACCCCAATTCAAAACCAAGCATTTGACGCAAATCTTAGCTTCTCCGACTGGGATGTTCGTCCATACCACTTTCTGCACGTTATTTACCCGATCAGGCACAGTGTCTGTATCCGACTTATTCCCATACCTGACTTGCCCGCCTGCCTTGACGTTCATAGCCACTTTGTTCACCAAGGACCCGGAGTTGAGTACGCTCGGGGCGTCAGTGTAGCACATGGTAACTGTTAGTTTGGGTACCAGTGTACCAAGAGATGTGCCGTCAGTAGAGGGTGCAGTAGGGATATCGATGATGATCTCCTTTAGTACACCCAGTGGCAGTGCAGCCGCGGCCGGGTCACTCGGAGGATAGACTCCGCCATAATCCCCATGACTGCTTGGGATACAGAGCAGCGACTTAGCTTGATTTATACGGCCGAAGCCCTGCTGGTATGATGGTGTCTGTGAGATAGCTACTGCTGCTTCCGGGAGGAATGTCTCTGGAGTTGTTGGCGGGAGAGTGATGGGCCTTTTCCCTATCATGCGCTGAGTTACTCTGGCTGTCGTCATATCAGTTGTTCCATTGACCAGAATAGCTTTAATCAGTGCTGATGTTATGGATATTCGTGCGATACTTAGTGCTTTACGTATCACAGCACAACTGCCCGCCACGAGCGGCGTAGCCATGCTAGTGCCTTGTTGGAAGATGAATAGATCGTTTGGCGACGTGTTGTCCGGCGGAGTTCCGAGATAATCGAATGGCTTGCCTGCTCCATCTCCAACTTGTGTAGCTTGCCTAGACTTGGCAGAGTAGATACAAGCTCCAGGAGCGACGACATCTGGCTTGATGCGACTGTTGCTTCCTGTATCCAACGAGTTTTTTGTTGGTCCCACGCTACTGAAGAATCCCATGCGATTTGTGTTCCCTCGAGGCTGTCCCACGGTATATCGACTGACGGGTGCTCGAGCAGGGTTATAGTCGAGGGGATGGGAGGGCTCGCAAGCACCAACAGTGATACAGTTTTTGCAGGACGCCTGAGCTCCGATTTGTCCTCCAGGCGTTGCATAACGACCATCATTTCCAGCGGCAAATAGAATGGTAAAGTCGCGGTTGTCCCATGCTGCCTTGTCAACGGCCACTGATTCCACAGTGTAGCCGTTCTGCTCCACGTTGGTTCCAACTTTCCTTAGAGGGGTGCCCCATGAATTCGTATGCACAGTAGCCCCTATGTCCTTTGCTTCCTTGATAACCGTCTCGAAACTTTGATCAGCTGGATACTTGATCTTGGTGCCATTCTTCTCAAATAGTACTTGGCAGTATAGCTTTGCCTTGGGAGCTGTACCCATGATAGGTGCCTGTACACCCGGGGAGTTCCAGTTACCAGCAACACTGCCTGCTACGTGGGTTCCATGGGCATTCAAGTCTGTGACATCGCCAGGGTCCAACTGTCGCCAACTCTTGGCGACTGCTCTGGAACCAGTGCTGCTTGATCCGACTGATGCGAAAGCTGGATGGTCGGCATCGAAGCCCATATCAGCTACCGCCACGATCTCACCTTCACACTCATATTCATTCTCAGATTTGAACATGGCTGCGGCTGCTTGGGCATCCAGAATATTAATATCCCCACGAGCAGTCCAATTGAAGGCAACATCTTCCTGGGCCTCGCTGATGAATCGAACTTGATCGAATTTGGCTACTATGTCGAGCTCCTCAGGCTTCAAGTATCCCCGAAGGTAGCCGGTCTGTGGTACAAAGTCGGCAGCATCCACGTGGAGGCGATCAGCGATCTTCTGCGCGAGAGCTCTCAGATCTTCAGGTGAGCTGCAATCATCATGGGGCGTGATATACACCTCGTGTCGCTCCTCGTCTGGTGATTTTGAGCCACCAGCCTTGAGCGCATCTTCAACCACATACTCTGGGTGGTACGGGTTAATGAAATGCAGGAATGGTAGCGATCGGAGTTCCTGCAGCTCGTGCGGATCGTATTTACAAAAGTATGTATTGCCAGAAATGACTTGTTGGATGCCTACCCCAAGCACCCTTAGCTGTTCTCTCTGCGAATCGTCTAGAGGAGAAAAAGACTGCAGTATGAGATAGTTTGTATGCGAGGCGTCGGGGCAGAAGTGAGCTCCGCCTTCTCGTTGAGCCCTGTGATGAACCACGTTACCATTGCTACAAAGATCAGCTTGAGGTTCGGGCCACAGATTTCCAGATGAACAACTCACATGGTTATTGTTACTGGATCCATCTGTAGGAATATTGGAATGTATAGAAAGATATGGGACTTGTTAAATGATCAAGAGTTGCAACTTTCTAGGTTTGAGATTATGTGTAGGGTATCTGCTAGCTGCGTTCCTCCATCGCAGAAATGGCTTGATTATTTCTACAGTTCAGGTGGAATGTGATTGGCCTGGAGTTATCCTAGCTTGTGTGTGTCACTAGTCCGGATTAAATGTTCCCGGCATTTCGTGGCTGGGCTATAGTTTGGATTAGTGCTGACTGTGATCAGCAATGACACTGTGATCACATGCGCTTCTTGCAGCAACTTAGTGTGATGTTTGCCAATTTATCACTTGGAAGGCACTCCATCTCTGGTATAGAGTATCGACATTTAGACTCAGCTGAAACTGTATGGATTAAGGAGGTAGGTATAGGAAATAAATGCCACTTGCCTAGTAGTCTTACATAAAACACTTAGCTGATAAAAGGTGAGAGAGACATCTTTGTCAGACTGAAGTGAAATAAACAGTACAATAATTAATATTGACAATATAAGCCGTCCATTCTAGCCAGCAACTCAACAGAAAGAAATATAATGAGTTTATTATGCAAATGTTGAAAGCAGCCATGGAAATATTGGCAACTCAAATTCCTAAATCAAGACGGAATTGGAATGCTGCAACAAATCCTCTCTGATGCTCACAGTTATACATACCATCGAGGCAGTCGCCAAGTCAAGGCCACTATAGTCCCCGTGGCAATAGTGAAGCCCCAAGCGAGCGTCGCGTACACGCTCAGCGCTTTCCCTTGGTACCAAGGACCGTGGCCGCCGTTCACATCACTCTCATCACTGCCTCCCGATCCCTGGCTTGATGCGAAATCAGACTGATTGGGGAGCGATACTATGAAGCCCAATATGGCATAGAATTGTGAGATGACAGCTGTTGCAAAGCCAACAAATAAAAAGACCAGTGTGACAAGGGCGAGGATAGGCATGGTTCTGTTATTGTTGCTTCCGTGACCCGACTCATGCTTGTGTCGGTGCGTGGAGACAGATCGCAGCAAGCTCAACAATACCAGCGCCGTGGTTGCCAGGAACCCGATCCCGATGAAGACAGTGCTGGCGATGGCATAGTTACCCGCGAGATGGATTTGCTGGCACGAGCGTTGATCTCCAATGGTCGTGGCTTTGTCCGAGCCCGTCGAGTTATAAAGCTCGCAGCTGGTCTTGTTGTGTCCGTAGGGTTTAAAGTGGTCGCAATGCACGTGGTGGGTCGGTGGTTCATCAGAATTGGTGCTGTTGACCTGTTTTGCAGTGCATATGATGAATGGAGAACGGTAGAGTGTGTAGATGGGCTTTTCCCAGTATTGAGGAGCGAAATCTGTGTCGTAGTTGTCGCGTATGGCCCATTCGCGCGACGTGATGGTGATTACTGAGAACACAAATGCGACAATCGCAAACGCCAGCCCTATCAGAGGGGGTCCAAAATGCTTTACGCGGGACATTGTTTTGGGGCGGTATGGTTCAACAATTATCAAGATTCTTGGTTTTTGTCAGTGCTGTATATGTGTAGGTAATTCAGTGGCACGACACAGAAGCACAGCAAAAAGCAGTGTCTTTTTGCTTAGGTGGTCTTTTTCAGGAGAGATTAATCCTTGAGCTACTGCGTCAAACTTCCAAGTACAACAAAGTCACTCTCCTAGCGTGGTACGAAGATGTAAGAGGAAACGGCTGAAAGTGGCGTGCGCGTAATCCCGACCGATGACAAGTACGGTATAGTTAGGACCGGTCTGGAATGCTTGACTAAATGGTCAGCCCGTCTGCCGTAGTTAGTGTCGGGTACACGGCACTAAATGGTTGGAATCCGAAAAACAAGGATCCATCTCCTCACTCTGCTCAGCTGGCCCCATCTCACTAATCTAGGTAGGCCACTACTGAGTAGAAAACACCGTAACATGATGATTGAGATCTTTCTGAACGGACTGGCAGGTTGAGCTCACTCAGAACAATCCCTCTTCCGCGTGTCTATCCAAGAGCCGATAGACATTCACAATGGGCCCTCCAATGCAAAATGTTTGCATTCCTATGCACTTGGACGCCTTCGCCTTGTCTCCAAAACTCTGCGATCCCTCACGCCAATCAAAGATTGCTCCATACACTCAACCCAACTACACTGCTTTGCGCCTCAACAGCCATCTTTTGCAACATGATATCCTCGATCATGTCGACTTTCACAATACCCAACCGGCCACGCGAAATTCCCGGACTGCTGATATTGGATCCTCACCTCCAAACAATCTGCTGTTGCATCGAATGGGCGTACATTTGCAATGGTCTCTGCCTCGATGCTATCGCACTGCTGCTGCTACTGGACGAACATCCAGTAGTTCCAAAGCTGGATCGACTGCAGACCCAGCTCAGCCCACGTTCCGCAAGATTCCTAACCGGTGGTTAATCACCAGGCGTCTCAAGACACCCACTAAACCTCCTCCTGGGGTCAATCCCTTCCAAAGTTGGGTCGTTGAGAGCGATGTGGTTCAGAAGATTAAGGAAATTCCAGCCGTAATAGACTTGGAGAGCGGCGTATCACCCTTTGTCTCTTACGATGGAGCGGATCCTCAAGATCCTAAAACTAATGACCCAGCCTCCAACCCCAACTTGCTAAACGAGCAAACAGAAGTTTTCTTGGGTCAAAAGTTTGATCTTCAGAGCTGGCCTGGTACCACTCCAAGGAACTACCTCCCAGGTGGCCTAACGGTCATGAGTTCTTCAAATCCTTACTTTGCGGACAATGCTCTTCACAATGCCAACGTTCTATCCATCATCGACAACTTTTCCTATCCACGCAATCCAAACGACTCAAATCCCAGAGACGACAACTTTAGTTACTTGAGCAACGCCACCTGTGATTACTTTGTCATTGGATGGCACAGTGACCCCAATGATGACCCTTTCAACACCAAGCTTGATCCTTTGAGTACTTCCAACTTGAGTACTCGACTCTCGGACCTCATGATGCAACTCAGCCCCAAAGAGGCAGGGGATGGTGGCAAGTTCAAGAACAAGCAGGATCCAACAAGATGTCTTGTGCATGGCGCTATCTACGACGTAAGCTATGATTTTAACAACCCACCCGCTCAAAGTGTCGCAGAGGACGGTGCAAAGCTTTTCAAACCAGAGGCCAAAACCAAGATCGAGCCCTTGTCCATCGGAACGACTGCGCTCGACAGCATTCTAACCTTTCTGGATGCCCATCAACACGACTCCGACCAAGCCAGCCCATTTGGTCCAGGAGGTAGCACTCTGGCTCATCAAATAGTCGAACTTTCTCAACTCCTTTATGCAGCTGGTGACCAGTATGATTCTCGTGTCCAAGCTCAAGACATGATTGCTCAGCAGAACTTTTCAAAGATTGATGGCGGTTCTCGTTGGAGTTACTCCAAAGGTGCTCAAAGCCAAGGCTCAAAACAGCCTTTGTCCAATACTGGCCGTAAGTAATGAGTCTCCTTTCGTGTAAGAAAGATCGAGCTAACAATAAACAGAACCTAATATTCCCTCAGGGGACGAACAAACCATACTGGAACAGCTTAACCAAAAGCAGTTGGCACTGGACGTAGCAACTCGCAAGTTGTCCTGGCTGCAATGGTCGCTATTTGCTGAATGGTTCAAATACAAGAGCCAGTTTATTCCCACTGTGGGGCGTTCCGCAGTGCTCAAAGCATATAAAGATGCAGTTCAACCGATCAAGGACAGTATCAACGGCGCCACCAACGCCGATGGAACGGTTGTCACGGGCCTCAACAGTTACATCAAGTCGCTGAACAAAGAGATATCGGATTTGCAAAAGAAGGTTGATTGCAAGTTGTCTGCCAGAGAACCTTATCGACTGCGCTCCGATCCCACGCTTTCCATCGTGGGTTTGGACTCTGGCTGGCCGGTAGATATAATGGACACTCTGCAGGTCTTACTCGATGAGGAGCTGTCGAAGGATATCACTACCGCCAAGACTATCTTTGGATCATTATCAAATCCTGTCCCCAAGGATAACAGTCTTGATGTTACAGCCGCCAAAATACTAGCCGAATGTATGGCAACCACCAACGCGGGAACCACCAACGGCAAAACCGGTGCTCCAAAGATTACGGGTTTTCAGTCTTGGGGTAATCGTAACCCCTTTGCTCCCCTATTTATTGAATGGGAAGGACTCTACTACCACATCGACAAAGACGTATGGGACGTTGAACTACGTCCAAGTCCTGTTGGACATCCTATCTCTCAGGTTCGCTACGTCCCAGGGCAAACTTTGTTGACGGCAGATGCGGCAAATGATGCGGAAAATCAGGCAGACTTCCGTACTCTGAATGGAAGGGTCATGGTCTTGCCTCAGCCAACGCTGAACCTAGAGACCATGGTTGCTCAAGTGCTTCAGAACAAATCCAACGTCATCCCTCCAGATATCGACCCTGCTGTTTTGCAGCAGCAGATCCGCAAGATTAAATTCTTGTCTGCCCCGTTGTCTGGCTTGACAAACCATCTGATCACAAGAGTTCAAGGTGCACATGTGAAGCCAAACGTGAGGGTGCAAGGTCAGAATGTGATTCCATTGACTGCGGCAGATGCAAGTGAGATTGGGATAGACGTTGGAACTTTGGCCCTGGTGGACGCTCAAAGTGCGTTGACTCCATACTGTTCACTCATGGCATTTCCACTGGATGATTATCCAAACAATCCGTTCAAGCCTGTCACGCATGGGCAGATGGTGCTCACAAAACTCAACATCGTCGACAAGTTTGGACAGGCAATCACTATGCCAGACCTCAATCGACGGCTCGTCAACCAGCCAAAGCCTCCAGATGCCAAGATCTACCCAAGTTTGAGCGATTACTTGGCGCCAGATATTATCCAAGTTGACGATGGAAGGGGAGGAAAGAAGAAGGTTTTGAATACACTGTTTCCGACGCCAGATCCGGTTGTTGAAGGCTCGTGGCCAGTATCTCAGTTCATTCAACTTACTCCAGCCATCAACCAGGACGCAAGGATCAACGGCGTCTTCCTCACCCAAGACACAATCGCACCAGATAAATATTCGGCTTGGAGAGAAGCTACAGACTTTGAGTCTCCAATCTGGGGCTGGCTCGTGGTCAACTATGCTGACAACGGCTTGCAATTCTTCCTTGGGGACGGCACCTTTTACCGCGAGATCCGTAAGGGGGGAGTAAATGGTACCAATGTTTCAGCCAAATGGCTACCCTACCCAGCACCAAAAGGCAATCTTGTTCCGAGTGATGCTGGGACATACCAGCTCAGCAAGCTGCTTGACCAACTCTCACCAGAGGTCGACACAGATGGGACATACCTGCAAGCCTTTTTTGACATGATCAACGGAGCGATTCAAAACATGCCCTTTCCGCCGTCAAGCTATTCCGCCTACGCCAATGCCATTGTCGGTAAGCCGCTGGCCCTTGTCAACGCTGGCTGGAGCATAGAGCTAGCGCAACCACCGCTAGAGCCTCAGTTTGGTTCCATATCTAGCAGACCGGACAGTTGGAAAGGTGAACTTGAGAGATACGGGTTCAAACTGAAGATTGGTGATGCGGCTCGGAATTTCGACGGCGTTGTCGGTTACTTCCTGTCCTCCAACGCCGCTGCACCAGGATCAGAGAGTAATACACCAGATCCACAGCCGGTGACAGAGTGGGATACGCTGTACACTTATTTCCCACGGGAAGGGAACTCACAGAAGGGTATTCAAGGCATTTCTCCAGGGAACTACCCTGTCTTGAACCCGTATTACTTGCATCCCGAACCAGAGAAGACAGCCGATCTGGTCGAGGCCAAGAACAGAAAATACCTCGTCACCTCGCTCTTAGTAGATCCGTACACGCCCATTCACGGATACTCACCAATCCTTCCAGCCAAGTCACTAACGATACCAGACTGGGCAGTAAAGGTGGCTATGGATAAGATGCATGCTTTCTTCCACCTGGGGCCCTCACTTGTGACTTCTGACGTCCCTCCCACCTACGCAGAGGCGAACGCAAGCAATCCCGACAAAACACCAAAGAATACAGTTGGCCTCCCTGTGTCGGGAAGCAAAGGCACATGGACATGGCTGCAGCCTTACGCTCAGAATGGATATGCTGATGATGGTACTGAGTTGTCTGCAGAGTATGCAACTATGGGAGTCAATGTAGATGTCGGTGAGGTGAAGTTCAAGCCAGCGCCATACACACTCTTGGAAGGATACTTGCAGTTGATGGGAAAGTTGGATAATACAGGGGGGACATAGGCAGAAGATGATTAAAATAAGTATTGATACTGCTTAATAATCTGATTCTTTAAATATGACTTAGGTTTAGTAGGTAAAAAGGTAGAATTAATATCTCATTCTATCTTAATCGTCCGACACATTCTGCTTTAGCAGTGTATAGTGATTTATAACTGGCTCTCCCCCTGGGTTTGCTGGCGTACTATACCATTCAGTCCATGTAATAATTACCCTGCCTACCGGCTTCGTCCTCGCCTGCCCATCGATGACAACTTTTGATATGACAGTAACTGGCGCGATGTTTGCCTCGGCCAGTCGAAAGGATAATTGTGACGAGCTGAAGTCGTTGAGCTGCAGTGCATCATCCAGCGAAGAGGAGCGCGGGACGACCTCGGCATGAAGCATCGGCAGCTTCTCATCAGTGAAGAGAAAAGGGATGAATCGTTGATTGTTGAGCATGCGCACACCAGGTCCATCGTAGCTTGGAGTCAACAGTACTTCCTTATTTGTTGATGGCGGAACGGACTGGATAGGGATATCGATGACCACCTTGAGAAGTTTGTAGTCAGACTTGACAGCAATGGGCTTTTTTCGGATGCTGAAGATGAGATCAAAGTAGTATTTATTGTTGGTAGGCACATAGTCGGTGGCGGTGTACTTTTCGAATGGACCGGTAAATCGTGTAGGCGGATCCCGGTAGTCGACATAAATCTTCATATCAAACCGAGACTGTGGCGTTGAAGTAGACCCAACAGAGGACCTGGCGAGTTGCGTGACAAATTTCCTGTTTGTGGGCTGTGGAATTATAGCGGGAGTCGCTGTATGAGGCCGCTGATGCGCTGGTGATGATGCTGCTGGGGCTGACAACGGCTTATTGGCAGGTTTTTGCAGTTGTGCTGGAGGTGGAACTGGAGGTGGGAGGTTCAGTCCGCTCGGTTCTCCTGGCTTGGGGGGCTGGCTCGGAGGCGGAGTGGGAGGCTGTGGTGGTGATGGAGTTGTAGATGGATTGCGAACAAAAAGCTGACGATTTCTCGGCTTGGGAGTGGAATCAACGCCTGGTGGTGGTACGATTGTGAAATAGTATCTCGGATCATTGAGCTCTAATCCCGTCTCACACGAGTTGGGCGTGGGGTCAACATATTTCCCTGGGGCCGCCTTATTGAGCAGCTGGTTGACGTCCACTGCAAGTTTTCTAATGTTGATCGCTCTTGAGTCCCAGTCTAGCCAACCCTGAGACATGTCATCAGGAACTTGACTTCCATCGGGAGAGATGCCTGGGGCAACTGTAAAGAGCGTCCGGAGCATGAATGTGATATTCCCTGAGCCGGTAGCGTCGATAGCCTCACCGATGGCAAATCTTTGCTGGTGCTGCGGTTGTGATAACTCGATATGGTCCAGCTCTTGAGGTTGCCGGTCCAGAAGACACATTAGTGTCTGATCATCCCACTTGGTCCAACGACAGACCGGATACCTCTTATCTGGATTCTTCCAGGTGACAGAGATCTTCATATCTGGCATCGCCTTGATGACCTTTGATCTTATGAAAAACCCATAACAAGGAACTTGAGGTTTATACCCAGCATCAGGAACAGGCGTCGAAAGGTAAGAGTTGAACTGTGTCTTGATCTGCCTGCGAACAACATCATCGTCTGAATCCAGGTGATTGGCCACAGATAATGCCCCGTCGAGAAGGCAATCTAACCAGAAATCGTCGATATGGAAGAAGCGAAGTGATTCAGGTGGCAGGAAAGAAGGCTCCGGCAGTAAATATTGAGACGGAATACCCCCAAGTGAGAGCTTGTCTGCTAGCCAAGTATGGATTATCACCCAGTCACTATTGCTAGGACCTTGGAGATTAAATCCATTGTAGGGTACTGGTGTACCGCTGGAGTCTTGTCCCGCGGCTGTATTGGAGCTTACAGATTTCTCTATGTCGGATTGAAAGGTTGACGCCGCTACCGCATGGCCGACACTAGTTATTGCCTTGCGAGTACTTGGTGGCCGGACCCTTTGAGGAGTTCCTTGTATCCCAGGGCGTGCAGTAGCTAGAGTTTTCAGATTGTTGATCGTTGATGTGACACTTGCAACAACATCAGCTGCTGCTGTCATGTTATTAGCCTGCATCATGGTCGAGTTGACTGATGCATTCCGAACAAGTGATCGAAACCGCATCAAGGCAGAACTGAAGGTCGTGTCGGATATTGCCAGTAATTTACCCAGCTGCCAGGCAGATGAATATGAAAGGTCCATCATTCCCGTTGTGGAATCAAGGATCTGATAATCCTGGGAAGTGAAAGAGCAGTCTTGAATTGTGTTTGGCGCAGGGACTGCTGGTGTTGGCAGTGGCACAAGTGGTCCCCGAGTAAAGGCACTTGTTTCCTCGCCTGTCTGTGTTCTCCAGCGTGAAATTGTGTATCCCATTCGAAGCCGATCAGCTAGAACAGTAGACACTTGAGATTTGATACTGCTAGTATCCCTGAACGCATTATTCTGCTTATTGGCTAAATCGAGACCAGCAAGGACCTTGTCATCCACCCTGAGCATCTGCTGATTCTCGGTCAAGTTTCGTACTGCTGTAACGAAATTGACAGGGTTCGGGGGCATTGCTGTATAGATCCAAGAGAAGAGCGATATCATACCAACACGTTGGCTGGGCTGATCTGGTGTCCATGTATCAACTGTCGAGTCCAGATGCTCAATCGACACAAGATGGCAGATCTGAGTGCGCGGCTGCGAGATATTGGTAGGAAGCTCGGTCCAAGCATTATTCCTCAGAACCTTGTCTCGAAGGGCCCCTGTTCTTGACGCAATAACAACAGAGAATATTCCCTGTTCTTGGACCCCAGCATCTGGACATCCTTCGGTATTAATTTCTCGGACATGAGACATGTACTTGTACTGCTCTATGCCATACTTGTTGCTGGCTGTGTCAACCCTGGTCGAGTCCGTGAATAGCTTCTTCACGAGAGACTTTTGGGGGAAGATGACATTTGTTTGGTCTAGCGTGCGCAGTATCTCATCGTATTCTTGGGGCAACGGGTTTGGCAGTTTGCCGGTGGCTGGATCCTCGTAGCCAGCAGCATAATTGATTCTTGATGTTTCTGTGATGTTTGCGAAGTAATCAGCAACTGTCATGCTGAAACTGCCATTGGAGGTTTGTTTTTTCAGGTCATCGTCAGATTTAAATCCCGGAAGGCCGAGAGCTGTGGCTTCTCCGATATCTGTGAGCTGTAGATCCTCGGGGTCAAAGACCAGAAGAGCTACCCAGGGAACCATTGAACGAGCCACGGTTTTAGTTTTCCCGTCACTTCCAACTACAGGGCCGAAATCAATTTCCTCGTTCATGTTTGCTGTCACTCCTGGCGATATTTCCCAGGGATAATGGGGGTCATTCAAGACAATGTGAGGCAAAATGCGAGCCTCGTCTTGATGGCCATCAGGAGGATAATAAGTGTTGATCAACTTCGTGTCCAGACCAAAACGCGGTACTATGACCTCGAATCGCTGGCCGGCCATGCCCAAATCGCTCACGTCAGGTTTTGTGTTATATAGGGTAAGTTTTTGGGTGCCAGAAGTGATGGTCTGGGTTGCGTTAATCGTGTAGTCTTTTGCCTGGAGACTTGGCTTGTAAAAGCTGTAGAGACGCATCTCCCCTTTTCCCAGCAGTGGCCTGACTGGATCTCCAGTTTTGGGATCTCGAGCCTGTTGTATAACCTGGGCCATAGCCCCTTGGGTAAGTAAGCGTGGATTCGACATTGTGAGTACAAATTAATTGGGCAGTAGTATCCAATGATTGATATAGAAGAAGATATATTGGTAAGGTCGTTTGAGAATATCTTCCAGATCCACGACAAACCATCGAGAGCCAGTGTTGCACAAAATTTGGTGTGGTGGTGATTCCCAAACATTATCTCAGAAAGTGAAGGTGTGACAGGGTAAACGGAAGCGCTACCGGAATAGGCATAGATGATGACAATCTTGTGCAGGGATGAAAACAAACTATCGATCTGCGTGCTAACGCTAGTGGAAAGGGGCTGAAGCGGGGTTGTCCCACCTAATATCTCGTAGTGTCTCGGATCTAACCCAGCAAATCAAGTCACTGCACATTCTGGCCATGTAGTATTGTATCTTAGGTACCTCCAGTGTCTCTCGTAAATTGTGCTTCAAAAGCCAAAAGTAAATAAGCTAAAGCATCATCACACACAATATCACATTTCAGCTCCTGCATGCCGGTCAGCATACTGTCAGCCTGCTGAAGTCTAGATCATCCACACGGCAATGACGGCTTCTAATCTATGTCGTTGCAACCTTGTTGATCAAAGAATGCTAAACCTGGCTGACTCAACACCACTCCCCGTGACCTTCTAGGCATTGAGATTGTCCGTTACTGAAGCTGGCTTCTGGGACCATCAAAGCCAAATTCCGCTCATCATGAGTGAAGCCATTACTAGGATCTTGGACAACTCCAAGGCCAACGTTCTTCCGAAATGGAGAGACTTTTTTCAAGACCCCGAAGTCGGATGCCAATTAGATGTGACAGCAAGCCCAACAGGAGGTGATCCAGAATTGGCCTGCAGCTTTACAAAGGATGGACTTTGGGACCTCAAGTTTGATAGCTCGGCAAATGACTCCCAGTTTCACACTGCCGATTACAACGTTGACAACAGCGTTATAATTGGGCTCCCTTCGACTGCAATCGCTGATACAACAACTGCAACACCCGCACTTGCAGATATTCTGCAGAAATTCAGAGTCGCGGACAGCAGCGGGAATATTCCTTTTGACAATGGAACATATCCTGGCGATCCCGTGCAAGATGGCAACCCTCCCCTCGCAGCTCGCCCATCTCCAGGCACCTTGATGCAAAGCATAGTCAAGGCTCTTGGACCAGCTCTACCACTTCAGGTAGATGTTACTGCAGAACGTAATGCATTCTGGATCACACCAGGTCAAACCATGCGGGCTGATGTGGCTCTCACATTTGTCCCATCTGGCGATGTTGCTACTGCTTTACAAAACGTTTCAAAGACTATTTACTCTCATCTTGGTATCAACCTCTCGACCTTGTTCAGCTCTTTGAAGATTGTGATTCAGAAAACGTCCCTGGGGTATGCTGTTTCCAATGTCAATGAAGACACAGATCCACCAGTTACTACCGCGGCCGTGATCCATGTAAATAGCTATTACTCGCTTGGCATACAATTTGCCGCTGGGCCATTTCTCTTCTGGGTTACTCTCGACGGTGGCGGCATAAACCTATCGATTCTTCAAAACCCAGACTCTTCTTCTCCAGCAAACTTCTTCACACTTACCGGGCTATCTGAAAGTTCGGTAACGCCCGTTCTGGGTAACATTCTTTCGAACCTGCATCTTCTGAGGGTCTCTGCAACTGTAGATGCCGCTGTTGGAACATACTGGTCGATATTGTTCTCCCTGGAGTGGGGGGCGTTCAACATTTCACTTCTGTACGATTCGTCATCTGCGACATTTTCTGGTGGCCTTATCCTTGACGGATTCTACACAACATCGATCGAATATCTGCGGCCAATCTTTAGCGCCAGCCAGGCTATCATGGCCCCGGATGGCACTGTCACTAGGCCCTTTTACAAGATACGAGATCTTTCTTCAGAGATGTCAACTCTCCCGAATTCTCTTCCAACTGTCATAACAGCAGCGAGGATATCGTACCAGATAACGTCAAAGACTCTATCTTTGGCTGCCCAGCTGATTGCGCCACCTCCAGCACCCTCCAACGCTGGCCCCCAAGTCCCAGCTCCTTTTGTCTGGGACGAACTTGATGTCAGATTGTCTGTTGGACCGGGCTCATTCTCATGTACACTGGCCACCGACTTTCTGTTGACAAGTCCACTGGATCCAAATGTTATGGGTATGATTGGCCTCAACTTCTCATACCAGAATAAAAGTTGGCTTCTTTCTGGGCTGGCGCAAAATATCAACGGCGCCATGCTATTTGGATGGTTTGACCCCAACTACAACGAGTCGCTTCTCTCTGTTCTTGGGAAATTACAGATTCCGGAGGTGCAAGTCGTTTATACATACGCAGATGGGGGCGCGGCTACAAGCTTTGCCTTTGTTGGAACCGTCCAGGTTGGGTTGCTACAATTGCGCCTGTTCTACCAGTATGTCAGCTCAAATGTCAATGGAAAGACAGCTGCCCAGGCAACTCCCCCGGGATCCCAAGGCACTCTTCTACCAGCTGATGCTCCGGTGCCTGTCGTCACCGTGCAGCCATCTGGCGACCCAAACACACCTCCTGAGAAGAGAGTCCAGACAGACTGGACATTTGAGTGTGACCTGGGGGCTTCTGCCCCAAATGGACAGATTGCGACTTTGGGTGCTGTAGTTGACTCCATCGTCCCTGGAGCAGCGGACTCTCTTCCGACATTTGTGTCTGGAATTGAGATCCCTTCTGCTGAAGGAGGTCACAGTCCTATCACCATGAAGGTTGCAAAGCATCGGACAGATCAAGTCGCTTTTGCCTTTCAAGTTGAAATTGAGCATATCAGCTTTACATTTGCTCAGATAGGAGACAAAGACCCCAGCAAGACTAAGAGAATCGTCCGTGTTGCCGTTGGCAGTCTTCCAAAACTGTCAGGCATCCCACTGATTGGAGACTTGGTACAGCCTTTCGATTCTCTGGAGTACTTGTGGGTGAGCGATTCTGGCGGTCTTCTCAAGTCTGAGGTCTCTGCTTTGAATCACCAAGTCTTGCCTGTCGATAATCCTATTTACTTTTCTGCCAACGTCGGCCAGTCAGCCAACGCCAAGGCCTCGACAGCTGATAGTGTCGTGATAATCCCAGGACATCATTTCATCCTGATTCAAAACCAGAAAGCGGTCTTGGATCATGTCTTTGCAACAGCGACCCCAACTGTACCTCAGCCAAAAACACCAAATCCACCAGTAGAAGCCATGACGTCTGAAGTTGCTCTTTCCGGTGACGCACCAGGAGCACCCGTACCGGCAAGTCCTCCTTCGAAGGGCGAGTTGACACTCAACCTTGGGCCACTCACTATCAGTGCTATTTCATTACAATACCAAGAACAAGGAGATGTTCCACAGATCTCAATTACACTTAATGCAATGTTTGCCATGGGCCCTATTATGCTTGAACTCATCGGCTTCGGGTTCGCAGTCCCACTGGAGGGCGGCATTACACTAGACAATCTTGCAAGCCTCGTTGGCAAGATGTCGCCAGTCATATCAGGCATGGTAGCTTCATTCAACCAACCGCCGCTTCTGATAGCTGGTGGGTTTGAACACATCGTCACCAAGACTCAGGATGCATATCTCGGTGCAATAGGAATCTCGTTTCCACCATACAACTTTATTGGTGTCGGAGAATATGCTGTTCTTGATGGGTTCAAGAGTGTCTTTCTTTATGCTAAGCTTAACGGGCGTAAGTTCCCTCTCTCCCCTATTGACACCCCAACCCTCTAGTGTAAAAGCTAATGTCTACAGCACTTATCACTCTTGAATTCGGCGAGATCTCTGGAGTCAGAATGGGTTTCGGCTACAACTCCTTTGTCACCCCGCCAACAATTGACCAATTAACAAGTTTCCCATTCATTAATGACACGGCCACAGCGAGTGCTGGTAGCGATCCCTTTCTCATCGTACAGACTATGACTCAAACCGGACCTCCATGGGTGACGCCAAAACAAGACGAATATTGGCTGGCAGCTGGACTATCAGCCTCGGTTTTTGATTGCCTCACTGTTACCGCTGTGGCAATGCTAGAAGTCAAGGCCGGTGGTTTTGATCTAGCTATCTACGGCGATGCAGTTGCTATGATGCCACCTGATGCACCAAGTAGGGAGTCTTGTCTCGTCTATGTTGAGCTAGCGATGGTGGTTGAATTCAATATGGGTGAAGGGTATTTTCGCGTCGAGGCAGCTTTGGCGCCGACATCGTTCCTACTCGTTCCCCAATGCCAGCTCACGGGAGGGTTTGCCCTTGTATACTGGTTTGGAGTATGCCAAATGACCCAAAAGAATATGGCCAATGGACTAATCGTGCTACAGTCTAATCCACATGCTGGAGATTGGGTGTTCTCCGTTGGAGGGTACCACCCTCAATATCAAGTGCCGGACTGGTATCCTGTGCCACAACGCCTCGGAATATGTTTCACAGTTGGCAGCTGTTTATCCGTTGTCGGAAACTGTTATTTCGCTGTCACGCCCAAAGTCGTTATGGGAGGTGCTTTGATCCACGTCAGCCTCGATCTTGGACCTCTGCAGGCCTGGCTAGATGCACAGTTCGACTGTCTGATCAACTTCCACCCTCTTCACTATGTGGCAGAGTTTAGTGTATCAGTCGGCGTGTCGTTCAATATTGACATTTTGTTCATTCATATTCACATTAGCGCGAGTATCGGTGCCTTCCTTGTTATTCAAGGTCCAGAGTTTGGAGGGACAGCCCAGTATGTAACCTTTATCATTTTGTTTAAAGACCCATTCAACTAACTTTGGCCAGTGTCGACTTTTGGGCTTTTGGATTTACTATCGATTTTGGATCCAGCCCTGATGCAAAAGACCCTCTCACACTACTGCAATTCTGGCAGATGGTCCATCAACCCGGCCCAGAAGTCCAAACTAAAAATACCATTGACCCGGAGCGAGTTCAGTCTGTTGTTTCCTATGACCCTCGTTCCGACCTGGAGGGAACTATGGTTCCTGCACCCAGTGGCACAGGCACCGTGCCCCGTCCAATCCCCGCTCCAGAGCTAGTTGAAGCCGCTGCCCTAAAGTTTGTTCTTGAGGATGGTAATTATCCGAACCCACCCAAGCTTAAGCCGGAACCAAGTCCTTCCCCCGTTGTTTCTAGCAATAGTGCTCGAGGCACAGCAGAGTCCACTTTCAGCACCAATGCGGTGCCCAGTGATAGTAATGCTGGTCAAGGTACAAAGTGGTTTGTCAAAGGTGGTACTTTCAAGTTCCGTATTCAAACAGACTTCGCGCTCAGTTATGCCTCCGTGGCCCCGGCCTTCATACCAGCAGAAGATGGCGCTGGAGCAGAGGTGCCTGTTTTAAACGGCGGCCCTCATCCTACCAAAACGAACATATTCTCACGACCGATGCAAGTCACAACAGACATAGTCTCAGAATTGTCTGTTGTTGTTATGCAGACCGTTAGTCAAAAGGTTATTGGTGGCTGGACAAGCGCATCATTTGATATCAAATCTGTACCAACTGGAACATGGGGCAAATACTCCAGAGACACGGACCCTTCTCTGGTTGCTGCGTCATCGCTTTTATCTCACGAAGGTGCCACGGTACCACTACCCATGGGCTTACTACTGAGTTCGCCAGCCCCTATTCTTGCCCTCAGCTTTATTCCCACCTTCAGCGCAAGTGATGCAGCCAAAATGGGTGTTGTGGATCTCCGATTTATAGCCACTATGCCTGGTACTGACTGGTTTGTTCCTGGATACAAGCCAATCCGCAAGGCAATACCAGATAGTACAAAACCAGATGGGCTAGATTACGTTGCCGTAAGCCCGGATCTGGATGCCAAGTCGGGAGTGGTCATGGCACCAACCCAAGTGAAATACACCCCAGCAGAGCTCAGCTCAACAGAGGAGAGCGAGACAAATCAGAAGCTCTGGGATAACATGGGAGCTAATTGGGTGCAATATGCCAGTGAAAAGAGAGAACTTGTTAATGATCCTACAGATGGGTTACTAGTGACGGCAGAGAAGATTTTTGGATGGGCACAGTCTTTCCCAGTACCAAACGCTTCGACCGTTCCTGCAGCTACAGTTTCCAGTCCATGGAAGCTGAAGGGCGACTTTCCTGCAAAGCTGGTTCGCAGTGCGAATAAGAATGGTACAGTAGTCAAGGGACTAGAGGCAACATATCTTGCACTCCCACGGCATGCAGTTGTGACTTCTTAATCGTGGAAGCTACTAAGCTTTATGTAGTAATTCTGAGCTCTTAGCTATAGGTTTTCATAGTGAATAAACTAAAGCAGCATATATCCAGACTCATTTTCCACTAATCATGCTGCATTAACAAACACAGACTTGGTGTTACAGTATGACTTGATCCCCTCAAGGTCATGCTCAGCACCAATACCGCCCTGCTTAGCTCCCCCAAATGGCACATTCGGATTAGCTCGTGATGGCTATTGATCCAAACTGTTCCTGCCTTGAGCTTCGCGGCCAGCCTCTCTGCTTTCACCAAGTCTGGAGTCCAAATCGAGGCACCAAGACCCATAGGGATATCATTAGCACGTCTAAGGACCTCATCCTCGTCCTTCCACTTCAGCACAGGGAAGACAGGGCCTAATGAATGTGAGTGTCATTTCATCGAAACGAAAGATAGAACATACCGAATGGCTCCTCTACTACAATCCTAGAGGCATCTGGAGGGTTGTCGACAACGGTAGGAGTGATGAAGTATTCTTTTCCCGCGTCTGACGGTCTGATTGATCCAGCTGCAAGCTTGAGGTTGTGCGATTGAATATCTGCGAGTAAGCTCTTCACTCTATCAAACTGCAGGTGGTTCTGAACGGGACCCATAAGTGTGCTACTCTCCAGGCCATCACCAACAGGAAGACTCTTCACCGTTACAGCTATTGCTTCCAACAAGCCGTCATATATGGACTCGTGGACATAGATGCGCTTTATGGCGATGCAGAGCTAGACTTGTCAGCGAGGTCGAATCCAGAACATTTAATAACTTACTTGACCGGAGTTCGCCAGAGCCGCCATGGCAAACTAAGTAATTAGCATCTTTGTTTTATAGCTTCCCTGCCACGACCTACCTTTGGAGCAACTTTCTTCAAATTAACATCACTGCAGACAATCGCCGGATCATTACCTCCCCTATATAAGTCAGTCCCAGAGCTCTGGGCATTAATGCTCGACTCACAATTAAAGGGTTACACGCTTGAGTTCCAGCAGCGCTCTGCAGGACCTTCACTCCAGTTGCTGTAGATCCCGTAAACCTTACCTAGAAAGACAGGGGCTTTCTATTGTTAGCATTGCACCAAATTAGTATCCGGGACATTCCACTTACAGTTCCAAGGGACAATACCGACCGCAACGCCTATGGATTATTAGCATTGAGGGCGGGATTGGCCACTGGGTAACATACCAAGGGGGACGTATTTGGTGACGACTCTACGACCAGGCTTATCCTCAATCACCTCTTCCGGGTCAGCCAGCTGTGCATATCCCTGGAGGAACTGAATGGCCATGCCAATTTCCACGTGTGCCAGTTGCAGCTATACTTCTGTCAGACAAGCAGGTAGAACAGAGAACCCAGAAACTCACAGCTTTTCCTTGTTTCTTGGTTAACAGGACTGTAAGATCCTCCTGGATCGAGGCAATGCCATCCGCAAACTTGGCCACTATGGCCTGTCGCTCTTTGTACGGAACATCGGCCCAGGCTCCAGAGACCCTCTTAGCCGCCTGAACAGCCCTGTCGACATCTTCTGGAGTCGAAACCGGAACTGAGGGCATCTTCTCGAGAGTTGAGGGATTGACACCCCGGGCAGTCTCCTTGGTTGTCTCGAGCTTTCCATCGATGACGTTGAAGAACTCAGTGAAGTCGAGTTTAGTATTGGTACCGACGGCCATGATTGTTAGTGTTGATAATATTTTTTATATTATATATTTATATAAAGAAGGTTTATTTATTTATATAAGTAAATAAGGTATTATTTGTGCCTTATATTAGGTTAATTTAAATAATATTTAAAAGTTTTAAACTTTTAGTATACTTAATATCTTATTAAGTTAAATCATATAAGTTATTTTAAGTTACTTATAAAAGCTCTTAAAGTAAGATGATAAATTCTCTTAGTACTTTTATAGACTTTCTAAACATTAATAAAATAATATTCTAAAAGTAAATAATCTTTTTCAAATTATCTATTAATAATTTATTAAAATCTTGGAAGTTTACCTGCTTATTAATTAACTGCTATTAAGTCTGCTATATGCTATACTTACGTATAATTACTGCTAATCAGATTCCTCTCCTGGCTGTATCATATCTATGTGAATCTAGAACACTAAACGGCATCTCTGGGACCACCACAAGATTCAAGATCCCCCCGGAAAACAGTCTGCGCCAGCGTCTCGAAAGAAACCGTCGACAGGATACCAGGCAATAACGAAAGCCTTTAACTTCGATCTTAACGCGCCCCGAGAGCAAGAAATTACAAATCGCCTTATTAAGAGTTTTAACAGGAATATCTTCCAGCATCTAGTGGTCAAATAGATCATCGAGAGTAACCTATCCTTCCAAGAACCCGAGAATAAGAGGTTACAGGCCATTTTCAAGTACCTTAACCCTTTCGTCGTAAGCACGGATGCCTATGTCGGTCATAATACAGTTTGCAAGCGTGCCGTTGCCAAGCATAAAAAACACAAAGGGAAGGTAATCGAGGTATTAATAAATACACCTGGGTTAATACACATCTCATTTGACGGCTAGAGATCGCGGACTAAGCATGCTTTATATAGTTTTGCCTGCTTTTTTCGACATGAGGATAGTAAGGCCTGCAAGCTTATTCTAGGAGTGCCTGAGCTGACAGTTCGACACTTTGGGGCCAATATTAGACACGAGATCATCGAAATACTCGAGTCATAAGAGATCTCAGAGGAGAAAATTGAGTACTCTACGCTTAATAACGTACAAAATAACAACACTGCAATAAATACCATTAAGGAGAGATTCAAGTTCCATGGCAAGGAACGGTGGGGCCGTTGCTTTGGCCACGTAATCAATCTTGTGGTTAAGCCATTCTCTTTGGAAAGGATGCCGACGCGTTTAAGTCCCGGCTAGGACATAGAGACTTCTTAGCCATGGCTGAGCATGAGCTTTGGCGAAAGAGAGGTCCGGTCGGCAAGCTCTATAATCTTGTGGTTGCGATCCACCGATCTGATCTACTCACCACACTTCTCTGCAGTATCTAACGGCTGGAGTTCGATGTATCTGAGGATCCTTGGGCGAGATTTCGGAAGCCCCCTAACGTGGTTATCGATAACAAAACTCGCTGGCTATTGCGGCTGTATATGATCTGCCGTGCCTTAAAGCTTCGACCTTACCTCGAGATACTAGTCTTGAAGCACAAGAAGGAATGGGAAAAGGACAACACGTCGAAGCAGTCAAGCGGCTTAAGGCAAGCGCAATTATGCCTGCCATATGTCGAGACGATAGTAAACTCGGCAATAAGGACTGGGCCGTTCTAGAGGCGTTCGGGGATAAGATATATATATCTAAATAGCACTAGACGGAGGGTATGGCTTAAAGAGCTATATTACTTAAATATATACTAATAACTACTTAATAATATTAGTAAAATGGGTGTCAAGATAAGTCACAGATCCAAGCTGTTAAGCGTGATGCGCAGGCGGCAATACTGCACCACTAAGGGTCTCGCTCTTAAATGCCCCTGGTAACTCCAACATCAGTCCAAGCCTTGCGGACTATTTTAGCCGCTTCTTCGCCGAACAACTCTTCGGCAATCTCGACAGTGATATCTGCAAAATGCTTGAATTGGCACTTTGGCGCGATTTTGCCCGATCTCATCGTCTCCCACCAGATCTTTCCAGCCTTCTCCCAAGAGTAACCCCCAAAGGCTACAGACGCAAGATAAAATGCCTTGTTCGGGATCCCAGAATAGATGTGTACGCCTCCGTTGTCGTCGATTGTGATTTCATAGTCCTTCATATTATCTGGTTGAGGATCCGTGCCCTGTGCCATCGGTCAGCAATGAGTTCTTATCGAAGCTTTTTTAACATACAAAGCGAGGGTCGTTGTAAGCAGTGCCTGGGGCCTTCATGCTTCGCAAAGCCACTCCCTTCACACCAGGCAGGATACAATCTTCACCAATAAGCCAGTCAGCATCATGAGCCTTCTCATTTTGAACTTCTTGCTTGATCATAATGCCGAAGACGTCAGAAACGTGTTCATTCAGAGCCCCAGATTGGCCACTGTAGTCTAGAGGGCTGGTGTGTTCAGTAACAGCATGAGTAAGCTCATGTCCGATAACGTCAATGCAGCCGGTGAAATTATTGAGAAATTCACCACCATCCCCATAGACCATCTGCAGTCTCTCTGGATCCCAGACTACTAAAGTCAGTATCGAGGGAAGCCTTATATCAGACACATGGAAATTCACTTACAAGCGTTTTCGTATTCCTCGCCGAAATGGACGCTGCTGACGACATCCATTTTCTTGTTGTCGATGGAATGCCAATTGAAATGCTTGTTATAGAAGTTTAAAACAATGCCAACATTTTCGTAGGCCTCATTAACAGCCTCATCCTGGATGTTGTCCTCTCCCTCTTTGCGAACTAATTTGCCGGGAAGGTCAGCCTCGTCTGTCGTATGATTGGCATCGTAAACGGAGCGTTTAGGCGAAGATTTCTTCGCAAGCTCAGCAGTTCCTGAACTCTCGAACGAGCCTCGGCGACTTAGTAAGGCTCATCATGAAGGTGGAGGGAACTTACCTAGCTTCTGCTGCATCAGACCCTCGACGTGTTGGAGATCTCGCTTGGCACGATCACGAACGTTCTCCTCAGACTCTTTAGACTGAGACAAGGATCGCAGGATATGAGGTGGGATTATTTGTTGGCGCTGATACCCGCGAGGTACGGCCAGAGCAACCATGCGTTCAGCTCGGACTTTGGTGTATGTATCCCGGGCAGCGAGGGTTCGACGAGCAGCGTGCCGGATCTTGTATGTATTGGCCTCGCTGTTGGCGATAGCTCGAAGGAGATGAGGGGGGATAATAAAGTGACGGCAGGCCATGATTGGACTAGATGTGATGATGATAATGCTGATGATAGGGATGCATTGTTAGGATTTGATGTTGAGGAGAACAAGGATGAGGACAATAGGTAGATAAAGGAGAAAGGCCGCTCTTATTCTTTGGGAGATCTATGAGAGACAAAGTGAAGAGCCCCAATGATTATGAAATTATGCATCTCTACTATGTTTCGCTTGTCAAACATAATATTTCGGTGAAACGATACCGTCGAAACTGCTATATCTGATAGATATGAACCTCAAGGTAACTGCAAACAAACTTCGTGTATTTTTATTTGTGCCTCATCCTGAATCATCACTCCGTCATCGTCTAGTTTACATTAACTCTTTGTCGGACTGGCGACGTTACTTTCAAAGCCCGACATTCTTTAGCCTTTCGATAAGACTGAATATGATTGGAGCCGCGCATCATTCAACTTCCACTCACGATAGCTATGGGGCGTTGTATTCACAAAGTCTATTCCTCGTATTGTATTACTGTGTTATAAACTTTAATGAAATTCAAATTCAAATGATGTATGACAAATCTGAACAGACATGTGACTCAAATTCTCGTCGGACTCAAGTCAAGGGTGTTCGGAACATGAAGAATAAAGATGTTATATTCGTCAAACTCCTACTGATCAGTAATCATGCGGAGTAACGGTAGGTTTATCACAGCGATCGGGTTCAATGCCGTATGGAAGGGAGGTATTCCTTGGACTGCCTTAAGGCTTAGCGACGGTCACGGCAGGGCTATTCTCTAATCAGAGCTCACGTTAGTGGCGATGTCTTGTATTTTTTACAAGTTCGCTAATCAGAAACAGGTAGTTAAATACTAGGTCTATAAGAGCCTTGTACGATCCACTGTAGTAGGTGCTGCCTGTTCGAGGCAGGAGACTGGGGCGAGGTATGGACCGAAGTCTTCAGGCAGCTCAGGACGATTACACTGCGCATTACCGGAGCACAGGATACTTTTGCCATAATGATTTTAACTCTTGTCATTTAATTACTGCTCTCTTTTAACTAGAATTGTCAGCAACTTCCATATGTTCATGGCTCCCTATCGGCTCCGGAAAGGTTAATCTTAGCAGACATCAGCCGCGAAGCCACTACGCGTGAGGTGACGTAACTCAACCTTAATCCAATACCACTCTGGCCTTACACGTCTCTTCATCGTCATCATTTCCCACACGCTAACTAATGTAAGGGTTCCCAAATTTCAATATACGGCAGATGACTATCCGATCTCCTCAGTGCATATAAGTCTCCAAGCCGGTGACGACCTAGGGCCCAGGCCAATCAAAGATTTCGTAAGTGGAGATGTTTTCACCTGGTTGCCAGTTCGGATGTTGCCATGCACACCATTCCAGGCATTTTAGCTTGCGCTGGCTCCTGCTTTGTGATTTCCAGCCGTTCGTCTGTGTTCATTGCACGTTAGTTTTAGAAGGTTGTATTTGAAGCTACATTGACGAGGTCTCCGGCTCCGCCAACTTATCCCCGCGACTGACCACCATCTGTAGCAGAATGCTAACTAGTCTGTAGTATCCCATCCTTTACAAATCAGCAGCGTGTTCAATCGGAAAGATTGTCTTGTGGCACGGGTGGATTTAGTAGTAAGAAACTTCCCGAGAGTTATCTATGAAGTTATTTTATAACTGATAGTAATAATAAATGAGTTTCCTTCGTATCTGATATCATTGAACTGATCGTTTAATTCTCTATCTTATGACGAAGACCCTATCTCAATTGAACCTAACTGGCAGTCTACACTTAGCTTGAAGTTGAGAGTGTTGGAAGATATCATCTTGTGCAGTCTTTTTCTTTGTTGTTGCTCTTCACCTTCAAATTATATATTTATAAACTCTAAAATTTAATTATATAATAAAATACAGTAATATAACGTGCTTGATAAGCGAGTGAGCCAGACAAGCGAGTGAGCCAAAAATCCCTCACCTTACAACATTATAATTCAATCAGCTATTTCACAACCAACAAATATGCCACAGTCCTCAAATGAAGCTAGAATCCTTCTTGCCCTTCAGGCCCTTCGAGATAACCCAAAACTTACAGTCCGACGGGCGGCAAATATCTACAATGTCAACCGTAGTACCTTAGGTCGCCGCCAGCATGGCATTCTTTCAACGCGTGATACTCCCACAAAGTCACGGAAACTATCTGATCAGGAAGAGCAGATAGTAGTCCAATTCATTTTAGACCTAGATTTGCGAGGTTTTCCCTCGCGACTATCATATGTGGAAGATATAGCTAATTCTATACTTGCCAACCGCAACGCGCCATACGTCGGCAAGCGCTGGGCTTATAACTTCGTCAAGCGACAACCAGAGCTAAAGACACGTCTATCTCGGAGGTATGACTATCAGAGAGCTAAATGCGAAGATCCGACTATTATTCGTGGCTGGTTTCGGCTTGTAGAGAATACAATCGCGAAATACGGTATCCGATCAGATGATATCTGGAACTTTGATGAGACCGGCTTTATGATGGGCGTAATTGAGCCCGGAACAGTCGTCACAAGCTCTTACAGGCAAGGAAGACCAAAGCAAGTACAGCCTGGAAACCGCGAATGGATTACTGTGATCGAGGGGATCAATGCGGACGGTCAATCGATCCCGCCGTTTATCATTGGTGCAGGCAAGGATCACCTTGCCAATTGGTACCAAGAATGCGACCTCCCCGGCGATTGGGTTATTGCATTGAGCGAAAATGGATGGACTAATAATAAGCTGGGTCTCGAGTGGCTAAAGCACTTTGATCGGGCTACAGCTAAGCGAACGAACAGTCGCTATCGCCTCTTGATCCTTGATGGTCACGAAAGTCACCACTCCGTCGAATTCGAGAAATATTGCAAAGAGAACAAGATTATCACGCTCTGTATGCCTGCTCATGCCTCTCATCTACTTCAGCCTCTTGACGTAGGGTGCTTTGGGCCGCTGAAAAAGGCATATGGTCGAGAAATAGAGCATCTGATCAGATGCAATATAACCTATATTAAGAAGACTGAGTTCTTTCCTGCCTTTTACGCCGCCCACCAAGCTGCTATTACAGAAAGCAATATCAAGGGAGGTTTCAGAGGAGCTGGGCTTGCTCCCTTTAACCCAGAAAATGTCATCTCGAAGCTTGATGTGCAGCTACGGACTCCGACGCCTCCCGTAGAGGTCATAATACCATCGACCCCTTGGACTGCAAGGACCCCAAAGACAGTGCTAGAGGCCCAATCGCATTCTAAGTATCTGCAAGGAAGGATCAGAAATCATAAGAGCAGCTCCCCTGAGTCAATAATTGAAGCCGTAAAGCATTTTGAGAAGGCAACAACTGTTCTTATGCATAAGATGGTCTTACTAGATGATAGGGTTCGACAACTTGAACAAGAGAATAAGACAGTAGGGCGACGCCGGAGGGGAAAAAGGACTAAGGTACAGAAAGAAGGGCCTTTAACTATAGGGGAAGCATTACAAGCAATTGATCAGATAGATATTGATGCGCAGCTAACAGCTGAATCCTCGAGAGGTGGTCGCGGAAGGTCACAAGGAGCAAAGGTTCGGCAGTGTAGTATTTGCGGAAAGACCGGGCATAATGCAAGGACCTGTCAGGAGGCAATTGAGGTCAATAGGGAATAGTATAACAATTAATTTTAATTGATCAGATAGATTGTGGTGTTTTTATTGCGAATTTAATTTGGAAGGTTAAGATATGTGGCTCACTCGCTTGTCTGGCTCACTCGCTTATCAAGCACGTTATTTAATAAGCAAACCAGTTACATAAGTAAGCTAATTACTTTTAATAAATTAAAGCTAGAACTTAATATTAAAGTATTATCTTACCTAAGTATATACCTAAGTATTAATTAGAAATCCAACCTAACCCCCTCTTAAAAGCAATCCTTTTCGACGGCAGAAGGAATTAACACACCTCCCAGTAATACACAGCCTTGGAGGAGATGCAGATGATTCGTCTCGCACCCAAAGTCGTAGAGCAGCGTCGCCTTGGATGAGAAGCTAGTCTGTGCCTCCAACCGACTTTGAGCCCCGCATTCTAAGATGGTATCTAGAGACACATGGAGGGCCCCACTAGCGAGAATAGCGTGCATCACAAAGAGGGAGTAGCATCCGGACATATAGGAACGAATGAAGTCAGGCCTGTCCATGATGGGCGCAAAAGGATCAATGAAATCAAAATAGGCTCGGAGAAGCGCTTCACTATGTGCCGTTAGTCGAAGCTAAGCCTTCGTAACAAATGGAAACTTACACGCAGTGCTGGAGAGGGATATAAAAGACACCCTTGCCCACAAGGAATTCCTGATCGCCGGGGTCTAGTTGTCGAGATATTATGTTTGGGTGTCCAAATGACTTGCTGGAGCTGGTTGCCGAGTTAGGGCTCTCCTCAACGAGGGCGTTGGATTGATCGCGGCTTTGAGTTCCATTGCTTTCGGCTTGTTCTAGAATGTTGATGTAGTTCAAACTGATCTGATATTTCATTGGATCTCGGCATTTATCCGCCTTGTCGGCGAAGGGACACGTCTGGGCGACAGTTGTCGATTCGGGTGAGTTGCTGCTTGGCATAGCATTACTAGATGGAAAGGCCTGATCGGTCGCTAGTCAGCAGGGGCTTACGTGCATAAAGATCGACTCTAAGAGGCTGTATGGGTAGGCGCGTCTGCACGGCTGTACAACTCACCTTGTCACTCTCTGGCAGAGCTGGGTGGATATATGGCGGAGACGGCCGGACCCGCGTCCTCCTACCCTCTACCGTGTTCCTGCAATAGCAAAAGTCAGCACGCGCTTCCCAATAGATCTACAGGCAAACCAACACCTGTCGGTGTTTTCTTGTCGGAAGAATACACCTATCATAACATGACCTGCGGATACAATTACTACACGGCAATCCCCGAACAGGAGCATCGCACTTGATCTTGTGGTCGCGGCACGGAACACAAGATTTGCTTAGTTTGGCCGGCTTTTGTCCTTCCATTGTTTCAGGTTCGGATATTGAAGCATCCCCGGGCAATTAATCGATGTAAGATAAAGGATGCAGATAAAGGGTGGTGATAGAAGTTTGCATAAAGGTTCTCGGGAATTTATCCTAGTCTCGGGATCTCAAGCCGATATTGCTGATGCATGATTGGTTGTTAAAATGCCGGGCCATGATTCGGGACTAGGTCGAATTCGGCTTTCTGGAAATGGAAATGTAGCCCGGGGTCAACACTTCAGCCAACCCGGCAATTCTAAACACTAGTGAGTCATCAAAGATTACAAATCCTTTCATCATGAAGTTCCTAGAGGTTTATTTGCACCAAGTAGTTCTTTGTAACCTTCACAGATACTTAATACAGTTGAACATCATTTGAGTAAAGCTGGTTTGATAGGACCTTGACTTCAAAGCAAGGAATGCCAATTGGGTAGTGGGCCTAGATGAGACCTACCCTGCAGCTTTACTCATTCCAATTTAAATGGATATAACACAAACAACATATCTTACATTCCCACGACATGTAGTTGTAGGTCTTTAATTGCAGGAATCTTCAGAGAGTTAATCAGACAGCTCTAGCTCGCTAGTAAAAACAAGTTTGTCGTTAAAAGAACATAGCCTGATAGCTCCAAGCGCCCACTTCAACGGTCACGTCTAACAAATCCCCCACATGTCCATAAAGTTGAATAGCAATATCGTGCAGCATGTGAACCCTGTCATGGAAAGAGTATTTCACTAGCATCAAACTAGGTTTAAGCACTCTGTCGCCAGCTCCATCGGCAAGAAACACAACCAGCGGCTCATTCATGTCGTTGAACAGTGCAAAAGACATGGCGCTGTAAATAAAACAAGATCGTATGTCGTTAAGCTTTCTGAGACCAAGATCATCACGGACCTTTTGAGCTTGAAGATTCTGCAAGATGGCCAAGTTTGCAACTGCTAGAACCCTTTCGCTATAGATGCTCCGACTTGTGAGACGTCTGAGCTGAGCATGGCCATTCAAATGCAAGGATGAAGCAAGCGAGTGTCCGACATAATCGAAGGCAGTACCACAATTTGTATCAATCGACACAATCGCTCGCACGAACCGTTTGATGGTTGTAGGGGAAATATGAGGCATGGTGATAAAATGAACCCAGTCTCCTTCAGGTGCCAGGTGAAACTCTTGAACCAGCCAACGTGGCGGATATTCCAAGAGTGTAATAATGCTCTCTTGATTGAAGTGCGTTGGAACTTTGTGTTCTGCAAGGAGCTCGCGCAGTAGTCTCGCGTTGCCCAAGCAGTATTTCCAGATGGTGACCAAGTCAGCCGTGTGGTAGGTCTGTTCAAAAAGCCATGTTTCAAAAACAGCGCGGGGGTCGACGGTCCCAGCCAGGGCGTCAAATTGCTTGGAGTGGTTGGGGCAGTAGCTGATCACTTCCCCGGAAACCATGATTCCAAAGACCTTGTGATGGCTGAGTGTGATACCCTGTACTACGGGAATCCTTGAACTTGCCCGTTGAGTACCTGGTGGCCCCAGATGGAGCCCATCGGCGACGAATCCTAGATCCAATGCACCATCAACGTGGATGTAAGATGGAACCACCTCAATCTGGGCCAGTGTTTTTGTAAGTTCAAGAATATCATCTTGACCTCCAACAAAGGTGGTGCCCCTATTGGCGAAGAGGATGATCTGATACTCTTCCTCATGAGACTCACATTCGGCTCTGTCGGACAAGACTTGCTGCGCGAGTGCACTCGGAATCATACGGCCATATTCATCGGCTGGTATCTCGGCAAAGCGAGGGACTCTTCCTGGCATCCAGCGACGGGTCCAGGTATCACAGTCCTTCACAGTCTTCTTGACGCTATAGTGTGAAGCCGAAGAGAAATACACAAATGCGTCGGGATACTGAATTAGACCGGTGTGAAGTCCGATCCGGTTGCCCATAGTGCTACCCGTTGTGAAGCAGGCGCTAAAGGACGCTCGAGACTCCTCAGTCAAGAGGCCCAAGGCTTTCTTTCGCCGCTGCAGGATATTGGAAGCTTCACATCTGGCCCATTCTTCTGGGATTCGAACCCCGAGAAAGTGGCCGATTACAGGGCCTAGGGCCGAGTAGGGAGCTTGATTCAGGGGATAGCCACACGAATACCGAGCCGCAATCTTGAAGCTCTGGACTGTCTGCCATACTTTCTCTATCACTCCATCCGGTAGGCGGTAGCGTGATGTAGGTGATTGCAGCTCTATCTGCACTGCAGCTTTGGCCAAATGTAACTCATCATGAGCACCAAGGACGCGTAATAGAGACCTGATATTTTCACCATTGATGCTGGGCTGCATGGTGAGAAGGTACCTATCGTCCCCGACTGCTTTAGCTCCAAGGTCCATCAAGTCACTGGCCCAACCAGAGGCGACTCGAATGATCAGGTCCAATGAAGTTGGGGGGGCGTGAAACTGGACATTTAAGGATTTGAGTTCATTTATCAACCTCATTCTCCTGATGAAGCAACTTTCATAGATCTCTTGGAACCCTTTGTTCCCGAACCGAAGTTCTTGAAGGCATAGCATGAGAGGTCCAAGCGAGTCTCTCGATCCAGACAGTGTTCCATCTGTGCCCCTAACATATTCGACTCGAGTTGGGGTTTGGTTACCGAGAAGTTTGGGCTTGAGTGTAACAACAGGAGGAGGATAGACATATGCATTGGAACCCCCCGCAACAATAGTGCTCGCCAGAATTTCTCCGTTGACGAGACAACCGCGCTCACCATGTTTGGCATGATGGAGACGAAGACGAGGTATTTTGAGAAGTCGACGAAAGTCCTCCCCTACTGTTGTCAAGAAATCAAAGACGCGGGAAGCATCCAGGTGGAGCATGAGTGGGAAGTTGCGAGAGATCTTGTCAATGACGGACACATCATCCACTTCTCCGCTCGTATTGGCCAAGGTGGCGGCAAATATAATAGGTCGCTTCCCGTTGACGGTGAGTCGGCGGACATTGTCCATCAATGCATTTGAATCGTTGAGAGAAACTTGGTGCCATTCAAGACCAAAGATGTGGGATGCTGCCTTTGCAAGATCTCTTTCAAGATGATCGATCAAGAGGATAGGCTCTTGCTTGGGGAACTGAGAGTAAAGCTCCTGCTTGAGAGCCCTGATGCCATAGTAGTTGCCTTCACTCCAGTTGGTGATATAACCAGAGGCATCTGGGTCATGGACTCTTTTGCCTTTGGCGAGGACCGCAACTCTCTCAAATGTCTTGAAGTGGAATGGCCAGCTAGGTACAAGTTAGTGTCTGTAAGATCCCGGTAATGGCAAGAATGGGAACTAACCTTGAATCGGTCTCATCTGGCATATTTAGGTTATTGTTGTGCCACGGAAGCCCAGCGCTTCGGAGAGTGTTGGCGGTCTCCATCCACAGCTTGTCAAAGAACGGATCAAAAGGGGATGGCTTTGAGAGGTTCCATTGATGGTAAAGCTGATCAGTTTGGGCGAGCACCGCCCGAAGCTCTTTGCTGGGCTCTCTCCACTTGGTGATGACTGGTTCATCAATCCACTGCGATCTTCCATGGAGAAATGACTCAGTCACAGTGCTTGGTAGGCTGGAATTGGTTGTACGCAGAGCTTTGCCGTGGGTCTCAAGAGGTTTGTGTACATGAGAACCAAGAGGCCGGAAGTTGGGAGCCTGATGTTTTCCTGGTGGAGGTAGTGATCCACTTCCATGAGGCGCTATATTGAGCTTCTCAAGCATCCATACGATACTTGGATCAGGTTTCTCATCTTGAATCCTGTTTGAAGACCTTGAAATGTGATAGCTGGAGAAGTCGGAATCATGAAAAGATGGCATATTGACTGCTGGTTGCTTATCTTGATTTTACGTGTCTCGCCCTTCTTCTTTATAGTCAAATCAAGGCGGCAAACCCTGGTGTTTGCTTGCTGCCAAATCCTACGGGAAGAGGTGCTCGTGTCTACAGAAGGGAGTAGCCGCCCGAGCGGAGATCTTCGGATAGGATTCTAACTCACACCTTGATTTAGGAAATACTACCGGGGTCTTGATGACATGGAAGTATCATCGCGCCATTTGTTCCGTCTTTGAACAATTCGTAACCGCCGCTGCAATCTTATGTGCATCGAGGATAAAACGCCCCTGCTATCGTATGCGTGCAGGGCTATACACGATGACCCACCAGCTCGCAGGACTGTCGAATCCTAGCTAGGTCGCCACTATGTACTGGTACATATGTTGAATGTGTTGTTCCTTCGAGATATGATGATAGATTCTTACGCAATTCGCTTACGTGCGTTTATGGAAACTGACAGAAATGAACTCGTAATAGACTAACCAAGAATTGAGCGCCCCTGATCGATGCATACGTATCCTTAGACATGATCCCGCTTAGCTTACGAATATCAAGTAAGAATTAGAGGGTTATTATGGATTGCATTGTGAGAATGGTGGTGAAAGAACGTCTGGTGATCCCTCAAAGAAACATGCCAGAGACGTAGGACGTGATGGGAGTAACTTGTAGCATAGTTCGATTAAGTCACTCATTACACTGACTGTTCACAGCAGTCACGATATTATTGTATCTTTGGCACAGTAACATTGCCACCAGAGCTTCAAATCATCGACTCCGGTTCTTAGTTCATATTCTGGTCTACCACATAAGTCTTGTAATACCGAGTCCAAAGCTAAAAAGGCTCCTCTCTGGCAATACGCTTCTAACCATTTGTAAGCTTACCAGCAACCTTGTGCAGCTACTGGCTAAAACATAGCCTGTTAAATTCAACCCAAGATTTCAAGCGTCTTGGCGTTCGCTGGGTTGTATGAAGAGAAGTAGTCGTCCAAAACCACATCCTCAGCTGTAAGCTCATGGGTATTGCTTTTCAGGTCAGGGTAATGACGGAATATCTGGGCGATTGTGACATAAATCTCATCGTATGCAAGACTGGAAGACCGTCAGTAAGGGAATGGTCCATAGCAAATTCATCGATTCGCCAGGGCGCTATCATAACATACTTCATACCAACACATGCTCTGCTACCTTTACCAAAAGGCACAAAGGCTTTGTGAAGACGCTGTGGGTCGGCTGCGTTGACCCATCTGTCTGGATCGAACTTGGCCGGCTCTGGGAAATATTCTTCATTTCGATGGATCAACCAGGAGCTCATGGAAACAACGGACTATAGAACAAAGTGTCAGGCCTTTTCATCGAAAGGGGGACCGTAGTACTTACTCCGGCTGGGAGGTTATAGCCGTGAAAACTAGCCCCTCCGTGAGGAACGGTTCGAGGAAGTCTTCCAACGACGCCGAATGACAGCCTGAGGCCCTCATTGATCACACCAGTCTATAGTCGTTAGCAGGTTATTAAGGTGAGGTGATACTGAAATTTGTGCTGTTTTTCTCACCAGATATGGAAGCTTTTCCAGAACCTGAAATCTCATGATTTCATGATCATCGGGGAAGGCAGCTTTCAGTTCCGCGTGAAGCTTGCCATAGACATCTGAGTCTGCAAAGACGTAACGGCAAATAGTAGTCATAGCGTTACCAGTTGTATCAGCCGCAGCAGTGAGGACGGTATAGGCTTCGTCCTCAAGATGGGCTACAGCAGCTGGCTTTCGACGGTCATCAGGAGTCATGAGAGCTGAGAAGATGGTCGCTCTGCCATTGAGTTCAACAGATCCTACATCAAGCTGTTTCTCAATGTTTCTCAACTTGCTGTTGCAGTGCTTGTAATAACCGAGTTAGTTGTATTCTCTTGGGAGATTATACGATGTATCTCAGTAGCATTGGACTTACCCGTTGCATGTCGATAACATTGGTCATCGGCGCACTGACAACACGGACAAGAGACTCGGGGATTGACCTCAAGACAGTCTTGAGCCATGGAGCCTGGCGAAAGATCCAGGCGGCAGGCCCTAGGCGCAAGACAAGCATGAAGAAATCGTACCCAAAGTCCGGGGTGTCCAACAGGCCGTAGCTTTCGCCAAAGGCATATTCAGTGATCACGTCAATAGAGACGGCTCGCAAAGCATGATGCAGATCCATTGGCTTTCCAGTTGCGATTGTGTTGTCAATCGCTTTGCATACCTTCCGGGCCTTGTCCTGGACAATATCCTCAAGGTCAATCACAATCTTGCGTGAGAAGAAGGAATTGAGGCCAGTTCGGCGCTGGCGATGCAATTCATTGGAAGGCGTTGTGAAAGAAGAGTTTTCGTTGCCAAAGGCGCCATAGAAATTGGCATCCTTGCTGTAACGACTTCCTACGTAGTAAATTCTATCGTAGTTCTCAAGATCACTCAGATGCACCTCATCAGGCGTAATGCGGACAATAGGGCCTTGCAACACAAGCAGATTAGCGTCTAATATGCGAAATCTACTCAAGACTAACCATATATCTCGTGCAGTTTCTCAATCTGCAAGTAGAAACGACTTCCGCCCACGAAGCTGTAGTAGGTCTGATACAGCCAGGTAATAGCTGCCAGCCTAGGGCCCGGAACCTTGGCTAACGGATGGAAGTAAAGTCTGTAGATGACGACACAAAAAATAGCTGCTGGAATAGCAAGGGATAGTGCTTGGATCGATGTCAAAGACATGTTGGACGCCAAAAATCCAGTTGACATATTGAATCGGGTTTGCTTTAGTTGCTGGAACGTATAAGTTGAGCAAACTAGACGGACCTCTGCGTTCCTGAGGAATCTAGCACTCTTGGTTTGTTTTTGCTTATGAACTAAATAACGCAGATCCCGTATAGCTCCCAACTCACCAGATGCAAAATTTTCACATTCTTCACCCGTAAACATACATACGTGGCATTCATTTTCTGCCGTGGCAACACTACCCTATCCCTGTAGATCGAGAAATTACTCAATTCTGCTTCTTTTGGAGTTTTATGCCAAGAGATCAAACTATGCAAGGCTTGATCACGCATAGTTGCCGCCACTGCTACTCTCTTGCAGTAGAGCATCTCCACCGTATCTGACATGCATCGATTGTAACCCACCGACGCAACGTCAGATATAACACACGGAGGCTCAAGGTGCGTGAGATGGACGTTATCATTGTATGATAAGTCAAATCAGTTGGTGTTACAGGCTGATCTGAGTAAGGCTATGACGCAGCATTCTGACTACTGACAGACCGGGTTCTCTCCGCACTGAAACGCGGCAGATATATTCCAGTTCAAGCCAAAAGGATAGGCCAACAGTGTACGCGAGAGTCAAGTCTACACGAAGTACCTGTACGAGGGTCTACATCTCACAATTGGATATCAGACCTCCTACCATAAGCGTATATGCAAACCGTGTTCCTGACCATTAGGTGTGAGCTGCGGGTCATCTTTCCGGCAAACGTATGGACCTAGTATATGACAACATTCACGAAACCTCATGTCGTAATTTGACGGCTATAAGACAAGACCAACTTCATCATCTCCATCTCTAAAGCGGCATCCGCAGTAAGATCTTACATCTCAGCACACACCACTCTCAGAACCATGTCTTCAACCATTGAATTCGACTCGACGCTCAAGGAGCTCTACGCACTGAGCCCTGGTGACGAAGCCGAGATCCATCTCTGCTACACGATCCCAACAGTGCAAGTTCAGATGACGAGAGGAATCCCTATCTGCAAGAAGTATGCCTACCAAGACCCTCTGTCTCACAAGGATAGCGGCATCCAGGCCCGTATCTTTGCCCAGGTTGTTCCCCAGCTGTTTGGCATCATTGCAGGCAAGATGAACCTCATCATGTTTGACCTGGACGGACCAGGCAGAGACGACGTGGATCTGCAGCCACGAGTGGACACTGAAGATGTCATGCAGCAGATCTGCGAGCATCAGCGGCCGACAGTCACCTACGTGCGTAATCCTTCAGATGTCGTGATCCCCGAGGCGGCCAAGCTCGGCCTTGCCAATCCAATGGACTGTCTCGAGCATCTGCCTGCGGCGGTTCCGCTTGAATCTCACTACCGGGCACTCTCCAAGCGGGACTTGGTGTTCTCGGGCTTACCTACGCCACCCTCCGCGGTGATCGACACTCACCTGGATTCTAAGCAGGTTCTTGATCCGCAGCTTCGAGCCAACGAAGTCGCTCGGATGCTCTCTTGCATCGAGAAAAAGAGCCTTCCGTTTGTAGTCAAGCTTCCCCAGGCCCTTTCCGGCCAGGGAACCTTCCTCATTCGGAATGAGTCCGATAGGTCCGGAAGCCTGGAGATACTCCGAAAGGAAGTGGATCACATGCTTGTCCAGCTAAACGACTCCAATAGCCATCTACACCCTACAAGCATTGTCGTGCAGGAAACTGTTCCTGGCTCCGCTCTCGCCATTTCCTTGTTTTTGCCTCAAAACGGAGAGCCAATCTTGACTTCCTGTTGTGATCAATTCGTCTCTGAGGATGGCCACTGGGATGGTGGACATATCGACTACTCTCAACAGTCACGTCTCAAGGCCGAGTATCTGCCTATCGCCAAGAAGATCGCCGCATACATGAACCGCCTTGGGTATTATGGCCCCCTGGGAGCGGACATCATGACCGATTCGGAGGGAAACCACTTGGTGATTGATCTGAATATACGTGTCACTGGATCTCACCCGTTGGGATTTCTGAAGGGATTTTTCAGCGTTACGCGGGGCTTCAACGACGCTGCTGTATTTTTCCCGTTGTTCATCAATCTGAGCTTGACCCAGTTTCGGGAGATATTCAGTACCGAGCTAGAAGAGGGAAGGATCATTATTGCAGGCTGGTGCCATGAACAGGGGGCGCAGAGCAGTGTTACAACCGTCATTGTCGCAGCCGAGGATCAGGTGCGTCTGGGGCAGCTTGCACAGAGGATCAAAGCATTTGCCACGCTCGGTCATTAAAGAATGCAATTGGACATCGCCTTGGATCAACTGCAGTTCGTATACAGATCGAGCTCATCATAAAAATGCAGATAAGATATAGTCAGCCTTAGACCCTTGCAGTGACTGCCGTAGCAAGATGCATTAGTGCCACTTGTAATCTCCCGTGCCGTAGTACGGTAGTGTCCGGAGACTTCATGCCCGGGAACTTCATCCGGTGACACGGCCCGTGCCTAGGCGTAGAGCCCTGTAAAAAAACCCCACGTCCGCCTGAGACTCGTCAGACATCCCCACTGTTCTCTCACTGCATGCATAAATACGGTACATCAAAAACGGCGAGGTAATCATGAGTCATAAATCAAGGTAGCTTATTCGTATTTTTGAGTCACGATGCGGGGTACGCCATATGCATAAAAATGGCTAAATCCCTGGGGACCCATGCGGGAATAGGGGCGGGGTTATGCAGATCTCCTTGTCCTACAGAATGGCGAATCAGCATCGTCTTATTGGCTACCTGCCTGGCTGCTGTTGGCGCGTCACGCGTTCCTTTCCCTTTTCATTTCGTTTTCTCTTTGTTCCAACTCTCTCTGCCACTCCTCCAATACCTACCGATACCTGATTTCATCCTCTTTCCTTCAGTCCATCTATCAACGCATCTCCAGACGAAGCTCCTCCCAATAGGTACTACATTCTTACCGCGTCCCGGTCGAATCAACTTGGCATGGTGTCCCCTTCAACGCCCAAATCTCAAGGTCCTCCAGAGGCCTCAACCGCAGTCGAACCAGACAGATATCAGAATGCCGTGCAGGATAAGCATGAGGGCTTTGATGCCTGGATGCAAGTCGTGGGAGCTTTTCTCATATACACAGCAACATGGTGAGTTTGTCCGTCCATGCCGCATTCAATGTGTCCGATTGCTTACTGGTGAAGGGGTCTCTTGAGCGCATACGGCTCCTACGAAAAGTACTATGAGACAGTCATGCTGGCATCTACACCCTCGACCGACATCGCTTGGGTTGGAACCCTACAAGGTGTTATTCTCATTAGTGAGTTACATCATGAGAGCAAGCCTTATTGATATCTGGCGCTAACAATTCTGAACTATAGTGGGAGGCGTTGTGACCGGTCCAATCTTTGATCGAGGATATTTCAGAGAGCTCCTCCTTATTGGAACCCTCATCACAGTCCTCGGCGTCATGATGTTGAGTTTGGCGCATCGCTATTATCAGGTCCTCCTAGCCCAGGGAGTCTGCGTCGGCATTGGCAGTGCAATCCTCTATGTACCCAGCATTTCCCTCGTTGCCTCCAGGTTCGAACGACGTCGTGCTTTGGCAGTCTTCTTTGCTACGTCGGGGACAGCTGTTGGTATGCACATCTCTCCCCAATCATATTGTGTGCACAAACTGATTGAATCTTGCAGGCGGCATTATCTACCCCATCATTTTCACGAATCTTCAGCCAAGGATCGGGTTTGCGTGGACTACACGCGTTCTGGGGTTTGTCACCCTCGCTGAGCTCATCGGAGCCTTGGCCATCATGCTGCCAGCCACCAGAGGTCAGGTTTCTCACAAAGTGCGCTCTCTGCTGGACCCAACGGCTTTCCGTGATCCCGCCTTTATGGCATTTTGCCTGGCCTTGTTTCTCATGTGGGTTGCGTACTGGGTACCCTTTTTCTTACTTCCGCTCTATGCGCAGTTTAAGGCTGGTGCAAGCTCCGAGCTGTCCTTTTATGTCTTGGTCATTTGCAATGCCTCGACTATACCTGGTCGTTACCTGGCGGTCCCCATGTCAAACAGGTTTGGCCCATCGTTGACTATGGCTGGATTCGCATTTGTTTCCAGTATTTTGTTCTTTGGATGGATCGGTGTTGACACTATCGCCTCCACTATCGTCTGGGCTGTGCTCATCGCTCTGTTCATGGGACCTCTCTCCGTGATCTACCCCATCCTTGTTCCTCGTCTATCACCAAATCCGGAACTTGTCGGTACGCGAATGGGAATATCATCAGCTGCGGCGGCACTTGGAACCTTGATTGGGTTCCCAGTCACGTCCGCCTTGAACGATATTGAAGTAGGAAGTTTCTGGAAGAGCCAGGTTTTCAACGGATGTTGCATGTTGGGCGGATCTGTCCTTATGATGTATGTTCATTACAAGACGTCCAAATCACCTTGAATAGTCAGATTGTTGTCGTAGCTAGTAGCGACAACGTTGAGCAGTCGTTATTTATATGTACTTCTAAAATACATTGAACTTTTCTGCTCCATCACATCCTTTCTATTTCTTGCGAGTACCTCTCACTATCATCGACTACTATTTATCTACCAGCTCTAGTTTTCTCCCTTTGGTCGACTTTTGTATGCGCCAAAAATAAAGGCTGCACCCACAGCCATTGAGCAAGCTCCCCATATTTGCATGTAAATATACCTACCATCCCCGTGCTCAATCAACTTGCCTGCAATGGGCGGACCTGTCAGCGCCGCAAATGAGCACATGGTCAGGATCATTCCCATCCGCGTGCCCATCTTACTATGATCGTTTGTCAGACTTGGCAGACCGGCCATGCCTACAGTCTGTATACCACCGCAAACAAATCCGAAGAGGCTTGCAAAGACGAATACACTCGGGAGGTCCTTGACGCCGAACCATCCGATGTAAAGCACAGCCGCCGAAAGCATGAGTGGAATGAGAGTCCGAAAAGGACCGAAGAATGCGTCTGACACAAGGGAGGGTATGATTCGTCCCGGACAGCTTAGGGCATTCAGCGTAAGCAGCATTGTCAATGAAGTCTCATTACTGATACCAATCACGGACGCCGCGTAATGATTGATCTAGCATTTGTCAGTAGGCATCGTGGAGTTACACCGTTCAGTGTAGTGACTTACATAGTTGGGGCCAATGAATACGGACCAAAGTATGAGAAATGATCCACAACTAAAAAGAACAAAGGGCACTTCCTTAAAAGCAGCCCATTCGAAGAATGGGCCACTTTTGCGAGGTAAGAGGAGCTCTTTGGCTAAGGCTACCACTATAACGGCGTTGAATAGAACCACAAATGCCATACAACGGATGGTCCAGGGAAATCCATGGATATACAGCATTTGCTGGGCGATGATAGGGAATATGATACCACCAGTAGCAGAACCGCTTGTGACAACTGCAATGGCCAAAGCCCGCCTCTTGGTAAAGTACGTCGACACGCAAGCCATGACTGGACAATACGCCAGCCCAGCCCCGATGCCGCTACAGACCCCCTGAGAGAGGAAGAGCTGCCAGTACTCAGTGCTTATCGATGCCATGAATAGTCCAAGTACCTGAAGAAACGATCCGCCGACGAGAAGGTGACGAAAGTATCCTGCGTCAAACAGACGACCGGAAGCTGTGCTAAGGACAAAGAGAAGAAAGAGATGAATGCTTCCTATCCAAGATGTCGACGATAAGCTAAAACCAAGTTCATGATGGTAATATTGTTCAAAGATTCCAAAGCTGTAACTGTATCCAAATGTATTGAACACCTCTAGACTACGCATTACCCTATCAGTATTTTGACAGACTCATGTGCATGTGCAGAAACACATACCAACATTCAGGACTTACTGGGCTACTAAGACTTGTACCCAACCATACCCTCCGTCTGGCGGTACGGGCAAAGCACTCGGGGCATTTTGCACTGTCTCGGTTGGAGAGTCAGATTCTCTATTGCTTTCGGCCTGTAATCCCATTGAATTGCGGTAATAAATCTCAGCTGTTGCTGAAGCAAGGAACGGATGAAACGCTGCAGATATGGTGGGCGGATAAATTAGTTTACAATTACCAAGAATGCGGTATTCATGGATTATCACATTTGGGTTACAGAAGGTGGATGAGACTTTTCATTACGAAAAAGAACTTGTCGCAAACCCCCCACGCCGAGAGATGATGTAATCATCCGTAGACATTGATACCCTTGCATCACTCAATTGAGGCACAAGTTTGAGTGTGTGTAGTATTGAGATGATGTGAGCTTATTCACTTTGGGTGACGAATCTCATGCAGGGATCTGGGACTGTCCTGGTTCTTTTGCTGTCGAGTAATTAAGGTGGTAGGTAGTATCGGTACTACCCTTGCTGATGGCTGGGGTAGCCACGCCGCTTACTTGCAGAGGGAGTGTACATATAGAATATTACATTGAACAGGTTGTTGTCATTGTGGATATGGCTTTATTACGCCTTCACAAAGACAACGACACAGGCATGCAAGGTTGCCTTGATCTCCATCTCATGGTCTTGTGTTACAATTCAACGTACGTAAATGGCGCAGCCTTTGTTTTCTCTCATCTTGAGATGTTTTCACATAGTGGCAAGGTTTACGTGTTGAAACGATTGACTCTATCGGACTATTGCCTCATCGGGCGAGGTCACTTCACCTCAGATACCTTCCTGCCCTTCCTTAGCCGCGTTGCTCATCTGCCCGTCTCTGCTGATCCAGCCGCTTCGATTCTGCCTGCTTCTCTCGCGCTTGTCGCAACAAGTCGGGGTACCATCTCTCTCCAACCTTTGGGAAGGTCGTGAGGTGATTCACGAAGACGTTGTCCCCAATGCAATTGTCGAATAGTCCCGAGTAGAACGTCTCTGCATCCGAGGCCACAATCTTGTCAGGTGCCAGGTCCTTTATGTGTAGTGGGACATCAACAGTGAGCTCCTCTTGCATAAGACGAGGGTTCACGAATTGGAAGAAGGGTATAGAGACTCTGGGGCCTAGAGTCTTCCCGTCGCCATCTAGGAAGGCCTCTGACCTTAGAACGACGCGGTGGGTTGTTGCAACACAGACTCCCTGAGTGATAATTTCTAACAAGCGACCAATGTTGACTACCAATGCTCCAGGCACTGGGGGGACGGGAACCCAATCTCCAGACTTGTTTTGAACCTCGAGACAATTGTGTTTGCCGTCCTGGAGCAGATATGTCATAAAGGAGCCATCTTTGTGCGGGCCGATACCATGACTTCCATCCTGTGCAGCTGCATTCACGAATGGCGGCAAATATCTGGTAGCTTTCAAGCGGCTAGATGTTGGCTGTCCGAGAAGCGCCGGCAATGTCACCTTGGGCATTTCTAGTGCTTCTGCTACCAATGCCGTAAACTCCACAGAAAAGTCTTGAATCTGTGAGTAATAGACTTTAAAAACTTCCCGAAAGCCTGGCACTGAACTTTCTTCAGGCCACTGCGAGAAGGATAGTCAGCAGTCGCCTTAAACTTCGTCTGGGGATCATCTATTCATACCTGGTTTGGTCCTTGCACATTGAGGTAGATCGGCTCATTTGGCCCCAGGGCGGGAAGATCGGGGCCCATCTAGAAACTCGCCAAGAGCATGTCAGAAATGTTTAATGTGATAATGAATGAGGGAAGGCATACCAAAATGGACTCATTATGATCCGTTTGCGCAGCAGTGCTCTCGCTGTTGATCTTGCTATACCCAAGAAAATGTCTGCTGTGGATATTCTCTATCTGAAGTTTTTCATCTGTTGAAAGATTGAAGAACTGTGCTGATAGGCGCAAGGCATCCTGCTGCAACTGGAGTGGCAAAGGCGAGTTTATGATCTGAAAGAAGCCGACTTTGACTAGAGCAGCTCGGAGATCGGATAGAAATTTGGGTTTAGTAGTAGGAGACTGAGAGCATGAGTAGTCAAGAATTGGGATTGAAGTAAAGTTGTCAGCCATGGTGTCTAATGAAGCGAGGGGAAAGTTTTGAATAACAATAATGAAATGAGAGTGGCAGAGAAATCCTTCGGGGAAAGTGAGCTATTATATAGAAGCATGTCTCCTTTTTCGGGGTTTCTATAATCCACTACAGCTGTGCTTACTCTGCCTACACGTGCCAACGCCAAGTCACATCTCCTTGAAACCAAATAAGCCTATAAACTGTTCTGTTTAATTAATAGATATACACCCATTCCTACTAATAGGTCTTCTGTCACCATCCTCTCGGAGTTTGATCATATCTAATCTCACTAAAGTACCCAACTCTATCACCTAGTTCACAGGTAAGCACCTGAACCTTAAGAACCTCAGCAGATACGGCTCTCCTGCGCCGTTTCTAGATATATGTAAGTAGCCAAGGCATCCAGGGCGTTAGTAGTGCCATAGAGAAGAGAGAGGAGAACACAGAGACTTACAAGAGGCCGTCAAAACAGTAGAGGCAGCTTAGTATAGAGGATGGAGGCTACACCAAGGCTATGCACATAACTGATCAAGCCTTCGACTTTAATACATCCGTAACATTGAACTTGCTATAATTTCCATGAGCTAGGATTCTCCCTATTTGACATTCAGTTTGGCATGTTGCTGATGCTAAGCAGCCGCTCATTGATCATGTGGATAGCTGCTCGGCGGGAAGGGCACTGCCATTAGCCAATTTGCTGTTTGTATGATGCGAGGGGTCTGTGAGTCAATGATATGAGCCTGCGATATTCAGACTACATCCAACGACCAACACCAAGAAACACGGCTAATACTCAATCTTCAGAAACCTCTCCAGTCAGGTGTTTTATCGTGAATATAAACAAAGCCTGCAAGCGCTGGCATCAATCAATCAGCAGCGAGTACCAGATCAGGACGTGCCACAAAGCCTCAGTATGCAACCAGGACATATGCGATGAGACAAAAAACAATGAAAACAAGGACTGGCCATGGGATTACGAGTATCAGGATTAGAAAGAGTGCAAAACATGCAGCGCCGAGTGGGAGAAGTATCAGCAGGACTTAGCAAGCGGTGCCAATTATATGCCTAACCCACCGTTCCCATGATCTTTTTAACATCGGGGAGCAGGAATTACTTATGGAGTTAGCCCACGGGTAGAGTAAGAGAACTCAATTTATAAACTCCTGGCTTGCTAGTCTCGTTTTGATTCTTGGAAGTTAGCTTTAGTTTGTAAATATCATCTTTATCTAATCCGCCATAAGTGCATTTTATTGTGACATAACTCTTCCAGACAGCGTTTTTACCGGCTATTAATAGCTCAGAGAGGGTTCCAATAATATCTATTATAATTTGGCTTTCTCGGCTGCCTTGTTAACCGCTACAAGTCAGGGGCGTATTCTTATAGTAGGATTTACATCTGTGTGGCTACAAGTCATGAGTCAGACTCCCAAGTTCGGATCAAAGACGAGATAACAGACATGTGAGAAACCCTCAAATCCAAGAAAAGTAACAGTATTATTGGTATTAAATTAAATCCTTCGCAGCATCATACTGTTCTGTCATGCGCTTGCCTGACATTTTTACCCAGAAATCTAGCACTCTAGTAAATCTTACCAGAATTTGAGCCTTTCTTCTGATTCTTATGTTTCATGTGCGCTCAATTCTTAGTGATATCGTTATGCTTTCGGCCATTTTACTTGCAGTTCTCTCACTCTTCTTCTGTCTTGCAACAATCCCCACTTATTGATTTTTTGTCACAGCTGCTATACTTCTTAGTCACTTCATTTGCGTGCAATTTGCTTTCTTGGAAACCATTCCCGTTTTACACACGTTCAACATATATCCAGATTACACGGGTTTACATATTAGCAATTAATACTTAATCCTTATACGAGATACCATATCAAGAGAGGGCATGTGAAGAATTGTTAAACTCCTGGGCCTAGTCTTAATATATATATCAGCTTGCATTAACATAATTAACGCAGACCACCTCGGATCTAACCGATATCTGGAAGTTCATTATTCGGAAAGTGGATTCCAAGTACAAATCATTACATATTCGAGGCGATCTCGGTAGTTTCCTCTCACAGATTAGTAAAGACCCGCAGGTAGAGGTTGCAACGGCACGACCCTGAAACTTACACTCGAACACTGGAGGACCGCATATGGATTGCAATAATCAACATACGTTAGGGAGTACCATTCACTGATGGTATATTGAATTACATGACCAGCAAAAGGATTTCCATGATCCTCCAGTATACCAGTGGGGGCCTTTTCCCCAACATCACACCCTAGGTAAGAAAGTTCAAATGGGTTCCCTCTTTAAAACAACGTGCAACCGGGGGGCTAGGAACTGAGTTTTGGTATTTTGGTCAATGCGTGGTTGAACTAAGTGGAACCCCCGTTTGACCTTGGCCCTGAGGATACGATGTGGAGCGACCGGACCTCGCTCTTCGGGATTTAACACTGCCAGCGAAGTTTAAGGCATGGATGGCCACACAGACAAAGGAGGACATGTTACCAGAAGAAGTAGTCAACTTGGGCGGATCACCAAGTAAAGAGGCTATAGAACCCAGGATCATCACTCTCCCGAGCTGTCATCTCACTTATCCGCGAGATTTGCATGCTCAAGCTTATCAATGAGCTGTCTGATAAGCCGGAGTGGTGGCATAAGGTTCGAGACGATGAGATTTCCAGCAAGTGGAAGAAAGAGGCGTTGGAAATGGACTGAGCATCGTACCGGAAGCATGCTGGCTTTACCTCCGTTATGGCCGATGCGGTAAGTCAAAGTTGAACTCCGGTGTTCTTGATGCCAGAATACTGATAGTTACACAGTGTATCAGTGAGCTGCGAAACAAAGCAGACTTGTACGAAAAGACTGGTTTCATGCCTGTTTATGACTATACCACCGCCGTTATCAAATCGGACCGTATACTGACACCTGGGCTGAGTAAAGCTCTCCAGGAGGGTGTCAGGCCGTTGGAAGACATCCCCCCAGAGTTTAAAGATTGGCATCCCAACTCCAAAGAGCAAGTCCCGGATCTTGTGCATCCTTCTTTATGGCCACTGATCTATGGCCGCTCCAGGGTCCTTGATGACAGGGTCATCGACGTAGATAATGCCTTTGCCTCTTGTGGTACCGGCGTCGTACTGCGCGCACCGGGTTCTGAGCAGACGACGCACATCATTGGAGAAGGCGGTTTCTTTGAGGACGAGGTCGTCGTGCTGTCCAACAAGTTTCAATGGTCGCCATGCGATGTTGATCTTGATCTCCCGACACGGGCAAAGCCAAGATCGCGAGTTACATCAACAACCTTCATCCACAGGAACATGCCCATCTCTATCCCATCATTGAACAGTTCATCAAAAAGTCATTACCAACTTGGGACATCATTTATGAGTGGGAAGACTCCTTCTCTGTGCCGTCTTACATCAACTGAGGCTGACTATGAAGAGTGCCCCTGCCCTGATCTCTGTGACATCTAGGACGGCTACGGCTGTACTCCATGGAGGCGTCCTATTGGTAAGGATGAAGAGCCTAGATATGACGTCGAGTCCTGGGAAGAAATGCTGGCAGACGGTGAGGAAGATGATTGTGAGCCGGATTATTACGAACTGGGCACAGAGAAGGCAGAGGATTATAAGACGAATCCAGAACGCAGAAAACTAGATGATGCTTAGTTTGCATCAACACATACTGCCAAGCTCCCTGACGCCGACCCAAGCGCAAAGGACCATATGAGGATTCAACCTTCAGAGGTGAAAGCAAATGGGTTCTTCAACGGTAGCAATCAAATCCAGGTCATCGTCAAGCTCGCTAATATTCACCTCACGCCTGAGAATCCTGAGTACAGAGGGGGTTCGTGGCATACCGAGGGCCTGCTAAATGAGCATATTGTCAGCACGGCCCTCTATTACTATGACAGCGAGAACATTACCGATTGCACTTTGGATTTCCGGACCTGCGCTGATAAGGAAGACTTGGCTGCCGAGATCTCCTACGAGCAATACAGGCATAATCCCATTGAGCGAACCTTTGATATCACCCTGGGAGGGAGTATATTTCAAGATATTGGTTCTGTTCTTCCCCAATGTCCTACAGCACCATGTTTCGCAGTTCAAACTAGCTGACCCTATGGAACCGGGTCATAGAAAGATCCTAGCGCTATTCCTTGTCGACCCAGCAATTCCCATCATCAGCACCTCCAACGTACCGCCGCAGCAGAAGCACTGGTGGACGACTCACTCGGGTTGGATTCCGGCACTGGCGAATTGCCACCTGAGCTCGTTGAAAAGGTGATTGATCATGTGGATTGGCCAATTGATCTGGAAGAAGCTAAGAAGCTGCGCTTGAGTCTGATGGAGGAGCGAACATCATTCAAAGCAGAGGATGAATCGAGGTTCGAGAGGGTGGAGTGGAATTTCTGCGAGCATTGATTCTCATGACGGAATATGTAGACCTGGTTTCACTTTAGAGTACTCTGTAGGGAAGCTTGTTTTAATGCCTTATCTATATTTTAGCATAAGTTATGCGCTTTATGCACTTCATTTATCCATAATCCTTGCAACGATAGTCTGCTCTAAGCTCTTTACGGTCAAGATCTGTATTACAAAGCCCAGCCTCCTCGCCCATTGGATGACATGCGGTGCTTAGCCTCGGTCGGTACCAAATCCAGGCAATGGCGCAGCCAACTGCGCCCCACTAGGCTGAGAACACTCTCACTCTCTACCTGAAATAAAATGAGACGAGACATCATCTTATCTACTCGCCGTCATCCTGATACTCTACAAAATGCCTCAGACCGGTCCCTCAATGTCCCCAGGGCTGGGTATCCGCCTTGAAGGAAACCAGCCTTCATATTCCCCAGGCGACACGATTATTGGCTCTGTATATCGAAAGAGTCCTGTCGTGAGTCCAGACTCATCGGTTACAATTTCACTATCTGGAAGGTCCAAATCAAAAATAGTAATTCATCGCGCAAATAACACATCTACTTACCGGGGCCGTTTCAATCTCATCCCTGAGTCTGCTTGCTCCCAAAAGATCTTTCAAGGACCGCTCCACATCGAAAGCGGCGGCGATGAGCAGATATGGCCATTTGCAATAACTCTGCCAAAGTATGTCGACCCGAGATACTTGCAGGGTGGAGGACAGGACGAGATCTTTTTACCTTTGGGCGCAGCAGACCACATTCTACCATCGACATATACACTTCGCTCCCTTGGAAATACCGAGGGTTTCATCGAGTACTTCTTGAAGGCTACCATGAGGATTACCGGGCAGGGTCATATCAATATGGTTGAGGCTGTCCTTCCGTTTAAAGTCGCAAACTTAAGTCCCGACCCTCCCATCGCAGAATTTGGACTTAAGGGTTCACAGAGCCGTCAGAGCATGTCGAGCTATCGCCTTGTCCCAGGTATGGAAGATGCCAAGTTATCGTTTTCTCAGAAGATGAAACAGTCTTTCAGCACTTCAAGTGTACCGGAGTTTGTCTATAATCTATTGGTTGATGTCCCAACGGTCATCCAACTCGACAACCCTACTCCGATCCCATTCAAATTACGTGTAGTTCCAGACTTGAACGGGACAAGCGAAATCATTAGAGATATACCGCAAAAGGTCAAATTAACATCAGTTTCTATTCGAATTGCCAGCAGCACCGAAGTCATCTGCGAAGGAACCCTATATCCCCATACGAAGGAGAAACGCGAGGAGATAGACTTGTGTCTTATGAGTGCCATTAGCAGAATTAAGGGAGACATATATATCCTTGTACAGACGAATGGCCTCCACTCGATATTGGAGACATGATTGACTTGCGCCTTGGACAACTAAGGCCTGGATTTCCGCATCGACCGGGTGGTGGATACCTCCCCTTCGACCCAAGTTTCACCACATACAACATTCGTCATTCTCACAGGCTGACATGGGAAGTCAGAGGCGAGATAGCAGGAGAGAGCTTCAGCGCGTTGGGGGCAGTACCCTTGAAGCTGCTGATGCCAAGTGACGAGCGAGGGCGGCTGGGTGAGAAAGATTCGGTCCAAAGAGCCGAAACTGAAGCTGCAGTTGACGGTGCACCAGGTCCATCTCATTTGCAAAGGAACGAGTCGTGGATCCAGCCCCCAGATGAAGATGACGCACCCCCAAGCTTTACTCAAGTAGTCAAGGAAGATGAAGGAGCACATATAGCAGAGAAGTCCAGTCAATAGATGGACAGATTATTCAGGAATGTTAATAGGATGTTATGCAGCAACTAAACAAAAATCATGCTAGCACTAGACCTAGCACTCTTGCCTTTAACTAACGCAAGAATGTGTAGTATATTTAACTAATAGACTAGTAAGTCTGTTACTTTAGTCACTCCTTGCTACCTAAATTCACTCTCCATTGTTTGTTACTCAATGTTCCCAGAACCTCTTCCTGCCTGTTAGGTAGAATAACATGGATAGGGAGCTGCTTTCCTTCCTGCTTCTCTTCACCCTCAATCTCCCAAGACAAAGTTAGATCAACCTCATTATTCTGATCCTTCTGCCAGGAAACTCGAGCTAGCACTGGCTGTTGTGAGGTGCCACCCACTGGAATTTTGGCCTCGAAAGCCTTAAAGAGGCCCACTCGCGGCTTGAAGATAAGCACCCTCTCGCCATTGATCATGGCGAATTTGAATCCTGCAACCTCGGCAGTATACTCGTATAGAGGAAGGCTGCCCCATGCGTGGCAATCTGATCTTTGCGTGATGTAGTCTTCCACCCAGGTTGTCATGTGCAGTTCAAGCTGCTTTCGCCAGGGTGCCCAGAAACTGAAGAATTGGGCTTCGTATGCCTCATCACCAACCAGGGACAAAGCCCTCAGACTATAGAACGCCATTGCTATAGATACCTCGGTGAACTTGTGCGCATGCTCTGCTTCCCCTTTCGCTTGCAAAGCAAGAGAGCGATTCAAAAGGTCAAAGGCGTCTTTGCCAGTTACCGCACCACATAGAACTGCCCAGATTTGACAATGTTCGCTATAATGGTTGTGGTTTGCCAGTGTAGCGAGACCATCTGTGAAGTGGGTACCGTCGAAGCAGTGACTTCTAACAGCTTGTACGATCAAGCCAGCTTGGCGTTTGTGTTCATCTGCGCGTGATGTCTTGCCCAGACACAACTCGAGGGAACTGAGCCTCTGTAGAGTATAAGCGAACAACTGATTCGTGTAGGTCAGGTAACCAGTATCATTTGCGGCGGGTGGAACTCCAAAAGGTTTGTATGCATCGCTCCAGTCGACAAAGTTCCAGTCGCCAGCTGATTGAGAAACGCGGAGGAGGCCAGTTTCTTGGTCAAGACGACTACCGAAAGTGTATAGAATGGCATCGACGACGGGTAGGAATCCAGATACAAATTCCCTATCACCAAACTGCTCGTAATGGTCTGTAACCATACATACCCAGAAAAGAGAGAAATGAGAAATAATCTGTAGATGGTGGCAAGGAGCACGGCTTGCTGTCAAACCTACTTTAGGCTGAAAAGAGTTATAGAATTGTAAAATTGCTTGGCGTGCCAGGCGATCGTCTCGAGAGATCGCATAGGTGAAGAGTGCAGAGCTTCTTGTGTCCATGGCGTACTGGAGTTGCTCGAAAAATGGGCAGTCTTCGTAGCAGTCGTGCATACAGTTCTCCAAAGTGCGTAAGCTCACCTCCCAGAGCTGGTGGAACCATGATGGATTTTCATTCTCAATCTCAACTGTGGGAAATGTGGCCAACACCTCCAAGGGGTAGTTTGTTTTGACAATGTTGATCCCATTAAGAACTAGGTCCGAATCTTGAGCAACTTCAATATCCATGGCAAGGTATCGAAATGTTCGGAAGTGAAAAGGAGTGAAGGTTTCATCATTGGCTTCTGCAATGCCGTAGTCAAGTAAATCTTGATTTGACTGCGTGCCGCCGAAAATATACTGGTCCTTCGGCCCTACAATGAACTTTGAAGTGTCGGATCTGTCTCCTTTCTTTCGCTCAAAAGGTATCTTAACAGGTTGTTCCTCATAACCTTCAGACCAGGTAATGTCCAGCTTACTACCACCAGTTGACGGCCTGGCGAAACGGAAGTCGATATAGGCTGTTGTGTGGTAAGGTACCTCGAGTTCGACATGATGTACAGTGCCTTTGGGCAGGGCAATGCCTGTCTCATGCTCTAAGGTTGGGTCAAGAAGACGTTCCCAGGTCTCCCGGGGCTGTGTGCTTCTGATATTGTGGATCGCTGTGAGATGAAGTTGTTCCAGCTGAGAAAATGGAATCATCCGAGGACGCAGATTCCAGGGTACAGCAAGACCCCAATTGACCATGAACCGATATGGCTTTGCCGCAACCCAGATGAGCGCATCGTTTTCCCGCTGGTCAACCCTTTCAAAGACGTGGAGGAAGAAATCGAAATTCCCACTGGCGGGGAGAGCTCTGCAGGTATCAAGAGCCGTCTCCCATGTCTCATCCGTCTGAAAGTCCACTGTTCGCTGATCCAGGTCGTCTCCTGCTGAGTCGTGCTTAATGTATAACCCTGGAAATGGGGTCCTAGGAAAGCTCGGGGCATTTTGAGACCCATGATAGAACCGAAGAACATGAACGATGATGTTGTTTCTGCCAGTGACGAGATATGGCTGAATGTCCAGGACGTCGTAGAACCATGTCTGACCATCTCCTTTGACAGGACCAGTATGAACCACCTGCTTGTTAATGTAGAGCTTGTATCTGGTATCGGCGGTTATAGCAATTTTGACAGGGCCGCGAGGAATATCTTGTAAGTCGATGGACTTGCGGAAATAGACAAAACCACCCGCGGAGGACGATTCTGGCTTCTCGGTCCAATGTGGGTGCCAAATCCACGAGGTCTCAAAATCGACAGTCATGTTGGGGATGGCTTCGGAAGTGGTCAAAACTCAAGAGTAGCAGTTTGTTCATGAGCAGAGGGCGTTGATGAGGGCGTAGGAACTTGATAAAACTACGGAAGTCTCCATGATGAAGCCTAGGCTTGAGACATCTCGTATTGAGATGTACCGAAAGCTCTGATCAGAAGGTGACAAGCTTAGGCCGAGGTCGGGATACCCAGTCCGGAATAGGTGTAGTATCTTAAGACGGATTGAGGGGTCAATCTGAGATCCGAGTCCAAGACAAGTCATATGAGTTGGCATGTCGGTAAAACACTGGGAGAAATCATCCATAAACGAAACCGCATGGGCGATTGACAATCGGGGAACAGCCCCGGTTTCCCCACAGTTCTGCAGACCCAGATGCCCCTCATTATCTCTTTTGGGTTGGAACACAACAACTAGGGCACAAAAACCGTGCTTTGGAGTTTTAACCCCAACGATTAACGGCAGTTTCTCCATCCGTTATCTTGTAGCGAGAGGATCTGCGCCACATTCTTGTAAGGGACAAATACCCAGGCACATTACCCCATCTACTTTTATCTTACCAAAGTAACAGTTATAATCTGCAGCTTGCAGTATCTCTCTGTCATGTTCTTGGCCTTGTCTAAGTCTTGTGCATTTAACCCGCCATAGTATGTGAATTTCACCAAATACGTTCAGTCACAAGCCCAACACTGTTCACGTATACTATCCCATGTTTATGGCATCTAGAGCTTTAAGAACTATTGCAGAAATAAGTAGGAAGCTAAACTAAATGTTTAACTTGACGAAAAGTGCGGTGAGGAAGAAGCGTCAAGAAGAGCGTAAACAATAATTGACAGATACTCCTCTTTTGACACCAGAGTAAGGCAAGAAAATAATTAATTATATAGAGACAGTAGGTGAATAGAGATACTATTTCACAATATATAAAGCATTGTCAAGTCGATAACTAATTAGTTGTAAGGAAATAAGACCTATAGACTGAGCCCTGCTCCAAGGAACAGAACTTCCCTTCTTTAGACACAGCCTAGTCCTCCTGGTTTCAACTTGCATATCCGAATAGCTTGCTCAAAAAGAACCCTGGCAGTGGTATGTGCGGAATTTGCGGGTCTTGACCTTGTTCTCAAACATCTCATCCAGCTCCAGATAGGTGCGGTTCTTCATCTCAGGCAGATCGAACCAGAAGACCACCCAGGCAATGACAGACAGAGCAGCAAAAATGAGACCAGTCTTGCCACCTAGATTGCCCTCGTCCGAATTAAAAATGTAAGGGACGCAAAAGTTGAAAACCCAAGCCATGAAGCTGTTGCAGATGAAACCGATGGCGTTGGCCTTGGCACGGAGGCGGACAGAAGAGGTTTCAGAAGCAATGATCGGAATGACTGGTCCGGAACCAAGGTTGAAAAAGACCATAACCAGGTTGATCATAACACCCATGTACCACAGCGCAGCTTGAGTCGAGAAAAAGCCAGCGATACCAACAGAGAGCCAGGTTGCTGCCAAGAGTGCTGTGCAGCCCATTATGGTACGTCTGCGGCCTAGGTAGTCGACGAGGAACCAAGAAATCACGATAGCAGCCAGGGACAGACCAGAGGCAATCTCAAGGACCATGATAGACTTTTCTGGGGAGAGACCGGCGATAATCATGAAGTAGGTGCCGTTGGCGACAAAGGTGACACCATGGAACTGCTGCACGATACTGGCGAAAATGATGATGCGCATCCGGCGAAAGTTCTGGCCCTTGAAGCATTCTGACCAGGTGACGTCGGCTGTGTCGGCCTGCTCTTGTCTCTCGTGCTCGAGGGTCGACTGGAGGGCGACCATGGCAGCCTCGACCTGGACAGGCTTGTATAGCCAACCAAAAGACTTGCGGGCGCCGGCCTCGTCCTTCTTTCGGAGGAGCCACGCCGGAGACTCGGGGACAATCAGGGCCGAGATGAAGGCCGTGCCAGCGAGGGCCCACTGGGTGGCGAAGCAGATGCGATAGGACATTCTTTGAAAGCCGTCAGGGATCTGGCTACCAGCAACGACGGCGGCGATCAGCTGGCCAAAGACGAGCTGGAACTGGAACAAAGACAGGGCAAAACCTCGTAGCTTGACAGGGACGATTTCCGAATTGTATGTCATACAGCTGGTAGCCATCATGCTCAGGCCGATGCCAATAACAATCTTGCCGGCCAGGAATGTACCGCGACGATGGCCCATGGAGTCGCTCAAGTCGCATGCATATACCACCGCGATACCGGCCGCAGTGATGATAGATCCAGTCATCATAGAAATCTTTCGGCCGAATCGATCAGCGACCCAGCCGGTAATAACGGAACCAATCATAAAACCAATCTGCATTGAAGCATTCCACAGAGACAGCCAGATAGATGGCAGAATAGGCATTCCATTTTGAAGCTCGCCGAATCTCTGCCTGTTTTGATGAATTAGAACAGCTCTACTGACATTTGGATGTATCGCAACGTATTGGTGGAACCTACAGAAAGGCCGGGAAGGCTGTGACAACACCAACAATGATAATATCGAAGCCAAAGGCCATGGGGCCAGTTGCCATGAGAATACTGAAGATGACAGACTTGTAGTTCTGTTTGAGGGACTGCAGCAAGGTGAGGGAGGTGGCATCGTGCTGGTTGACAGCCAAGGAGGCGTCCCCTTTTTCCCTCTCCACCATCTCGACGCTGGGCTTGGTGTCAGGCTCCATTGTGTTAGCTGTTGGTGATGGATGCTTGGCTATTGGATTCTGACTGACTGGAGAAAGAAAGGAACGATCATGATGATATATATTAGCCGAAAGTTGTATGTAGAGAGTGAGTTGCAAACTGTCCCTGCTTCAAGTCGATTGGATTCTGTGAGATTAGATTAGTGTGCTACAGAATGCGGGGTTTGACTTTCCGCTAGACACGATCGAAGCCCCTGACTGCGGGGTGTAGGGTCCGGGGTTGGTCTAGCCCGGAAGGGATTATGACTGTCCATAAATGTCGGGGCTCGTCCCCGAAATTTCCATCACCCCCCTTCTTTTTCTTTGCATCATATCATCCAAACTTGTTTCGCTACATGTTCCACCGAGCGGTACTTGACAATGGCAGATGAACCAGCCCCAAAGCGTGCTAAGTCAAGAAATAGCAGGGTCTCCTCTGGTGATGAGCTCCCACCACCGCCTGGTAGTAGTTCCCGTACGGGACTTGCGTGTGAGGCTTGCAGGCTGAGGAAGACTCGCTGCGTCGGCTTTCCCACCTGCACCTGGTGCCAGCACCGTCGCCAATCTTGCATACGCGGCCAGAATAGCCAGATGAGCCCGTGGGTGGAACCTCGTCTTGGCATTACCGAAGACTAGCTAACTATTGCTGGTCGTCTAGATTGGACGATTGGGGCAATCAGATACTTAGTGCTATATCAAAGGTCAAAAATGAAATTCTCGATGCATCAATCAGGCTCAACCATACCTCGGTTACGCTGCCGGGCAGCGAACACGGCACTTGGCCTCATACCCATAGAGGCCAGGGATGCTTCGCACCCATGTCGAGTGCTGAGGACATTCTACAGTGGGATGTTTTACAAGCTCAGCTTCCGAGCTCAGCCCAATCCCCCATCAACGCCACGGACGCGTTCGAGCCTGACAGGTCCACCCACTCCAAGGCTAGTGCCGATACGTCTTCTGCCAGACTCCGAGCTCTGCAGAAACGCTTCGAGACTCAGTTCCTGGCTCGGTATCCCATTATCAGCAGACCTTGGCTTGCTCGCTGCGTCCGCGATGTAGCAGAGAGAGACGGAGATTGGAGTGCCGAAGCATGTCTCGTCTTGTTGGTTTGTGCTATCGCATCCTTGTGCGACTGCTCTACCCACGATGCCTTGACGCCTCAAACCACGTCCATGAGTCCAGTATCTGTTGCCTCAGGCTCAGGCTCAGGCATGCCTACCTCGCGCCGCCTTGCGTATCAGTATTGGACCATGGCAAAGCGGAGACTTGGCTGGGCCCTTGACGAGCCTGCGGGTCTGCTCGCCGCCCAATGTCTGTGCCTGGCTGGGTTCTGGCATCTGCTGAACTGTGCACCACGCAGGGCTCGCAACATGTTTTATCGTTCTATTGAGAGTATGAGGGATAGGACATTTTCAAGCTTGCCGGATAATGAGGGACATCTGGCACGGTTCATTCATCTTCTCTGTACCGATCTGCTCGAGTAGGTCCCCAATTCCTTTACCTACTGCATCACGATGCACGGCCATGATACTGACCTACCTGTGACAGACGTTTGAATATTGAGTTGGAGCTTTCTCCACACGATGGCCGAAAAGACCCCACTAACGAAACTTTTTCACTATACTCGAAACCCAATCTCCCTGCTGCTATGAGCCTGCTTCACACCGAAGATTCGGCCGGAGACCCATCTTTCGAGCTCACAGACAATCTACAGCAGTTGCACTCAATTCGAAAAGATATCAACCGACTACTGACTTCCATATCTACAATCTCCAACTGGCTTGATCTGTATTCGTTGCTTGGCCAAGCAACAGACTTGCGATCGCGTCTGAACCAACTAACAGACCCAAGCAACATCATCTGGGGGCAAGTTTCAAGCTCGCCTGGACTTAGCCAGACATTCGGCGTGACGATTCTGAAAGATGTAAGCGTGCAGAAAAAGGAGCTCACGGCACGCTTACTGCGCGTTTATTTGTGCTTGAACCTGCACCTTTCGCCCCCCCTACTACAGAAGTTGGACTCTGGCGCCAATCCCCCGCCTGTCCAGTCACCCCAACACATCTTGACAGAGATAGCAAGCCTTGCGGATGAGTGCCTCTCGCTGACAGCTGAGGTAATGGCCTCGCATCTCAACAAGTGGCAAGGTAGAGAGTCTATATCGAGCCGTAGTACCGCATCCAGCAATCCAGCATGCCACAATCTTGAAGCAGAGTTCTCGTACCGATTCTCGTACGTAGGTTGCCTGACATTTTTGGCAGTATACTATGCCAAAACAAAAGCAGCCTGTGGAGGGGTGGATTTTGCCCGTTGCCACTCACTGAAGCTGCCCGCAGAATGGCGTTACTTGGTTGCTGGTCACACGAGAATGCTACTATCACACGACGAAGGGACAAACACATGGCGGTGCGGATATTTGCTCAGCCAATTTGATATGCAATGATCGGATTTTTGTTGCGTCTTCAACCAACATTCATGGTTGAATCGCCAGTCTCATATCCAGTTTCAGACGGTGGTGATTCCAAGCGCACAATCCACTCAAGATACATCCTGGCATCTGCACTCTCAGCACCCCAATACGCAAGTGCAGTCTTGAATTTCTGCATGCCGGGTTCCCAGACCGGAAGGCAGTCTAGACCCGGTATACCACTCTTTGCTGTGGCTATCATCTCCAAAGCCGCACATGTACAGTAGCGAATACCAAGCCAGGTTCCGGGATGGCGATGTGTAGTTAGTCCATGGGTTACAAGGTATCTGTCGATCTGGAGAGCTCTATTTGCAAGCTCGGTCGCCTGGGCTCGTAGTGACATGGATAGTCCGTCGAGGTCTCCATGAAGAATGAAGTGGAGGGCAGGCCTACTCAGTGTGTGGCGAATGATGATCATTCGGAGCCTTAAATATTCTCGCAGGTCATCGGGGGAATGGCCGGACTCGTCCGTCTCAATAGTAATGGAAGCCGGGAGATTAGCGAAATGTACCATGATCTGATTATCTAAATCCGCCAGGGTGTTAAGAATGTCCCGGTAGAATGACTCGCGACCCTCGTTGACTGGTTGGTGTTGCTCTGCCTGTTGAGTGGCGAAAAATGATTCGATTCGGATTTCCAACTTCCGAAGTGAAATGTCCGTCAAGTAGTACATCCAGCTCTGCTCGTGTTGTGCAGCCGATGAATCAGAACCACCACCTATGCCGGAAGAGGATGACCATGAAGGTTCTAGATCTGGCAGAAGCGATGACATGTTCTCATACTGAATCAGCTGAGCGTTTGCAATTTCAAGCCCCAGTTCAGAGGCGACTTCTCTGTACGATCGATCATCAGCAGGGGAGGCTCGGCAGGGGGGGCCGATAAGATATGGGCTCAAACCTCTCTGTCTTGAGACAACTCCAGAAGACTTTACGATGTGCATTATCTGGCTTTTTATTCGTGTTCCCCAGAACCGCCTGAATCATAGTTGACTCACCTAGGGTCTTGGTCAATACATCTTTGCACATGAGACTCGCGTTGTTCAAGCATCTCCATGAGGCGAGTGGCCTGAACGTTGTTATGTAGTAACCAGCAGTCAGGAAGAAACACTGTGCACCGACGATGCTGGCATGGCCCATAATGAAACCAAGCCTTTTGAGGCCGGCATCGAAGTACTCGCGGCTGCGCAGGTACTGTTCCGTGTCTATTGACGGCTTCGAGTACTCCTCCAGCATGCTGTGGTCATATGGCGTGCAAATACTCCCTAGAGCACAGGCCATCAACTATTTTGAAAGTCAGCCAAAATTGGACGTCTTACAGCCACTGAGCCACTTGGGGATTGCAGTAGTTACCAGCAGACATGTGGGGGCATCCCAGCCAAGCCCTTCCTCCTCCGCTACCGAGATCTGGTTGTAGAGAAGTCCGGGGTCGACCAGGGGCTGCTTGGCGTGAATGTACTTGATGAACCGTTCGAGAAGCTGCGTCATTTCGGTTCGATCATCGAGTGCCCCACGGGGAGGGGGAAGATGAACTGGCAGACGAACTGAAGCATAGTAGGGATCCGCATTCAGCCTTACAGATTCGGAATCGTCGTCCGTGTCAATAACCGAGGTCAGAGGGGCCTCCAAGAGATGGTAGGGGCGGAGGCTCGGCCATGTCAGTGTAGATTCAACCGACGAGGACCACCATGACCGAATGGGTGGGGAAGGCATGGACGGCCTAGAACCTAATCGGCAGCGGGATGATAGCGCTTGAGTTGATGAGCTGGTCTTGATAGCATAGATTGATCTAGCCAAACAGTAAGACACTGGTCAGCCGGTTAAACAGAGGCTAAGGGGCAAACTACCAAATCAACGAAAGCTGAGGGGCTCATGTTTAATAGCGACGGATCCAGACCCGCCCAAGCTCGGAAGCTAGGTATTTCACCTAACCTGACTAGGAGTAATTTAGAGTTTACCAGGATCGTTGCTCGGGTTATCGACGAGCGAATGGCAAAACATCGGCGCATATCCCCGCCAAGTTCCCTATTACCCTAGACCATAAGAGTTAATTGTTTCACTCCAAGCCAAGTGACGCATAACAGCTATTCAATCAGGAATTTCAACAAATTCATACGTAATGGCTCTCATGGAGGTTACCAACTTACGAGTTGAGCATTACCGGGAGTTTGCAGTCGTCAACGAGGAGAAGCCCCGCATCTCGTGGTCATTCGAAGGGTTGGAAGAGCAATGGCGTCAACAAGCATATGAGGTCTCACTGCACCGTGGTCAGCTAGGCGGGACCGAGATGTTTTCTGTCGTATCCTCGCAGTCACTTTATGTGCCATGGCCATCTCGACCATTAAAATCACGAGAGCTTGTAAACCTCAAAGTTCGGGCGCAGTCCCAGGATTCGGCATGGACGTCATGGTCAGCTCCTCTGCAGATCGAGGTTGGATTACTCGAAACCACCGACTGGCACTGTACCTTGATTCAACCCTCAATTGATCGGGACTTATCCAAGCCAGTTCAACCAGTGCGCTTTCGAAGAGGCTTTCAGGTTAAGGAAACGCCACAACAGGCTCGCTTGTACATCACCGCACAGGGTCTCTACGAGAGCTTCATCAACGGGACCAAGATTGGAGACCATGTGCTCGCACCTGGGTGGACATCTTACGACCATCAACTGCCATATCAGACTTTTGATGTCCTAGCACAGCTGAAGAAAGGAGAGAATGTCATCGCCGCGGAGGTTGCTGAGGGGTGGTATTGCGGCAGGTTGGGCTTTGCGGGTGGTCAGAGGAATATCTGGGGCTCTGCAGTCGGATTGTTTGCTCAAATCTTCATCACATACAACGATGGAAGCACAGAGATTATCGGAACAGACAGCGATTGGAAATCGAGCGATGGCCCCTTACTCCAAGCTGAGATCTACGATGGCGAATTGTACGATTCTAGGTTGGAATGCCCAGGGTGGAACGAACCGTCATTCTTGGACAAGGACTGGCAGACCGTTCGCCTCGGTCAACTCAATCTCTCGACCTTGAAAGTACCATCTGACAGCCCACCAGTCCGGCGAATACAAACCCTCCACGCGCAAAAGAAATTGAAGAGTCCCCAAGGAAGCACTATCCTTGACTTTGGGCAAAACCTGGTTGGCTGGGTACGATGCGAACTTGCTGGGCCAAAGGGCCACACTGTTCGTCTCATCCATGCTGAGGTCTTGGAGAATGGAGAATGCGCCACTGCGCCACTTCGAGACGCCAAGTGTACCGACACAGTCATTCTGTCGGGCGAGCCTTTGGTGTATGAGCCTCGTTTCACGTTTCACGGGTTTCGCTACGTCCAGATCACAGGCTACGACTTTGATCAAGTTGACCTGAACAACTTCCGCGCCGTCGTCATCCACACAGATATGCCTCGAACTGGGTGGTTTGAGTGTTCAGATGACATGTTGAACAAACTGCACGAGAATGTAGTTTGGTCCATGAGGGGAAATTTCGTCTCGGTTCCCACAGACTGTCCTCAAAGAGACGAGCGTCTTGGATGGACCGGGGATCTACAGGCATTCGCTCCTACTGCAGCTTACCTCTATGATACTGGAGGCATCCTCAAAACCTGGCTTCGAGGTCTGGCTTTTGAGCAGAGCGAAGATGGCAAGGGTATCCCACCGCTGTTCTCTCCCAATCTCTGGAAAGGGCGTCCAAATATCCCATCCGCTATCTGGGGGGATGCGCTCATCAGTGTACCATGGGATCTTTACCAATCCTCCGGCGACAAGGCGTTTCTTGCAGATCTCTATGATAACATGGACGAGTGGTTAACAAAGGGTATCAAACGAGACAAAGATGGCCTCCTGTGGGCTCCCAATCACTCCCAACTTGGCGACTGGCTTGAGCCTGCTGCACCCGCTGATGACCCGGGTAATGGCCCGACAGATGAGATTCTAGTTTCGAATGCGTTTCTCATCCGTATGACAGATATCATGACACAGATCTCTGGCATCTTGGGTCGTGAAAAAGAGGGTGAGCTGTGGGGAAAACAAGCAGCCGAATTGCGTGCGCGCTTTGCTCAGATATATATCACTGACGAAGGAAGAGTCGTGTCAGACACCCAGACAGCCCTGGCACTAGCCATTCACTTCTCCCTCTTTCCCACTTCCAGTCAGCAAGATACAGCGGCGGCGCGTCTGGTCCATCTGATTAGACGTAACGCGCGCTTCAAGATTGCCACGGGCTTCGTAGGGACACCCATTCTGGGACATGCACTCAACAAGATCAACCAACACCAACTATTTTATAGAATGCTTATGCACAGAAAGCCGCCATCGTGGCTCTACCCAGTCACTATGGGCTCTACGACCATCTGGGAAAGATGGGATAGCATGCTTCCAGACGGTACACTAAACTCATCCGACATGACAAGCTTCAATCACTATGCATTGGGCGCTGTAGCAAACTGGATGCATACCACGATTGCCGGTATCCAACCGCTGGAGCCTGGTTGGAAGAAAATAAGGATCTCTCCAGTGCCAGGAGCGACAATCGAATCTTGTCACGCTCGATTCCTAAGCCCTTACGGCGAAGTAGACATTAGTTGGGAACTGAAAGACGATGAAATGCATCTGTCGGTCAAGATTCCTGGAAATACAGAAGCAGAGGTTATACTGCCTGGCGGAGAGCCGGAGTTCGTGGGGTCTGGAAGACATGTCTTCTCTCGTGCCTATACTCGGCCTGAATGGCCGCCGCTGCCTATCTATCCTCCGTTTGTTCCGCATGATGATGATGATGAACCTTAGGTGTTATCCATGAAGGGGTACATCCTAATTGAGGACTGAGCTGGAGATTGGAGATGAGGGGGACTAGGATTGGCTGTAAATAGGTTGTTTTGCTCGTCAATATTGGTCTTGTCTCGTCCCCCTAGCGTGTCGCCTCATGTTTCAAATTTACTGTTGAGGTTCAATTTGTATCCAGTCTTCAATCAGACCAAGGTGCAGAGGGTGATTGAACACGATCCTGGTCGTTTTGAGTTTACACATGTGAGGTTAAATCTTTCTAACCTTCTTGCTCGTCGTCACAACATTAATAAGACACGCTAAATAGATACAGTACAATGCGGGTACTTGGGGAGTTACCATACTCGTATCTTGATGTGCTTCACCTCGGTAAGGTAGCCCTCTGGTGGGGAACTAGAAAAGTCAAAAAGGACCCCCCTAGCGCCCCCGATGGACATGGATCGGCCAGAGTGGAGCTGCACTGCCCGCAATTTAGGTATCCGAACTCCGTCTGTGGCCGTTGGATATTTATAAGAGTAGATGTTGCCTGTACATGTTTAGGCGCAAGCAGTCAGCAGTTTATATCCAAATAACGGCTTTAACATGATGATCGTCAACGGTTTCCATCCTCAGGAGTTTGAGCACCCTCAACTAGGCCCAATTATTGGAAGAAAGCGAAACGAGCATGTTGTTCAGTTTCGTAGCATCCCATATGGCCATGTTCCTGCACGTTTCCGACACGCCATATTAATCAACGAGCTACCACCAAAACAGCGAACATTCACAGAATACGGCCATGCCTGTCCTCAAAACGAACAGGGCATGGAGCCATTTGGCGGTCCACTCCCAGGGGACGAAAAGCGACATTACGACGAGCTTTCTTGCCTCAACCTCACTATCACGGCACCAGAGTCGGTTTTGAAGTCTGGGAGTACCCAAAAAGTACCCGTCATGGTATATGTCCATGGCGGAGGCTTTACGGTTGGCGCGCATTACGGTGGCCCTAATGGTAACCCAACTCCTGTCTCGTCCAGCTCCACAAGCCATGTCGATCTAACATTAGCTTTACAGATACGACAAGAATGGTGACACAAGCATGCGAGGACTCGAGACCTATCATCGTAGTTAGCATTCAGTAAACAAATTCCTCCTTCTCCTACATGATCACTGATTACTGACTGGGTCAAGCTATCGACTTCATTTCCTGGGATTCCTAGCCTGCCAGGCAAGTAAACGCCTATATATGACACATACCGGAACCCGCTCTAACAATCTTTAGGACCTCGTCGACGAAGCCGTGAAACTCAACCAAGACCCTTGCAACTTTGCACTATACGACCAACGTCTGGCCTTCCAATGGGTCCAAAAGTTCATATCGGGCTTTGGCGGTGACATTAACAGGATCACTGCCTTCGGCGAAAGCGCTGGCAGTTCCTCACTTGCCTTCCACCTGAGCTCCAACGTCCCCCTCTTCGATCGAGCGATTCTACAATCCGGTACTGCATCTGCAATCAGTCCCAAACCCCTTGCGAACAAAGAAGAAGAATACCAGGCACTCCTTGGCTTCTGTGGAATTGGCCTGGATGATCCCCAGCGCCTTGAGAAGCTAAGAGCTGTGCCAACTGCCAAGATTGTCGAGGCAGCCTCGTCTATCAACAAGGCAGCATTTTCGCCACTGGCCGACAAAAGCTTCTTTCCAATTATTCCCAATTACCTCAATCATGCCCAGATAATATCCAATTGCCCTTGGATAGATGCTATCATCACGGGTGATGCAGTCTTTGAGGTCAGTAGATCGAGTGTCTTCTATTTACTATGATTCTGACAGAGCATAGGGCTATCTGTTTGCGTACAACCTCTTAGATGTGCGACCTGAGGTCTTTTACCAACATGTGGAAAATGCACTTGGAGCAGAGAACGCCCAGAGAGTATTAGAGGTATATGAAATATCTAGAAACATGGACCAGAACTTGTTCTGGACCAGGCTGTGCACATTATGTGGCGATGTCATGTTCTCCTGTAAGATGATCTCCCATTTAGCCCATCAGTTTCAGCAAGGCTAACATGAGACGCAAACAGTACCTTGCCACATTCTATCACAAAAGCTATGGCAGAGTGGTAAGAAGCAATACCGTTATATTCTTTCATTGCGCAACCCCTTCCACGGTTCCTTCTTCTCCAACGTCCTTGGCCACCATTTCATCGAACTCGTCTACCAATTTATGACGTTCATGGAGCGCTTACCTCTCCAAAGGCAGCGTGATGTCTGCGTCGGTTTCGCGCGACGGTGGACAGCTTTTGCCTATAGAGAAGAGCCTTGGTCTCAGTATACATGGGTAGATGAAACAATCGCGGTGGCAGATTCCCGGGAGGGCTGGGTCGTGCGGTCACGAGCGAAGGACTTGGAGGTTTCCGCATATGACGAAGGCGGTCAGCGTCGCTATCAGAAATGGGAAGCCTTGGATGAGGTGTTTCGCTCACTAGGGGAGAAGGCTCCCGCAGCGGTTGAATCTCTCAGTTTCCCGACATTAGTAACTTTGGGAAAGAAGTAACGAGATCTCCGTATTCCCTTGATACAGAAGTACTTGCTTTCTCCTAATCTACGCCGGTGGCAACGAAGCTTACACCGCATCTCCTTACTATAAACTAGATACTTCAGTAGAGAACCAATTTACTTAGACGAGGTGCAGATACGGGGATACCCCGTTAATTTAAGATGTAGGTTTCATACTTAAACGGCTCAATGGCCAGGTCTTTGGTATGGGGAGTTAGAGCGGGTGTCAGAAATGAGCATAAAACTTAGAATAGTTAGCAACAGGGATCCTAGTTTACTTATAAGTCTTACGTTAAAATCTACTGAAATACCTGCTAAAGCAGATTATAAGGTTAAGCTGAGATCAGATTAATATCGTTGTGGGACGGATGTCATAAAACTATGATACCCTTTTATGACCGCTTTATATATAAAGTCATTAGTAATCCCTCGGCCTATACTATATAAACATTTCAATAAGTCTACGTAAATGCAGCCCCGCGCCTGCTAAGAGCCCAATCCACTAAAAGCTCAAGATTGTCTTCAATCTCCTCCTTACAAGGCATCAACCTCTTGACATAGTACTCGGGCGCTGTGTTTTATTTGGTATCTGCAACTTCTTCGCACCTTAGTACCTTAGTTATAGACCCCTTGGACAAAGCTTATTTAAAATTAAAAGTAAAGATAAATAAGGAAGGAACTATTAGTAGTAATAATGATAGACATCTTATTGGCATTGCCAGCTATATGTGTTTCTGGGATTGCCGCCAACATATGTCTGTGTCTTAGGGTACAGGCAATGTTTGCGTTGAAAGTCGATTCCGTTGGTGGCAGTGTCGTTGATGAACTTCGTGCCCGTCAAACTTGTAGGCGCTTGTCCCTTCTCGACCCAAGCTACCATGGCCGCCAATACATTATGTTGGGGATCAAAGGGGACACCTGCAGCAGGGGCACCACCACCCTGACCAACAGCCCAGGCGCCAGGACCCGAGTTGCAATGGAACATGCCTGACATGCGGAAATAGCGATAGTAGTCCTGCAGGTCGTTATCGGTAGAGTACATACGGTTCCAGAAACGCTGGGTGTTGAACTGGGTAATTTGGTTATCCTGGCCACCGTGATAGCTGAGCAATTTTCCACCGCGTCTCTTGAACGATGGGAGTTCCTGAGGGTAGGTACGGATGTTGAATGGGTTCAGCTTATCCGCCTCTCGGACATTATTCGTGTTGTAGGTGCTGGCATCCCAGCTGGGGTCGTTATATACGACATATCGGAACCAATCTTCAGAATAGCTGAAGGGAGTGCCTGCGATGAGCTTGGATACGGCCTGGAGTTCATTGCCAGGGTTCATGCGAGGGAAGATGAGCTTGCCGTTAGGATAAGTATAAGGAGCGTAGATCTTTTGCAGCTGAGCGACTTGGGCAGAGTTCAAGCAGTTCTTAGGACGTCTGGGGCTGCATTGTAAGGTCTTTGGGTTAAAGAAACACTTTTCTGGGACCTCGATAATTCCATCCTCAACGCCATCAATCCTATCGCACTGTCGGAGAACTTCGTCATGAATCAGGCCTTTCCAGGTGTCAATGGGGATGTAGTTGGGAGAGTCTGCAGACCCTGTAATCGGGTAGAACATAGCCCTTTGGCCTTGAAGATTGTTAAAGTCAACCGCCGGGCACCCAGCTACAATACCGTCATAGTCTTTAGGGTATACCTCTGCGGCCTTGATGCCCATGCGACCGCCCAGCGAGCAACCCAAATAGTAATTGTGCGCTGGCGATCTGCCGTAGAAAGCTTTCATGAGCTTCTTGGCTGAGCGAGTGCCAGTGTGCAGGCTTCGATGGTCAGCTAATGGTTCACGATTGAGAAACGAGGAGGAAGGCCATAGTACTCACGCTCTGTACGAGAAGTCCTTGACAATGTCAGGGTTGTTCAACATGGTGATACCCGTGGTACCATTGTGGCCGTTGTTGGTACCCATGGTGGCGAAACCATTGGTTGTGCCATAAGCAAGATCCTCATACTTGATGCCTAAACGTCTTGTCTCAGCTTCACCATTATCTTGTGTGTTGATCGAGAATTTACTCACATCCATCAATTCCGCCATTACCAGTTGCCAGATATCTTGATCCCTTCCAATCACTGGGCAACCATAGCTCGAAGCTGATGCTGGACCGCTTTGAGGTGGGAATTTGGAGGGCAATGCGACAGAGGTCGACTGTGACAGCCTGAGAGGCGCGGTTGCAGGTCGGGACGTTGTCTGATAGCTGCAACGTTGTACCAGCAGAAACAAACTCCTGTCGCGTCAAGGTCGAATTGCGGATGAACGTCGTTGGCTTGAAGGCTAGACACCTGTTGCGAAAGTGTCCGTAGTCACCATGGCAAGCGGCACTCGCTACCAGGCAACTGAGTACAACAAGACACCAGCAGATACGTAGTAGCAGAGACATGATTCCTTTCCTTCGCTGCACTAGTATCCAGTCCGTCAGTGTTGAAGAACTGCGCCTCAGCTTCTAGTTAAAGGAATGGGGATAAAAGAGGGTGAGATGAGATGGGATGACGAACAAATGTCTCTCAGTGACTAATCCTTGTACAACTGATAAAACTGATGGATGACTAGGATGGGTCTTGGCAGAGCGTTCCTATACGTAGGCGAGGTGCAGGGGCGCGGCACAGACGCTGTAGTCCAAGTTCCCCGAGATTGGGGCGGAGACGGAAGATAGAGAATGCTGACAGGGAAATTAATCAGGCACAACGGGCCATAGGACGACTGCGTGATGGTATGTAAGCACCAAGGAAGCTTATTTCCGGCGCTCTAGAACCAACAGCGGGGATCGCAACAAAATGCAAAGAGATATACAAGCCATGAACGATGTGTTAATTACTTTTTCGCTAGTGGTTTTCTAGGATCGATTCTGAAGGCTCGAAGCCGTGAGATTCGAAACTTTCAGCCCCCACAATTCTCGGGCTTTATTCTAGTTAATCCGACGGGATGTGGGATTTAGCTTGGCGCTCTACAAAGATCTTCGGCCCGCTGCTTAGATCTGTAACCAAGATAATGAGCAATCGGAACTGGCGATGATGGAGAAACATAGTTCATCTTGGCAACGTTGAAAATAAAAACCTCAAATAATTGCAGCGAAGGATGCATTTATAGGGGTTTTTAGAGTTTAACAAAAGACTATTGGTGGGATCACATTGCCTAAAAAGAAGCCAAGGCGGCATTATCACGCCCGTGTGGATACCAAACTTGACAACATGTCAGGGTTGTGAACATGGTTATAGCGAAGAGATAGCAAGGTAAATTCCTACTAGACTACATGGTATGCTCCATTTACCTATCTACCCCATGATTACGGCAATTTGGGTCAACAAGTGATAAAGAACGACTTTGTATCTGCACCTCTCCTCATTAACTGTGTTAGCAGCCTAAAGTTTAACCTTATGGCCAGGAATCATCTACATGGTTGTATCTGCACCTCATTACAAACTAAAGATATAGATTAATTGCAATACATGTTCGCAACATACACCAGACCACGGCCCAAGCCTTTGGGGCGTGTTTACACAGCAGTCCGAGCATTATGGCTTTTACAGATGCATGTGGCGATTTACAAATGGCATGATTGTTTGTCCTTTGCCCAACTGCCATCGTCGTCCTACTTAAGCTTTACAGTTACATCACAAACGCCGTTCCTAATACAAATGCCATAAATCAGGCTGAGATTTAAGGTATTATTTATCCCTGATAAATTTTAACGAGACGACTCTGCATGACCAGGTCTATCCTATGCATCTTCAAGCTTTCTGCTGGAATGCTGACCAGGCGCAAATAGCTCTTCAGTGCTGCGGTCTCTGCTCTGCAACTCGATATTTAGCACCTCAGTCTTGGTTGGCCCAATCTTGCTAAAGCCTTGACGATCGACCCTTCGTTTTTGGCTAGTGGTTGATGCCAGAACACCCGAGTTGTCCATTCTAGTTCTTCGTGTGTGTGAGGCACTCGTTACAGTCGTCGCTATCCCACTAAAAACGACCTGGAAACAAGGGCGCATTGTCATGATAGTGGACACAATGACGGCAGTGAATATTTCAGCCATGGCGAGGGTATTGGGCGTGGTATTGTACCCTGACATAATTAGAATAGGCGAGATAGTATTGCAAAAAGGGAATACATACAGTGAGGATCAGTGGCAGCTCCTTCGTTAGGCACGTAGATCATCACAACGCGAACCACAGCACAAGCCGTATGTCTAACTCGTCAGCTCATTAATACAAAAGCCTTCAATGAATTGCTGTATCAACGTACGCTAGACCCAAGGCAATGAGAAAGAGAAACTGCCATATTTCCTTACTCCGATGCCCTGCTGACAGAAGAGCCGGAAAGGGTATCAAAACGAGCAAGACCGATGTAAAAGAATTGATATAGGCGTTTGCTACACGGAATTTGGTGTTGTCAATGCATGTCCCGTCGAGATCACCTTGCCAGGCTTTGCGAATAGGGTTGCATTGGAAAGTCGATACTAGAGTGCCGCCAGTGTAATAGGCAATAATGACACCCATGAGGGCAAAGTTGGCGTACCGCGCAACTTTTGTGCTCAGAAGGACAGGTTTGTTGAAGATGTTCATGTAGATAGTACAAATAGAAAGCTTGATCACGCCAGCTGTCGCCTTGAAAAAGACTTGGTTGAGCCAGAAGCACTGCGATTATTAGTGGCGGGATAGAAGTAACAGGAAGGTGGGGAGAGATCTACAATTTTAGGCGTTAAAGCTTTCTGAATATCTGGTGGCAGATCATCTTTGTGATAACCATAGCCCCATCGGAAGTATGCTAACACTTTGTTAGATGAGATTCGTCAACAAGCTCGCGACACTTACGGTCTAGGTTAAAGCCAGAAAGACATATACTCAGGGACTGAATAATTAGTATATATGAGAGATAAGGTTGAGTTGCGCGAAACTTACTAGACCAAGCATTAACAGGTAATCTGGCAGTCCAATGACCCTTTTTGAGAAACGCCAGGATATTCTCCATACAACTAAAATAGTAGCACTAGCCAGTAACGTAAGCGTCACGACTTTGAGCTTGGCCGAATTGTTAGGCCCTTGGTAGTACTCCGACATGGGCGTCTGATGGAAACTGCAGCTACGAATAAAGCTTTAACAACAGCTCGAGGAAAGAGGCGGGAAAACACTGAGGGACTGGTGCGTCTTTATTCAAAACATATAATGCATGTGTGCACTGCCTGCAGCAGCACATTGCATACGAACAGCCCATTTGGCATTTAACCTTAAAAAGGCCGATGAGAACTTTGTTACGGTTGACCAGGTGTTGCCACACACGACAGGCACTGGATTCACATCCTGGCCGCAGTTCGGACGACACAATCAATCTGTGACTTGTTAATTTACAGGGGCTTACACACAAGTATTTTTAGGGTTGCATGCACTGCGGCACGGCTAGAAAAAAGAAAGTTCCTATGCAATTATGCTCAATGCATCTATTTAAGCAAGACTGGTGGTGATTAAGTTGTTGCTGACTTGAATTCACATATTTTCACAAGAGATACAAGTCCTTGCATTGCGTAAAAGCCACGGCCACCAGTAGATTTAGCTTTTAACCACAGAGTCTTTACAATATCATTCGTGTTTCCACCTCGGTTTTAAGGCGTTTAAATCTACTTCTAGTGGCCAGAGAGCCGAGAAAGCCTACCAAGCTATCCTTTACAATGTCGGTCATTAAACCTTGAGTGATATTTTTACTTTTTACCTAAAAGACGGGGGTTTAAGCTGTCTGGGCTCTTGATTCTCGGCCGTTACCAAGCCTATTCGTGTTAGTTCGCCCACTCCCCTTCTGAAACTCGTTTGCCGGTAATCGGCTGCACGTTGCTTGGCACTTTATCGGAAAAATTGTAGCGCCAATCACCTGGATAAAAAGCAAATCTGACAGGTATACCCAAGCGAGCCAATAAGGCTTTTAACAGTTTAAAGTCATAGAGCATGGCTGGGGTTAGAGGTCATTCTAGGCAGGCATGTAGACCTTCTTAAACCGGCCTTGTTGCCGATATTCCTCATATGGCATAGGCAGCGCTCAAGGGCTGGGGACGGGACGGAAGGACGGGCCAAACGTTTCCGCGTTGACAATCAACGGCTTCAGCTTCCGAAAGTAGGGGAAATGCAAGGGGCACAGAACACCCATATCTGTTAGCGTTGGCAAAATGGGAACTTGAAGTGCCACCGACGAATTTCTAAGCACCTAAGCACGTATTCAGCACTGAAATTCGCTGGGGCCAACCAGCTATTAATTAATAGATAGATAGTTTAATCCAGATGCTTGGTAACCAATGAGAGTTAGTATTGTCTTTCTTTTCCTCCTTGAAGGCAAGATCTTGCACCGTTATGATCATACGACCTTGGACTGCGCCGCCCCCTTTGTCTACCCCCGGCTTTTTGATACTTTCCGCCCGCTCCGCTAACGGCTTGATACGAGGACCAAGGGTTGCATATTTGTGATCTGCTTCTTCGGCACATCGCCATCAACTGTTGCGATGGTTAGCTGTAGCCAATCACTTGTGGACTACGGATTGATCCGTGATGCACAGAAATAAATCGATCGGGTAACCAGTTACAGAAATTGTCAGATTAATATAAGAAAAGATAATAGCCTCCTTACAAGGTTCCTGACAACAGGGAGGGATGCAACTTGCCTGTTTCTGTCTTCAGCACCCCTGATATACTTGCAGATGGAAATCTAGAAGCTTGTTCGGAAGACTTAAGATTATAGTTAACAATTATCTGAATTCAGCATCGAGCTATAGTATAAGAGATGGAAAGACAATATAGGTAATTATAGTGCTTATATTACTAATTATACTTTTATTTATATAACTAAGTAAACTATTATATTTTAAAAACTAACTAGGACTAGTATAATATATAATACTTATTTATTTAATTTTAAAGGATAAAGTAATATTTAAATTATATAATATAAAACTTTAAATATTTTATATATTATAATTATTAAAATTAACTTCTAGGCAATTATAAGGGTATTATAACTTTCTTTGAAAAACTTATTAATAATAGCACTAATTAATAACTTTCTTAATATTATATATTTTACAAATATATTAATTTATTTAAGATTATATAAAATATAATATTTTATTTTAATATTAAGGTAGTATTTAATATTATTAACATATATTTGAATATTATTTAAATTATTATTAAACTTCTTATTAAAGGTATACAATTTATAAATATTAAAGTATATAATAATATTATTATAAAGGCCTTTTATAAAAGCTAAAAAAGTAAAAGCTTTTTATTTTTTATAATAATTTACTTTAATATTTAACCTTAATATATCCCTTTTAGTTTATTTATCTTAGGTATATTAATATAAGTTTTTAATATTTTATTAATAAATAAACTAGAAATTTATATTTATATATTATAATATAAAGTAATAAGTTTTATATATTCTTAAGATTATAAATATTACTAATATATAATAAATAGTATTTACTTTATATCTTGCCTATTTTACTTATGTATTTGTCTTTCTAAGCTTATAATATCCTTCTAAGCTTTCTAGCAGGGTATCTATACCATGGCCATTAGTATTAGTACTCAGACGCAAACAAAGTCAGTAGACTTATATAAGCCATTCTCAGTCTCATTTCTCTTCAACCATGCTTTCTTAGGGTAATGGCACAGAAGACGATTCTGCCCATCATCGCTGTCGTCCTTGAAAGAATGAGGCAGTTCAGCCGGCACGGTCCCGTTCTCGACCCAAGCTCGAAGTGCATCAAACGTGTTTGTGGGTTGTCCTCCCTTGCCGCCGGAGCAGTGCAGCAGCCCGGGAACTTCAAACATGCGGTAAAACGCCTCGACCTCAGGGATAATCTCCTTCACCTTGTTGTAGTAGTGTCTCGTGCCCTTGACTGGAATGAGTTGATCGTGCTGCAACTTGTTAGCTGGGGTCGCGAGTGTGGAGAAGAAACAGGACTTGCCGTTCCGTGATAACCCAGAATCTTGCCGCCCTTCTTGTAGAATGCTGTCAGGTCAGGGTCGTTTGTCCCAATTACTGATTCATATCGCTGAACAGCTTCGTGGGCAAAGGCTTCAAATGCGTCTCGGGTCATATTTTTATACGACCAGTCTGAGTTGGCTTCTATCCAGTACTTGATCCAAACCTCCCCAAGCCCCACTGGGGCGCCTTGACAAGTATCATTGGAGCATATGGTCATGGCAAGTCCAATGTCGCTCGTCAGCTGAAGCGCCTGTCCGCTCAGCTGAGCTCCCGTGTTGGGTCCATACCATATAAATTCGCCATCAGATGTCGTCGGGCCTGACCAGGTCGCTTTGGCTATCTTGGCGGCCTCCTCAGAGATTGTCATGTTCCTAGCAGTATCGGAGCAGTTGAACGATTTGCCGACGACATTCATTGGGTCGAAGTCACATGCGTCTTCGTTGGAGATGATTCCATCAATAATGCCATCAAGTCCATCGCAGGCCTTGATGGCCTCTGCCAAGACAGAATTCATCTCGCAAGGGTACGGATAGTAGTTTAGCTCCTGCATAATCAGCTGAGGCCAAAAGGTGGACATGAAGAATTGATTCCAGTTGATTGCTGGGGCACACGCATGAATGCCATCGTAAGCTTCTGGATATCGCTGCGCAAGCATCATGCCCTGTCTCCCGCCCTGAGAACAACCACTGAAGTAAGAGTACTTAGGTGCTTCCCCATAAAAGCTTTTGATCAAGCGTTTGGAAATGTTGGCCTAGTCTTGTTAACATCAACACGTCAAGACAAAAATAGTTCAAGAATGTACCTGATCGCCTAGAGAGACAGCAGCGAAGTTCTGGAGGAGATAGAGATTTGGATTCCCCTCGCTGGCAAGGGCCCAGATATCAGGACCATAGTCCATTTGCAATTGCAACCCCGCATCTGTCGCCGACGTGGCATAACCTTCGCTGATTGCTCCGCTCATGGCAGCATAACCCGGCGGATATCGTCCAGCGACCCAGCCTCCTCCCCCAATGGATTGGAGTCGACCGTTGAAGTTGTCCATAGGTAGCCAAGTCTCAACACGAACAGTGTCGTTCTGGCCAGGATGAGTGTAGGTGACAGTTACATTGCAAAAATTGACGTCCTCAGCGACGGTAGTCGGGTGGCCATAGTAAAGGATTGACTTGGCCTCAAAATTATAGTTTTCGACCAAGTTGACGGTAAAGTCGATGACTTTCCCTCCAAAGATTGTTGGTTGGCTGATAGCATCAACAGAACAAGAGAGAGACATGGTTCCGTCCTCGGTATATGGGGTCGATTGGTTGAAGACGACTTGTAGGTTGGGGAGCATTTTGCTTCTTTTCGTGTTTGTACTTTATAGCCTTATACTCAGGTGTTCTTATGTTTAAAAATCTCAAAGCCCTTGCAAGATGTAGAGGCCCACCTGTGGCACTTGTAATGCCAAAAGTCACAGTATTAATGCAATTTTGCTATGGAAACTTGACAAACCCTCACACGCGTAATCGGCAACATATCGGGTACTCGGCTCACCTAACGATGCAGGGGCTAGATGAGAAAATGCCTTGTTATGGTGGAGGTGGAGGATGGTCCTCCAAGAGAGACAATACTCGTATCCGTATGCTTCCGTGGGGCCCAGGCCATGAAATGTGGAGTCTTGGTCCCTTGAGGACAAAGGGTAGAAATTGGCGTGTGGCTAATGACGACTAGAGCACACTCATTGCCCTAGTGAGCACCTAGGATCTAGTCATCGGCTAGTAAAATCTTCAGGGGCTTGCTACACCATGAACGTGATAATACAATAGAAAGACAAGATTAAGACTCGCCCGAGTGATCTGTAAAGCAATGTTGAGACAGCTCTTGCCATTGCTAGCGACCTTTCCAATCCGTCTTGAATATGAGTACAAAGAACTTTATTCATAATGTCCTTGTATAAGCGTTACACGTTAGAAGGAAGTGAAGTACAGCTTACCAATAGCATTTGTATACACTTGTTTCTGAGTATTATAAATGCCCCGAGGAGCGTTTAAAGGTACAATGCATTAGTGTTATTGTTCTTGATATTATGAATTGCTCGGGCCCCGATATGTGTCCTGTAACATTGAGTTGGGCCATTGCAACCATTCTGCCCAATGAAGCCCGAGATGGGATGTAATGGACTGTATTAGGTACTGTCCTCCATCACCAATCAGCCATGTAGATCGATTCCAATGCAGTAAGACTGCAAAGAATGCAAGGATCACCAGCGCTTCTGGCTGTCGCTTCTTTAGCGAATGGAAATATTCGTCATCAACATCAAGACAAAATGCTATCGCAGCGTCGAATCGTCGTCCGTTTGGCTGTTTTAGTGCTGCATGGAGAGAAAACGACCGCTGCAGCGTGGATACGGCGTTGTGATATTTACTAGCTGATGACAGGGAGGCGTTTGATTCGATCATTCTGGTGAGGATAGCTGTCGCTTCTACCTCGTTCTCGCTTGTGGGGAATGCGTCTTCAATTTGTTGGAGAATAGGCCCGAGTCCTGATTTCTTGATTGTATTCCATGACTGTTTCGTCACCGCGCGAACACCACGGTGTATGGACAGATAAGTGATGAAGCGGTCGAGAACGGCGCCGAAACTCTCTCTTGGTCCTTGCAGAGTATTGCAGAGGACATGCACTCCGACAAGGGAGGAGAAGAGAAACATAGGCATGCATGATTCTTCCGAAACCTCCTGCCTCTCCTCATTGAACAAGGTCAACGCCCTTGTCTGAAGACTGGTGGCGAGATGATAATATGGCTGCTGGAGCGAGGGGGGGTTGCTCAAATGTAGGGCAGAGAGGGCAAGAAGCTGATTCATCAAGTAGGGGGCTTTGAGTGCATAGTCTAATGTGTGTGAGATGATGCTTTCATCGGAGGGGTCGATTGATGTGATGGTGTAACGATTCGTCAGAAGATGATGATAAAGCGTGAAGTGGCTGAGATCGAACAAATCGCCCCTGCCCAGTGTATCGCTGAAAGGAGTTAAAGCCGAGCTGACAGAGCTGCCTGGACTAAGCGATGTTGACGTCGGGCCCGCGGGAGAAAGATGAGAAGAAATATGGAAAGGTGACGGCGTATCCGCACTTGATGCTGTTTGGGAGGGCGATGGTTGCTGGCCAATGTTGATGTAGATGCACTGGGACCCACGGTTGGAAATCTTGCAATTGAGGCAAATCGGTCGAGATTCGTCACACTTCATATGTCGTTGCTTGCAGACGCCACAGCCATTGCGAGACTTGCGGTGCGCTCGGCGTGGTTTGAGGGGCCTATCACTGTCGGTATGAGATTTCTTGGAGCGGGCCATAGTAAGAAACTGTTGTAGAGAATTGACTGATTGCGAGGAATGAGATTATGCAAACAAGCAAAGCCAGCCTAGTTCCGTGGAGAAGGGGGATACTCGTATTCTAGTCATGGTTTTCCAAGACACGTGATACAAGCTGGAGATGAAAGTGAACACTGGATCGGATTTGACCGTAGATCGGCCAGGCCGTAACGCTTTTGGCCCACGGAATTATACTTAGCGGCACCCACTGATGCCCGCTATCCCCGTATCCAGCCCGTATAGAGACGTTTCTGATTGGCCCTCATCAGTATGCACAGACGAACCCATGTTCCTCGTTTAGAGAAGTCTATGATTGGGTAGTCGTGCCCTTCTGGAGTACGGAAGTTATTGACCCTAAAGCAGAATCATCAGTTTTAGAAATATCTGGCAATATGCATGGAGAACTAACTCAGGGACGCGTATCCGTACTCTGAGATTAGTTGTTTCACGTCGTCTGCCAGAGATGTAGATATATGATTGATGCGTGTTTAATAAATCTTGTCAAACTTGAGAACTATCTGCCTTTCTTTCCACCTGTTTATTCAGTCATCGGCCGTTCCAAATCCAATCATTGCAACCACGGGTTTCCAACTATTCTGTCCTACTCTACTTTGCTACAGTAACGACCAAGGCACAGGCCAATCTCCTACCTACCTACCATACAACACAATGTCCACCGAAGGTCTCTTCGAGCCGGTCCCCGGGGTTGAACCTACCAAAGGCGGCGCCTACCTGTGGCGCTACGCCCCAAGCGTACCGGCGGCTGCCATATTCTTGGTGCTCTTTATGGCTTCGTTTCTCTGCATAATCTGGAAGATTTGGAGGACGCGCACCTATTTCTGCATTGTGTTTGCCATTGGTTGCTTTTGTAAGCTGCCACCACTCCCCCACGGTTTTCGTCTTGTTTTCTAACAATCTATCGTAGTCGAGATGGTCGGGTATGGCGTCCGCGCAGGTGCCCATAGCAAAACCAACAAGATCATGCCATATGCCGTTCAGAACATGTTCATCCTCATCGCCCCCGCGCTCTTCGCTGCCTCCATTTACATGATCCTTGGTCGAATCATCAGAGGTCTCAACGCCGATAAACACTCTCTTCTCAAGCCAACCAAGTTGACAAGGACCTTCGTACTTGGAGATGTATTATCCTTTATAATCCAAGGTGGTGGCGCTGGTATGTCGGTTATTCAAAATGCAAGTCTAAGTAAGTGGGCTGAACGAATTGTTATCCTCGGTCTTGTTGTCCAGATTGTCATCTTTGGTCTATTCTGCGCTATATCCTTGGTCTTCCATCGTCGTATGATCCGCGAACCAACAGCCGAGTCGATTGGCACTATTATGCCATGGGAGCCATGCCTATATATGCTTTATGCTGTCAGTCTTCTCATTATGATCCGATCTATCTTCAGGATCATTGAGTATGCTCAGGGCTATACTGGATATGCTCTTTCTCATGAGTGGACGTTGTATATATTTGATACCTTGTTAATGTGGCTTGTAACGGTTATCTATATCTGGCGATACCCGGATGGGCTTCATGTCAATGTTGGCCATGTCCGCTGCGACAGCATGCTTCTGCAAGAGGTTCAACACACTAAGTAAGGGCATGATGGGGAACCGAGCATTTTTAGGAGGAAGAAATCTCCCAGTGCCCCTTTAAGGCGCGCGATACAAGCATTAGGTCTCAGCCATGTTGAGTTTACGCGAACCATACCAATATCTGAGTAAGATAGACCAGGCTAACTCATTAAAAATAATACCCTATCTCTTATACATATTTAGGTAGCATAATCACTTGTCTATATTTAATAACTTCTCTTAATAAGTGCTTAACTCCAATGGAGTTATTATTAGCCACCTGCGCTAACAAGGGTGCACCGTGCTCCTGACCCACACACAATAGCCCGAGATAAGCTTTTCAGAAGGATTCCAGGTTCATTGTATCAACTCACCGTTTGTGACTCGGATCTCAGGCCGTCTATGTTCAGCCTTTTCTGACTTCTTCGGCATTTAGCCCATGCAACCCGCGCTCCTTTGTACAAGCTGTTTCCTGAAACAAGGCGAAAAGGTGAGGAAACACAGGCTTCACATTCTACAGGTAAAGGCTATTACAATGTGGTGGGTGTCTTAAAGTGTGAGTCCATGCGGTTTGTTGCATCAATTGGCTTACTAGCATTCATTATGGTTTAGCACTCTTCAATCATTGGACCTTTTCGGCAAAGTTCTCAGCAGCGGATAAGTAGCAATTGATGTAGATGAACTAAGTGACTTGAGTATGGAGCAATGTCGCGCTTCTAGCAGCCCTTTAAAAGGTATCACAAAGCCTAGATTCTACATAAAAGCATAAGATAGTTCAATATCACCTGTGTTTGCCCTTTCATTCTTCCTGCTATTCCTGTCTGAGTTTTTGTATCTTGCTTGTGACCGGAGATTGAGAGGCTTGCCCTCTGACAAATTCGTCGCGGATGATGATGTTTAAGTTGTTGGACGTGATCGGTAAAGTTCTCAAAGGCGGATATGTACCTTGCCATATGTGACTCTAGGATGCTTCAGGTTGCGGGCTAGAGCGATAAGGAGAAGTTTGAGTTTGACTAGCTGGGCCGATCACTTGGCAAAAATCCCGCTATTCACCCCAGGACGCATCAGCTGCAGGAGATCATCCAGCATTAGATAGGGAACAAATACAAGGATCTCGGAGCTTGGGGACATACAGAAGCCCAAGATTCCCTGCTCAGATGGAGAGTGAAAGACCGATTTACCGAGAGTTGTTGGGTATTTAAACTCTGGTTATCTCACGTAGAATGCGAAAAGCAGGATAGTCTCGTTCAGCTCTTCCTGTGCCGTTACCTCTTTTCATCGTGCTCTCAAGGCTTTTAATCATTATCAGGTGTGCTTTGGCAACGCCTGTAGTGACGAGTGAGAAGGACCTGGCATCAAACGTATTCTCTGCTATCGATAGTAAGAATAAGAACCTGCGAGGATTGAATCGTGAGGTTAGACCCCCATGTTCAGAACTTATATGAGAATTTTGGTGCTAATGTTGCAGATCCACGATAACCCGGAACTCGGATGGCATGAAAAGCATGCCCATCGTGACTTGACAGAATTTCTCGAGAAGCAAGGCTTCAATGTCACGCGCGGCGCTTATAACCTCCCGACAGCTTTCATAGCTGAGTACTCGCACGGAAAAGACCGATCAGTATCCTTCAACGCAGAATATGATGCTCTCCCAGGCATGGGACATGCATGCGGACACAATCTCATTGCGACAGCTTTCGGTTGCCGCCGGACTCGGCGTCAAAGGCGCCCTCAAGAGTGGAGCCCTCAAGGGCAAAGTAACGTAAGTATAGAAGCATTAAGACATGCCTGCTTCGCTTCATTGCTAAAGCTTGTCAGGATTGTAGGAACGCCCGCCGAGGAGATAGGTGGGGGAAAGGCCAAGCTCATTCAGGCTGGGGCGTATGATGACCTCGACTGCAGCCTGATGACCCGTCCTGGCCCTCGGAACTATATGTTCTACGCAGAGTATCCCGCTTTAATGACAGCTCGACTTAACTGGACCGGAGGTTAGTCTTCCATTATTACCCAAGCTTCGTCGTGACGTGTGGGGAAAATATTGATTACGCTTTCAGTACCTGCTCATGTGGCTGAATCGCCGTGGAATGGCCTGAATGCACTGGATGGTTTTGTGTCGGCGTATGTCATGACAGGTCTTCTTCGGCAGCAGCTCGAACTTGACACCGGCATTCAGCAGGTTTTATCCGAAAGTTCAAATGTTCTGAACATCATTCCTGCCGAGGCCAAATCAGAATGGGCCATAATGAGCCCTACAACCCTAAGATCCTATTGAGCTTCTACACCAGTCCTTTACTTACTTTGTTTTGAAGGGAGCGAAGAGTTGAGAAGAAGATGCATGGTATCTGGAATGCATCCGCTACTGCGACAGGTACAAACGTCACTTTTAAGCCGTACGTCTTCACATCAATCAGAATAATGGGTTGGGGGAGAGCCAATACTAACATACACTCTTTTAGTGAACTGGATTACTGGGACGCGAAACTCAACTCGGTCTTGACAAGAGCATACCTCAAGAACCAAATGGAGTTCTTTGACCCGGCGAATACAAAGGATGGCAAACAGTTCTTGTACAAGAACGTTGAGGAAGAGATTATAAACCCCAAACGCGTGTCCCCTACCGATCAGGGCAATGCCTCACACAAATTGCCCTCGATTCATATTATGTTCCCCATCACCAATAACGTGTCGAATCAGGAAGCTGAATTTGCAAACGCCTCGGGAACGGCATGTTTCATCTTAATTCCTCTCCTTTATATAAACAACTTGACTAACTCTTGAACTCAAAAGGAACTCGCACACCGTCAGACTATAAAAGCAGGAAAGCTTCTGCCATGACTACCGTAAGTGTTCTAAATAACGAAACAATGGCGAAGAAGATATGGAAGGAATGGAAAGATATGAGTAAGGAGAATAGTAGCCAGCGACGAAGCCTGGGCTTTATGCCTATGCAGCCAGGTTTGCTTCACTAGGAAGAATTCCATAAAGAAAGCTTAGATAGATCCCCAGGAATGGACTATATTAAGTGCTATCTCGTTAAATAGATCTTGGGGACTTGGGCAACAAGTAATATGGCTTTTTAGTTAGCCAACATAGGCAGTGCAAGTTAGTTCTAATTTAAGTAGCTAAAGGTTTATATTAGCTGAAAAAGGAGGACGCCTAGTTAAATTTATTTTATTTATTTTAACCCCATGTCTAAATAATACTTTATATATAACCCTTTTATAATAATGTTTTAGAGATATCTTAAGTCATCTTTAGCCTTTTTATTTAATACTTATATTTATATAATATTTATATAAAGTGTTTATACTAAAAATATTATAATAAAGCTAGTTAAATAGTTCTCTGTCCTTTAAATATTATTACCTTTATTTTACTTTTTTAATTTATGTTAGAATTAATAGAGTTAAAGTATAACATAAATATATTTATAAAATAATCTTAATATAAAGCAGTTTTAGACCTTAATAGTTTTAAATAAAATATAAAACTAATAAACTAAGAACTTTTATGTATATACTTTATATATAATTTAATTATAATATATTATTTATATATTATATATAAAACTACTATAATAACTAATATTAATACTTTAAATTTATAGTATTTTATTTAATTTATAACCTTAATTCCTTTTAAGTTTATAATAATAATATCCTTAAAATTAAGGTTAATCTTTATAAAAGGTATATTTACTAATATTTTATAATAATCTTTAAATTAATAAGAAAAAATATTTAATAATATATTCTATTAAAGTAGTCTTAAAATAGTATTATAAGCAATAACTAACTAGTAAAGATATAGTATCTTATATTATATAAGTAATATAATAATAGGTTTAAGTATATATTAATACCTAAAATTATAAACTTTTATAAAAAATGTATTTAATATTAAAATAGTATTTAAGGCAACTAATATTTATTATTTTCTTATTTATATTAATTATATTTTAATATTATAATAGATTCTTAATATCCCCTTTTTAATATAACTTTAATTTTATTTTTTATCTTTTTTTTTAATCTTTTTAACTTTTAAATATTTATATAAATATAAGGAAATACTTTTTAGGCTATTTTACACTTAGTATTTTTAATTTTATATATAAGTATTTACCTTATTACTAAGGCTACCTTTTAAAACTATTTTTAAGTTAAAAACTTAAAAAAATACTAAAAAAAATAGTTTAATATAGCATTAATAAATATATTATTTTATATATAATAAGTCTATTTATAGTTTTAATATAATTATATTTTAATAAAACTTAAATAAAATATATATTATAAAGCTTTTTTATATTTATTAAAATTAATATATAATTAATCTTTTATAATTAATAAACTTAATTTAAAGTATTTATAAACTGTTAATAATTATTAAGCTTTAAATTATATTATTTATATTAAAACATAATAATAAAAGGCGCTTTTATATTTATTAATACTTACCAAGAGTTGCCTAGTTATAGTATCGCAGCTCTTTACTATACTATATATTAGAGATGTTTAACTATGTTGTTTTTAGAGCTCGGGGCATGAGGTAGTGGTAGCCGCGCCTTTGAAGAGAGTGGAGAAATAGATATTAAGATAGATACTAAGGATTAATATATCAGCTCAAAGCCTTTCGAATGAGTTCATGATGACCCTAGCGGGGTATTTGGATGACCGCAAATCAATACCTCAAGGAGTTTATAATGAGCTTGCTTGCTATTTGTAAATGAGAATATAGAGGGTTTGTATTTCAGAGGCTGGTTCATCATTTGGAATTCCACAGCCGTGAAAACCTCACCGCCATGCCTGCCACCTAACTCATCACCCACTCGAGTTCGTGCCCATCTTCACTCTGGAACCCAGCCCATCCACTAGGCTCATTACTGCCCAAAAACCGATTATCGCTCTCCAGCAGCGCCGCTTCGCCAATCCCTAGGCCCTGGGGGTCCCAGTGGAACGGAGGGCAGCTATCAAGTTTCCAGTCGAGCGGCTCGGCCCCCTGCACTTGCTCGTGCTGTGTTGAGAAGCTCTGCCACAGTGTGCTGAGGTTGTCGTTTGATCCACATGTGCTGTCGACGTTGCCGAATGGCTGGCACAACATTATTAGGAGCTTTAGGGACAGGCTGGCGCGGTCGGCATCGGCGGTCGACGGAATTCCGAAAATGTAGGCGAGGGACAACGGGTTTGAAGGGCTACTAATACTGGTTGAGGGGCGGATGTAAGATGCCAGTTTGTCGTGGACAGGGACGAGGCAGTCCTGAAATTTGAGAGCTACTGGGTCCACGGTGCCGCAGAAGGAGAGTATGTCGAGACAGATGCGGGCTTGGGCGAGGTCGTCTTCCCAGAATGAGCGAGGGAAGAGGTGTACTTGCTTTTGCGCTACAGAGTGGAGGAGCACAACGCAAGAGGTATATGCTTGGATGCTACCGAGGAAAATATTAGGATCAATTAAATGGATTAATGCGGAGACGGTTGCAGCTTACATAACAAGCCAGCATCTTTTGAATATTCCCGCTTCTGCTCGCAAGAGGCCTAATATCCGGGACGAGTGTGTTGCCGCAGTAACACCCTGATCTACATGGTTGAGAAACGTGTTCTCAATGGGCTTCCATAGAATGCTGTGCCCATGGCCAATACCGGAATGCTGAACGAACTGTGAGGCAATGCGGCGATAGAGAAGCATTGTGGCTCCGAGAAAGAGCAAGTGAGTAGCTAAGATAGTTCGGCGGACTTCTACCGAAAGATCTTCGCGGTAGAGATTAGGGAGATGCATTTGCCTAGGGAGCTGATTGTGCCAGTCCTGAAGGTCTTTGTTTATGGAAGCTATGGCTTGGCTGGGCAGCTCCTTAGAGGACAGATGCATCCGCAGAATATCCGCGTTTAGAAGGGAGATCTTGGTCATCTCCGTCTGGACAGCTGTGGCACCACGTAAGAAAAGTAATAGAAATAGTCCATGAATTAGCTTACTGTGGCTAATATCGGATGCATGATCGACTTCCACGTCTACCAACTGTATTGATGTCAGCTTTAGCTGGGCATGAAAGAAATGTCTAGGTTCAAATACTGGAACTACTTCCCGGAAAGATATCTCACTGCCCGAGATATACCCAAGAGTTGAAGAAAGCCAGCTTCAACAAAGTTAGCTCATGTCAGTGGATCAAGTCGGATCAGCTTGCCTTGAAAAGAACAGTAATGTTCTCCAAGTCCTTCGATAGTCAACCCATTCCTCTGGGGACAGACCAGGATAGTGGTAGCATTTGTCAACTAGGTTATGTTTCTTTGACATGTTCAGACCAATTTCTGTGCAAACAGAGTTAGACTTATCGAAAGAAATGAGGCCTCGCAAGGGAAACTAAGGTGACGAACCAATGTAAGCAAGTGAAACAGTCGCCTTATTCATGATGTTGTACATAGCCAGCAGCGCGCAGACCTTGATTGCGTCGAGTGGCTGCTCCTCCATCAAGCTCCCAAAGAATTGCCTTGCCAAGTCATAGAAAACGCCTTCTATAGCGACCTCAAAGTCACCGGCGTTGTACTGGACCCCAACAGCTGCAACTGCGGCGAGACAGCAAATGGCAGTCTTCTGACTTGGTATGGAACAGCCATCTCTTCCAAATACATCCTTGTAGTAGCCTGAAACCTGTTCACGGGAAAAGACATGAAATAGTTTGCCACTGGAGCTGAAAAAGCTTTCGACTGCGGCTTGTGTAGTAGAGGCGCTGGGGATGAAGACGGAGATCAGGAACGCCGATGCATCTGCTGCTAGTTCCCTCAGTGCGGGGGAGGGAGTGGGGACATCGGCCTTTCCCAGCATATCATCCCCGACCTGCGGTTCCTGGAGGAGAGGGGCATTTGCGCTATTCTGCGCTGGAGTAACGGACCCGAGAAATTGTTCCTCAAACCCAATCGTGGAGCTCGAGAGACTACTGACGGTTGGGCTGATGCTGGTGGAGCTGCTGACCTCAGGTGGCGACATATCATCTTTAAAGTCAAGCAAGGTGCGGACGTCGTCGGCACAGCGGATTTGTTGTAGCAAACGGTCCGCTTCGTCGCCAGGTTTGGACTGCAATGCAAAGAAGAGCTTCTCCAATGCAAGCAGGCGCGATTTCAGAGCGGCTTTTCTCGAGTGGCCCTGTTGCGACTCATAGTGGCAGGACCGTCCCTTGGCAATACAGGTATCACACCGTGGTCGGCGGCCATCGCACTAGACAGTCACCAGTTAAACCCGTAATTATGAATGAAGATGGGAGTACTAACCTTCACTCTCCTCTGGTGACAATCCTGGCAGGCCTGCCGCACGCTGCGGATTCTCTTGCCGAGCCACTCGCAGGAGCCCTCAGCACCACCAAACCTCACGAAATTATGGGCCTGTAACGGCTGCTGAGCAGCTGGCTGGACTGCAGGGAACAACAACGAAACCATGGCGGCTCATCACAATATACTTGGAACTGGGCCTGGTTGGGTATTCAGTCTTTTGGAAGTCCACTGCCGTAAGCGAAGGAGAAATGTTTTATTAGTTCAGGATATCAATGCGGGTCAAAAGGATTTAGCCATCGTTTACATTTTCCCTAGCCTTGACAGGACAGAACTTTCCTCCTCATCACATGTTTGCAAAGAAGCAAGGGGTTTGACTCGTGCAACATGGCTTGAAGAGTTAGCGACTGACGTGGGCGGACGTGGGCGGACGTGTCACTGAGCACAGATGGCGTTTTTAGCGTTTGTAAAGACAACGAATAACGTCCAGGACTAACAGAAGCGGACACCTCCCCGGATAGTTTCAAAGAAAGTTTAAGTACTGCCATGGCTACCTATTGTTACGTCGCTTAAAGTGCCATTATGGTTTGATGGCTAGGTAGATATGCGCCGCTAGCCCCTACACCACAATTCTAGTTCCTCTTTACCTATGAGGCATTTCCACGATAGGGGTTGAGCCAAAGTAGTGCCGATGCGGTAGGGATTTGCAACAGTGGCGCACATGTTACACCCGTTGACGAGTCGGTATATGACTTAAAGGGGAGGCAAGTTGGCCAGGGGTGGGTATCAGGGGCTACGCTTGCCAAGGGCCTCGAAGGGACCAGACTTGATGAGTATCTCGAAAGAGCCATGTCCGCCAAGAACCGCTGGCGTCGAGAAGCAATCCAATTGCATTAGATTGAGCACTATAACTATATATTCTTAGTTCTCGTTATAATTCGCGAACTTATATCGACTTTAAAGACTTTCTATAGCATTCTACTTCCTTTAATATATTTATATGCTATTATATCTAAAGTTTTATAACTTAATACTTATAATAAGGGCTACTCTAATTAATACTATATAAAGGTAAAAAGAATATTACTAAGGGTATTAAGAATAAGATATAATATATAATAATAGTAATTTTTATATATAGAAATTAAATATATTATTTTAAGTATATATTAATAAGATTATAAAATATATAATTATAATATATATTTAGCTTTATTATTATAATATAGTTTTATTTTATAACTTTTATAGGTTTAATTATTTAAACTTAAAAACTCTTTATATATTAACTTAGTATTATATTACTTTACTACTTAAATAAACTAGCTCTTATCTTTTATTTTAAATAATAACTACTAGTAAGTATATATCTTATATATGCATAGTTAAGTCAGACAAAGCCTTTAACCTTAATAAGATCTATTAATCATAATACATATTCCATCCGCTAACGCATCACTCTCCTAGTAATTAAACATATGCCTAAACTTGTCCCAACACCGCTTTCGTTATACCGTGTATAGGCCATGCTTCTGCGTTCTATATCTCACTGTCATAAGCAGCGCGATCCCTCGTATGTAGTTCATCGGGCCTTGTAACGCTAGTGTTGGTAATACTCGGGTAGCTATTTAGCTCCTGCTGACTTCGGACTATCTTCGCAATCAGATCTGCCATTGTGATTTCGATGATAAGCTTGACACTATAGGCAACTGGATGAAAAGTGGCATAGAGGAAAGGGTTCGGTAATGACATCATGGCTATGATTAAGATCTGAGATACAGTCAGCCCTGCATGGCATAATATTGGGAACTCTGACAGTACCTACATCCATGGATAGAGAGACGACAACGGCGCTGACATTGAAGTTAAAGAGCAGCTTATATTTTGTAAGTCCTTCGGCTATTAGTTCACGCCGAACCTTATGTAGAAATGCTGAATTCAGGGCAAGGTCCATCGACAGATATAGCACTTTTTCAGTACGATCCGCAATGTCATTGATGTGCATCATTTTCTTTGACTGGGTCAGACGGGCAGGTATCCATATGCAAGCAATTGTAATGTTAATGAGGCCGACAGTAACAAGGAGAGACAATTTCAAGTACTTGGCTCTCTTCCTGTTAACCATGACCAAGCCCAGTCGGTTCGCAATAATCTGCAAGGCTAGCTGTGTCTGAAAGGTCCAGAGGATGACGCTCGCAAAAAGGAACCTCAAACTATGACGTGTGGCTCTGTCAGTAATGCAGTACGATGACGGAGGGGTTTATGGACAATTGGCTCACGTGCACTTCAGGTCACCCCGAATGTATAACCAATAGAGGCCGGCTTGAAGGAGATTGGTTAAGAGTAGGGTCCATACCCTTTAGGAAGTTATCATTAACCCCGAACTGGCCAAGGGAATACGAATGCTTACATCCAAGTGTAGAAGTTAAAGAATGACCCTGTTCTCCTGTAAATGGCAAAGGACTGTTGCCCAGCTTTTGCGCAGGTCGTAATAGAAAACCCGATCGCCATGCCGAAGTATATATTTGGGAGTTCAACTGAGTATACCGGCGCTTCGAGTGCCTTAGACCCCATAATGGCTTTACACGACAGACTGACCAATACAGGTTCAAGTGAGAAGCCTGAGGAACTGTCTTCAGGTGCGGATATTGCATAGCGTAGGGAGATCTCACTGCAGCCAAATCCACGGTCTCCTAAATAAGGAAATCCACCTAAAACCTCAGTCTCTGTAACGGAAGCCAATTGCCCAGGGCAACGTTTAAATAAATCCCAAGGGGATAAATACCGAGTAAAAAAGAGTCTTAATAACCTGGTGAGACGGGTTTCGTATGCGGTTGTGTACCTTGGGCAATAAGACAGAAATGAGAGCTATATAATGCTAAATGCATCCCCAGTCACAGACTGAGGGAGATCGTACATTGAATAAACAACTTACTTGGTGCAAGAAAGGTATGTCGAGGTAGATCGCAACGCCACAGCTACAGCGATATGTCTCACCATCACAACATGAAGAGCGCCCGTAAAACCGGCATTTTGTGAATAGCCGGATGACTAGCACAGCTTTAGTACTAACATAAGCCAGTAATCACCGCATGATAACATAATACAGCTCGGCACTTGCTAACTAGCCCAGCCGTTCAACCTTAATTGTTACCGGCATGCAACAACTGAACTAGCAAAACGCCTTAGCCTCCCTAACTAGACTCTTCGAATTGTGTCTCGAAGCGTGGCCAAAACCAACAGCATCGAGGGTCTAGACACCCTCCCTGAGAGAAATACTACATCCCCATCCTTTGGACTTAAGCAATCGCTTTATTCCATTATATTTTTATATCTCCCCCGCCTTTCTTCTTAACAAAACCTAAAAAACTATTTAGAGATCAGATTTAGGTATTCATTTTAGTTCTAGTATGTAGAACAACAAATGAACGACAGGCATATTAGGTGCTTAGTTAGTAATTATTCGGGGCTACTAGGCACCATTCAGCCAGCGTCACCGCCAACAGCCCAGGTGCTTACGGATTGTCTGGTGGCTGCAGGCGGCCATTTTGCACATGCCCCAGCACCGTGGTTCCCAAGCCCATAACCACGTCACCAAAGAGGTTGGGCATCGTGATTTGGCGTCTCGTAGAGCTGTCACTAAGGCTGCTAAGAAGCATCCTTATGCACGAATCGAACAGTAAAGGTTAGTACAGAAACAGACATTGGTGGAAATCCCTGCAACAACAATCAGAAAGGTTGGGGCCTGACTCGGCCAATGTCCACCCCAGGCTGAGCTCCGCTAAGCATCAGTCCAATTAGGTGCCACAGGCGCCATACACAGTCCCTTGCAAACCATACGTTCCGCGCAGAGAGCTCGACGCATATGTGCTGGGCGAAGCATCGCGTGTGATTAGATCATGCCGCCTACGCCTACTAATCTAACTATAATTAACAGTGTGGCTGTTGCTAAGGTCATTGCTACTAGTCAAGTCGCTAGTTGCTAGTTGTTGGGAAATCTATGGCCCGACCATCCTGGCCAAGCTTATCTTAGCATGATTTCCCTTATCTGAAGCTACCAGCCTCGCATAAATTGGCCTCGCTTCAGCCATGTCATCTTAGACGATACATGGTCTCTTAAACCTCATTCTCAAGCGCTCTTCGGTGCAATTAGCTGGTCGTCACACAAGTCCCTTGGGGGCCCGGGGGCTGGTTGCTGCAACTAGTCGCTAGACTGTGGGATAATTGCGCCTTGGATGACTACTTGTTAAAGAAGTACTAAATGGATAAGATAATTAGCAGACCACCCTAACAATGCTTCTAACTTGGGCCGCCTAATTCCTCTGAGATGGCAGTTAGGGATGTATCTCATTGGATTTTAGAAAGTTACTAATTCTCTTAATCACTTAACTGAATCATGCTGGAAAGTTCCGCTCCCCTTGTTTGGCCATGTTACGATCCTAGCGGTTATATCACGTGCACTCCATATTTTTTTACCAATCACATACAGTCACCACGAGCTAAGACATTCCATAAGTAACCGCCAAGGGACAGTCACGACAGATCACAGAGAATCACCAGTAATCCTCATAATCACCAAGTAACCCAATAGTCATTACATAATTACTTCTAGTATATAGCCCACACTCATTAGCACCTTCCTAGATTCTAGCTTACTAGCTATTAATATAACTTCTTTACCTCAGTAAGCCTAAAATGCACTATTAACTATTAAGAGATATAACACATCGCATCGCTCAGCATCACGCCCTACATTATCTGCAAACATAAACCTAGTACGGACTAGCTTACCTGTTTGGAAAACCAAACCGTCACAGGCCAGCTTCCTAAGACCTTGGCAACTATCCCGGGAAGCTCCGTTCAGTTACAAACTTGGCGTCCAGTCAACATGACGCAACGGAGAGTGCAATATGTAGCGAGGCTTTATGTGGAGATTGTCAGGGCCTACGCCACTTTTGACAAGACCTAACAGCTAACTGGCTATAATAAGGATTACAGTCTCTTCTAAGAAGAGTGGAGTGCTTTGTTAAAACCTAAACTATTTACACTTACAAGGACTAGAGGCCTCTTCTGTATATAATATATTTTTTAATTTTAAAATCCTAGTCTTAAATTTAAATAAACTTAAGGAATAAAATACTATTTTTAATTAATTAATATATAAAGTTATATAATCTTAGTTTAAACTATAATTTTATTATTAACTTATTACTTTAATACTTATATATAAAGTTAAAAATATATATACTATATACTATAATTTAATATAATTTAAATTAATTAAATTATCTTTTATCTTTTAATTATATAAAATAATCTCTAGCTTTTAACTTCTTTTAATAGTAATTTAAATATTATAATTTTATATAAATTAAATATTAATAGTTAAATATTTATATAAGATTTAGCCCTAAGTATTATTTAATTATATTTATCTTATTATATTATTTTATATCTTTTAAGTAGGTTAAAGAAAGAAGATTAACCTAGCTGCTAAGAGCTCTAAAGTGTAACAGAGAGAAGCCTTATAATACATGTCTAGAGCAAAATTCGCGAGCTACCATAAGACGAGTTAAGAAAAATCTCATGTGACGCATAAGGCTGCTAAAAACAAATACCCTCCACATTGCGTCACTTATACCAATGCCAAACCAAGAAGGCCTAGGGCCTGTCGATATGGGCAACTTACTGCTCTCTTCCTCATCACTATGTAAAAGTCTAGGTATCCCCTGTAATCGTTTCACTATTAAGTCCTTTACCTTTGCCAGCTAATCCTTTATATAATTATTTATTTCTTTATAGTCTAGATACTTAATATCTACTTAGAAGTTTTGTATATATCAAAGACGCTTAGCAGAAACTAATTTAACTGATATAGGGTTATTGTAACTTCTTACCCGGTCCCAGCATTTAATCTCTCGGTTCTATTTATCCTCGTCCTCCTTAAAAGAGACCGCTTTCGACAGCTTAAATAACCTTTTTTTAAAAGGACACTGAGGAAGGTTAATAATAACTGTTGTATTTTATACATAAGAACTATAAGTTTACTTAATATAACTACACTTCCGGTCCTTCTATGCATCTTGTAGGATGCATTTATACGGAGCCCTTTAATCGTTTACTTCCTTTCATACTGCGTTATCGCTTCCTTGAAGTAATCTTGCGCCTCTTCGCACATTTGTCCCCGCTGATACTCCCATCCGCCCTCCTTAAAGAGGTCCTCTCCCAGGCCAATGGCGAATTGATCACTGCCTTTAGCCAGGCCATCATACATTTGGTCAATGAATTCAGCTAATGGCATGCCGATTTCACGCCCGTTGACTAGATCTGGCTGGTTCCTCTCGTCATATAGCTCTGTCTGTACCGCAGGCGGGAATACTTCCACAATGCGTAAAGAATAGCCAGCCTGTCGGAGCTGATACCGAATACTCATGACAAAGGCATGGAGGGCAGCTTTAGAAGCATTATAATTTGGTGTCCGGATCATAGCTGGGATCAGCCCGAGAGTAGCATTGATATATATTATATTTCCATGAGGCTCATTCTTGAGATGAGGTAAGAATGATGTTGTTAGATAAACAGCGGAAGTATAGTTCGTCGTAAGCTCATCCCCGAGAAGTGAGAGGTTTATTGTCTCGGGCCGTGAGAAGTTGAAGCCACGTTGGACACCCGAGCTGATTATAACACAGTCAAGATCTGGATTAGACTGGATGATATTATCAGCAAAGGCTTTAATGCCGGTCAGATTCGTTATATCAAAGGCGACGGCACTGGAGACGTCCGAGCCGTGTGCCTTCACGAAAGAGTGCAGGCGATCCCGTCGGCGACCCACTACTATAACTTTGGTGCCGTTCGTAACAAGCTTAGATGCAAGAGACGCCCCGATACCCGAGGTAGCGCCGATAATGAGTGCTTTCTTATAGAGCGGAGCCATGGTAGTTTAAAGGAGATACTGGAGATTATAGAGGGTGCTGGGAAGAAATTGGCCTGGTGAAGTGGTTTTTAAATGATAGATAGGTTTGTAATCTGCAACTGCACATTCTCTTCACCATATTTATCAATACTCTAGAAGCTCGACATATAGCTGAGTATATCGGCTCCTGTAAATGATAAGTTGGCGGTGGTAAGAACTGTCTTATGTGCAGGACGTACGGCCAGAGAATGGCACTCTTAGTTGATATTTAACTTGCTGGGCAGCTGCCAGCGTCTCTCATTCAGGCGCTAGTGCCTCAATCGCTGGGGCGGGGTATGGCTTGGAGGGCTTTGCCAACTAAATGGTTAAACTTTCCATTTGCGTAGCAGGAGGCTCTAATAAACCCCGCTAAAATCAAATGGGAGGGAGCCTCTAACTATATCTTAAACTTATCATTAGGGACACAGTTAGATTAATTGTCTAATAAATGCGGGGTCTATACCCTGAAAGCCACCTTATTATTATGACGTTACTTAAATGCTATTGTAGTGTGATAAGGTTGAGGGGTCAAAAGTAGCTTCAGCCTGTCTGCCTCGGTAGCCCGGACGATGCTCCATAGTTGGTCGTTTTGCCGTGCAAGCTTGGTCGCAATATCCCGTGGCTGATCCTTATCCCGCAGCGCCTAATTCACGCCATAGACTTGCTGGATTTTGTCCCTCTTCTATTGCAATTTCTTGACCTAATTGCTGCCCTCTTTAAAGACCTTGTCGCTAGGCCCTCTCGGGCCTAGGATCTCAAGGTCTTGGATGCTATAGCGCTCTACTTTAGTCTGTATCTGGTATTTTAGGCCGAGGATACTAGCGATAAGAATGTTAGTGGCTCTATAGACAAATACCAGCTCCCCAGAGTAAACGGAAAGTACTCGCCCCACCACTCGAAGCAGACCATCTCGACGTGCCAGTCAGCGGCAAGGAAGCAGAGACCATTATCAGAGGCAAAGATAGAGCAGGTGAGATTATAACCGTCCACAGCACTGACACAGTCGGCTAGAAGGCTCCTGCCACCGAGGACGAGGCCAAATATTTTATTTAATCCGGTCAGTATTACGCCACTAATAGCTAATAACTATTTGCCATAATAATACCAAGGTATAATAATCCGCCTTTACATTAATACATATTATATTTATATCTAAGAGCTAATACAGAGTTAAAAGGAATAAGAGGGACTAAATAGACTATTTTTAAGGTAAAGATCAAGAGTCGCCATATTACAAAGACTGTTAGACTTGATAGCTTAAGTATTAATACTAATTAGCCGCTTTTAAGGAGGATGTAAAAGAATATAAAAGCCTATAAAGGAGGAAATACCTAAGTAAATAAGGTATTAAGATATATAAATATTATAAGTAAGTATTAGTACTTTATATCTTTTATTAAAATAAATATTTAAAAGTTATAAATATAATAAAGAGATTTTTAATTATGTTTAATAACTTAAATTCGTATTTAATTTTAGATATTTAAATATAATTATCATTGTTCTTAGGATAAAAAGGCTCCTGTTTCTAAATAGCTAGGGGGCGATTTAGGTTTCTTATAATAATAAGGATGAAATGCCAGGTCTGAGATCTAAGTTCTGTATAGTGAATATAAGTTCTCGGCCACAGGCCTCAACTGCAAATAACACATCTGGGTCTGAGCTATATGAACTAGTTCATAGCCCAATCACATATTGCACACCCAGCTGAGTTAAAGTTATTTAGGCTTATATGGCAAACGATGTTCTCATTTGCCCCTTCTTTGCAACGCTTATATGTATGTGAGCAGCCAAGGCCGTGGACTTCGATGAAGGCGAGAACAATTAGAAATGTCCTTTGCCAGAGCCTTACTACCCCGGTAGAGAACCCAAAACTTTCATCTGGGAGTCACGTAACGAGTGGCGCGGACAGGTGTGGTTGTTGATCCGTATTTCGTACCACCAGATTACTTTGAGTTTCGAAGTGCAGAAACCAGCGTCAGACACAGGTCAGAGGAGTGTGTGGTAATGGGCTGCTTCAGTGAGCGTTTTTCTTCATGTGATAATAGTTGGATATAAAGTCATCGTGCTCTGGTGAAATATCCACAGGACATCGATTCGGAAGTAATTGAGAGCCATCACTGTGCCCCAGAACCTTTTCCCGAAATGTTGTTCAAACTCGTCCTTCCTTTCTTTCTTTGCCTCTCTTGGGGCTCTGCTAGCCCTCTAGCAGTCGAGCGAAGAGGTAAGGAAAAATTGAAATACATAACTTTGTAAACTGACTGAGATTAGATGTTGACCCAGATATGTTGTCAATGTTTCACCTGATGAAGCAGTATGCCGATGCCGCATACTGCCAGGAGAATAATAACTCGCCTGGAGACAAGGTTTCTTGTCACTTTAACAACTGCCCGTTGGTGCAAGCAGCGAACACAACCACCTTGGCCGAATTTGAAAAGTGAGCTTACACCAGAGATTTGTCACAATAAAGGCCGTCTCACATGTTGAGTTGTGATCCTAGCCAGTCCTTTGCTTTCATCCCTCCCATTCCCCCAACCACGATAATCAAAATCTTCTTCAAATGGCTACAGCATTCCATTGAGATCTCCATTCTGACAAATTATTGGTAGTTCTCTTCTTACCGACGTGACGGGATTCGTGGCTGTTGACTACACCAACCTCCTCACGATTGTGTCTTTTCGAGGTTCAGCATCGGTTTCAAGTTGGCTTACCGATATTTTCTTTAACCGCATACCAGTGGATATATGCAGCGGGTGCACAGCACACTGGGGCTTCTGGACGTCTTGGGTTGCCGCTCGCGGCCCAGTTCTCCAAGCTATAAGAACCGCTGCGGCAATAAATCCTGGATTCCGCATCGTCGTCACGGGCCACAGCTTGGGTGGAGCTATCGCCAGTCTCGCCGCAGCAGAGCTGAGGAATAACGGGTACAGCACAGACTTGGTATTTCTACCTACGGATATCCCACTAGCGGATTGGGTTTGCTCATATCTTCATAGTACACGTTCGGCGCTCCGCGTTTTGGTGACGATGCCCCAGCACGTATATCACTAATCAAGCTGGTGGTAATTATCGCGTTACGCATTACAATGACCCAGTCCCCCGTGTGCCACCTATGTTTGTTGGCTATGCCCACATTAGCCCAGAATACTACATCTCGACACCTGGTCTCGCGCCTGTTACCACTGCTGATATCCGGGTATGTACAGGCATTAGAAATCCGGATTGCAACGGGGCATGGATAATAGTGGACATCCTAGCGCATATCGAGTATTTTGACATCATGGGGCTTTGTTACCCACTTTTGGACATCTAAAAGGCCGCCAGGCTCTGCTTCGCCTCTATGGCCAGTTGAGTGGCATTTTATACACTTTCCTTACTTTGAGTATCAAGACTTATCCAGCAACGTTGGAATTGGCAATTTGATAGCCCTGCGGGTATTCTCTTTAATACTCATCTGCCACCAGTTCAAGTGTGCTCTTTGTATCAAGAAATCTCACGTTACAACGCATCTACATGACAAGCACGATATCACAGAGGACGCCGGAAGGGGTCCAATACAGTTCCTCTAGACAACCTCTGCAACCCTGTATCTATCCCTACTAAAATGCTGTGGTGCATTAGCCTCTGTCACATGTTACTGCCTGAACCACGATCGAGTGGGCTTCGTTATATAAAGATCGGGCCATCATGTGCATTTCCCTGGACCGGGCAATAATCCCGTAAATTAAGCGCAATAACTAGACTAACCAATATTGACGCTACCTCCTAGAGTGTGATAGTTTGCTTTGTTGCAAATCACCGACGTTTCTCTACCCCAGTATCAGGTGGGAAGCCCCCCAATGTTTCTACGAAGAGCACACGCCTGCATTTGTCTCTGGTACGACCCTCTCACATCTACTACCAGAGGTGACAGAATTTCGAGTGCCATACTGTTGCGAATCCAAGACTGGCAACATGTGGTCTACGGTATGAGGGCAATGGAGAGGGACAGACCAAAATATAGGGCAAATGGTTTGGACATGTTGTTATATATCTCTGATTCTCTATCTGCTAATAAATTCTTTTAAACAATTTGAGGTTTTGGATGATTGAAGGCATCTTGGAGTCTAATATCCATTTCATGGTTCGAGGTAAGGCGTGTGATAAGTGTCACCTCTTAGCCAGATTCGACTCTAAATAACACATCTCAAAAGTACACTTTAGGCAGTATATCTATTTAATGGTCTAATGGGTGTAATAGAAAATAATTTTCAATTATTAGCCATAAGAAAATCTACTATCTCTAACCAACCCAACCCTTAAGGAAGTCGTCATCCCAGAGTTAGTTCGATAAAAACCGTATTAGACTACTTCCGTTATAGAACAACCTATATCTGAAATTGGCCTTCTCCCGGGGCTTTCTCACCACTGATCTTATTATCCACTATAACAGAGGAGGCGCTGGCTAATTTAAGATTCTTGATTCAATATAGCAACGCTGCAAAGGCAACCAGGCCCTATGTTGCAACTTACAAACATATAATAGCCAAGAAACCATGGTTGTACTTAGAGGCGTCGTTTTCGCGGAAAGGCTGCTGCCATGCCAAGCCACCGAGGTTTGCACTTATGACGATGAGTACTTGGTCGACAGAAGTGCTTTCGTATCTTTCAAGGAGGTTGCCGTCCCTGCCATGAAGAGCACGAAGACGACGTATTTGGCCCATTTGTCAGTGATGACGACAAGCATGTACTGAACACTTGTAAGTAGTAGACCGTAGCAGGTACATACAAAACAGGCTGGGCCTCGAAGTTTGACCTTTCAATTACTAAGCGACGCAAGCAAGAATAACAAGTACTGTACTCAACGCAACCCTCGCTCCAAACATACCGATGCTATACCCTTGTTACGACTTAGTGCACCGTAGTTTCCTATAAGGAGCTATACGAACCACTGCAATTGCTACAGGGGCGATTATAGCCTAGTCTTTTGCCCTGTGGCACGATGGTTAGGTGCGACACTTACAACCCAACACAAAACATGTACTCTCCACAATATACAGCAAGACCGGGATGCCCCTGACATCCAAAATATTTCCCTAATCACAGAGCACATAGGCCTACTACTTAAGAATAACACAGAACCGATCCAGTGGGAGTGTCCACAATCTTCAACGATACGGAGTTTGCGGGCTGATCAAGGGACACGGACTTCTGGCGGAGATGACTCTTGGAGGTTTAAAACAACAATTTGGATTCCTATAATAGACCTCTTAGAAATGGCCATCAAGACTCTCCTATCTTAGGGGGGGAAAAAAAAGTGCAAGCATACCAGTTCTTCACCGTAATACAAGAAATAGGTTTAGTAGACTCAACACATATAAGGCTAAGGAGAAAGAACGGACTATGACTATCACCAGAATACAGGGCCTACTTCATGTAATCAACAGCCGACCCAACTCCATTGTTCAACTACCTAAATCCAAGAATGGGGAGCGTCTCCAACCATTTCATAGACCCGAGAGCGCCTAGGGTCTCCGTGTATACCATGGGCCTCAGTCTGAACAGAGTCTCCACTCATTTCATATGGTACAGCCTGCGGTATAAACTGCGGTATCCCTTGGGATGTCGTACTTTGAGCACCCGGCGAGCCTGGTTGATTCATCCAACCTTGCGGTGAGGCAGAATTGCCGGCCGAGCTTGGAGAGGTCATCATGGAACTTCTCCATCCGGACTGCACGGAGGAATTTGGGCCCGGCTTTCCGACGATCAGGTTAAATGACGGTGTGCCAGTTGATTGCGTTTGTTCCATTGGAGAAATCTGCGATGGGGAACGCAGTCGCTCAGCAGAAGAAGTACCATTCTCCTTCGACCGTCGAACGAACCAGAAGATTGCGAGAAATACAAGCGACAGAGCTATAAAGCCTCCAATTGCGCTGCCGATAATGGCTCCGATATTGTTCCTGTTGGGGGGAGACGGAGGAGCAGGAGGGGAAGAAGGCTGAGAAGCATTAGAGGAGGATGACGACGTAGTAGAAGAAACAAATTCTGTTGATGCGATTTGCGAATCGGAGTTGGTGTAGGTTGCAGTGACTAAGCCTGCGTTTTTCTGATCCTTATAGGTAAAAGCTACGCTCGAAGCTCGTGTCTCGGGAGTTGGCACGCATCTGTAGTCTTGAATCCCGTCTGGGTAGGCATAAGTTCGACAATAAGCAGCTGACTCTTCGGTGCTACAGTGCAGTTCCTGCTATTAATACACATATTCATAACCCTGTAGGGAAACTTGGCTTACCAGCGAAGATTGTGACCACCCACGCAGACATCGTTGCAAATATCTGTATTCAGTGCTTCCTCCCTCTCATAACAAGTAAGGTGATACTCCCACTTATTATAGTCCGTAAGGGGGCCGCATATTAATGCTATTGAACTCATCCACATACAAGGTTGATGGTTTTCGCACGTAATTGGGACACCTGGACGCCCCGACAACCAGCCGCACGTCTCATCCGGCGCTATGGTGACTGTCACCACGTCGTTTGACGAACTAGCTATCTGGCGTTTTGCAGCTTGTCGGGGCAGAGGCATCTCCACCATCTTGGTTTGTTCAGGTGGTCGATCATGGCTCGAGGCATGAAACTGTTGCGTAGGCTCCGAAATGGCTCGTCCCTGTGAACCCTGTATAGCCAACACGATGAGGACTATGGCAAAACCCAGTAGGTTGCTCATGGCGACGGTATCATTGGAGAGATCTTGGAAACAAACTGTCGGTAGTCATATTTGCAAAACGTAGACACATAGTTTTGCTTTGCACGTTCTCGGTCTCGGACCTCAACAACGGCGGCATATACGCGCTCACAGGCGGCCCCGATCGATACCAGAATTAAAGCACCTTACATAAACAGTGTGCATAACACAACCAAGCCTTTCCGGGACGCTGAGAGGGTGGAGGTCTAGAATTAGTGTGGCCTGGTGCATAGCCACCAAAGAAACTCAGCCTAAGATAGGCTTGTTGATATGAGACATGAAGGTGGGGGAGGTGTCATAATGATGCAGCCACTAGACCACGTTTTGGTTAGGGCTATACAGGAATAAAGACACCGTAAGCCACTAAGAAATTAGGCCAACAACTGCAGGACGGTGCGAATAAGTTGATGAATGGAATTGCGAAATGAAGTAGTTAGGAGGCTTCTATTACGCGTCATTGTAACATAGTCGTTGTGTGATAGGTCTAGCTGCACGGTATCGTCAAAACAACATCTTTGAGGAATCATAAGCAACGTCAAAAAGGCTCAAACGATGGTTCAGGTATACCATACTTCCCCTTCACATGTCAAGCTCTAGCATCATCATCTATAGCTTTCGTTTCTACAGTTCCAGAGACACACTTTCTACGGCTCTCCACAGGTGACATTTTCCTGCCCCATAAGCTGGCCATTTCTACGATCACGACCTTGGCTTATGCATTGCCAGTGACTTACTCACTACTAGATGTGACAACCCCTCTCCTACAGGATTCTCACATCCTTTTCCGTTATGTATCAGATCAAGGGCGGATATTATGCTAGCCTTGCTATTATCATTGTAAAATAATTTAGATGTACTTATTTTGTTTCCTTTACTAGATGCGTTCCAGACCTCAGTGGTTATTTTACTAGATAAGTCAGTCTCTAAGTGATACCACACCGTTTAATAGGCCTGTGGCCTCATTCCCAAAGAAACTGGATTCAAGGGCAGGCCAGCTTTATAGGTGATGTGTCATCGCACAATACAATCGCATTCTGATTCGCTGGCCTGCATTGATTTGACGAAGTGCTCCTGTAACCGACGAATACATGATGGTGTGATAAATCATCGTTGCAACCACCGCATCGCCCTCCTCCTTCAATAGAGGTGCGTGTGGTTTGCGACCTGACCATGGCAACTACACTGACCGATAAGGTTACCAACAATCAACTTTGAACTGGGTAACGTATTTCACTCGTCATGTGGTGATTTGAGTATCGCCGTTCTAATTATGAACGTCGTCAAAAGTATCCGTTTGAACACGGCGATCTAGATGACAGCCTAGAGCCCTCATCGATAAAGATTGCATTAGACAAAAGAAAGTAAAAGGCGTACGCCACGAGGAGAATCATTCCGCCAATGATCGCTCTATTCGACCCTGTGACGAGGGAGACAAGCTGGATTTCGCCTATCCGATGAACCCATCTAAAAAAGGTGAAAGCCACTGAACCCACGGAATCCAGAGAAAACTGGAGCCGAGGAGAGCTGAAACTTACCATGGCTTCTCGCAATGCCCATGGCACCTCTTCTAACAACTCAACCTTTCATTGATCCCAACTCCGACAAATCGGATACGGCGGATATACCTAAATTTCAGATTCGACACTCGAGACGGACTGCGCCGCTACCACTGCCATCTTTCAGCCCTGAGACTTAAACTTTTGTAATTGCCGTCTCAAAGCGGGGGTACAAAGAACATACGAAAAGTGCCATGATTAGACACAATATGGCCTAGACGTTTTATTATAAATCATAAGCGTAGTACTTTCTTGAGGCATCCTCAATCATTCAACCAGTTGGTATCTGCGTCTACGGGAGACAAAATTTCATACTATGCATCTGCTAAAAGGTCTAATCATCGGGCTTCTATTTGAACAAGCCCAAGCTCAGGCAGCCACAAATCCGGCATCTGAACCTGTTGCGACAGTTCTACCCTCTGATTCTATATTATTAGAACCTATTCCTCCAGTTTCATCATCATCAGAATTTGTACCAGCCGAGTCTACAACCTCTGAACCTGCTCCGGCAATCTCACCCGCTAGTACTACACTATCTGAACCTTCATTAACTGGATCTACTACAACTGAAGTTACGCCAATAGAATCTTCTACAGCTGCATCTATACCTTCTAATGTTACACCACCTGAGTCTACTCAACCAGAAACTACACCATCTGAACCTTCATTAACTGGATCTACTGCAACTGAAGTTACGCCAATAGAATCTACTACAGCTGCATCTGTACCTTCCGATGTTACACCACCTGAGTCTACTCAACCAGAAACTACACCATCTGAACCTTCATTAACTGGATCTACTGCAACTGAAGTTACGCCAATAGAATCTACTACAGCTGCATCTGTACCTTCCGATGTTACACCACCTGAGTCTACTCAACCAGAAGCTACAACATCTGAACCTATTCTGACAGTTTCGTCCTCTGAAACTACACCATCTAAACCTTCATTAACTGGATCTACTGCAACTGAAGTTACGCCAATAGAATCTACTACAGCTGCATCTATACCTTCCGATGTTACACCACCTGAGTCTACTCAACCAGAAGCTACAACATCTGAACCTATTCTGACAGTTTCGTCCTCTGAAACTACACCATCTGAATCTTCACCAACAGAATCTACAGAACCGACGCCACTTCAATCTACTCAAACACAATCTATACAATCAGAATCTTCACCACCTGAGTCTACTCAACCAGAAGCTACAACATCTGAACCTATTCTGGCAGTTTCGTCCTCTGAAACTACACCATCTGAATCTTCACCAACAGAATCTACTGAACCGACGCCACTTCAATCTACTCAAACACAATCTATACAATCAGAATCTTCACCACCTGAGTCTACTCAACCAGAAGCTACAACATCTGAACCTCTTCTGACAGTTTCGTCCTTTAATACTATCCTACCTAAATCTTCACCAACAGAATTTACAGAACCGACGCTACTTCAATCTACTCAAACACAATCTATACAATCGGAATCTTCATCACCTGAATCTAGTCCATCTCAAACCGCTCCTCTAGTCCCACCTTCTGAAGCTCCATCTTCTGAGTTTATATCCTCTGGCACTACACTACCTGAATCTTCAAGAGGCTCTACTCCAACGGAACCTACACTGCCTGAGTCGACTCAAACAGAATCTATACTATCACAGTCTACGCCAACAGGATCTACACCATTTGAATCTACACAATCTCAACCTGCTCCTCTTCTCCCATCCTCTCAGTCTATACCCTCTAAATTTACATCATCCGAGACTCCAACCCTAGAGACACAAAAGGAGCCCCCCCAGATCACTGAAAGCCAAACTAGTCCTCTTGGAAGTCTCCAGGAGCCGACTAGGGCAGCCAGTGAGGCCATCAGTCCCCCCGATAAAGCGAGACCTGGCACCTCAGGATTTAGGACTGCTTCTAGCCCTGCTTCTAGCCCTACGGGCCAGTCACTAGAATTAGACCTCCAAGGCTCTATACTCGGTCCAAACGCAAGGTTTATCTTAATTGACGGTGAGACAGCAATGCAGGTCCACCTACTAAGTGCTTTGTATTCGCTATAGACTGACACCTGTACTAGTCTGCTAACAGCCCCACCCTTCGGCAGGGCATCCTTCAGTCTCAATATAAACAGACCGTCAAGTATCGCGCCGGGGGAACTCATTAACCTCTTGGCGTCAATCAGGGTTGAATTTAATGGCGCCCCCAAACCACATGCCAGGTCTCTCTTCCGGCGCGAAATGACAGGCTCTCGTCTACAAATGATTCTGGATGAGAAGTCAATCTACGATAAAGAACTTGAGACTACTGGTGGTAAATTCCAAGAGGTGAAGAGTGAAAAGACTACGATTTCTAGCCATCCCAACATCGAGATGGTCCAGAATTCTGGGAGTAAACCTGTGGCTCTTACAGTCCGTGGCCTCTCGCTTGTAAAGGCAGAGAGATCAGCCATCTCAGTGAAAGAGCCAACCATCCCAGCAGAGGAACCAACCATTCCAGCAAAGGAGCCAACTATTCCAGCACAAGAATCAACCGTCCCGGCAGAGAAGCCAACCATCCCAACAGAGGAACCAACCATTCCAGCAAAGGAGCCAACTATTCCAGCACAGGAATCAACCGTCCCGGCAGAGAAGCAAACCATCCCAACAGAGGAACCAACCATTCCGGCGAAGGTAACCCAGACAGAGTCTGCCCAACAAACCACACGCTCTAGTGGGAGTAGTAAAACTGGTGGGATCATGGAGTCTGGGAGTCACGTTTCTATGTCGAATTTGGAGTCTGAAAGTGTTACTGGCACTGGCACAAGCCCTATTCTGCCAACTACGTCCGGACCTGTTGAGATTGTGCCAAATAAGGGAGGACATGATTTTAAAATAAATACAGCGGCAGTGTATATAATACCTCTTATAGTTTTAATTATAGTAGTTTAGTAGCTAAAAGGAATACACTATTACCTTATTATAATCCTTATCATAATTAACAGGAGATATTAACCAAGTGGAATAGCTTAAGTGTTGGGGTCATTGCATCCCAGGGTCAGGCTGCCTAAAGTAAGGATGTTCGGGAGATATCTGACGAGGGAAAGGCAATTATTGGTAGCTTTTTTATTGGAAAGGCGCCTAATGCCATTGGCGACCGCCTGTGTCATAGCCCTGTGAATATCCCGGCGGTAAAGGCTCAAGTAGTACAACCTAAAGAATGGAGTTGTCCTCTATTGCTTGCCCGCCTAGAGAACATGGCTGAAGGGGCTCTAAATAACTAACTCCTTAAAACACACTTCAGGCAGCATGTCAACTACCTACACAATATCCCAAGATAAGCTTTTTAGCTTATCATCTGATCAAATCTCACGCAGACACACCCCCACTCGGGCCACACCCTTGTCAATCTTAAAGGGAGGAGTCGATAAGCAAGGCACGGGAGATGTGGATAGGAATGTGTGTTTGTATTGACTGTGACTAGAAAAGAGTAGTTACATTAGGCATCTTGAAAAGGAGATACCTAGAACCTAGAATGCGAGCAGAAATACCCAGCTCTACTATTCTTCCAGCGTCTGCTATCCTCGCAGAGACTAAACCTGTTCCAATTGGTGTATATACGTGTTTTTGAGAGTATAGGAAAGATACCATCAGAAATAATGGTTATATTCAAGACCAGGCGGCCCTACATTGCCGACGTTACCATTGTCCCAATGGGTGCTGAGTTTTCTCTCTTTCCAGTATGCGTCCGCGCCCTTCATCGGACCAGGCTTCTATTGAAGATCCTTGGAGCCTGATTCTCAACCAGTCATTCGTCTTGTTTGTCCGCTCGATTTCTACACTACTTAGATAGCCACGACTGGGAAAAGACCTCGCCCATGCCCAAACTGAGTGGCAAGAAGTTCCTCACGGACGACTTGAACCTGGCTATCCTCCAAACTTCGTCACGCCGTCTGCAGGACTATCGCTGCCCACACTATTTACTGCTACGGGGATCCCACGGTCAAGCTTCAAGACACATCAGCTGTCACTCCGCTCTCGCTTGCCCCGACTGTCTCAAAGATCAACGACGACGGAACAGACACAAGGCTGACGACAAAGTAGTATTATATACCCTGAAGACCACTGGCATTGTGCTTTTCCAATCCAAGCAGTCCAGTCCGGCGTGAAGCAACAACTCAATTGCTTCGAAGTATGCCCAGAAACTAAGCAGGCTGTCGTCAAAGAGCGCTTTATCGGTCTGGGCGATTAAACTGCCATCCTTGTCGTTCTCACGACACCCAACGCCGTCAAGCAATAACATCTACGCCCAGTTGCAAGGAATATTTATTCACTACATTTATTGATGTGGAAACTTTCCATAGACAACGACAGTAAACCAGAAATGAAAGCCCGATCTGCCAAATTTCTAAGCTTATGTCCATATCTGCATTGTTGTTTGGTCGGGTAAGCAGTCTTTGTGGAAACAGTTTGATCAGGCTGACATCTATTTCTATTTTCGCATAAGCTTTTATTACAAACTTATATCTGACAGGACACAACAGCAGCTGATATACTCACGATCACTGGATCGATGTGGTATTTTTTGTGTTGTAGTAAAATGCGGTCCAGTTAATCAAGAGCATTATCGTTCTATGGCCTATGATGCCTCATGTGCCTTAAGGAAAGCTATAATTCAACGTTAACACCCATGAAGCCGCTTGATCGAATAAACAATAACGATGTAGTGACATGGAAAGTTACCCTGAACTTGTTTACGACGATCGTGAATGACCACAACTAGCATTAGGCAGCAGGCTACTGCCTATGATATTGGAAGGCTGAACACAGGTACAAGAAGCCTCCCTTCGTCGCTTCCTTAGATAGAAAGGAGTAGCGAAAAATTCAATTTCTTCTTTCAACACCCCTGTTGCACATCTCTAAGCCCTGAGAAGGATATGAGATGCTGGTTGGTGTAGAAGTGTAAATATGGCGCATTGCTAGTCTACATTAATGAGTAGGGCGCGGAAGAAAGAACTTTTCGGAACTTCGTTCCTTAAGGCATAAGAACCTCAATTTTATAAAATGCACTCAGGATCCCTGCGCAATCCAACAAAACCAGATCAGTGATCCCAACAGTTACTCCCCTCTGCCGGGGTGTGCAAGCCACTGAAACCCAAGTCTGATTCATCAGCGCCACTCTCCCACCCGGGAGACTTGGACGGTGACGGAATCCAGAAATCATTTAGGTCGTCATTCAGCCCTGCAGTGCTGCCATCAGTCTCTGAAATAACTGATGACCTGTATAGTCCACCTACAGTTGGTTCACTTTCAGCCCTAGAGATATTATTCTGCAATAGGTCCTGCCCGTTGATATCTACCACGGTCTTTTCTTCCACACTATGATCGGGGCTGGCTGTGTGTGCACTATTGTCTTTGGTAGGTTGGTTTTCTCTTGGTATATTCCGGTGTTTACGCACCGCGTCCATGATATTGTGCATGTCCTGCGCTATTATAGTATGGTTGCTGCTGAGAATTTGGGTGGCATAACCCTCCGATCCCCATTTCGTAAGCAGATCGCGGACATTAAAGACCTCGGCCACACTTTGTGCGAGTTTGATCAGCTTTTCATCGTCGTCGGGCAGGCTGTTGTAACGCTAAAGGGCGATGGTAAGGAAAATCCACGAGTGGTGGAAGGCCTCATATACTTTGTATACCAGTTTCCGGACTAGTAAACTCTCTTAGCATGCGCCAGAACTTCTATTCTTGCTTGCGTCTTGGTAAATTGGTCGGAGTCCTTCATGTTGTCCCATTCCCTCCATGTCTTGTATCCGAACCCAGCTGTCGAGATAACACCACCGCCAATACACACGACGCGGGCTGCAGTTAGGGAGAGACCTCCTCCAGGAATGAAGCAGGATGCTACGGCAACGAAAAAGGACAATCCGGTCAATACAGCCCATTTGTTACGTTCATCCCTGTATTCAGCGGTTTCTTTCTCTGCCAACTTGTACAAACTGACCTGTCTGCTCAATGCTGCTCTTCAACGAGTTGACCGCTATATTGATGCTGTCAAGGGACATTTCGCCTTGTTGTTCGCACTGGCCCGAACACTTAGTCAGTTCTCGCACCGATGGTAAAATGAGCTTTGTCTTTACCCAATAAAGTGTCCAGGGTTGATACCAATTCCTCGGTGTTTTGTCGAGGAATTGACTTGCATAATTCATTGCTCTATGCAACTCGCCCTTGTCGAGTTCGGCTAGCCGCAAAAGCCCCTTTGTGAAAACTTGTCAGTGGCGCGAGGCAACAAGGTACTTGTAATGGGACAGAAGGTACAACCTCCTCGAGTAACATGGCAGTTACATTCCCTCCTCTTAGAATGTAAAGGACCATATCGATCCTTCTCGTTGTATCCTGTAGCTCCACAGCCTGTGCATGAGGGCGTTTGACGTATGCCGTGGCATGGTCGTCGGTAGAGGCGATCGTTCTGGGTGGGATAAGCTCCAAGAATCTGCCTAGTCCTTGCACGCATTCTGCGACGGTCACTACAGCTTTCATCCTGGTTTGGTTAGCAAACTACCTATAAATGTAGAGCGATGTTGCAAGATCGTACGGGCCCATAAACCATCTAACTGGATCTCGTGTGAAGAAATTGTTCCTGAGAGTTTGTGGGTCCTTAAAAGTTAGGCTCTCCGTGAGGCTTTTGCCCATGCTGATGATGAACGAACGAACAAAAGCCTGATCGACGTCGTTCTCTGTGCCAACCACGGGCTTGAAGAACACCTCCTGGCCGTTGCGAATGGATTCCAGGGACGTATTGCCGCCAACACGAAAGAGATTGTCACAAAAGGTATCGATAATTTTGCAAACCTCGGGGTCGCCGTCTTGGAAACGTCGACGGAACGTAATCTGCAGGGCATTGTTGAGAAAGAGATTTGACGACTACAAAATTGGTGACTAATCATTGCATCAACTCTCTTCTCTACGTTCGCATGGCGAATTCGTAAATCTATGGATACGAAATCTTTCCGGGCAGTGGCTTCAACACTTTCTCGTTCGCTTGCAGGATCTTGATTTCGTCATTGACGTCGTCGAGGAGACGCGGATGGAGCACCAAGATGCGGAGTTCGAACGATTGCATCTTTGCTGCCTGGCTCAGACGCCGACTCGTCAACCCACTCACTGACTTAGAGAAGGAGAAACGGGATTACGACGTCTTGTATGCGGATTCAAGCACGTTGTGGGCGTAGATAGGATGCAAATTAGGTAGGAAAGGACGCGGTCAGACGTGTAGGATTCGAGGGGGAAGATCAACAGGCATGAGCGGGGTAGAACATATAGTAAATTTATTTATATATATATATAAATAAAAGTAAAAAGTAAATAAATTACACTTTACCCCTATATATCTATTTTAAGATAGAATATTAACTTAAGAATTCCTAATATCCTTAATATTATATCCCTAAACTACATTTCCCTCTCTTCTTACTTAAGTTAAGAACCAGAAGTCCTTAAACCTTAAGATGGATGTAATTAAACTTGCTCTTATGGACCTTGCGCGTCCCATAAGCCCTGTAATTGTTCCAGTTATACTCCTCAACAGTAACCATATCCTTATCAACAGCAGAAACCCAAGCAACATGTCCGGATTTCCCAGCATTCGTCTGAGCAATACAGCCCGGCACAGGCTTATTATCAACTCTCACACCACTCGCCCTAGCGGCCTCATCCCACTCATTCCCATTGCCCCACGCCTTTCCCTTGTACTTGTTGTGGACCTTAGGGAGAAAGGAAATAAATAAATTAATAAGGGAAATATAAGTAAAGCTATTTATACCTATTTATCTTATATTAGGATTAAATATATCTTATTATATTATAAAGCTATATTATTAAAAGCTTTTTTAATTTTTTTTATTTACTTTATTTTAATTTTAATATTATAATTAAAATATATTATACTTATAATACTATAACTAAGTAATTAAAAAAGGTAAAAAGGTTATAATAATAAAAAGAGGTTATTTATAAAAATATAATATATTTATATAAATAGCCTTTTTAATATATAATTTAAAGGTAAAGAGTAATAATAAAAAAAGGATTATATAAAATAATATCTTTTAATACTTCTTAACTATAAGCTAAGTATAAACTACTAGTTAAGTTTAATTAAGATAGGGTCTTTATTATAAGATAGAGAATTAAATAATTAGTTTAATAGTATTAAATATAAAGGAAAAAGAATAAGAATTAATTTTAAAGAAGCCTCTTAAAAAGCATAAGGAAAGTCTTTAGTCCTAAAGGGATATTACACTTTTATACCTTATTACTATAAATATCTATTTAGCCCTACTAACAAGCTTAGACCTCTTACCCTGGAATACTTGCTATAATTATTATATTACTAATAAGCCTGCAGTTAGTTATCTCTTAAAAAAGAAGCTTAAGACTTATTAGCCTATTAATTTAATATTATATTTACTTCTCTTAGTAAAGTATTACTTTCTAATAGCCTTTAATATAATAAGAGATATTAGTAATTATTATTATAATATTTTAAGCTCCTTAATACTTAAGGGATTAAAATTAATATAGAAAGTTATTAATAAGGCTATTATACTTAAAGATACTATTAAGAATTATATTAAAGATTACTATATATATATTAAGAAGTAATATTATTAAAGAAAATATAAAAAATAAATAAGTTTAATAAGAGATTATATTTATAATATATACTTATAAAAGCTATAAGATTAATATATTAAGTTTATTAAAGTAAAAGATAAGGCATAGTAAAGATTATAGCTTGAAAATTTTTAATTATTTATAATATAATAAATAAAGGAAATAAAGACTAAGTAATAAGAAAATAAGGATATTATTATTAATAGTATTATAAAAAAGATATAGTTTAAATAATAGCTTAAATATACTAGAAAGGATATAGAACATGCCTCTTATAACTCCCTAAGAGCCGAGATAACTTTTTAACTTAAAAAAAAGGAGGATTTCTTTATAATCAATACCTAGCTTACCCTGGAAGTCTGTGAGACTAGTTGCGAGGCCAGCTTTACAGTAAAACCCCTCTTAGCAGTAGATTTATTAGGGCTTCTCTATAGCGATAATTCCGTCGATTTTACTCTCACACAACCGCCGGAAGATGCTGCTGAAGATGAAGATATCGATGTATCTGATAAAGAGGATCTCGCGATGCCCTCATTGCCGCCCTGCCTACCTGACGACCAGTCGCCCTTTCTATCAGCACCGTTAACGCCATGCCCGCTTCAACACCACGCCCAATTTCGCGATGCCCTTATAAATCTCATTAAAGAAGAAAGAGCTGCTACAGAAGCCAGTCACAGAATTCAGAAAGAACAGGAAACTCCCTAATTTATATAATAAGGAGTTCTCAATCATGCAGTTGGCTTGCCGCCGCTGTAGTCACAACCCTTAGTCAAATATAGTTAATAGTAAATATATTATCACAAGAAGCTTCAAATTTATAATTCCAGCGAATTTCCCATTTTCGACGCCGTTGAAGGTGGTGAAATATCGAAAATACCGCAACACGCACCAAACATCGGGCCCCCGCGTTGTCTCACACTTTTGTGCCCAACTAAGCTTGCTTTGGCACCCCCCGGCAGCTCGAGCCAACAGGTAGTATTTAAATTAGCGGAAAGTTTTTTCACATTACCAGACGCTAAATAAGCACTGCCACTAGCCAAGATATCTTTCAAAGAGGGGCAATACTTGTGACAGTTATATTCCAGACAGGTAAACTAGTTTGTACTAGATGTCGTGTTGCAGATGGCATAAGGCGTAATATTAAGTAGAGTAAAGTGTTACGTCTCTAAGTACTAGATTTAATGTGTATTAGGCTTAAAAACAGAGTATAGTATAATATAAAGCTAAAGATTGCTAATACATATAACTTTAATTTAATATTGAAATGAGGGTCTGTATAATTGGATAAGCAGACCTCCTATAGTGGATCTGCCCCAACAGCTTAAATAGTTTATCTGCGCCTCTCCTTTGTAATGAAAATCAAGGCTCTTTAAATTTCTGTGCCCCAATTGCTGTGCATAACATTCTACACCATCAATATCAACACCAATGCCGATAATAGCCTGCCATGAAACTGCTCACACTACCTCCCGAAGTGATAGTACTCATCACTTCCTATATGCTGTGCGAAAACAGCGCACAAAACGAGAAAGACCTCGCTAGGCTTGCCAATACCTGCCATCAACTTCATAGAGTGGTTAATCCTATTCTCTACCGTCATAACTGCAGCTTCTCAGGAAGCTCAGCCTTGCTATGGGCTGTTGAAAGGGACATTCCAGAGGTCGTAGCTAATGCCTGCGATGCAGGCACCGACCTTGAACGTTGCTATGGGATGCCGCTGTTACGCTGTGCCGCAGGCAAGGGACATGTACGTGTCATTCGGGAATTGTTACAACGATGCAGACTTCGTTTCTTTGACACTAAAACTGCGGTTACTGTTGCACTCGAGAACGATCTCGCAGAAGTGATACAGGTACTTGTCGACAATGGCCTAGACCCTTCAAAACCAATTGATAGCATGCTCAAGACATATTTGCACCAGGCTTCTGAGTTGGGTGCTGTCAAATCTGTTGCTGTCATGTTAAAGGCTGGCGCCAATGTCTCAGCTCGCCATCATATCGACGGAACGCCGTTGTACTTCGCTGCGATTAAAGGCAAGGTTGAGGTGATTAAGTTACTTATGGAACGTGGCGCAGACGCAGGCCGCCTTGGTGTCGAAGACTATTCGCCGCTTGCAGAAGCTGTACGAAGAAATCAGCCGCTCGCCATAGAAGCAATACTACAGAGCAGCAGAAATACAGGCATGACCAAGAGCAAAGTAATACCCGCATCTTTGTTCTATGCGGCTGCAGCATCTGGCTCGCCTACTCTAATAAAACTGCTTATTGAGCATGGTGCCAACCCGAATATTGCACCAGATGGGCGGTTCCCCCTCACAGTGGCTGCCGAGTGTGGTAACGTCGAGATGGTTAAGGTTCTGCTAGAGTGCGGAGTTGATATTGATGCTCAATATGAAGGGGACGACACCCCATTGCACATGGCTATGAAGGGCAATCACCCTGAAACAATCATGGTGCTCATTGAGGCTGGAGCAAACGTCTCCTCGGCTGATAGGAGCGGCCTTCAACCGTTACACATGGTGCCGCAGTGTGACAAATCTGCAGAGATCATCGATTCTCTATTGGCGAAGGGGGCTGACTTATCTGCTGTTAGCAATGACGGATTAACGATTCTCCAAAGCAGTGCAGAGGTCAGCAACTTCGATGTGGTCCGTCTTCTTCTTGAACGGGGCGCACATCCCAAGCTATCCACTGATCGGACACTGCTGCTAGCATCCCATCATGGTCAAGAGTGGATCGTTGAGCATCTCCTAAACTGTGTTTGTGATTTGGAGATGACAGACAACGATGGATGCACTCCACTACTCGCCGCAGCACAGTTTGGCTCCCTCAAAGTGGTCCGTATGCTCCTTATAAAAGGTGCCAATATCAAGGCTACCAACAAATCGGGATGCGGGTCAGCCTTATTAGCGGCTATTGGCTCGCACGCCGATATCATATGTGAGCTTCTTGGTACCGGCAACGTTGATCTGGACCAGCAAGACTTGGACGGTCGAACAGCTCTCTTTTATGCCATCATGCTTGGCCATCAATCTGTTGTCGAAGCACTCCTCACACACCATTCCCCTCCTGCACTCAACACCAAAGATAGGTATGGGGCGACACCATTCATCATGGCCGCACGAAATGGTCATCTGGCTCTCATAGAACATCTTCTTCCATTTGTCAACCAGTGGGACGTACTGCATGATAGAGATGATTGGGGCCAAGATGCTCTGTACTGGGCTGCGGTGTGCAAGAACCCGCAAGTCAAGAATCGCCTCGAATCTTATGCTCGAGATTTGGGCATGGATGCGCGGTCTTATGTTAGCACGCCTATTCATCCCCATGCCCTATTTACAAGCCAGACTTGCTATTGCGACGTGTGTGGGAGATGTACAATACACGGCATGCGGGGGCGAGCCCAACAATGTCGTCACTGTGTCTGCGCTGCCGGAGGCCAGTTTCTCATTTGCTCGTCTTGCTCTAGAGCGGGCGCAAAGTGCAGGGACGCCAGTCATATATGGGACCTTTATGAATGCGGGAATGGGGATATGTCTGCGTATGGTTCGGACTCTGGGTCCGCCTCTGAGCCTGAGGAAGAGCCGTATGATAGTGATGGTGCCGATAGAGAGCAAAATTAAGCGTTTTCAAAATCTTAGCAGCTTGTTTACTTGTTTTTTCTATAATATGATATAGAGGTATTTTTAGTAGTAGGAGACCGAGGATAGTGTAAAGATTTCAGTTATAATTAAAATCGTTAGAATAACAACTTTTTTAGTTAATATTAACCTTTATAATATATAATAATTAAATTAAGTATTAATATAGTTAATAAGCTTATAACCTAGATAAGTATATAACTTAATATACTGTGTATACCTAGAAATACATATCCTATAGTATGTAAAGTTATAAATAAATAAATAAATATCTAATTAAAATATTTTTTATAATAGTATACTTAACTTTATTAAATAACACTTTTTAAAGATTTTTAGGTATTTTCCCACATATAGAAAATATTAAAATACAGTGTATTTTATAATATAAATAAAGTTTAAAGTATATAGCTATATAAAAGGTATTATTAAAGTTTAAGAAAAATACTATAACTTATAATAAGACTTATATATAAGCTATTAAGAATATAGCAATTTTAGACTTTATTTAAAATTTTAAACAATTCTTTAAAAACTAGGTTTAAAGTAAAAATATAACTAAGTTATATACTTATATAGGTTATAAGCTTATTAACTATATTATATTCTTATATATTATTTACTTTAACTCTTAATTACTTCTACTAATATTAATTAAATCTCTATTATCTTAATATCTATTTATAACAGTCTGTAGCTATAACCCTAATATGTATATAAACTTATAACCTCTATTAGCAAGCAGAGTAATAGGAGTACTAGTAAGCGGCGCTTTAGTTACTGCAAGCATTTATAAGCCTAATAAATTGGCTTGGTTTTATCTGGATTCCCGTAAGTTTTAGAGAAAGCTACTATCAGGAGTTCGACTTCATCCACAGCGGGAATTACCATACCTACCCTGCTTAATTTACCTATGACCAAAAACTTGCCGAGTGGCAGAGCATTTGCTTTTATATTGGATTCTGGCTTTATAAGAGTTGGTTGCTTGTCTTCTAGATATTTTGACACCGTCGGGCTGTGCCTCCTTGTCCACAATACTTCAACCGATTCACTCTACGACCATGCCGATTGAAGAGTTCAGTTTAGAGTTTGAGTTGGACGAAGATCTGTCCACGCCGGTTGGAGCGACCAGCGAAGACACATGCCACCTCATATATGCGACGATGAAGCAGCCAGCTTTCCCGTTGTAAGCGAGATCAGTAGGCTTGTGAAGGGCAATTTCAAGGGTCAAGACGCCCTATAACATTTAGGTGACAGCAATGAGACTTGGTGGTGGGTGCAAAAGTCCAAGGCGCAGACTTTGCTTGATATCTGAAGGGCGCGACTAAAGATCCCCTCGACAATGATGAAACATTTATTTCCATCTGCGCGGGCGCTGCTGACAAGAGAAGCGGATCTGCAAGCTCGGATCTGGAGCCTGCCCCTAGAAATCCGCCTTGGACTTCGGCTGGGGTTGAACAAGATGAAGGAGTAGATCCGAAGTACTCGAGAACTAGGCAGCGTCAATCTATCGTTCTAGTCAACTGGGTGGTGCACGACCAATACATCTTTATTACGTTAGCCAAAGTCGGCGGAGATGCTCCACTGGTTGAACGACTCGATCTGAGTTATGATGACTTTGAGAAATGGTGCCAGATTCACCTCGGGCTTCGAACAGCGCGGCACCCGCGACTTGATGGAGAGGATTCCCCGAGGGATTTAGATAAACTTCTCGAGCATATCGAAACCTTCGCTGCACCTGGAGATCTCCTCGTCTTCTCTCCGTCACAAGCCGGACTACTCTCTCGTAACGAAGGAGTTAATAAATTCTAACTAATAAGAACTAATTAAACTGTCACCGATTCCATAGTGGCCCAAGCCACAAACGGTCTGGACCTTGCCATGCTGGAGTACTTACGTGAGATAATAGCCTAGGAATTCCTTTTAACCAATTAGGTAGGCAATAGATGTCAGTAGGCAACAGATCTGGCTAGCATTGTGTCGCACTAAGACTTAGCTAGGCTAATAAGCGGCTATCGGCACTTGATATAGAAGCCTTAACACCCTCAATTGAACCATTCATTCATCTGTTAATTTCAGGGCTGAATCCGCTGTAGCGCTTACCACTTTGACGTAGAGCATCAATGATTAGGTCGCAATACAGAATAGTGAAGAAACTGGGGATAGCTGCCCAATCTTGGCTACTCGTAATAAATCTGAAGACGTTATGACCGTGGACAGCTTCGATCTGTAACACTGATATTGTTTATTACTTGTTTGTGCTGTACAGATATTTGTGCGTTCTTCTCCCTTCAGTGACTCTAGGGCCAAGCCACCCTTCCTGAGGCCCCTTTTAATAATAGGCCTGAGTACAGGCATTGCTATCCTCCAGCAGTACATTAGTTAGACGATGGCGCCTGACCATACCACTCTGCACGACATGCGCAGTCATGAGGTATATGAACCCCGCATCAGCCTGTCAAGGCTACCATTTCACTTCTTGCCATGATCTCTATTCATGCCGCGACTAATACTCGACGAGTCGTTGCCCTGAGTCGCAGAGTCTCCATAGCCCTTTTATTCGAACGCCATCCTCCCCAATACCAACAACCCCCAAGAAGATTGTTTTGCTCATATGTCAGCATCTAATTTGTCGTCTGCGGAGGCACCGCTGGGAGGTAATGGGCCACCCTTGCCTGCGGGCTGGGTGGCAAACTGGAGCCCAGAGCACAATGCATGGTTAGTTGCAGCAAGCTACATACCATCAAATGTTTCGAAAGTGTTGCTCACTCTTGTTGTCTAGGTACTATGTCTTTCCTGCTACTGGAGCTACTCAATGGGCGCTTCCAGTCTACCCACCTAGGCAACAACAATACCAGACTCTTCAAGATCGCAATGCCCCTACGATTGAGAATCCTACAAATACCACGGAAGTGGGGGTGGATAACCAACCCCTTGGAGATGGAGACCGCGGCCTGGGAAAGACTGCATTTGCTATGGGTGGAGGCTTTCTGGCTGGCTCTTCATTTCGCAACAAATTCGAGAAGCATCACGAAAGCCATGGCCAACAAGACGGTTTAGGTAAAGTGGCCCAGTCTATTGCAATCGCTGGCGCTGGTGCCGTTGGAGCCAAGATAATGGGTCTTTTTGGAAACAAGCAGCAGCAGCAGCAACCAGCGGTACAAACGGCAACGCACACGCATACGCAGACGCACTTCTATCCGGTCTATGTACCTGGACCCCAGGTATCGCCATCGCCATCATATTATGGGCAACATCCGCCAGGCAACTCCAGCTATGCTCACAATCCCAGCGGTGAGACAGTTGGCGTAGCTCCTGGCTTACAGAGCTTTGGCTCGCCACATCAGACGGGCGCTACGCCTGTGCCTCTTCAAAGCCCAAGTTCTATAGGTGCGTTTCAGCTCCAGAGTGGTCCACCACTGCACATATATGGTGCTGTATTCGCAGACAAGGACGTCACGCAAATAGTTCGAAGCCTCGTGACTCCACAACAAACTCTGCAAATTAAAGGAGATTCACTGGTTGAACAATTTGGGGACCCATGGCCTGAGGTGGAAAGAAAGATGTTTAACGTGTTGTATTCATACGGAGATCGACCTATGGAGGTTCTTGCCGCTGAGTAAGTCAAGTCTCATTTGATGGCTACAGCGTTCTGGGGTTAACCTGTTTGATGTAAAGCACGACCACGTCTAATATCGAAATCAAACATGAGGCTATATCCAAAAAGCGAATGGAATTCTGCCAAGCTCCACCCTCGCGAATCATTGCCGGGGTGTGGGGATACGAGAATGCATTAACGTAAGTGTCAGCTCGCTTCGACACATTTCTAGTTGCGCGGGTGACTGACAACATTGCACAGAAGGGCGAGGATAGAACAGTTGGAGAAAGAAGGTGAATTGGATGGTACGGGAGACACTCTTGGAGCAGGTGGGTTCTGGGGTTGGGAGCCAAAGACGTTGGTGTGCTATTATAGGACAAACACAGGGGATGTTGGGATCGCATATTGTAGAGATGGAGGGACAATCCGCCTCCCCTGGAACCCGCTAGCTAAATGGACTTAGCAAGTGGAAGAGGGAAAGGGGATTAATAATCACTGGTACTCTTCTTATTATAGGGCTTGAGTTTGAAGATATTATTCCAGATCAACGTCTTTCATAGTTAGCCCTCGGATGCCTCATCCTAGACCTAGCCCCGCCCTAGGATTCCCCCCCCCCGCCCAGTGATAGCTGAACTTACAGCAGCAGTACCTTAGGTCTAGGAAGACATGGCCTCTCTTATGCTTGAGTTGCACCCCCCAGAATCACCGTATACCACGCAAACAACCATAGTGGATAATGAAGATAATATACATGTTTTATAGCCTCCACTTGCTGGAAATTCTACACAGCGAACACGTAATGAAGAGGCCAAACCTACTAAAGAAAGGAGAGAAGGATATTAATTACTGTTTTAAAAGTAAGATATGCTTATCTTGTGCGGCTTATTATTGTACGGCCTTGATTTTGATTGGGATCTTCCCGATGCAGTGATTGGCTGGGTTCCATCGGAGGAGGACGACAACCTGTACTTGAAAGATTGCAAGAAAACTTCCCGACGCAAAGCCCCCAGTCGGTTAGACATAAGTGTAGCAGCTCTGGTTCTACTAGAGAGACTTTGGCAGCGCAATGCTATCGGTGCATCTGCAGAGGGAGGTGCTATTATTATAGAGCCCTATAATAGGTTATTGGATTTAAAGCGGCAACCGGTATTGGAAAGTCTGGCTGACGCCACGTGGTATACTAGTGGATATTTTTAAACGCGCGACCTTTTGTTTTACGTCCTAAAGAAGCTTGTGGGTAGTATAGTCTTGTTTCCTGAGCCATGTTACTATCTGAGGTTTCTCTTGTCAGGAAAGACTTATGATGAGAGTCTGTACTGTATTGGCTGGGTAAACGACTGCCAAGACTCCGGCCATTTACCTGGGGACTCTCCAAGGCCAAGATCCAGTGAACTAAAATTATGCTCCAAAAGTCTGTAAACGCTGCCCCGCCAACAGGGTTATCCACCACATAAATGCAAACTGGTCTAACTTCTTCAATTATATATAACTTCGATAAAATATATCGCAAAAGAACGGGATTTTGTCTATTATATACGCCAGGCGCTAAAGTAACCAAGAGCTAAGTAAGGTAGCTAGAGCTCTTATCGTTTAAGCTATAGAGGGCAGGAGGTTATACCGAGATATCGCAGAGGAGGCAGGATATTCAGCCGCTGCAGTCTTCAAGATCTTTTAATACTAGAAAACTTACTAAACCTTAGATAAAAAACGTTATTCTAGATGTCCTAGGAAACTTATAGTTTAGCAGATTTAGTATATATTAATAACTCTTAAATATAACTACAGGATTATATATAAATTGCTAGTTAATTATCTAGATAGCTAAATCTTATAAATAATAATATGCCAAGTTATCTGACTTTATTATAGTTATAAATAGAGGGCTATATAATAGATACTGCTATCTAGAGAAACTGCTTATTAGCGGCTTTCTTAATATTAAGCTTGGAAGGAAGATATTGAAGAATTGCTAGAGGTATATCGTTTTGAAGTTCGCAGATAGATGCCGGTCGGGAATCTCTTATTTAACTTTCGGCACCTTTAGACCATTTTTAGCAATAAATCATTAGTTTAATTATAACCTAATTATAAATAAGGTTAGGTATTTTAAAAGCCTTATAAGAAGTTTATAAAAGAATTAGTTAATATAATAGTTTATAGAAAGTTATAATTATTAATTATAGTTTAGGGAGCTATCTAAAGAGGCAGTAAGTCTAATATTATTATTATAATCTGCAATCAGACTGCATAAAGGAAAGGATATACTTCTATAAGTTATATATAGGCTTTAGAAGAAGGTTTATTTCCTATTTAGACTAGGTTTTGCCATTTTTAATAAGATAATACTTATATATATATATTAGAAGCTATAATAAACTGGCTATTAGAAAACGGCATTTCCTAGATTAATTGGCCTGCTTATAGTCCTAATCTTAACCTAATTAAGCATATTTAGAAGCAATTAAAGTTAAACATTCGCAAGATGTTTCCTTAATTAAATCTCTTAAAAAATAATAAAGTTAATAAGGCAAAGTTAATTAAATGTATTAAGTTAGTATAGGCAGTAATTATACTAGAGCAGATTAACTATCTGATTGACTTACTTCCCTGCCGACTTAATGCTTATATTTGCGCAAGGGGGTAGTATATAAAATATTAAAGAGAAAAATCAGGGCTTTAAAATAATATAACTTTTATTATTATTAGAATTTAATTAAATTAATTATATTTATGTAAAGTTATCGCGGTTGAAGTAGTTGAGTTGCTATAAGGTGGGGTGTTTACAGACTTTTGGAGCATAATTTTAACTCCCTTAATAGGGAACCTTCGTTTTGCCCTGCAGTTAGCTTCTTTCTCCAGACTAGCTCCTCCGCCAGGCTGATCTGTGGGGTCTACCTAGGATTCGGTAACTTTGGCCCCAGTCTCCGTACGAGAGAGAACCTGGGGAAGTCTACCTTGCCCATACTGTTGCTTTATTACCCTGCTTAATGGTGTCACAGTACTTCTTCTCCTTGGTGTGCTTTATTTCACAGTTAAGGGGTACATTATCCTGGTCGTGCTTTACTTGTAGAATCTGTTAATAGCGTGCCTATATAATAAAGGCTGTGTAGCTCTGCTGAAATATCCAGCTATCAACATATGTTCTTCCTTCGGACTTTCTGTATACAGTCTTACCCTCAAAGCACTCTTCAATCGAAATGGCCGTCAAAAGCAACTCAACAGATCTCGTCGACGAGAAGATCAAAGACAGGCAGTACATTGACACTGTTCACAATCAACCCGATCATAGCTATATCTCGCCGGAGGATATCCAGGGACGTTCCCCCTTGCTACGCGGTCTCAGCAAGGAGCAAATAGACACACTTAATAAGCGCGTACTCAGAAAGATTGTCTGGCGCCTGTTACCGATTGTTAATCTAATGTACTTAATGAAGTATGTTACTATATCTTCTTCAGTCTATCAAATGGAGCCTAACGTTATAGTTACCTTGACCGAATGTATGTCTCCAACGCCCGCCTTTCCGGGTTCCAGAGTGATCTCAACATGTCTGATACCACATGGAATGCCGGAATATCGACATTCTACATTGGCTACAGCCTATTTATAAGAACCTTTTAATCAATACAGCCTTTTTTAAATTTAAAACATAAAGGCTTAAGGGCCTAGAACGGAAATTACTTAGCAGGATATAGTTAAATAGGAGGTAAAGGGAGTTCCTTAAGGCCCTTTACAATAGCTTATATACTAAATAGCTTAAGGATATTTAATAGCAGGCTAAGGAGGTACTAAACAAAACTAAGAACTTATAATATATAAACTAGGCTAATTATAGTCTTAGACTATAAGAGTATAAAGATAAGGGGGATAGTATATTATAATATCTAGGATAATAGTAAGATACTTATAAGGTTTTATAGAAGAAAATATATTAAGATTTATATAAGTTTAATTACCTAAAGTTAATAACCTAAAGGTATAACTTTAGCAGTAAAAGAGAATTAATTAAGTTATATAATATAATATAAGATATATTATATAACTAAATAAGTAAATTAGGTATAATATTAGCAAATTGTTAATATAAACAGGGGCCTTATAATTAGGTAAAAGACTTAATAAGGAACCCTAAAGATAAGGAATAAAATAAATAAAGAAGGCATAAACTAATAAAGGCCTAAATATAATATAAAGATTAGGTTAGAAGTAAACTTAATCCGGCAACCTTACTATCTTCTATAGCCTATTAATTAAATACTATATTTTATAATTATATTTAATATAAGTATAAATTACTTTTAGGCTTTAATTAATTATTTATATTTAGGCCTTTAGTAATTATATTTATATAAAAACTATATCTTAAGCTTTACTTATTACTTAATATAAGTATAAGCCTAGTATTTATTAATAAGTAATATATTATAATTAATTAATAGTTAATTAGTTATTTCTTTAATAAATTATACTTAAAAGGGAAATCCTTATAAATCTAAGTTAAATTTAAATTAAATTATACTTTCTCCTTTTAAATTAAATAATTTTTATGTTTTTAAAACCTTACTAAGTTATAATTAAATATTATTATAAGAATAATATAACTTCTTATGATTACCTTAATAAGTATAAGTAATTAATTAAAGCTTTAGTTTTATATTATTTTAAAGGGCCTGAAATATAAGTAGTGTTTAGCCTTTTATATTATAATTAAATATCTTTTTTAATTAAACATTATTTATTAAAAAGTAAGGTACTAAGTTAAGGGATGTTTTATATATAAGCTTATTTAATATATTAGCTTATTATATATATTATATAAAATTATATTATATAGAAAAATACAAAAGTAATAATACAATAAAATATTTAAATATAAGAATAAGCTATTAAATATTTAATTACATCTTTATAGTTTTTATTTTTAATATCTTAATACATTTAATTAATATATTTTCTAAATATTACTTATTACTAATATTTATTACCTTATAATATAATATATAATATTAGTTTATTTAAGAAATTTAAAAAGCCTAAAGAAGTAAATAAGAGAAAATATAGCTATTATATAAAAAAGGAAGTAAAAATATATAAAGGCATATATATTAGCTACTTTCTTAAAGGGTTTAATATAATAGTTAAATAGTTAAATAGAGGGGTTAGGCAGGCAATGTATTAAGATGCCAAGGGTAATAAAGATAATTAAGATAATATTATAAAGTAGTTTAAAAAGACTTATATAAGTCTTTAATATCCTTTTTTTTAAGGGCTTATTATTTATTTTACTTATTAAGGTAAAGGCATTAACTATAAGGATATTAATATATATTAATATATAAATAAGATACTAAGGCAATAACTAGAGTATATACTATAAGTTAAGATATATAAAAGATATAATATAATTAAGGATATAAATAGTAAAAAGGGCAATAATAATTAGACTTATTATGCTAGGTTAGTTATTAAAGAAACTTTTTTAAAAGGCCTGCTTAGACTTAATAAAAATCTAATCTTTAATAAGTGTGCTGGTAAATGTTTAGTATATTAGATAGCTAGTTAAAATAAGGATATAGAGCTAGATTAAGCCAAAAGCCATAAAGGAAGTAATATAATTATATTAAGTACCCTTGGGTTTATTTCTAAGGGCAAGGATAAACTATAAGCCTAGGAATATAATATTTTAAAGGTAAAAAGTAATACTAAAGAAAAGACTTTATAAAACAATATCTTCTAATACTCTTAACTATAAGCTAAGTATAAATAGCTAGCTAGGTTTAATTAAAATAGGGTCTGTATTATAAGATAGAGAATTAAATAATTAGTTTAATAATATTAAATATAAAGGAAAAGAATATAAAATTATATATATAGAAGAAAAAGTATAAAACGCTAAAGTCCTTAAGGGAATTTATTTCTTTATATTTATTAGTATAGATATCTATTTAACCCTATTAATAAAGCTTAAACTACTTATCCTAAAATGCTTGCTATAATTATTATAAGATAAATATATTTAATTAAGATATTAATAATATATATAGCTATATTACTAAATAGCTAATTATAGTATTTAAATAAGATTTATAATATATTAATAAGCTATATTATAATAATTATAATAAATTAATAAGATATTAATAAGAATTAATTAAATAAAATATTAAAAAAGTTATAAATAAACTAAATATATAAAAAGAACTATTAAATAATATTATAATTAAATTAATATATTTCTCTAAAGTATATTAATAAATAAAAAGAAATAAAAAAGAATTTATTAAGCTAATAATTTTACTAACTAATAAACTTAATAATACCCCCTAGTATATTAATCTTTCCTTTTAAGGCCTTTATATAACTTAAATACTATTTTTAATTAGCCTTAGTAATTAGCTTAAAATAAAAATCTTTAATCCTTAGCTAGGAATATATTCTTTTTAAAAATATATATATTATTAATACTTTTCTTGCCTAGCTATTTAGAAAGTATATAATTACTATAAAAGTATTATTTTAAGAAGCAACCTATAATAGTATAAAACTAATAGGCTAAGAAGTCTGTTAGTAAAATACTAATATATCTAAAACCACTTTTTAGCATTTTATTAAAAATATTTAAGATTTTATACTTAAAATTTTAAACTATAATAAATAAATTAAGGAGCATTTTACCTCCTTTACTTTGTATAATATAGATCTTACTATAAGTATTACCTAAATCCCTATTATTATACAACACTTCCTATAAGGATAAAAGGATATAAGGGCCAGGCTTAGGTTTAGTATTAATAAGGATAATAACTTTAGGATTTAAAATATAACTAAAGGCATTAAATAGCTAGTAATATAAGTTAATTTTCTTATTATTCTTCTGCTTAAGATAGAAAAGAAACTGCATAGGAGGAAGGCTATATTATAGTTTATTATATACTAATTAAATAAGCTAGTAAGTAAGTATAATAAAGATTTAACTAGTATACTTAAAAATATAAGTAACTATTTCCTTATTATTAATATCCTTTTAAATAATAGCTGCTGCTGTCGCATTATCCAGCTCTCGCCGACATCAAACTCATCAAAGGTCGAGTCGGGGCAACCGTGGGCAAAGTCCGGAACAGACAGGACTTCACTGTGCCCGGCTTCGACATCATACTCGGGCCCGGGGTACTCAGAAGCGGGTGAGACAGGAGGCAGACTCTGATGTTCTGAGGGATAGTGCCCGAAGCCGCCATGTCCAAAGCTTCCGGACTCATAGCTGCCATGACCGAGACTTCCTTGGCCACCATAGCTACTGTTTCTAAGGCTTTCGTTGCTTGAGTTATGCAACAGGTTGTGGCTGGATTCATTTTGATCAAGGACTGGGTGTTGTCCGCCGGGAGGATGTGAACGAGACAATTCCTCGAATTCGGATTAGTAAGAGTGGCTCGTAGGTTTTCGGAACCCGCCGCCATTTTCGTCGGACTCGCGAAAGTGGTACTGGAAAGGGGATTAGTTGGCGTTACGATTATGGAATGAATTGAGTTGGTGTGCGGCTGAACGTACTGCTTGACCTGCCGGTAGATCTTGCATCTCGTGCGCTGGAACATAGGTTTGGCTATGCTCGTTAAAGACCATTGGGTGGTGGGTGATGCGGTCAGATTAAAGTAAAAAGAGAACGAAAAAAAAGAAGAGGGACAGAAGAACCCTGAACCAAACCCTGGCGAATGATGATGATGCAGCCGTACGTTCTCCGTCCTATAATGAAATGATATTGAGACTGAAACGAGAGGGAGGACACTGTAGATATGAATATAGAGAAGCAAAGGAGAAGGAAAGATCACGGGGGAGTCATTCGGCAAATCTGGGGCCATATAAACCCGTACTTCAAGGACCTGGTGGTGCACGCTTGGGAGAGGAGACACGCAGGCAACTCGTAGCACATCACTCCACAATACACGAAAGAATAAGCAAAGTGGACTGGGGTTTTCGATCCATCTAGTTATTATCGACCTCTACCGCGTAACAGGTGATCTCATAATTCACCAGTCTTAAGACCTATGGTTGGCCTGCTGTTCCCCAAAACCGACGCCGGCAGGGATTCAGTCAGCCATCAGTTCTGACTGTACTGTGTGAGGGACTTAAGTGGACTCTATTCTTAGCTGCTCCACGTATACTAAGTACTATATTAGCAGTGAGACAGAGCTTCGTATATTGCAATTACCGCTTCGTGTACCCTGCTCTACCAAGTACTATACCTCTTATCTGCCTAGGGTGCCAAGCATTCAAGGGCAGCGGGCGTCGGAGTGGCTGAGACCCCACTAACGGGCTGTTGCATTAACCCGGCGTTAACTTTAGGTCCACGTTAGACAAATATTCAGTCTATTTTTAGTATAGATAACACTATTTTTACGCTTGTTGCTAACGAAGAGGTTTGTGCTCAATTTGCTTGATAAATCCATTATGTTAGAGTAGGTCAGGGTCTAATCTTCTAAAAGATGTATGTAATTGTTTCCCTCCCTCTACCAGATACAATGTGAGTTTTCTGTTAGAGATCAAATTAAACCTGCAATTTGAAGGTATATTGTTTTACTCTACCAAAGAGGTCCTGTACAATGCTTAAAAGCTTTGATAATCTCAAAATAATTCCATCAAACACGGGCAAACAGGCCAAAATAGCCAAGTCTGCTGTTTACTTTGACCCGCTTATTATTATCAAATATAAGACCACCATCCTATAGGACTTGTCATACACGATGTGGAAGATGACGAATTTCAAGAGGGCCTAGCCTATGCCCTGTCTACCTTAATGTTGATCTTGTCGCTCTCCATTTTTGAGCCTCGATAGTCTCGAGAACCAGTGATATTCAGGGCCGTCCTTTCTCGCTGGGCGACTCTAAGGACCTCTGGATGGAATATTCTCCTGTTAGCTATGCAAGTGAGGGCATTACAACCAAGGGCTGCCAGTTAGATGAGGATATAACCGTTAAGCTAATCGTATTCCTTTATATTAATAATATAGTTTATAGCATTATATTATTCTTAAAGAGCCTTATAGCTTCCTTAGGTTTAGAGGGTTGCTCTATATAATGCTATAAGTTACAGTATAACTATAGCTCCGTTAATGTAATTATTGATGTAGGTTTAGTCTGGATGACATTGGTAAAAGACTTCTCTTGTTAGTGCAGGAGCTGCTATCTTGCTTCCTTATTATCTTGCAAGATCCTTGGTTTTTGTAGTGCTAAGTTAGATCGTCTTGGCGGACTTATTAGAGGTATCTTCTTATACCCCTAAAGTCAGGTAAAAGAGTTTAATCTAGGTTTTATTCTTATTAGTATTTATACTATAGCAATTAGTCAGGCATTATTATATAATGTCTAAATAGTGAGCTAGATGTGTTATTTGCAGTTGAGACCTGTGGCTGAGAGCTTATAATCACCACACAGAACTTAGAGAATCAGTAATTAGGTTATCAGTATTAAACACATAGCCATGTCAACAGGTTTAGTATGGACTTGGATTCGTCCGCTCTCGGCCGCCAAGACAGTGGTCTTTGGAAAGCTACATAGTGATGTCGAAGAGAAGTCCCTATATACATTGGTAACCCACGGACTATCGGGTGTTGGATCTAAGCCCTACACTCCAGAATATCTCTGTAACGCCAGGGATAACTTTGCGGTAGAGCTTGTATCTTTCTCAACCACTGGACCACAGCTGGACAAAGCCTGTTGTATATTTTTATCCACTTAGAAGCTTGCTGGGGTATTTATACTAGTTGCCTGGATTACTGATGCTTGGAGTCCGAGTAAAAGAGCGGCGATATTCAGTTGAAGGCCAACCTCCTTTAGGCGGCTCGAATGCCTAGACACAGACGAGAAGGATTTCTCCGGAGGCACATTGAGATGTTTACCAAGGGCTATGCGATATATACTGTCCACGATTTGAAGTCCAGTACGGAGACCTCTGGGAAGGTGAGCTGGATTACCTTCGTGCTTGTTTGATTTAAGATATATGACCTACACTATCTCCAACTTCACGATCATGCAAACAAGTGAACACGTCGACTTAAATTTCAGTTCTCAGTGACTTGGCGTCGGCGATAAATTCGGGGTGTTGACACTAGAATACAAATGCTACTGAATCTCGGACGAGAAACATGAATTAGCCACTAGAACCAGAGATGAGGTTTGCCTCGTCTTCCGGCTTCGCCGTCTTCATCGTTCTCAATGTCTTAGCCCGCTTTATATTCTGAAAATTCTTCTGGGCTCGCTTATCCTTCAGACACATGCTAACCAAGACAACTATACATCCTGCAATGCAAGCTCCAAAAAACGCTCCTACAACTATACCTTCAGTGCCGATTTCGTTGTGTTGCTCCATGCAGACCGTGACGCCAGAGTCAGGATGTATGTCGCAGAAAAGACCAGGAGCGCATGTGCTGGATGTCATCTTGATCGTATTACAAGCACTCTCGGTATGACCGTCAGTGGTAATAGAGCAAACTATGCTAGTCTCGATAGTTGTACTGTAGCAGGAGGCACCAGGTTCCGTCGAAGTTATGGTACTGCTTGTGGTGGAACTCGAGGTGCTTGACGTCTCGGTCGACGTAGACAGCACCGTCGACGATACCGAGGATTCTTGGGTAGATGTTGCCGCGGTAGTAAACTCTTGTGTGGTTGATTCGGGTTCGTCTGTTGTTGTAACTTTGTTTTGCGTTGTTGTAGCCTCGTCTTCTGTCGTCATTGCTTCTTCTTCTATCATCGCATCTTCCTTTTGGGTAGTCCCTCTCGTTTCGGATCTTCTCTGTGTAGCTGTTCTTTCATTGCTGGAAGGTTCGTTCTCGTCTTGCCGTCGAACCCATTGCCGCCAACGTTGCACGAGGGGTCCCCTTTCCCATGTCGCCTCATGCCATTTTTGCGCCTCTTTTGAAGGAGCGAGGCCGCGTATTAAAGCACGTGGCGAATCGTCTAGAGCGTCATCCGACTGTGCGACGTACCTCTCACGGCCTGCCACGAGCAAGATGGACAAAGCCAAAAATGCGATTGTAAAAAGGTATCGCATGCTGATATGTAAATGCACAGAACTGCGCAGATTGAACACAAGCTGCAAAAGTTGAAGTTTTGTCGGCTAGAATATCTAGATGGCACTAGAAGTGTTATAATTACTGCTTCCTTTATTGCCAGATGGCACGCCTAGATAACATCTCGTATCAGTCGCCCTCAATTCACTTGTGGGTATGCTTGTTATGTCAAGTTACTATAAAAGAACCTCGGCCGCGTGTGGCCAGCCGAACTCGGTCCACAAGACGAAGATCGGATGCACCACCCCGCGAAGTGACTGGACAAGTATTTTGGAACAGGATATATTTAGGGATAACACGAGACCTGCCAATTCACACGCATCCCGTGCACTCAACTATGCCCTACGTATCCGAAGGCGTGTATCTAAATTACATGACGAATAAACCGAATAGTCAATTAGGGTTAACGGGGTTAGTATGGCGATGCCGCGAGTATCATCGTTAGGGCTGAGATAACTTAAAATAGGCGAGGTAATCATAGGCCTTTGAGCCAAAACTTAAAGCTCATTACAGGCGGTATTTACCCGTATCTTCGCCACAACGTAAATAGCATCAGAACTCTTTCCGGTTCTCAAACTAAAGCATTTTACCTAGCGTCGTTAGCTCTGTTTTATGCTAAGGTAATGGGGTTGAGAATGTCATCCTAGGGACCAGGATCTATGGCAATGTATCGCTGTTTCATCACTGACCACTAAAAGCACGCCTAGCGATGGGCTAATGCAGGGGCCATTGCGAGATCCTGGCGCATGTTCTAAAATAGAATGTGAGCGCTACGGGATCGAATGACGTCGCTGATGCACTACGCCAGCCACACTGGAAAGATTTGCTATCGTTAGTGTAAATATACGTATGCCAAGGACTACAGAGCTTCGTATTTTAAAACCAGTAATTTAAAAATATCTGGTGGTTCCTCTCTCAACTAACGTTCCAAGTATTTTATCACCTCTAGACGAGCTTGTGGGGTACAGATTACGCTGCCTGCTGAGGTAAGCCGAAGATGAAAACATCCTTTATGGAGATGTACTTCCAATTGGTTGACGCCCTGATCACCACTGACTCCGTTGGTGCTTCAATTAGCACAAAGCCTTTCCCATAGAGTTCTTCAGGGAGCTTTCTCCTGTGCTCAAATGATGTCGATTCGTACATAAGTAATGGTTTTTCCTTGGCTTCTCTTTTCCATAGCCCAACCCCCTGGTTCTTTTCATGAGCCAGATAAGAAGCATGAGGAATGGCCGCCGTAGGTTGGGGGGACCATTGAGTAATGATACTACTCGCACTGTGGATGAACGGGCAAGGATGCGAGATGGGCTCTCCCCGTTCAAGGCGACAGATTCACGAGCTCCCACACGCTTAGAAGCTTGGGAGGGGCATGAATGAAGAGATGACATGCGATGGCTATTTTTATACACTCTTACTTACAGAGTAAAATGGAAGAGATGATAGAAATATCTAGGCATTGTCACACAGAATTTTATCAAACTAGCTACTTACTCCTTGCGCTTCCTTAGTAATCTCTCATTCCCACAAACCTTTTCGACTCTCCTTCACCCAGGTAGTATACTGAAAAATCTTGATCTTATACTTCTCCTTCCGATCCGTCTTTCGTTTCCAAGACAGAGTCACGATCCTTCTGAATAAGAAGCTTCTTCTTACAGCACACTCACTTATACACCCGGCCTCACTTTCGACTCAGTCAGGATCTTCAATCAGGTTCTTTCATCCGCGGTTATATGCCTTGCGGTTTTGAATCTTGTTTCTGCCCAGGCCATTACCAACTACAAACCGCTCAAAGAGGGTAAGTTTGCGATCCTCCTAGAAGCAAGTTGGAAGCCTAACCACAAAACGTTATCAAAGCTTGTCCTCGCAATCCAGCCTTTGGTAAAGGCGTGGCTACCTGCAACTTCGCAAATGGCGAATGTAGTCTCTTTACAGGGAATTTGGACTCTATAATCAAGTATGACAAAAAGGGGGCCAAGTTCAATATCGAAGAAGAGACTAACGCTTCTACTATCGCTACGAGAAAGTACATCTTCTTCGGTCGTGTCGATGTCGAATTGCAGGCGGCTCCTGGACAAGGTATCGTGACGGCTATAGTGTTGCAGTCCGACACTCTCGATGAGGTAAGAGGCCCAATGACTCTGAATCATCTGCTTGTGACTTGCTTATGAGGTCTTAGATTGACTGGGAGTGGCTTGGCGGTGATGCCACACAAGTGCAGTCCAACTACTTCTCCAAGGGTGACACGACCACCTACGACCGCGGAGACTTCCACGATGTTACCGAACCTCTGACGACATTTCACACATATTCGATCGAATGGAACAAGAATGTGGTTCAATGGATTATCGACGGCAACGTTATCCGCACCCCCAAAGCCGCTGACGCCAAAGGTTTTCCACAGTCGCCCATGCAGATTAAGCTAGGCACTTGGTGTGCCGGCGGTAGTCAGACCGAGCAAGGAACGGTTGAGTGGGCGGGAGGTCTGACTGACTTGTCTAAAGCTCCCTTTAATGCTTACTATAAGAGTGTCACCATTGTCGACTATGCTGGTGGTGATGGCCCTGTCCCCAAGAGTGTCAATGAATACGTCTACGGTGACAACTGGGGCAGCGCGGACAGCATCAAGGTTAAGTATGGCTCCAGCTTCGACTCGGAAGAGAAGACATCAGACAAGAACAAATCTGAGCCCATTGGTACCGAAATAGAGACCGACGCATCTAGGGAGAAAGACGATCAGAGCAACTCTACGATCTCCAAGCCCAATGGTGGTCTCGTCAGTTTAAACTTTACTGCCACTCCAGTCGGGACCCCGGTTCCTGGCAACACTGGCCCTTCCGGACAAGGCTCCAATGACAATGTTCCTCAATCGGTAGCTTCTCGAGGTACCATTCGGGAAGGTTTCATTGCCGGAACCCTGTTCCTCGTGGACTTTGCTGCATGAATGCATATATTAAGTTTCTTGGACAATAGATATTAGCTGATCATAGGTCTTTAGTTTCACTAAACATGATATACTCTAGCTAGACTAGTAACACCGAAAAACTAAATAAAATAGTGGCCAGGTGCCTGTTTAATAATAGGGCCAGTTATTTGTGAGCTATGAAGATACTAGAGAGATAGATGATTGTCAGATGATATAAGTTACTTACTAGCTATTTAAGATGGAAAGACCAGTCAGATTTGAGTAAATTGCATCATTTCTCCGTCTCTTACTCTCATTCGTCTCGTCACGAGCTAGTATAGCCGCGAACACTTGCCTCGTTTTTAATGGCACCATTCTCATGAATCGTTTCCGCTCCGTTGCAACCCCTGGATTTTTAGTCATTATCTCTGCGATGCGCTATTTAAAGTAGAGCCGCAAGACCGTAGCAACCCCGAAGATTCTTGCCTTAATCCTTGAAAACACTCTCTTACTTCGATAACAAACCGTCCCGAGTTTACCCCAGTAGTATACGTATTAATGCACATGACTGCCAGCTTCTTTACTTGGAAGGTCACACCGCTTCGTATCTCTCAGTCGAAAGCCTTATGGATCATGACTTATATACCACATCGGTTGCTCTGGGGTCTGGGCTGTCGGCCCTGAGTCCTACGAGTGTCTCGGAGGAGCGGCCTAAGTGGAGCAGGATGGGTCAAGGCATTTCGGACATTGACGTGCTCTAATCGGCCGAACACTGCCCCTGTGTTGGCGAGCTCGCTTTTATAATTAGCTCAGTATAGAAGCATACGGACCTTTTAACCTCTCTCCCTGTCAAAGCCCCAGGTGTGGATCTGCGCAAATTCGCTCCGCCTCGCGCGTCTTCAAAGAAGCTGTCTTCTGACTGGCCATTTTGGACTGTGGGCGCCCTAGGTTTGGTTCTAATTATAGTATAGTTGGCCCTTTGCCTCGTCTAGTTTTGTTCTCTCTATACGTGATCCTGTGGAGCCAATGAATATACTCTGTGATAGGCTCCTGGATACATAAAGCGTAGCGAATGAGATCCAGTCGATACGGGGAACCAGTTACTTGATTAATGAAAAGAGGTTCCTACCAGAGTCCTGTTTGAGGGAATCCTCACCCCCTCGTGCTGATCGCGTCAGAATTCATGGTCTTGATCAACGTAGCCAAATATCTGTTACCTAAGCTCTTGACATTTCCTCGTCGCCTGGCCGTGTGTGCGTCGTGATTTGTATGTAACTAAGGGAATGGACGGGTGTACGGGTAACAAAGCATTTCTTTTCCCTGGTTAGCTGCGATGAGCCGGTTCAATTCGACCCTGTTTTTCCACCTCTGTCTTCATGACTGTAAATTCCACTATTACCCTGACTCTGAGCTTTCCCTACCTCGTGAATACGAAGCCTAGGTTTGTTTCTATAAATACAAGGTGATTCGCAAACTCAGACAAGTCTTGAGTCGGTCAGCCGAAGAACCAGACATAAACCGAACCATTGCCCATTTGCCTCTGCTCCTTTATAGACTCTCGTTCTTTCATCTCGATTGCCGACTCATCAGTCTCTCCTTTTTAGATTCTCTTTCATATCTGCCTTCGGCTCAATCGGTTCCGCAATTCAATTCCAACAACCACAATCAACCGTCATGCCTAAAACAAGCACTTTGGCCGCTGCCTCTCAGACGGCCTGCGCCGACATCTACAACACGCCGAATCAGGATAACGTATGCGCTATGTTCCGTAAGGACAACCACACCGATATTATGCAAGCTTGTTGCGGTGAGGCCAAGATCATCACCTATTCTGGCGACTGCGGTCTATACTGCGTTGCCCTCGGCCAAACGATCGATCAGCTTTCCAAGTGTCTTTATGACCACGGTGCTCCTGACGAAAAAGGTGTCTGGTGCAGTGGAAATTCGAAGACCACCAAGACCAAGGATGCCAGCATCCCCGCTACGGCTCGAGCCACCGTGGTCTCGGACGACGACGATGCAAAGGACAAAGACGACGATAAAAGCACCAGCACTGGCACAGCCAGCTCTTCCAAATCAAGCGAGACTAGCAAAGCTGCTACTAGTAGCAGCCCTCACTTTGGCATCACCACCCTGGGTCTTACCATCGGTGCCTTGTTCTTGTCTTCTATGGCTATTGGTGCTTTTGAGCTCTAAATGCAGACTAGAGGTCTTTTCTGTTATGGATATGACTTTACTGGTATGTTTTCTTTCTCTGTTAACTATCCTGTAGTTATATGATGTTAATATATATTATTCAGGCTATGTATAGCATGCAATAGGATAGTAATCGTTTTATGTTTAAATATATATATATTAATTTTAATTTTTTTTTTAGATTTAAAGGAATTATATTAAGTTTTATGTAAGTTAGTTAGCAAAAGTTAAATTAACCTTAATTAATTAAATATATATAGTAACGCATATAACTAATTGACCTTATATATAAGAATAGATAAAGTAAAATTAGTAAAAAAGCAGTAGTTTAAACTAGGGATCTATATTAATATATACTTAAGTTAATATTATATTTTATGTATTAAAGTAATAAGCTACTTATAAGTAGTAGTTATAGGCTTTAGGTTAAGATAGGGTTAATATTAACTATTTAAGCTATTTTTGCCTTAGTATTTTTCTTAAATTAAATTCTAATTAATATAATAAAAAAGTAGAGATTTTTTAAGATATAATAAAATAAAAAACTAAGTATAAAGAGAGAAAGGGTAAATATAAGAAATATAGTATTATAACCTTTATAATTATATTATATATACCTTATAAATTTTACTAATTATACTAGGATTATAAATACTAATTATAATTCTTAATAATTAAATTACTTAAATTATAATATTTTAAAATTAAATTACTATATATTACTATAAATTATTAAATGTCTTTAAAAATTTAATTTAAAAATTACTTTTCTTTTATTTTAATTTATTTTCCCTTACTTTTAGTATTATATAAGGCTTTTTAGCCTTTTAGCTTTTTTATTAATAGTTTAAATAGTAAGATCCCTATAGCAAGCTAGTAGTATAAAATTTAAAATTAAATAAGGTTTATTTACCTTAATAATATAATTACTACCTTAACTAAGTAATATTAATACTAGTTACTTCTTAATAAATAGGTTAACCTTTTTCCTTTAACTTACTTTAAAGGTCTTTTATTAACCCCTATAGCATACTATGCTTTAATTATCTATTATATAGTAAGTTATCTAACCTAACTTTCCCTCTTTTAGCTATAACTGCTAATAGTATTATAACTACCTTATTATAATACCTATTACTTAAAAAAGCCTATAGGCACCTAGGCCTAATAAGCCTTATTTAATTAAAAGCTATAATATAATCCTTAAAATTAAAAAAGCTTTTAAAATAAAAGTAAAAGTAATATATTATATATAATAATTATAAATATTAAAAAGGCCTAATTTAATAATAATAATCCTAATTATTTTAAAATAATAATTTTTAATTATAAGATTTTCTTATTTATATAATTTATTTATAAAAACCTTTTAATTAATAAAAATTTCTTTAAATATAAAAAATAAAAGCTTAAGGATTTAAAAAGGAAGTTATATAAAGAGGTATAGCTAAATAAGAAGGAAAGGGGGTTTCTTAAGGCCTTTAACCTAGGCAGCTTATATAATAAGTAGCTTAAGGATATTTCATAGTAGGCTAAGGAGGTATTAGAGAAGACTAAGAACTTATAAAGACTAGGCTAGTTATAGTCTTAGATTATAAGAGTGTAAAGATAGGGGATATTATATTATAATATATAAGATAAAAGCAAGGTAATTATGGGGTTTTATAAAGGGAAAATATATTAAGTTTTATATAAGTTTAAATTACCTAAAGTTAAAGATATTTAATATTAATAATAAAAAAGGAATTAAATAAGTTATAAGATAGGCTATATAATTAAATAAGTAAATTAGCTATAATATTAATATATTATTAATATAAATATGAAATAATATTAATATATTATTAATATAAAAAAGAAATAATATTAATATATTATTAATATAAATAAGGAATAATATTAATATATTATTAATATAAATATAAAAGAATATTATAATATTAAGTTTTTATAACTTAAAGTTAAAATAAAATATATTTTAATAATTATTAATTAATTTATAATTTTAAAATAAATTTTTCTTAATATTTAAAAACATTAAGTTAAATCTATTAAAGGTAATAGATTTAAGTTCTTATTTTTATTAATATAGTTTTAATTTATATATATTTTCTATTAGATTTAGACTTATATCTGCTATATAGCTAGGATAGACTTATATCTGCTTTATAGCTAGGATAGGCTATTCCTTAAATTAAATAAATAATTTAGCTATAAGTAAGATTAGTATTTCCTATAATAGTATTAAACTGTAAATATTATATTAAGATATTTAAGTATTAGTTTATAATAATTATACTTTTATTATTAATTCTCTTTAATAAATACTTTAAAAACTTATAGTATTATAAAAAGAGGGCCTAGAGACCTTAAGGGACTTATAACCTAAGTAAATATTATTTAAATTATTATCTTCTAAGCCAGGATTCTTATTATTTAAAAGAGAAGAAAAGTTCTTTTTATAGAATTAAGATCCTAGCCTATAAAGACTATTTTTATTTTTAAAACCTTTATTATTTATATTACTACTATTATATTATATAGTTTTATATATTTATAAGGATTTATTATAAAAATAATAAAATAATAGTAATATAAAAAATACTTTAGTATTAAAACTAGACCTAGCCTTTATAGCCTTAAACTTAATATAAATAAATATATTACTTATATTTTTAAGACTTATTTTTAATATAGTTTATTAAAGGATTTTTTAAAAAATAAAATATAAACTTTAAGAATAGTATTATTATATAACTTATTAATAAGTATTTTATTTTCTTAAAATAATGCTTAAATTACTTTAATAATACTAATAATTTAAGAAAATTATATATTAATTAAAAAATAATCTTAATAACCCTAAAAGCTATAATAAATATTATAATTAAAAATAATATTAATTATTATTATTATTTTTTTTTTTTAAATTTATAAATTAACCTTAAAAGGTATATTTAAGTATCTTTAGAATTTAATATAATTTAAATATTTATTACCTTTATAAGTAGTAAAGCTTTATTAAGTTAAATTATTATAATTAGCTGCCTTAATTATAGCCTAAACCTAGCTATATATATGCCAGCTAAAAAGCCTTACCTGCTTATCAGCTAGCCCCAACCTTCTTCCTTCAACATACTTCAAAGGATACCACGATTCAATCATCAATCACGCAGTAAGTCATCCAACCCGAATACCTTCTGGCCGCAACCGCTAACAGCATCACAGCTGCCCCGTTACGATGCCTGCTATCCGAAGAAGCCTGCAGGCACCCAGGCCTGACAAGCCTTATCTAACTAAAGGCCATGATGTGATCTCTAAGATTGGTATTAACTATTATAGTACTATATTAACTAGCTAGTTTAAGTTAAAGCTATTTTTAATTTATTATAACTAAGTATAGCTAGCTTTTAGGGTTAATAAAAGGGGTTATAAAATAGATATCTTAATACTTAGTAAATATATTCTTAACTAATAAGTAATTTATCTTATAAAATTACTAGCTTAATTTAATATTTAATTTAATAATATCTAATTTAATAATAATTAGATTTATATATTAGTTATTAAAACCTTTTACTTAAGAAGAGCCTTATAGCCTTATGTTACGACCCGTGCGGCTACGTCACGTGGCCCCCACAATTTCCACCTATCACAGAAGGATCACTTCTCCCAGTAACGATCCTCTTCCATTAGATCACTTGGATCACGACGCTCCAAGGCTGGATCACCATGGATCACCAACGATCCCTAGAGATCCAACCTTTGGATCACTATCATTCCTTACTAAGCCATCGGGCTACCTTTAGTATATAAAACACATTCATTTAGCACTTTTATAGAACTTAGCTCACCAGCTATCAATTAAAGCATCTTTACATCAATAAGCCTAGCACGCATTACTTAATCATTAAGAGACGTAACACTTCGCAACGCTCAGCATCACGCCTTACGCAATCTGCAAACATAAACCTAGTACGGACTAGTTTACCTGTTTAGAAAACCCAACCGTCACACCTTAATAACTTACTTAAATAATTTAAGGTATAAATATATATTATATATATTTATAAGCTATTAAGTTCTTAACTTATATTATTTTTACATTTAGTATAAACTTAATATTAAAAGGAATATAATTTATTATATCCTTAGAATTTCTAAAAACTAAATATATATCTTTATTATATAAAGATATTATATTTATTTAAGAGATAGTAGAAGTAATTCTTCATAATAGCTTCTACTACTTAAAGTAAATAATTAATAAGTTTTTACTTAAGTTATAATATATAAAGAGGAAAAGAGTTAAAGGGTTTAGTATTTATAATATAGCTAAATTAAAAATAAAAATAAATAATATTATCTAGCTTATATACTTATAGCTAAATTATATAATTAAATAAATTCTAGATCTTTCTAAGAGCTAAGCCTAATACTATCCTAATGCCTTTTCTTATTTTATAAGATTATAATAATTTAAATAAAAAAGGAAGATATATAACTACATTTGCCTTATATTAATTACTTTATTACTAAGTTATACTTCTTATATATTGCTAAGGACTTATATTACTTACTAATAAGGCAAAGTCCTTAAAATATACTAAATAAGGCAGCTTATAATAAGTATTAAAGTATTTATATATAATATATTATTTATAGTTTGTTAAATAGTACTAAATAGGAAGTTCTTAAAAGCACTAGCTCTTCTATCTAATTATAATAAAGCTTAATACTATACCTATATATATTAATTATTATATTTAAAAACCTTTTAAGCTATTTAAAGAGCTATTTTAAATATCTTATAATTTAATAATAATAAAATTAATAAATATTATATATATATAATATTAATAGCTTATTATAAAGTATATATCCCTCTTTTCCTTTTTACCTAATTATCTCTTTTAATATACTAACTTACCTTATTTTTAAAGTATTTAAGCTATTATAATTTATATAAAAATAGGTAAGCTAAGGATTAATAAGAAGTAATTAAGGCACTCCTGCCTAAATAATAGGTAATCTTAATAACCCCTAACTAGGGAATTAATAGCTTAGGCCTTATTAAGTAACTTATAATTAGATACTTTATCCTCTCTACCTATTAAGGGAACTAATTAAAGAATAAATTTATATTAAAGGCTATTAAAGCTACTTATATTAGGCTTAGGAGGCAAGCCTAAGATAGCACTATCCTCTATTATATAATAAGGGGCATTAATAAGCTATTGCAGCATTTCTGTTATTAGATAGGCAGGCCTTATAAGGGAAAATATTACTATAAGATACTTTACTATTGCCTAAGAAGTATTATATAACTATAAGGCAGCTTAACTTAAAGAAGTATTTTTAAACTATTAGTATTATTAGATTTTAAAATAAAAATAGGAAAAAAAGCTATATAACATAAATAATAGAGTTAATAATAATATTAAAAGGTAAAATAGAAAATGAATATTAAAATATATTTTATTCTTTTTAAAATTAGGTATTAAGGGTAATATAAATATTATAAAAAAACTATATTTTAAATTAAAATAATAATATAGCAAGATAGGCAAAGGGAGCTAGGCTAAAGGCAGTAATACTTATAAAAAAGGCAAATATAAATAGATAAAGCATAGGAGGAAGCAAAGGTTAAAGATATATATTAATAGGGTCAGAGGAGGCTCTTATCCTATATACAGGGAGTTACGTACTATGCAGTTAGGTATATGTGCAGCATGCGTATCTTACCTGTTTAGACGGTGCTGCTAAACTGGAGGCAGTAGCAGCGTGTCTGCGATTACTCCGCATGCTGTGGCAGCGACACCATCTTCAACGACCTAGAACTAGACAATTTCAACGCACAGGAATTTCCCAAGAAGAAGGGCTATATGCTACGACCACTCGCATTGGAAGATCTAACAGATAAACACCTTATAATTATGAGACCGTATGTGCATGCGTTTGTTTTACGCTCGAGACAGTGGGTCACGATTGGATCTGAAGATCTTTAGGAAGTTGTATTTCGAAACAGCTTTGATGATTTGGTCGTACCAGATAACCACAAAACAACTGTCCAAGCATTAGTTACCACCCATGAGAACGCAAGGTCGCCACTGTCGTCTAGTTCTGAAAAGTCAAGCATCGGATCTGTGCTAGACTTCGTTCAAGGGAAGGGAAGTGGACTGGTCATTTTGCTACACGGCCCGCCAGGCGTGGGAAAGACAACAACAGCGGAATGTGTTGCCGATGACAATAAGAGACCGCTGTTTCCCATTATTTGCGGTGATATTGGTGAAACAGCTGCTGATGTCGAGCATAACCTGCAAAGCCACTTCCAACTAGCTCACAAATGGGGTTGTGTCCTACTCCTCGACGAAGCCGATATATTCCTTGCCAAACGCACTCGGAGCGACTTGCGCCATAATGTCGTTACAAGTGTCTTCCTTCGAAGTCTGGAGTATTACGCTGGAATTCTCTTTTTGACAACAAATCGTGTTGGTCTTATCGATCCAGCATTCAGGTCCAGGATTCAAATGTCTTTGTTTTATCCCCAGTTGACCCTTGATTTTACGTGCAAGCTGTACGAGAAGTTCATTAGAAGAGCCAAGGCGAAGCAGTTGCGACAAGGGAGCTATCTTTTTAAGATTAAAGAGAAAGAGATTCTTAAGTTCGGGAAGAAGCATTTTCGGAGTTTGGAGAAGGATAGATACGAGACATGGAACGGACGGTAAGTACTTCACCCATACCTTGCATCCACCTGCTAACTGTCACAGCCAAATCCGGAACGCATTCCAAACAGCCATCGCCCTAGCCGAGCATCAATGCATGACCCAGTCCTCAGGGGATCCTCAGCCGATACTAAGCAAAGAGCAGTTCGAAGCAGTAGCGCGAGGATTCATGCAATTCGACAAATGCCTCAACAAAACACTGGGAGCTACAGATGCAGATATGGTCAAGCGAGAAGGATGGCGCAACGACGGCTATATGATGGGAGCAGGAAACCCAGCAATTCCTATGGTTCCGATGGCGATGCCTCCGTCAGCTTACCATACTCAGAGACAAGCAGCTGCTATGAACTATGATAGTGATGATGATAGCGATTCTGAGACGGACAGTGATGAGGAATCTGATGACGATGTGAAACAGGCTGGGAAGGGGAAGAGTGGACCTGCGGGGAAAGAAGATTCTGCGACGACTGGTGAAACTCCAGTCGATATGGATGAGTTTCGCGAGTACAAGATGTGGAAAAAGATGAAGTCGCAGCTCAAGTAATATGTATGTATCTGCATAACAGCGATAACTATATCTATAGTAAGAATAATTATTATTCTATCTAGCAATTAGAATGCGACTAGTAAGTGGGGATTAAACTGACCTAAATACAAGTGACATACCTGAAACTAATGTATGCATGACTGTTTCAGGTAACGTGCGGCTCTGAAACTCCACTTGGCGAAATAACCAAAGTCCCCGTAAGAAACAATCCTACGAGTCAGCACCAGAACCGTTTCGTTTCACCAGCCTCATTCTATACGATAAGGCTGTGGTAGCCAGCATTGAATCTATAGCCTATTATGCGCTCGGGAGCTATTATTCAATCGCTGCCAACCGCGGCCTGTGAATTGAGCCTCACGGCGGATCTCGAGTCAGCCTTAGTCTGGTTTCTTATCCGAGGCCGCGACACGTGTTGCATGATCTTCATCCTGGCACGTGCACGCAATGTTGCCAAGGATAACTATTGGCTCTGGCTTTGGGAGGCCACTTATTTTGTATAACTAAAGGCCCCATTTACTATTTAGGTCATATGTGCGAAGGTCCCTGAGGAGGGGATGTGGGGATGGGACTTGGGGAGGGGATTATAAATATACCTCACTGACTAGATTACCTCGGAACTTGCTTTTTATTATCTAGTATTCATTAACTTCAATTCCCCCAAGTAGCGAAAATGGCTGACGTAAAGATCGAGTTCAAGGTATGTATGCTTGCACCATGTCTTGGATAACCTCCTTTAACACCAACAGACTTTCCAAAATGTCATCAACAACGAATTGACTCCCACAGCCGAGACCCGCCGTGCAATCTGTTCAAGCACAGAAGAGCCTCTCTGGGAATCGCCCGTCTCAACCCAGGAAGATGTCGACCGTGCTGTGAGCGCTGCCAAGGCCGCCTATCCTGCCTGGCGCAAGCTGTCGCAGGATGAGCGTGCTGCTTATCTCACCAAGTTTGCCGATGCTGTTGAGGCGCATCAGAAGGAGTTCACCGAGCTCCTCTGTCGTGAAGCGGGAAAGCCACCTCAGGCTGCTGGGGTTGAGATGTTTTTTGTGATGCAAAATCTTAGAACGGTTCCTACTATGAGGCTGAAGGAGGAGAAGCCTGAGGATAACGATGACCGAACTGCTATTGTGCGATACGTCCCTCTTGGCGTCGGCGTTGGTATCGTTCCATGGAACTTCCCCATGGTTCTCGGCATTGGCAAGGCTGTCCCCGCCATGATGGCCGGTAACACATTCATCTGGAAGCCCTCCCCATACTCGCCCTACACAGCACTGAAGCTTGCTGAGATTGGAGCCAAGGTCCTCCCTCCGGGTGTTTTCCAGGCTCTCAGTGGCGGCGATAACCTTGGACCTATGCTGACTGCCCATCCTCACGTGGCCAAGGTCAGCTTCACTGGCTCTACTGAGGTTGGCAAGAAGATCATGGCTTCTTGCGCTGCTACTTTGAAGCGTGTTACGCTGGAGCTTGGTGGTAACGATGCTGCTATTGTCTTGGAAGATGTTGACATTCCCACAGTGGCTGCTAAGGTATGATAGTTTTTTTCATGAGATTGCTATTATTGCTGACATATTCGTGTTTTAGGTTGCAACGTATGCCTACCTCCACACAGGACAGATCTGCATGGCAATCAAGCGTATCTATGTGCATGAGAGCATCTACGACGAGTTCCTTGCCGCCGTCACTGGCTTCCTAGATGCCGTTAAGACCGGTGACTACACTGACGCCGAGGCATTCTTCGGACCTATCCAAAACAAGATGCAGTTCGAGAAACTACAGAAGCTGTACGAGGAAGTCGACAAGCAAGGATGGAAGCGTGCCTACGGCAGTGCACCCGAAAAGCGAGAGAAGGGTTACTTCATCCACCCCGTCCTCATCGACAACCCACCCGAGGACTCTCACATCGTCCAGACCGAGCCTTTCGGACCTATTGTTCCTATTATGAAGTGGTCGTCTGAGGAGGAGGTTATCGCGCGTGCTAACGGCACAGATCTGGGACTTGGTGCTTCTGTTTGGGGCAAGGATGTTGCTCGTGCTCAGCAAATTGCTGAGGAGCTGGAGGCTGGAAGCATCTGGGTTAACACACATTTCGAACTTGGGGCTAATGTGCCTTTTGGTGGACACAAGCAGAGTGGTCTTGGAATGGACTGGGGTGAGGTTGGACTTAAGGGTTGGTGCAATCCTCAGGCTTACTGGGTGAAGCACTCTTGAGCGTAAAGATAAATATTATGAGTTGAGTTATACCTAGCTAAGAAGTTATATGAGTGGAAATATCCCCAGTTATACCTCGTCAATTATCTTCACAACGACTTTTCCTTTAGCTCGGCCACTTTCAGCCTTATCCCATGCTTCTTCAAAGTCATCGAAACTGACCACACTGTCAATGCTTGGCTTGAGCTTTCCAGATTCCAGGAGCTCGGTAATAACATTTAGATCCTTACCAACCGGATCGATGATAAAGAAAAGGTGTTGGTCTGCTTCTTTACATCATTAGGACGAATATCCTCGGGCGCAAAACTGATAGCGATAAGAGTCCCTCCTTCTCGAACAGCGTTAGGGTTAGGATAGGGTTAGTATTGTTAAACCGCAGGCAGGGCATTTTGACCAAAGGAGCCGCGTTTCCTAAAATAGAAGAGTAACATGATAATTACCCCTCTTTTAGAGATAAGACAGTATACTTTAGAAATACTAGATAGACAATCAATTTAATTACTTAATTTAGGGTTCAACAAGTCTTGAGGGTAAGCGGCGTGTGAGGGTTGGGTTTCTAACTATGGATAAACTAAGCCGTGCTAGGTTTATTGTTGGCAGATTGCGTAGGGCGTGGTGCTGAGCGGTTATTGAAGTATCACGTCTCTTAATGGTAGATTCAATCCGTATTAGGCTTGATTAATGTAAAGAAGTTATATTGATAGCTGGTGAGCTAAATTCTATCTAGTGCTACATGAATATGTATATACAGTGGGGGGCAAAAAGTATAAATTCAAACGCAAGTAGCTGGCCGCCCCTAACCCGATTAGGCACGCGTTTTTTGCTGCCGCTTTTGCACGCCGATTTCTTCCTTACGACACATATCACAACACCATAACGATGCCTCGAGGCAAGGAATTATCCCCCTCAATATGGTCTCGTATATGTGAATTACGAAAACAAGGGCTTACGTACTCACAAATTAAGAAGCATTTCCCTGAAATCCCTCTCGGCACGATCAAAACGACCCTACGCCGCGAGGCATAACGCAGAGCCGAGAATATATCCCTGCCGCAGTCAGGCGCGTCTCGAAAGCTTACAGAAGAGCAACGCGATTAGATTTATAATACTGTTAAAACTGACCTATATATAATAATAAGAGACTTACTTAATTCCTTTAATAATATTATTAAGCGGCATTCTTTATAATACCTTCTTTATAAGATAAATAAGAGGAAATAGATACAGAAGAAACACATAGCCCTAATGCTGCTATAGGCTTATAAAAGGCTTAATTAGGCTATCTTAATTAGGGCATTAATTAGAAGTAGGTTAAGTAGAGTGATAAGTATATAGTGCGCTGCGGTTAGGGTATAAGACCTATATAGACCTTCCTATTACCTTGTAAGGCCTTATATATATAGAATATTAGGGAAGTTAGGAGATAAGGAGCTATATAGCAGATATTCTAGGCTGCCATAGGTTATAGATCTTATATACTATTAGTGCCTCTTATTAGTAATATTAATACTATAGGTATTTATAAGTTATATAGCTTTATCTTACTATAGTTTCTTTAATTAAGTAATATCTTTATATATAATAATACCTCTATATATATAGCCTAGGTTATTAAGTCTTTATTAAAAGATTAAAGAGTTAATTTAATAGCTTAATTATTATATTTACCTAATTTAAACCTTATAAAGAATTTATAGATATTAATAAAGGCTAAGATTTATTAATTATATCTAGAACTAACTTATGTAAAGGATATAGTTATTATATAATATAACTTAGTCTTAGCTATAATAGAGGCTTAAAATAACTTTAAAGATAAGATCTTAAAGAACCTTTATAAGATAATATTAAATTATATTAATATTATAATTAATATAAAAGGTTAATATATAAAGTACTAAAGCTGTTTTAATTAACCTAATTAGGTTAAAATTATAATATTAAAGCGGCATTATAACATATACCTGTTCCGGCTAGCCCGATCAGTCCGGTACTTGCGTTTGGATTTATATACTTTTTGCCCCCTACTGTATATACTTATGTCTTGTCTTTAAGGAGCAACGCGTTCCTGGAGCGCGGTTAGTCCTGACTTGGTTAGTGGGCTAATGGTAAAAGCTGTGGGGTACACGTGACGTCACCGCGGGGTCGTAACAAATACAGGGTACTTCACTATATAACTGGCTTAGCAGCCACCATGTTTAACAGAAAAATATAACTCCTTCACCCTCTTTAATCTCAATCTAACGCTATATAGCTGCTAATAGCAGATTGCTGCTAATTAACATATTTACTTAACATTTTAAGCACACTTAGTGCGATATTTTGTTTAGTACTTAATTACAGTATATAAATTACACAGAAGGAGAACGATTAATGAGAGTAACAGCATGGATACTGCTTACCCTTGTTCATGCGCTTTCTGCCCCTTAATCTTCCGCAATTAATGACTGCAGGCATGTGGTGCTGGTTTAATGACACTGTGGCCGAGAAGCGAATTGGCGCCGTTAAGAATATGATCCTTGGAATACAATCGCAGCGTAATGTGCTTAAAGAGCGTGAGCGGCATCTTCAGAAGCGGATAAAGGAGTACAATGCTGTTGCACGCAAGAGTATTTGTGTAAATCGAAATGGTACATGAATTTCTAGTAAGTATAGTATTATAGTATAGGAGGTGCTAATCTAGACTTTAGCGGCCAAAGCTACCTTACAACACAAGAACACCTACGAGCACTTGCTCAATGAGACTATTGGGCAGCTTGGTATATTAGAGCAGCGACTCATCGTGCTCGAATCGGCCAATATCAACAAGGAGACTCTGATGGCCATGGAACCGGCTAGCAAGGCCATGAAGCGGATCTATGGAGGCCTCATAATAGAGAGGGATGTGCCTATGTGCATTATTATCTTCCTCCCTTATTGAGTTGCCTATAAGGCTTATTTTTACTAATTCCATAACCCAGAGAGACATTTTATGAGGAGAATGCTATAAGCGCTATAAGTAAAGACTTTAATAAGGTAGAATTGGATTATGAGCTGGATAAGTTAGAAAACGAGGTACTTAATGCCTTGCTTCTATATAATACCTAGGAACTATTCTTAGGGTTAAGATAGGGTTAAATTAGGCTATAAAAAGATATTCTTCTTTAGTTCTATTTATAGAAGAAATAATATAAAAAGATAAGCTAAGAAAAGAAAGATAAAAGGAAATATAAAGATAAATAAGAAAATAAAAAGATAAAAAAAGATATAAAGAAAGGCTTAAGATAGAGTTAGTATTAACTATCTAAGCTATCTTTGCCTGAGTTTTTTTTTATAATAAAGATTTAGTTAATAAAATAAAAAAATAGAGATTTTTTAAGAAAAAGGAAATATAAGAAAAGTATAATAGTTTAGTTTCTAGACAAGTAAACTAATCTTATATTAGGTTTATATCTATAAAGATATAGAGCATTATACTAAGTAATTATTAAGTTATTATATTTCTTACTAATTAAGTAATACTTATAAGGCTTTTTAATATAAAGAGGTTTTATTAATAGCTAGTAAGCTAAGTTCTATCTAATACTATATAAGTGCGTATATATATCCAGGTAGCTCACGGTTAGGTAAGCCCGGCTTGCCATAAGTTATAAGTCAGATCGTAAGCTCTTTATATATCTATTATAAGGCTCACGGTCTGTTATGGGGTAAGAGTCGTAAGTCGCCGTATAATTAGTGAAAAATTGGCGAAGTATATATAACGTAAGCGCTCTTCTATTTAGGTTGTAATAAAAAGGTAATAAGGAGGGATATAGCTAAAAGCTAAAGGGGATAGGGGATAAAGGAAATGGTAAATATAAAAGTTATAATAAAGAAATAAGCCTGAAAAGGGATAGCTAAAAAGCTAAGAAGTAATAGCTAAGAAGCTAGAAAAGGGTAATATAATTAATAAGTAAGGAAGATAAATAAGCAAGTAAGATTGTAACGGTTACACAAGCCGTTAAGCCACAGGGCAAAAGATCGGGCCATAATCGCTATGCAAGCAATTATGGGTGTGCTACAGCTGCCTTATAGAAGCCTTACAGCGCTGTTACGGGCACGAATCGTAACAAAGATAAATAAGTAAGTAAGATACTTTTTATTACCTTTAAACTTTAAATTTATTTAAAAATATTATAAACTATTTAATTAATTAAAACTACTTATTATACTCTTTTTTTAATATTTTAATTACTACTTAATAAATCTTTATATTATAACTAGCCTTATTATATATATAATAATATTAATTATCTAGTTTAACTAACCTTTCTTAACTATTACTTTTTAATAATTTTACTATTACTTATATATTAATATGTATTTAATTAGTTACTTATAATACTTCTTATAGTTATTATATTTTCTTTTTATAATTTAATTCTTTTTGCCTTTAATATTAACTTAGTATTTTATTTATATTTTAAAGATTTTATATCTTATTCCTTAATAAGATTACCTTATATATAATTATCTTTATTATTTTAATATTTAACTTTAAAGACATTTATAATTAACTTTAAAAAGCTAGTTATATATTTTTTAATTTATCTTTTAAAATATTTAAATTAAGATTAGGCCTTTATTATTATCTTTAAGGTCTTTAAAGTCTAAAGAGAGAAATATTAAATTACCTCTTTAAGAGGTATTAAAGTCTATAGCTATATATTAAGCTTTAAAATTATATTTTTTAAGTTAAAAGAAATAAGTTTACCTCCTTTTAAATCCCCTTTATATATGATGTTTTAGAAAAGTAATTTTAAAGTAATATAAAAAGTAAAAAAGAATTTAATTAAATACTTTATTTCTTAATTATATATCTTTTTTAATATTATAAAATACTTAATATTAAGAAATTAAAGTAAGTAAGATATATATATTAATATATAAAATATAATAATTATATATTTTTTTATAATATTTCTTAAAGTTAGCTAAGTAATAACTTTTATAATTATTAAAAATTAAAAAAATAATAAAAAATAGTTAATTAATTAATTATAAATTAATTAAAATACTTAAGCTATTTAAAGTATAGCTTATTATAATAACTTTATTCCCCAAGCAGCCTTTAATTTCAGCTAGGACTATATCTAAGCCGCTTTTGCCTCCTTTATTTATTAAGGTTAATTTAATCCGAGTTTAAGCTAAGCCTTATTATCTTGCTATTACTAAGCTACTTATAGATCCTATTAGCTACTTATAGTTATATAGAACTAATTAAGGTCTAGACTGTAATTATATTAACTATCTTTACTAAGCCTTGTATTATAGCAAACTTGTTATTAACTAGTGTTAAAAGGAAGCTTATAGAAGTAGCTTAAAAGTCTGATAAATATTGTTATTAAAGATAACAGTTGCCACTTATTGCCATAAGCTTAGCAAGTAGTTTCCAGTTAACTCTATATAGCATAGAACAGATATATAAAGCCTACTTTAAACCTTAAGCAGCAAGCAGGAGACAGTAACTACATACACAAGAAGATAAATAGCACACAATTTACCCTAATATTTAACACATATTGTAATAGTTGTGTTTCCTAAGGTTATAAACTAATTAGCTGGAATTTTGCTTAGATTAATGCCTACATTTATATATTGCGTATTATTCATTACTTAAAACTAGAACTACTATCCAGGACTACCTAATACATAACTGTTGAATACTGGTGAAGATAAGACCGGCTAACCGGAGGACTGAGCTACCGGTTAGAGAGCTGTCTCAGCACTGTATTCTTCACGGCATTGGTCCAGCAGAGGACCGTAGGGGAGAAATGAAGTTTTAGAATAGATAGCACGTACCCATAGCGAACGAACCACTGAGAACTAAGTGAAGATGTAAGTAGGGCATCTAAACTCGTACTTTATTTTGTTGGCGACTCAAGATTTCCCGATCATACCGTCCATTTGTTACTTAGTGAAAATCGCCATTGAGCACGTCGACATGTCCAAAGACTTATGTGACAAATCCTTAAATGTTGCAAGGGCTAGTATTATGACACAACCGTCATTTGAAACCGATGTTGCTCAAATTGTCCGTTTTATATACTGTTATATACTGACAGACAACTCAACCTAAACTCTGAATCTTCAGCGTTGCTAATAATATGGCAATAGAGTAGTATATTACAATATAAACCATATGATATGGGCTCTCTCATATTGTGACAATATAATATGAGGGTGTCCATATTGTCAATATATTACTTTATTGGGTTGTTGGCCCTGGGGCAAAATTGCATCTTGACAATAGCCAGGCATGCTTTACCGTACACCAGCGACAAGGATGCTTGGCATTTTATTCGGCGAGCGTTCACCTCAACACACGTCTTTATTGACAACCAGACATAACATGCGAGCACGCGTTTCCTTCACTCGTCAGGGGGGGTACGATTGGTACGGACCATGTTGGGCTGGGCCTACCAGTGGTTGCCTGTCGATATTGGCCATCGTCGCCTCTGCCCATTTTCTTTACCACTATCGAGCCTACTGACTAACCGTATCGTCATGTCTCAACAACGCCTCCCGTTTGTAAAATGGTCACAGCGAAGAGAGTCGTCAATTTCAGTCGACTTTTCAGGGTTTCCAGTCAGCAGTTACATGGCTTAGACGAAAGCTAATCGTCCAAATCTCGACCTTGCACAGCCTCTACAGCCTCCTCCACCAAGCCCAGAACATCATAGGTCTTCTCTCATATGCCAAATGAGGAGATAGAGACGAGGTACTACAATCAGCGGACCGGAAAAGAAGAGTGGCGCTGCAAATATTGTAACAGAGCATATGCCTGTTCCGGGGGTACTGCGGCTCCCGGAAAACATCTTATGGACCCTCCTCCTGGCGGCCACGGTCTGCCAAAAGGAGCTCCACGCACAGCTAAAGTGGCAACGATACGAACGATTCTCGAACAAGCTCGTGCTGCAGCAGAAGAAAATCCCGCAAACGCCGTCGGCTTAACGATCAATCCGGAGATTTAATCGACCCTGACCAGCTCGAAGTGTTATATATGAGGTTCATTACGGCCTGTTCTCTCCCCTTTCGGCTCGTGGAACGTCCAGAGTTCCGAGCACTCTTGGCATACATTAATAACGATATCGATACTTGGCTTCCAGACACGTACGAGACTATCAGGAAATGGATCATAAGGCAGTACGAAGACCAGAAGGAGAAGGTCAAGCAGCGCATACAGTCAGCGAAGTCAAGAATTCACATCAGCTGCGACCTCTGGACTTCTCCCAACTCTTTGGCCATCCTAGGCGTAGTTGGCCACTATGTTACGGAAGATGGTCAGCTGGAGCACCATATTTTGGCGTTAAAAGACATCGACAGTGAGCACGACGGTTCTCACCTCGCTGCGGCAATTTTGAAAGTAGTTGACGAATAGGGCTTTGCTTCGAAGCTTGGATATTTCGTGATGGACAATGCTGGCAATAATGATACAATGATGAGATCCCTTTCACTTGGTCAGTACAACTTACTATTTCTAATGGTTGTCCCTAACATCCCACAGGCCTCTTTCGCCGATATGATATTCAATATGATCCCAAAGTTCACCGACTCCGCTGCCAAGGCCATATCATCAACCTCGCCGCCAAACTTTCCTCTTCGCCACCGACAATAAGAAGCTCGAACGCAACGATGCTGGCCTGCATAATGTGACACTAAAGCATATTGAAGCGTGGCGGAATAAGGGTCCTCTTGGCAGGCTTCACAACTTCGTCATTTACATCCAACGGAGTGTTCAGCGCAGCCAAAAGTTTCTTGCTATCAGCCACAACCGTAGGCTTACGCGAGACAATGACGCAAGATAGAGCTCGTGGTATACCATGTTGAGTGCGGCATTGAATCTTAGAGATGCAATTAACGGCTATTTTAACAAATAAATGGACGCAGATTGCGCTAGAGATGAGCTCTCTCTAGAGGACTGGATCATCTTGTAGAAGATCAAGTCCTTCTTGGAGAAACTGAAGATGATGACTAAGGCTCTCGAGTTATTATTTGCAGCACTCGATAATGTCCTCTTGGTGATGGATTTCATATTGGCACAATTCGAAGCCGGCAAGGAGGCAGCTATCGACGATCCGGTGATGGCACTGATGTATAACTCGGGCTGGGCTAAGTTGGACAAGTACTAACGCCTTACTGAAGGATCGCCTGCGTATGTTGCAGCCATTGTGCTCCACCCTTTGCACAAATGGCACTACATTCAAGAGAACTGGAGAAAGGAGTGGGCTGAGTCATCAAAGAAGTTGATTGAGACGCCGTGGAACGATGTCGCACTGGATGTGATTAAAATGGATTGAAGGTCGGGTCATTCATAATAAGCATCAGTAGTGAGTTGATTGGTTCTATCTTCTGTGTGGGGTATTCCATCCCACGGGTTTTACTTTAAATCACCTAGCTTGATTACTAACGGCCGTTGTTCCTGAGGCTCGTTGAGACCATGCCCGGCCTGCGACAAACGAATATAAACCTGTGGAATCACCGCTTCCTCTCTGCGAGGTCCCATCGATAACCACGAACGAGTTCTTGAATTAGAGGAACAAGCATCTGCAGCCGTCGCTCGCCATGGACGAATACGAGCGATATTGCAATTCTGAACAGGTTTATGGCCTTACAAGCGCCCTTGCATGGTGGCTAGAGGAGACGCAGCAGAAAACCTACCCGAGCCTGAGCAAGATAGCCGTGGATATACTGTCAATTCCTGCAATGTCTGCGGAGCCTGAAGGACTCTTCTCTGGTGCAAAGATAACGATTGCAGACCGCCGAAATCGACTTGGGAGTGGTGTAATTGAAGCATTGGAGTGCCTGAAGTCATGGTTTGGAATACGAGATTTTCAGGGTGACCAGATTTGTGCAGAAGCGGTACCGGTAGAGTGATGGGGTCCCGTGGAATATATTGGGTGTACTGTCACACTGCTAATATATTGGGTTCTTGGCAATAAATACAATGAGTCATGCTCATATTGGGTAATACAATATGCACCCCTTGGCAATACAATAATATTGCGAAGGGGTCCGTATTGGCAATACCATATTGTTTATATTATTAGCAACACTGGATACGGCGCAGCTCGTCTCAAAGTTTGGACACCGCACGAAGGTAGGGAAATGCCCGTTACTCAGGGTCGCGTAAGCCACCTGATGCGATCGACCCAAACTCAACTGCAGGGGCCTGCTCATGCAACGAAGAGATCCCTCCGCTCTCCAGAGAAAGGCTAGCAACGTCCGACTTAACCTTGACAAACGCATCTGGGTAGGGCTGTACGGCCGTCTAGGGCTCAACATCCGAAGCAATAACAGTGGCCCAGCCAAGACCGTCATACGGAGGTGAAGCATCGGAATCAGGACCAAAGATACCAACCAACTTTGTAATCCAGCGGCGATAGACTCGAGAGCCACGAGATCGGGCTCCTTGTTGTCTCTCAAGTGAACATTGGTAATGTTGACCAACTTGAGGAAAACGGACATGGCCTTTGGAGTGTCGAAGGAGTTGGTCAGAGCAGCTTTAAACTCTTGCTAGGCCACGGAAGTCTACCATCGAAAGTTGTTGATTGCCATCCCGGAGAGCACCTCGCCAACATCGCTCTAATAAAAGCGAAAGGCCGATCCTTAAGACCGCCGAAGAGCGTTGCCATACGACAGGAGACTTAGGAACTCGCCTATAGGGGATAAAGTGCTATCACATATATATTCACAGGGGGCCGTATTGAGCCTTCGCAATAGCACGTGACGCAGCCGACGCATAATGCCACCGTAGCTACACGAGAAACGCGGCAGTACTGCCTTAAGAAAAATTAGCCATAAATAGTATATAAGCTTCGCCAGGATAGAGGTGAACCGGTAAGGCTGGAGGCATTTGTTGCCGTCAGGGGTCGACAGCCCGCATACAGCCCTGAAGTACACCAGCATCGTCAAGCTCGCGATCCCTCCCTTGAAGTCCTCGTTAACGGCAAAGTAACAAAAGTGAAGTAGAATATCGGCCGCAGGGTCTTTCTAGGAACCTGCTATAAAGCTACCTTCTCAAGTATATATTAGTTCTCTAGACCATTATGCTATATTAGTAGAGGAGGCGATCCAGCACTGCCATTACTAATACTAACCTTTATTTATCTTATACTAGGCTATAAATTACCTCTCCTTCTATAATACTTAAGGGCATAGGCTAGTTAGTCCTATAATTAGATAACTCTATAAGTAATATAAGGATATTATAATATATATTTTTAAATATTATTTCCTAGCCTATATACTATATATAGTTTATTTATATGGTAAAAGTTATTAATACTATACTTTTATATAATCTTATATAGCCTCCTTAAATATCCCCTAACTATGTATACTTATTAGCAAAGAGCTCTTTAAATAAGGTATTTAATAATACTAGAACTAGCTTGTAGGAAAGTATTATAAGATAGAAAGCCATAGCTAGGGTTATTATTAGTAATACTAAGCCATGGCCTTTAGATATTATTTACTAACCTGCTCTAAAATAACAAGCCTTACTAGATATAAATATATAGCTAGTATTAAGTCTGCTATTAAGCTATAAGCTTAAGCTCCTTAATATACTTAGTCTGTATATAGGTTAGCAAGACTTTCTCGCCGATAGACTAAAGACTATAATGCTTACAGGCCAAGCCCTTATATAAGGTAAGTTATATATAACGCGGCAAGCCGTTTAATCGAGGTAGAAGTATCTCTAGGTTTAGAAGATTTAAAAAGTAAATTAGAGGCTTTAGGCTATAGTAGGCAGATATAGGTATATAATGCTTATTGCCTAGGTAATACAGTATATGTATTAGGCTAATAGTAAAGCTATATTTAATATAAATTATTACTAGCTCAGGCAAATTATAATATAAGCTAAGACTCTTAAGCTTTTAAAGCTAACTTAGCTGTAATATAATAATAGCCTCTATATAAACTGCAAAGTCTATTATATTAATAAAGCTATAAGGATACTAAGAGAATAGAATACTCTCTGCAAAGTGCCTTTTAGCTAAATAAGAAATTGCCGAGCTTGCAGAAAATAACCCAGAGTATAGGTACACATGGTAGTGGGACAGTCGTAGTGTACAGGAAGACTATAGTAGTCATATTCAGGTGCTGCAAGTCATGTTTCTAAGAATTGATCTTTGATTCTGATACCCTTAACAACCATGTATACATCATGTTCTACAAAAACAGGCAATCGTCCTCTCATGAACTTGTCCAGTACTGCTGATAAATATCCTTTATAGTGCTTTCTAGTTCCTCTACTGATACTCGCAAATCAGCTTCTTATCTCCCTGTCGCTCGAGAATCTGCCGCACTAGGTCGTCGTTGATAGGCGTCGGCACCCTAACCTCCCTCCCTCTTCGACACCAATACCCATTGATAAACTGAATCTCTGTCTTCTGCCCCTTTCTCAAATCTACAACCATCGAGCATGTTGTTTCAGCTGTTTTCTGAATGATGCCATTTACAGTTATCTCCAGTCTTTCTGCGGAGAACCGCTCTGAAAGTCTAGGTACTTCATGCAACTCCGGAAGGGCATAGATAACTCGAGAAATTTCGGATAACAGAGCACGACGCGTCTCTGGGATGCTAAATAAGTACCCATTCTTTGCATCGCTCAACGCACAAAGAGGGTTACAAAATGCGTTGACTGCTAGCTTTTCCAGTTGAATCTGGAAAACATCGAGGAAGTTGTATTCTGTGGCGTTGAGTCTTGGTACAAGAGGAAGGGCTTCCAGAAGGTAGGATGACAAAGGTGTTCTCAGTGAGTGGCCATTAGTATCTGAAGTTCGAGGGACCATGCCTAAGGACGTAGCAGCAAATCCAGTGTGCGTAATGTTGAATGGAGCGTTGAGTGTGACGCCGTGTGAGGTGACTCCTGTGATATAGTTTGGCCGGGTCTTTTCGTCTGTGAAGACCTGCTCATTGACCTGCTCAATCATGCCAGATCCATTTTGCAAGAACAGTATGTTTGACGAAGCTTTCAGTCTATGTTTGAGTGGTTCCAATGCTGATGCCGTTTGGGGTGCCTTGACTGAAACGATGAGGTGGTCGATAATATCGGTCCGGACGGTGGTGTTCGACGGCATCGGTTCCCGTGACGTAGAAAGAACTTGATGCCATTCACCATTTTGTAGTACTTCCAATCTGTAGTTGCCATTATTTACCGTTGCACCCTCTCGAGTAGTCAAGGTTATTTGGGAGCCGTTCCGGACGAAATCCTTGACCAAAGACGCTCGATGCAATAACAACGTGACTGATGGGGTCAAAGGGGGTGGCACCTCTGCCAATGAGTGGGCAGCAAACGTGCCTATGCTCCCTAGCCCTAAGACATGCACGCGAGGTCGAACGGCTAGGACGGCTTGGACTGTCATGGTTCTCTTCCAAATGGCTGCCAACGGTTTGAGGTAATGAAGCATATGTGGTAAGCCTCTTATATATCCCACCATGAGAATCTCGAGTGCTCTAAGTCTGCAAAGATCAAGCGCCTTTATTACATGCCTCTACGACGTTATTTGATGAAAATCGAATTATCAATTTTTACCACGCCCTGGTTGTCAAGTTTAGGGCGGACTTCGCTCCACATATTGCTCCCTTTTTCGCCGAGACCGAGAGCTATAAGACGTGGTTTCTTACCCCTTGACACTCGGATCGGACGTATCAATCTTAAACTGAAATAAAGATTTTCCCTGTTCAGCTCTGGCCTTACATACAGTGTGACTTATTGTAGAAACCTGGGTTGCAGCATTGTAAGTTTGCAACTACCTCCAGTCATGAAATTCTCTACGGCTCCCGAAATGCATTGTACACCCAAAACAATCTAGAACCCGACCAGACCAGTTCCTCTGAGGATTTAATTATTGGTGTTACTATTAAGTCTTCTTTGAATTGGCATCATTCTGCCATGGTCAGTCATGAGAACTTAAGAAGGGAGGCGTAGGGCGTAAGGCGCAGGGCGCGAAAATAACCTTCCTCGGGACTAGACCGGAGCGGCTTATCTCAACCATGTGGCTACAGTACGCATGGGCTTTCTTCAACCGTGTTTTATTCGATCTCAGCAAAACGAGTAAAGATCATGTTCACTAATCTTATTCATTGATCTCTTTGCCAGCAAAATTTGTGTTTCCACAGCGAACTACAAACAGGCCCTGAATACCTCCAGTGATCGACCATGTTCAAGGCCGGGTGAGGTAGAAGTAGAACGGCCCGTCCAGGTTTTTGCCCTCCATGATCCCGGCCACGGTTTTATCGTCCACAAATCGAAAGTAATCGATCACTGGTTGATCGTCATATACCATGGCAGAGGTCACTTGGCCTCGGAAGACGATTTCTTTCAACTGCATTGAAGTCAATATGGGTGAAGCATTGAGAAGTAAGCTGAACGTACGCTCGCAAGGCCCCATTTTCCCCAGCTCTGTCTCTTGCCGCCACGTTCCACGATCACAGGATCGACGTGATCGACGGAGAAGAAGTCTTTGCCAATCCAGGAAATGTCTTTCATGAAGTCTCCGTTCGGGTGGCCTGTGTCGAAGAACCCACCATTCCAACTACCGACCAAATGAGATAGCGGGATAGGGGGTAACTGATCGAAAAACGAGTCGAGGGCAGCTGTCTCAACTGGAGAGGCAGATTCCCTCAACTTCTTGAACTGTTCAATGTTGCTACTGTCATCCTTGTGGTCAGAAATGTCTAGCAAGCGTAAGGGACCGTTATTCACCTCATTCTGAGGTTTGGCTTCTTGGTCAATGAAGATTATGCTCTATATGGGATTGAGGTCAGCAACTGGGACGTCGCAAGTCTCAACTTATATCTCAGACCAAGTATGGGTAAAGATGGAAGACTTCAAATTCGATGATTTATAATCGGCAGTTTAGTTGTCTTACAGATACCCACAGAACAAGAGTCTTTGCGGGCATCACCAACATGACGAAGAGGCTTGTCATGGCGCATCACACCGTGTGAGAACATGGCGTTCCCCAATAGCTGTCTGCCTGATGGGAGCGGACTGGAGTATCTTCCGCGTCAGGGACTGAGGTAAATATCGCATGGTCAGTTGCACCTACATAGGCGATTCATGACAGAGATAACTGCGCCTGGCTATCTGTAAGTGACTCGTACCACGTCTTCTCCAGTTGGTAAATTATGTAAAACTCCGACTTCACAGGACAATTAATTAATAAGATCCCTTGCCGGCTACCAAGTTGTAACGTTAGCACTTGAGCTGCCTAGGTTTTATAGCGGATTGTGGGTTTTTAACGTCCATAGCCACATATGATGCTAATTGTCACCCAAGGGCAAAGAAGGGCCGAAATTCTTGTAGAACATCGTTGAATCAAAGTTTGCCTGCACATCATTACTAAACTGGGCAGCTCAACCCCGTCATTTCTACGTCGAGTCGCTGCGGCTCTGTCAGACTGGTCGCGGCATGTGCGGCACACCTTGCGGGATAGATGTCTTCCAAAATACATTCATTACTTCGTCAGCAAAATAAATGGCAAGGATGTTCGGCATAATTTGGACTCCACCTGTACTATTGCGTCACGACCAAACTTTCCCTTCAAGGTACGTACGTATGTCCACCGCTACCGGAGTAGGCCTTATTCTCACCTGTAAATTTGTAAGCTTCAACTGCAAAAGATCCCGTATAAAGAGTACACAGCCTCGAGAGTTTCCAGTTACAATCAAAACTAAACATCAGAACATTGTCTCAAAGCTCACCATCAACCATTACCACCATGTCATCAGCAATTGTCACTGGTGCCACCGGTATGTTGCGCTTCGTTCTCACTGCCCGCCCATGCGACAGGTAACCGACACTAACACAATTGGACATAAGGCATCCTTGGCCGAGAGATTGTCAAGGAACTATGCAGCAGGCCGGAAGAATGGAGTACAATCTACACAATGTCTCGCTCCAAGAAGGATGATTTCGGCCCTCGAGTCAAGCATACGCACCTCGATCTGACTGCCACAGCCGAGAGCATGTGCGATGGCTTGAAAAATGTCGAGGCTGACTACGTCTTCTTCGCGGCATACTTGCAGAAGGATACCGATGAAGAGAATACGCGTGTCAATGGTACGATTGTCGAATTGCATTAGAATGTTCAGGTGTCTAATAACGCATACAGGGGACATGCTATCTGCGTTCTGCAAGGCCCTTGAATTGACTGGTGCTGCTTCAAAGATCAAGCGATTTGTTCTTGTCACTGGAGCAAAGAACTACGGTGTTCATCTCGGCCGAGTCAAGATTCCAATGCAAGAAACTGATCCGCGGTGGGTCTTAAGAGTCCTTGACAAGTCAGAAGGTGCAATGCTCATTCGTTTCCAGAATGCCCGAGCCTCCATATCCCCCCAACTTCTACTACCGCCAGCAGGACATCCTATATGATTTCTGTAAGAGGAACCGTGTTGAATGGAATGTCGCGTTTGCCAGCGAGGTCCTCGGATTTGCGCAAGGAAATTTTATGAACCTCGCTAGCGCGACTGCGATCTACGCCGTGGTATCGAAAGAACTTGGAGACGAGTTGGTGTTCCCTGGATCTGAGGTATTCTATAACAACGTCACTTGCTTTACCGATGCGGCCTTACATGCTCAGTTCCTTCGATGGATGGCACTTGAGCCCCGCGCCGCTAACGAGGGCTTCAATGTCGCCAACGGCGACGCTGAGTCTTGGATGAACTTGTGGCCTCGAGTTGCTAAGTACTTTAGCCTGAAAGTCCCTGCCGACCAGTTTTCGCGCGAGGCGCCCCTAGCTTCAGAGAAGGCTCTTGTATCGGAGCCTCCGATGTCAGTTGTAGCCAAGGACATCGGACTTAAGGGTCATACCCCTCAGAGCTATATTCGTCAACGGGTGGATTTGGTCAAGTGGTCGCAGACCCAAGAAGTGAAGGATGCGTGGAAGCGCTTGGCTGATCGCGAAGGACTTGATCCTGAAGCGCTCAGCAAAGCCTCTTGGGCGTTTGCCGGATTCGCATGGGGTCGAGATTATAACAATATTCTTAGTATGTCAAAATCGCGAAAGCTAGGCTGGACAGGATACCTTGATACCTGGGAAAACCTCGAAAGTATCTTCAACATACTTAAGGATAAGAAGGTTATTCCCAAGTACTGAGCCATTGGCCATAATGATACACACAGGATAGCGAAGAGGGCTTAAAAAAGAAAATATTCTCTTCTAAGTTACTGCCTTAGAAACTGGTTATACCTCTCGATGCGAACTTGGACCGCAACCGGGCGAGTTCATACGATGGATTTTGAGTCGCTAGAATTCGCATGCTAGAAGGAGAAATGTAAGTAAACAAAGCAAGGAGAGATATAACCATAAGTTTATGGCTTAGGAGGAAGGTTGGTCCGTGAGAACTGAGCAAAGCCACTATCAATAGGTAAACATGAAACCGATTCTTTCACCGTTTATATCTTCCAAACGCCAATAATAATTGACTTTGGTATCCTTGATACAAGTGCCGTCAAACATCCCTTAGAGATGGCCCGTATCGTGCTGAGGATAAAAAACTGAATGCCATGTCATGCTTTCATAAAGCCATCACTCACATATCACAAGAAACTGTCTTACCCAACATCCCATCGCTATAACAGCTTAATACTTTCCGAATGCCTTCCCGTCCTACCTTGTTCATTTCCTTGCTAATTTCCTTGCTCTTCCATGAAGAGATCATACTCTCTCTCCTCCGAAACCTTGACGCACCTATAGATCCAACGACTTTTGAGGGGAAAGCCTGGGTGCCTACACTCTTTGCTGTTCATGTCTTTTATCCGATTTGTCATAGGTTGGAGCACCTGAGCTACAGCCATGGACCCTCCCGCTGGGATCACGATTTGATGTGCGACATGCGCCGCCGCAATGCCCAAGACAAGCTGCAATACAGTGATCGAAATCAGGATTATGTTCGCATAGTTCCAGTGATCAACGACCAAATGCACTCTCTGCACTGGAGCGAAACCATCGATCTCGACCAAAGGGTTATTCTGGGCCGAGGTGGCCACAGTTCCAATGGAACATCGTGCCATGACCATTTCCATCGTGCTCGCATATCCCTTGACTGGCAGACCAAAGACTGATTCGGCGGGGTATTTGTGGTACTGAAGACTCTCCGAATCGAAAGATGACACCTTATTGCCCAGCAGAGCAATAGATGCAAGATCAGCTCTCTATCATATGTCTGGCAATTGAATGTGACAAGGCTCTACTTGCTGTAGAGAATTTGACAGGGTTCTCGTCATCTAGGAGGTCGAAAGAGGCATCAAACCACGGACTCCCTGTTGGTGATGCAGCCATCGTGGCGATGATCCTGAGAAAACGGATGGTGTAGCCCCGACTCACTTGCAGAGCGGGAGTGAGCCGCCGGAAGTCATTGCTCAGCTTCAGCTCCGGCCCTGGTCGGCAACTCCGTCTCCCGCTCCGCAGACTCTAATTTCCTCCAGTCTTGTGCCGAGAAAATCCCACGCCCCACGCCCCACGCCCTACATCTATCAAGCGACACCCTTAACTTATTAGCCATGAACCACCTGTCCGAGGGCCGAGGTATCATTGGTGGGGAGCGATCTTTCATAAATTCTCTGGCATCAGTATCTACCCTTTCACCCAAGGCTACCTACATGTCGAGGTTTTAGCATTTCTCATGCACTGTATTACCGCAAGTTTGAGTGAAGAAATTTCGAGCACCGGTCGGTTAGTTGTCAAGTACCTCGTAGATAGCTAAGGTTCGAGTGCACCGGCGACGGCGAAAACCTCGCCCTATCACGGCCAAATGAGTTGCAAAGTCGTGCCCATAGAGCCGAGCTTGCGATGAGATTAATTCATCCAAAGGGCGTACCGGGGGAGAATTCTTCCCCAATGAAGAGTTCCATGGAAGAAAATTAGGACGTATTATGGTCGGGCCTGCTCTCCAGTATTTCAAAAGTGGTGAGATCTTTACGATGCGGCGCATATCGCATACTTTCCATTCGCTCGGAAGGAGAATGAAAAAGTCACCAAGTTGGGTAAGGAACATGACAGTAAAAGCTAAGAAACCTTGAGTGCATGTCTTGGGGCTGGGCAGCATTGGCACCTTTCCTGCTCATTCACTGGCTGAGGTACCAGCCCCTCTAACACCGTCTGTCACGCTTCTTCTCCATCAACCTTCTCTTGCCGGCGAATTCTTCAAAAACTGCTGCAGAATTAGGTTAGAAATAAGGGAGGGAGAAGTAGTCGACTAGCATAGCAACTACCGCCACGAGGTACTAGACAACAGAGAATGGTACCGCCCTTCAACAACGCCAGGGCTCGATCAAGTTACGCAGACAGATATGATCGACCACCTTGTCGTTTCCGTCAAAGGACCGCATCGGCTCAACGCTTCATCGCATATTCTGTTCTCGCAGAACGGATCCGGCATGATCGAGGCTATCAACGAGGAAATATTTACGGAAAAAGCCACCCGGCATAACTACACCACCGGTGTTGTTTCACACAGAGTCACTCTTAATGCTCCCTTCGACATTACGCGCACTGGCTTTGCCGCAATATCCCTAGGCCCCGTTCCTCAGACTAAATCAGATATCGAGGCCACTAAATCGTCTTACCTTCTGAACGCCCTGCCATTTGTCCCACGATTCAACGCGACCCCATACTCATTCCTAGATGTTTTCCAAATCCAGCTAGAAAAGCTTACAGTTAACGCCTTCTGCAACCTACTCTGTGCCCTTAAGGATGCACGAAATAAAGACCTATTTACCATCCCCGAAACCGGACACATGCTACTTAAGGAGATCTTTCAGGTCGTTAATACACTGCCAGAGTTGCGCGACATACCAGGCATTTTAGAGCGTTTCTCGGTAGAGAGGCTCGAGGTAACGGTAAATGGCATTTAGAAAACGGCAGAGACAATATTCTCTATAGTGGTGGATTTGCGACGAAGTCAGAAAACAGAGATTTAGTTTATTAATAGGTATTGGTGTTGACGGGGCAGAGAGGTCGGAGTGCCAACGCCGATTAATGACAGTCTTGTGGGGCAGATCTTGGAGCGGCAAGGTGACGGGGAACAAGCGAAGGAATACCAACGAGGAAAGGCTTCAAAAAGTGAAAACCATGCGTTGACAGATTGTCGAAGCCAAGAATAGATTGATACAAACGACAAGTACGAAATCCTATGAGACAGCCACCCTGAGATCTGCACTTCCACAACTGAGGCTCATTCACTCTACCGCGCGTCCTAAACTAACCCCGTTTCGTATACAACTCGGCTTCAAATTAGTTATTCCGATGTCGGCCAGTGGTAGCTGCAGTTTAAGCCAGCCTTATTCCCGCAGAGGCCGAGGTTTTTGGAATAGCGATTCCTTAATTGCACTGCCGTCAACCATGTTTCGGACCTCTCGTCTGTGCCTGCAGCTTGGTCAGCGTAAACAACCAACCCTCGTTTGTCGTTTTGGACAACAACACATTCTGATTAGGATGGCGTCATCGTTTCGAATGGTACAGCACATTGTCAACGGCTGCCACACTCGAGATCACATAGCAGCGACTGCCAATGGCGACGACGACACGCCGAAGCTGTCGGTGAAGCAGTACATCCCCCTAGACAACCCGACACCAAAGCCGGGAGATCTCACGATCATCGGAGCTCATGCAAATGGATTTCCCAAAGTGAGTGTCATTGTCCAGTATATCCTCGCTTCAATACTCACCGTCTGGTAGGAAATGTATGAGCCACTCTGGGATGACATTTACCAATGTGCTTCCCAAAGTGGTATACGCATTCGATCAATCTGGATCGCAGATATGTGGAACCAGGGCCAATCTGGCGCCTTGAACGAGAAGATACTCGGGAATGACCGTGAGTAACCCGTTATGCGACATATTACAGGTACTGATAGGTTCCAGCGAGTTGGTCCGATAATGCAAGAGATATAATGAACTTGATTAACCAGAAGCAAGACTCAATGCCTCATCCTATCGTTGGAATAGGTCACAGTATGGGCGCCACGCAACTGTAGGAGTATAAATCCACACTTACCTATATAGCGCTAATGGATTTGTAGGTCCATTTTGTCTCTAGCCCATCCACGGCTTCTGAGGTCCCTTGTCCTTCTTGACCCCGTCATCCAGATTCCAAACGGTAGCATTCCGCCGGCAATCTCATCCACTCCCCGCCGCGATATTTGGCCGTCGAGAGAAGCCGCCGCAGCGCGATCCCGAGGGAGCAAGTTTTTCCAGGCATGGGATCCCCGTGTTCTGGACCGCTGGATTGAGCATGGTCTTCGACATGTGCCGACAGAGCTTCACCCCGCTCAAGACACTGAGAAAGACGAACGTGTCACGCTCACAACTTCAAAGCATCAAGAATTATTCACCTTTCTCAGACCTACGTACCGCGAGGTTCCCGGTGAAGAATACTTAGATAAGGACCCAGTTGCAGACGAAGAGTATCCTGGGTATCCCTTCTACCGCCCTGAACCGCTCCAGGTCTTTCGTCGCTTACCAGAGCTCCGTCCCAGCGTGCTGTATATCTTTGGGGAGACGTCAGAGCTATCGCCGCTGGAACAGCGCGAGGCTAAGATGGCGAGAACCGGTACTGGAGTTGGTGGCAGTGGCGGTGCTGCTGCTGGCCGAGTCAAACAGATTGTTCTTGACTGTGGTCATCTGGTTGCTATGGAAAGAGTTACTGAGTGTGCCGACGCCGTCATCGGATTTCTTGGAAGTGAGCTTGAGAGGTGGCAGCAAGAAAAAGAAGAGTTCGAGAAGTACTGGAAGAAGCAATCGAGAAAGGAGCAGATTACGATTGATGAGAACTGGGCTAATAAGGTAAACCCAAATGCTATGCGAGCTGAGAGGACCAAGCTTTGATAGAGGGTAGTATTCGATAGCAATACCTTGCTGTTAGAGATTCCGGTAGACATAGAAGTATGGGAGATACAATTTTGAGATGTGAGTAGCCGAATAGAGCATAAGCGAATGCATGTTTGGGTGAACCCTGGGACGACCTCGCAGCCTTCTGACTTCAAGCATTTGGAAGACCTGCACGATTGCTAATAACTAATCGCTCATCACAATAATGTATATCTTACATGACTATGAGCCAGACTATGATTTTCTTCAGAGCATGAGAAACAGGCCATCTGTGATTAAAATTAGTGTCCAAAAGAATCTGAACACTGCCCCGCCAACAGGTACTCCACCACATTACATCTCGACGCCCTCTTCCTCTTCAACCTCCACAACAATAGCAAATAATGTCCTCACATAACGGAAGTTTATCTATAATATGCGCAAACCGCGGGCCAAATCAGGACCTGCGCGAGGTGGCCTGAGCCCTTATCGTTTGCGAGATAGAGGCAGGAAGGCCATACCGTGGCGGCGTCGCTCGCGAGGCGAAGTGTTCAACAGGCACCGTCTTTAATATTTTTCAACGCTGGAAAACTCTACGAACTCTTGATACAAAACTCAAAAGTAGGAGTTCTAGGAAACTCGCAGTTAGGAGATTCGATACGTATTAGTTTCACTTAAACGCGACCGTAGGATAACATATGAAGCGCTTGTCAATCTCATAGGTAGTAAAATCTCACAATCTACTATAAGCCGCGTTATATACTTCCATTATGGCCGCAAATGGAAGGCTATGCAGCGGATACCGCTATCACAAGAAACAGCTTATCAGCAACTTTTATGGTCTCAAGCTTAGATGGAAGATACTGAAGAATCGCTGGAGGTATGGCGGTTTGAAGTTTGGGTGTAGACGCAGCTCAGGAATCTTTCACTAAACTAACGACAACTTCAGACAATGTTCTCCGACGAATCGACAGTTCAATCGCAACCGAACTATAAATGTAGTTGGATCTCCCGCAAGCCTCACAAAAAGTTTATGAGACCATTTGTCAATGTCACAGTTCACGGGAAGTCTAAGTTATCGATCATAGTTTGGAGAGCAATCTGAAGAAGAGGAAAATCCGGTATTACTATTATGATCCGCGACCAAACCGGCAAAAGAAGAGGATATACTTCCGGAAGTTATCAACCGGCTTTAACGGAAGGTTTACTTCCTATATATAACGGCATGCGAAGATTTGGCAAGATAACGCAAGGATTCATACATCTCAGTCAACAACCGAGTGGCTGTTAGAGCACTCAATTGAGTGGATTGACTGGCCGGCACACCCGCCGGATCTCAACCAAAATGAGCACATTTGGAAGCAATTAAAGGCTAATGTAAGGGAGATGTTCCCTTATCTTGAAATCCTTAAAACCAACAATTCAATAAGCAAGAATTAATCAAATGCATCAAGCTGGCATGGGCAGTAATTGCAACGGAGCAGATTAATGCCTCATCGACTCTCTTCCCTGTCGCATTGAAGCCTACATTCGCGCACAGGATTGGTATACCAAGTATTAAAGTATAGAATCAGGGCTTTCTTTGACATACCTCATGACCTTATTAACCTAGTTATTCTTTATTTAATTGGTAATGTAATATGTGGTGTTGTAATTCGGGTGTTAGGATGTGGGGCTAGTGTTGTCAGACTTTTGTTAGAAATTTTAATGTAAAGGTAGCAAAACCCTGAGTAGCATCTCGAAGCTTGATGATTGGCTGCAGGGAAGATTCTATCGACGCCAAGGACGCCCATGGGCCCTTAACCGAATTAGGCTAACAGGGTGGCGAAAGCCAAGTCCGATTTCGAAAAGCTGACAAGGGGCTGCATGAGCTTTAATACCCCCAGGTTTCTCACATTCTCCAACACTACAGTCTCATAAACTGCCACCATATCATTGCCTCTTCGATAACACAACAATCAATATCAGAGCAAGGATTCGTTTTATCGTTCGAATACGATCACCAATCCTTGTACTCTTTACCCACTGAGCCTAATGGCGCCTGATGAGAATGCGATAAGGGCAGGGCGACGCCCATTAGCGGACAATGTCGAGGGTGACAGTAAGACTTGCTCTCGAATGATAGTCACTACAACCACATGCTCACATACCAGTCATGACATTCTCAGAACTCGATTTCGCTCGGCTCGGACTCGCACCGGAAGCCGATTCGAAAACAACACCCAGCGCACAGAACGAAAGCCTGCCCAGGAACCATTTCCTTCCCTTTCAGTGTCTTCACTACGGAGAGTCGACCTCCGAGCACTCATCAAATCAAGGGCTATTTTCTGGTCCATTCCCCAGTTTCTCCGATCCAACAGGACAGAATATTGCCCTGTCCATGATGGGTCCTAACCTTACCTACGATCCTTACTGGCAAGCTCCCTCACTTCCACCACAGCCAAGTTCAGCCCAGAATCGTCCATCGAAGGCCGGGCCGAGCACTCGAAACGAAGCGTCGGCGCTGCAAACGTCCAGCCAGGGCACTTCTCCGTCGGGAAGCTATCAGTACTCCCCAGTGGCCGAAAACCAGCAACCTGGCCTTCCAAGGCGACGAAGCCGGTACTTCCGCAGTCAACATCAACCAAACCTCCCACAGGCAATAGACATCCCAGGCTCAGCACCGACAGATGTTGCGCTAGATCCCATGCAGCGCTGGCGAAATTCACCACCAGAGACCGAACCAGCCTCCCTATCCGCCATCGCTGACGCGCTGAGACAAACACCCCTTCGAACCCGCTCCTCAGCCGGCAGTCTCAACAGCCAGCGCATAGGCAACCGAGCCTCTTCAACCGTCAGCTTCGGTAGCGGCACGAGCTGTTCTTCAACTTCCAATGCATCAGCCATCTCAGCAACATTTCGAAGCACATCCGAGCACTCGCGCAGACGCGTGGAGAAGCGGACTCGACCGACAGTTACAAAAAGGAAAGAAAAGCACAAGGACAGGCGGATGTTCCCGTGCACGTTCTGCTGCGACTCTTTCAAGAGCAAGTATGATTGGGCGAGACATGAGAAATCGCTGCATCTCAATTTGCAGGGTTGGCGATGTGCGCCCTTTGGTGGGACGGTGATGTCTTCTGAAACGGGGAGAGCTCATTGTGCGTACTGTAGCTTGCTCGATCCCAATGCTGAACATCTAGACTTTCATGATCACGGCACTTGCCAGAACCAGGGACAGACTCCTATTTTCAGCCGC